ATGGTAGTAGGCATGGCCTCAACGGATGGTGGGGGGAGAGGCGTCGAAGTCATGGCGGAATTGTTCATGGTCTGGGAAAATAGACTAGAATCAAAGGTGTACTGAGCCATGGTGAAGTCGACAGTTGACGGGGCTATGAGTGGGCATAGTGGGTGATTATCACTAGGACCCGGGCTGTGCAGCGAAGAGGACAGGTGGCATTCACGGACACTTTAATAGGCAGCTGCCAAGCGCAGCCATGGACCCCTAGTGCGCTTGCCCGCATCGGGGCTGCGCTAATTGAGCCCACCCTCCGATACACGCCCCCCTACGCTAGGAACTCAGGAACTCAGCCGCCCGCCCCGTCGTTTCACTACCCAAGTCAGGGGACCGCCGTTGCAGTCTTCGTCCTACAACCTGCCGGACTCGATTCCTGCTTGCATATGCCGCTTCTACCACCATCAGACCATGGGGCCGCTGTCCCAGGCTTCCGTCTCTCTTGCTTCTGACCGAGGCGCAAACGGGCTTATCCAACTCCGACGTGCAATCGAGGCGTAGCACCAGCCGACCCACCTGTATCACTCGGTGCACCTCAGTGGCGACACGAAACAAGTTCAATGTAGCATGTCGTAAGATGCCGTCAGCCAAACCCAATACGCCCCAACGCCGCGCTGCATCCAGTCCCCTCCGGATCAACTTCACAGTCACGCACACCCCCAATTATTGCCCTCAATATGCTCGTATACTCCAGGCACGGCTGGCGTAGATGAAGGTCCGAAGCCGTTCCTTCTCGAAGCATCTGCACCCCATAGTTCCAATCTATTTTGCCGGGTCGCTAACTATTCCACCCACACATCTTCATATCCCCACACAACCTTTTAATCTATCGCGACCTTCATAGTGCGGCCTATTGCCGGAAGATTTGCGCAACCTGGGGTAAACTTCCTTTGTTCGTGCAAACACCAGGGAAGCCGCATAGAAGCTTAGCCTTAGCTTCCTTCCTTTATTGCTGCTCAAAACCGAAGCGTCACACGAGTCCCTTTGCCTCCGGCTCTTTTGGAGCAAAGGGTCCCTGGTGAGTTTCTGCGAGTTTCCACTCAAGCTTTACGAGCATGTGAGACGGACGCTCTCCGGTAGTAAGAAAATAACAAGCCGGTGGTTCATTGATCAGCTCTCATAATCCTGCGGTACCGAAATTACTTTTGCCTTATCGTTCTCTTGTCATCCCATCTTCCGCAGCCGCTACGCAATGGACTGATTGCGCACGAATTTGGTCTTGGATAAAGATGGCGTGCGTAACAGTGGGCTAGCGTCTCATGCGTTCTTTGCCGTGGGCATCGCACTCTGCTCCACCAACCGACTCGTCACCGTTTCAGGCACCAGAATTCGGACCTATCGCATCGGAGCCGCCTACAATACAGCGATCTAGATCTTACCACCGAAATTCTTGACTCAGTACACAAGATCTACATCAGTAATACTGCCGCCTACCGGCTATCCTCTAACGGGCTTCTCAGGAGAGCATGTGGCTCTTACCAATACTCCAGCGGACCAGATGTGCCTTCTTCTTCGCAGAGCAACATGTTAGTGCGGGCCGATGCTGGTAGAGCTGGTGCGTGGTGATCCAATAAAGGATAGGGGGGGACGTTACGACGACGTCTACGAAGCAATCGTTGCCGCTTACGCAGCAGTCTTAAGACCACATCACCATCGTGACGAGAATGCTGCCGCCTGTTCAAACGTCATGCGATGGCAGTGCCCGAACGGCTTTGTGAGGAAACGAGCATCTTTGTTGAGATGGTGTTGTGAGCCGAAGCAAAGCCAAATTTTGGTGCCAGACTCGTATAAGACTAGTGATACCGCAAGGTATCAGCACAACCCAACATGCGTCCACTCTGAGAATCATCGTTAGAGCTTCGTTTACCAATTGAACTTCACATTGCGATTACAGATGATCCATCTCCGACATCTTGTCACAGGAATTCAGCACTTAGAACGGTGTTAGATGTAGCAAGCAGCATAGAGGTTCATATCCGTTTTCAACCAGTAGCCGGACGCAATGCATTCCAGTCCAGGGGAAAGAACATCGACATTATCGAGAATGGGGTTGTAGTTTGGAATGCTGATGCGATATCTAGACGTCAGACGTAGACACAGAGAAAACACTTGTATGCTGCTGAAGGAGACTCAGCAGCCCTGACGTGGCGACCAGAATGCGGTATTGCGTTGGTCATGAAGAAAAAAGACAGTATCTTGTGTCAACGACGTTTTGAAATAATTTCAATGCGCGGCAGGGACCCGCTTATTAAGATGTTATATCTCAGAATATGTTTTCTGGTCCGTACATTCGTCCATGCACTCTTTCTCCCTGTGCGGAGGCGATGCATTATTCAGAGGAAGCGCTGTAATCAAGGCATTAAACGATCCTATACTAGGCTGTCATCGTGCGGGTGTGTATGCTGCGACCAAGGAGCACGTGGCGCTCGGCCTTGTCGCCATTCATCAACGACATGTATGTAGCGCGCCAAACGAAGAGCAGATAGACGTGAATTGTAAAGGTACGGGATGCAAAGGGTTGTAAGATCATGGCCAAGGCATTAGTGTAAAAAAGCAGTAAACTGTATATTATGAATGACTCAGAGCCGTGTTCGTGCGGCGGTTCATTCAGATATCGCAACAATATGGCGAGATGTACCTGGTTGGATCCTCTTTCTTGGATACGGGACCTGTTGATATATCGTACGCCAAATCGCGCCGTGCTGGAAACAGTACCGGTATCTAAGACAACATGTGAGTACATAGGTTCCTGGACTTCAGTTTGATTTGGATATCTCAAACCGGGACGCCCACAAAGCCTATCCTCGGTCTCACTCTTGCACCATCAGTGCTCTCCCCACCCCATTGACTACGCCACTCTTGTTCCTCAGTCTTGACCTGCTCAAGAGCTTCAAGCTCTTCGGGCTTCATTTTTAGCCTGTCTTCGTCGTCCAGGACTGGTAGGCCATTGGTGCCAACATCAACGAAGTCACCGTCGGGTCCGGGTATACCTAGCCCGGCGAAAGGAGGCTGTTGGAAAACAGAGTCGACCACGAGGTATTTGCGACGGACCAGCGGAGGCACGTCGGTTTCTTCGGCTGAGACCTCTTCCCATCGTGCATGTGTAGGTTGTGTGACCTTGGGATAGCACATCAGGTTGGTGTGTGGATCGTAGACACCAGTGAGGTTTGCTTTCCGTAGCTTAGAGAGGTTTGAGTTGAATCGACTGGGATGAGTTAGCTCTGCTGATTATAGGTTGGTAGAAGGGAAGTTTTGCCTACCTTGCAGCTCGTCCATGCTCGAACTGCCAGTTAGCAGAGGTTATGTTGACCTTCCGCTTCCCAGGCACAGGCTTGCCATTAGCAGTTGGCACACTAGGCACACCAGTATGGTACACACTACTGGCACCATGCCAAGCGACGTATTGGTTCTTGTTGTATGGCTCCCCAGGAGGCGGTAGCCTGTCGTTAGGGTCTGCAAGTTCGCCTTCAACTGCGCCGCTTTCCTTTGCTGCAGTAACATAGTAATCGTCGATGATCCTCTTACCTCCGATGATGATGCGTGCGCCAAACTCACGGAAGACGGATCTGGCTGTGACGACACCAATGGCACGACCCTTGTATGAGTGTGGGATGATGTCGCGGTCGATCAAGTCCCTCTTCTCGGTATCGTCGATGATGATTTTGTAGAGCTTCATGTGTTTTGTGAAGAACAGATAACTATCCCTGAATCCACAACAACGGGCTGGTTCTGTCGACAGCATGTACTGCCTGTCGCCTCTGCCCTTGATAGTGAATATGCGCACACGGTAGTCTCGTCCGCCCATAAGGTTGCCTAGTTTGTCGACCTTCTGCTCGCCTTCCTCGTCTTCCGGTAAGTCGACCTCATCATTGACTACATCCATCATGTTGCCCTCCTTGTCAATGGGGACGCGCGTCGTGTGCGATGGCCCTCCTTTTGGTGGCCGTCCTCGACCTCCGCCTGACGGCCGTCCCCGCTTGCGCTTAACGGGTGTACCGCCTTCGGAGTTGTCGGGTTCGACAACGTTCCAGTCTGGTGGCCTGTTCTTAGGAGGGCGACCAAGACGCTTCTTGCGAGGAAATGGCTGGATGACTGCTGGAGAGGGCGAGCGCTCGGAGGGTGCCGCTTCCTCGTCGCTTCCTTGAACTGCTGAGTCGGCATCTTCTTCCTCTTCCTTGGGTGTGTCGGCGCGCGATTCTGGGGCATCTACCATTTCCTCGTCACTGTCCTGCTGAGGTGTTGCGCTGCGAACAGGCGTACTGCGACGCGCTGCAGCTCGAGAAGGGCGACCACGCGCCATTGTGGCTAGTCGAGAACGATGCTAGTGTAGCGCGTCTGAAGCTGGCGACGATGAGTGTGGCGTACGTATGGGCGACTTCTACTCGGATACTCGAATATAAATTGGGTGAAGGGCGGCGTTGAAAGTTGATGATGCGCTTGCACTCCACGACTGCTAACATTCGCGACGTGAAGGAGCTAAGCAAGGGTCTAGTGCACGGGCTGGTCCAATCACGTGCACCGCTTGAGCCAAGCATTGTCCACTCACGCCTTCTCAGATCCAACCGCATGTATTCTTGCACGCCTCACTAAAGACATGCGTTCGTCATCAGCGAGACTGGGAGAGCGTTCCGATACATCCATACGCCATACGTCAATACACCATGATTATCTCTGGATACGCGATCGAACTCAGCATGTTACATCGCTATCCTACGTATCCCGAGATTCGGTTCTTACTTCCTCAATCTGCTGACGAGTTGATCCTGCCAAACACATCACAATGCTCTTGCAAACTACCAGCCAATGTCACATAAAGTCATCTTGGCAGGACCTGACCTGTATGTCAACAAACATAGCTTAGGGTCAAGTGCCTCACACTCAAGTGCCATATGCTATCGATTTCGTAGGCTCCATTACAATCTCGAGCCTACAGTGTATAACCAAGGTAGCAACGAAAAGCCATCATGCCTCTCGATCGCCTCATCAAGGCCAAGAAGAGCGTTTCGGATATATTCACTCGGATGAGCGGTGCTCCGTGAGCGACGGTCTTTACTACCCTGTTTCTATTATGCTAACCATCTCAAGGATTCATTCACATTCTCCCAATCGGAATGAAAACGATGCACTAATTTATGAGACTCCGAATCCATATTCACCAGGAGCAAAGTCCACCGTACCCGATGCAAGTGACGAATCACCCGTACGAAAAGGTCTAATGGGGTCGTTGCGAAAGCAAAAGCTGCGGAGCATTAGCTCATTACGAAGTCTGCGGTCGCCTACCAAGACCAAGCAGCTTGACACACCTGCATCGCTGCCGGTCGATGTAAGTGTCCCTTCAAATTGTGGCGAAACATCTACTGAAGTTGTGTTTTACAGGGTCCTTATACCCCAAAACACCGCCTTAATTCATCGCTCGTACTCGATTTCGAGGAATCACCGCCTGACACACCAATATTCGATCTCGACCGCAAAGACTCTATCACCTCAAGCTTGAGGGTTCATCACTCCTCGCCTGTGCCTGTTCCGACATCTGAGAAACGGAATCTGCAATCATCTGTTGATTTATCGCTCATTCCTTTTGGAACTGTACCGCTTTCACCAGCTCCCATCCAGAGAATCTTGGAGTTGGACCAGACTGGGAGCCCCCCTTCGCCAACGTCCATCCTAGCATATAACCCAGATCAAGAAACGATGAAGAGTAGGGTGTCAACAGAGAGTGCTCTCTCTGATAGTCTTCATGGTGCTGGAATCTACGTCGATGAATCCGTTGTCAGTCACGACGATTTAGAGCTCAACCATCTGCTTCCAGACGAGTCCCTCACGAAAATCCACAGCACTGAAGAGCCACGACAATCACCGGCGTGTGAAGAGCTGTCTGGTGTACATCGTATGGAAGATTCATCGACCCACAAGACAGGCGACGAGCAAGTTTGCACGCGAGGCAGTGCCACCAACAAAGCACTGAATGCAGCAGATGTAAACAAGATGGTAGAAAAGCAGGCAAAAGTCATACTCGATAAAGGTTATCATGCAAGGACCTATCGTCGAGCAGATGGGAGATGTCGACTCAAGATCAAGCTGCTCGCTTCCGACTCGGAGGGTGGCGACGACAACGCTCAATGTGATAATGAGATACCGTTCAAGCTTGTTGGTCCTCAAGCAGACATATTGGTGTCGGAACTTGGCTCCATCGTTCGGGAAAATGGGTACGAAATGTTTTTTTTTGAATGAATTGCATCTGGGAAACACACTGACTTCGTATATGCATCTTGTAGGATGGTTTTTATATCTGATGATGAGCTTGACAAAGCGTTTGCAGCGGGAAAACTTCTCGCATATCTAGATATTGCTCTGGACGAGGACAAACCCATGGTTGTGCAGAGCCACCTCCACAGCCCGACAGAGGTGGGGAAGCACGATAGCACCTGGGGCCAGCATACAGGACTCTACGATGGCTCGGGCTACGGAGCGGGATCCAGCTTATGGCTTGTGGCGGGTGTGACTGAGATGGCAGACGTATCTTCCACGAGCATCCCTGGAGCATTCTCAGACCATGAGAATGAAGCTCCCACAATCATTCGCAGGCTGTGGGAGAAAACCTATCGTCACGGTCTTGATACAGACTTTCCTGGACAGGCTAACGTGGGTGACGCAGCAATCTCCGAGGCGCATGGGCAACCCGAAAGCCATTTCAAGGACTACAAGCCTGTCCAGGGTATGCTCAATCCTCGTGGCAATGCATAGATCACCAAGCACGCGGGTCAATATGCAAGGTTTGGTCAGGATCGCTGGGTCGGGCCGTAAAAAGTGTGAGGATGACAGAACAGGAAGGATACATGCGGCATCATTCATAGAAAACAGCATCATTCCATCAATAGAGTCTCTGTAGCTAGCAATGCACCACACAAGCTCTTCAATGTACGCGTCTTCTTGCTTGTCCCATATATGCGATGCAGGGGTTTCGCGTTCCTTAACTCTCGTGATGATACGATGGCATCCAATAGCCGGACGTATAATGGACGTCAAAGTGTGCAGATGATCCGAGTCTTGCATCAGTTAGTCGGACCAGCGGTAATCTAAAGCGGCGGAGGGCCGGGCTCCAGAGGGTGTTCTGGAGAAAATCAGGCCATGTCGGTCATGCTACTTACCCAAGTTTGGGACGTCGACTAGGGTGCGGAGTGGATCAGCAAAGGTATGCGGAACAGCTCGTACGATGTTTTGCGTCGGCGGTGGATAGGAACATGATCCAACACATGATGATTATGCTGTGATGTGAGACGGCGTTTGTGCGCCAGCCTAGACGAAGAGGAGTTGTTAGCACCTTTAAAGGTCTGGCGGCGGGCGGCTCGGGCATGGAGGCGTCGACTTGTTCGTTTCGCTGTTACGTTGTCCCTCGGTTTGCCAGGCGTGAAGTTCAGTATGCCAGGTGTAGACTATAGTTCCTGCGGGGAAAACACCAACGACATTGCCATCCTGGGCTGCGGTATCATCGGCTTGTGTACCGCGTACTACCTTACAGAGAGTGGAGCGACAGACCCAAAGACAATTCACTTGGTTGATTCGAGTCCGGAGTTGTTCCAATGCGCGTCTGGCCTTGCTGCGGGGTTCCTCAGTGCTGACTGTACGTATGGGAAGCTTCCGTCGCGTCTAGGATGGGCGCGGCGCGTCATTTATCCCCTGATCGCATTATCTGACTACAAATCAGGGTTCGCCCCCTCGGTATCTTCGCTTGGAGCGTTGTCCTTCAAGCTTCACGCCGACCTTGCCAATGCGCACTCTGGACGGTCAACATGGGGTTACTCGCAGTCGACTGGCATCTCCCTTTCGCAAGACAGCGAGTCAGCCATCGGCGGCAGCGGCGAGGACTGGCTTGAGAATGGGACGAGCAGAGCACAGCTAGCGAACCACAACAAGCCCTGGGAAGAGCAGGCTGCCGGCCCGGAATGGCTTCGTCGTACACAGGAAGGCATCATGGAGGTCATCAGTCGGGATGGTACTACGGCACAGATCGATCCCTTGAGATTCTGCCAATGGCTGCTTAAAGAGGTCAAGGAAAGGGGAGTACGGATACACCAGCCTGCGAGGGCGACAGCAATCATCAAAGACGCCGACGACGTCTTATGTGGCTTGAGCATCTCAACGAGCGATGACGCTGAGTCGGACACAGAGTGTAAGATTCCAGTCGACAACTTCGACTTTCACATGGCGACTGACAATCTGTAACAGTGCCGTGTACTCGCCTCGTCATCACTTCTGGCGCCTGGTCTCCTCGTGTTTTCAGCACCCTCTTCCCGTCGTCCAAAGCACGCATCCCTGTTTCCTCGTTAGCCGGCCACTCGCTGCTCGTCCGAAATCCACACCACAAACCCGAAGAGCTCGACAAGGAAGTCTGCCACGCAGTCTTCGCAACAGACACACTTGGCTTCTCACCAGAATGGTTTGCGAGACTGGGTGGAGAACTGTACCTGGCAGGACTGAATAGCACAAGCATACCGCTACCAGATGTTGCGACGGATGTCAAGGCTAATGACAAGGCCATTGCCCAGTTGAGACAGTGCGCAAAAGCTATGATGATGAATGTTCCGGGAAAGGGCATGGACGTCTTGAGAGAAGGCTTGGTACGTCACTATCCTAGGGGTAGGATTCTCGACATATACTAACTTTTGAGGTAGTGCTTCCGTCCAGTCACGTCCAGCGGTCGACCTATCGTGTCGCGAATACCAGACGACAAGCTTGGAGGCACCAAGACCAAGGACGGAGAGAACGGAGGTGTCTATATAGCGGCGGGCCATGGTGCTTGGGGGATATCACATGCGCCCGGCACTGGGCTTGTTCTGTCTGAACTGATAGAAGGACGGGAATCTAGCGCAAAGATTGAGGCATTACAATTACCATCGTAACATTTTGATATTCGATGAGAAATTGAATGGAGTACCGCGCTTCTCAAGTGTTTGTGGTCTGCTCATTTGGCAACGTATGGCAATGAACGTGCTTTGACACTAACAGCAGCAAGATATTATGTATACATAGAGGACTTCGCATGCATTGTCACGATCTAACGAGTAGAGTATATGTCTGATGCATCAAATACCTCGAGAATTTGTATTCGTAGACACTTCGCTGACTTCGGGCTAGCTATGCTTTGCCTAAAGCAGTTAGCGCAAGCACCTTGGTAACCCAGCCCATCAACGTCGCTTGGTCTCACGTCGTCCTGTCTCGCTATCCTGTAGTACTATCTGGCTCGGTGTCATCTCCTTGTATCACCGGAGTGTTTCCTCTGTACCCTTATTGACGGCATATCGAAGATGAGCTCTGATCACCACGCTGCGTTTTTGTATAATGAAACCATGTTTGATCTGTTGACAGAGGTCCAGGATGGCTGTAAGGTTCCTCGACTTACCATCGTCGATGATCATGTTGCCGGTACGATTGATCTGGTCAGTTTTGTTGCAACCGCCACTGATGCCTGTGATGCTAAGCTTTTCCAGTCTGCCCAAACCAAGGATGGCATCCAGTTCGAAACCACATAGATAGTTGTCCACTGCAAGTGAATATATAGGTGTAATTTGGAAACCGTTCCAGAGTGCGTCTCCAAACAGTAATGGCGCATACAGTTTGAGATTGAGCTCGCGAAGTTGTGGCATGTATGGCATCGTAGAACACAAGAGGTTGTTGCATTCTTGCGCAAGTTTACGAGCATCAGTTTGGCTTTCTCTGTTCTCAGATCCGAATAGAAGGCGCTTCCGTTGTCCATTAACGTTTCCTATTGTAGCCTTTCGGACTGTAAGATGGAGTCGCAAGGAACAGTCGTGCAACAAGATCAGGATACGACCAAGGACTACACCATCGTCAAATTCGAAATGAGCTGCCTCCAACAGACAATGGAGAAGTTCACTTTGCAGCTTCTTATTGACAAGGCAAAGAGAGGGAAGAAACGGAGCAGTCCTCCTTTTGAGCCGGATCGAACGCTCGTACTCTTGAGAGAATTGCAAGTGAGGCCAGTTCCGACAGGCTATCGACCTCTTTTCTTCTAAGAAGTACTGATCGTAAACCAAGCAACGCAGTTCCTAACGATAGACAAGAGTTAGTATATGAACACCAAATCATGAGCGCGATAATGTTCGTACGATGGGTAGTTCCATGAAGAGGTGGAATGTCGGTTGACAAAGCATGTCGTCCACGTATGGATTCAGTGCCATGAGGAGTCCTTCGAAACTGCCCGCATGGTCAGGTTCCGTGCTGTGAGCACCAGTATTTGCGGCTGGGACCATGTCATAGTCGGAGGCAGTTGTGATCACGTTGGCACCCGATGAAGAACACGCGCAATCTGTCGAAGGAGTGGCCGGCGGAGACAATACCTGTCGAGATTGTGTATCCATCTCACAAGTCGCTGTAGTGTAGTAACCTCGGGAGCGCAACGCGCAGTGGGTACCGAGACAGCAGGGTCCGTGGCGGTGCGCTAAGAACAGTCTTCCAAGGTTCGCTTGAATTCCCGCCCATCATACCTGGCCCCGAGCTCAACAGCCGCCGAATCTGCCATCTGCCATCCGCAAGACGTTTTTCGAACTGTACATCACATAACTACGCTATCGTCAAGCTCGGTTCTCGTACTCGGCCTGTCGGCCTGGATCGACTTCCAACTCCACTGGCGTCCGGTTTGCTACCGCCAGCCGTCTTCTAGACAAGATTCTCCTCCTTCAGAACCACAACAAGAGTAAAGTGGCTCTTGGCATCCTTGGCACGACACCATTTTCAAGCCTACCAAGGCCTCTTATCACGTCTTGACATGGCTCGTGTGCCTCTTCGCTCGGCTCCACTCCGTTATTGGCGGGTACAGCGTAAGCTTCGTATATTACCGGCTCAACTTGTCCGTATGCAGCAGGTCGAAAGAGCACAGTATGCAAAGACGTCAGCAGGATCTATGTTTTTGGTCGCTGGGCCGGACACAGCGATGGAGAGATGGTAACGAGCATAAATTGCGCAACGTACCCGGCAAGTTGCGAAAAGCCACTGCCTTTCATTGCTCACTGATCAACTACAATGGCTGTCTTGAAGTCAATCGCAGTGGCTGCTGCATGCGCTGCAGCAGTAGATGCCGTAGCTATCCAGCCTCGTCAGTACAAGACGCTTGTCGACTCGGTATGCGATCTATGATACATGCTCTTTTCTCCACTAATTCGCACAATAGCAATCTCTGCGTAACGCTCTTCACATTGACAACTTGTACGCAAGAGCAGAGAAGCTCCAAGAGATTGCATACAGTACCCCCGGCAAGAATCGCGTCATTGGCAGCCAGGGCCACGAAGACACCGTCGAATACATCAAAGGGGAACTTGAAGCGTTCTCAGACTATTACGACGTATTTACCCAAGATGTGCCACTCTCCATTGGGTACAATGCCACCCTCAGCGCCAACAACAAGACTATCGAGGCTTTCGCTGTGACGCTTGCTCCAGGCGGTAATGTGACTGGCCCGCTTGTTGCTATCCCCAGTCTTGGATGTAATGAGGTAAGATAAACTACTGCATCTTCATGAGCAACATTAACATTGCCTAGGAGGACTTCCCTGAAACCCTCGAGGGCTCCCTCGCTTTGATCCAGCGTGGTAACTGCTCATACGGTGAGAAGGTGCAACTCGCAGCTGCTAAAGGTGCTCTCGGCGTCGTGGCATGGAATAACGCTGAGGGTACCCTTGAAGGGTATTCGTTGCAAGTCTTGTACCCTGGGGGCGATTTCGTTCCTGTTGCTGGCATCACCCTTGGCCAAGGAGAGTCCCTTCTCGCCCAACTTGAAGCTGGTGTAGACATCACCGTGGATATGTGGACAAACGCTACCGTCTACAACACTCGCAACGTTATTGCTGAGACTAAGGCTGGTGACCACGACAATGTCATCCATGTTAGCGGTCACTCCGACTCAGTTACAGCCGGTCCAGGTATCAACGACAACGGCTCGGGTTCTATGTCCATTCTGGAGATTGCTCTCCAGCTTACCAACTACACTGTTAACAACGCTGTGCGATTCAGTTGGTGGACTGCGGAAGAGGCCGGTCTGCTAGGCGCCGAATACTACGTGCATGAGCTGCCTCAAGACGAGAGGGACAAGATTCGTCTCATGCTTGACTTTGATATGATGGCATCTCCTAACTTTGCCTATCAGATCTACGACGGCGATGGTTCGGCTTACAACCTCAGCGGACCTACTGGATCCGCCGAGGCTGAGCACGAGTTTGCTGCGTACTTTGACAGCATCGGTCTCAACCACACTGAGATTGAATTCGATGGTCGTTCGGATTATGGTCCCTTCCTTGAAGCTGGCATCGCAGCTGGTGGTATCGCAGGTGGAGCTGAAGGCATCAAGACTGAAGAAGAAGCCGAAATGTTTGGTGGCGGTGCTGGCGTACCCTACGATGTGAACTACCACGAGGACGGTGATACAGTCAACAACCTGAACCTGGATGCTTGGATTGAGTTCACCAAGGCTATTGCGCACATGACGGCTACGTACGCTGTTTCGTGGGATAGTATCCCTCCAAGAAACGCGACGGCTGCGCAAAAGAGGTCTGAACGTTACACACAGTGGAAGCAGGAGTTCCGCCAGACAAAGAGGTATCAAAGATGGGTGTAGAAAGTCAGCACTTTCAACAGGAGATTATTACGTAGTATGAATTTAGATGTGAATTGAACAAAGTTCTCAGTCGAAGCCCAATACATTCTATCTCGCCAGCCAGCGCTGCGATATGGTTACTACGCATTTTGACATTACATCTCTATTCGTCGTCATCATCATCATCATCGTCGACCACAGGTACGGGATCAGCCTTGCCTGTCGTCTTGACTTTCCGATCTTTCTCTGCGCCAGCTGGTTTCTTGGCTTTGGGATTGGCGTCCTCATCGTCATCGTCATCTTCCTCAGGCACCGCGGCATCGTCATCCTCATCGTCGCTTACATCATCTTCTTCCTCCTCGTCTTCGTCATCCTCATCGTCTTTGGGCTTGGTGCGCTTGGTCTTCTTCTTGGGTGCTGCGGGCATGTCAGGTGAAATGAGATACAAGGATGTTGAGGGATGGAAATGACTTACGGGGCTCTTCGGCGTCAGAGTCGTCGGAATTGAAGTTTGAGCCTTCAGATTCGGCGTATCTATGAGGCGGAATGTTAATCTTGTTTCATAGATGAGGACACTTATTGGCCTGCGATCACAAGCATTCACATTGTGACCAACGTGGGCATCGAAGGGGAACGCCAAATTGGGGCTATCCGGAGCGTTGTTGCGGAGCGCGATCATGTCAATTGTTCCGGTCACTCAGCAAGCTCGCAACGTCGCTTCAATGTATGCAAAACTTGGGTAGAGCTTGGAAGCGGGACCAAAGGCATGAATTCGCTCAAATGATAAAGAGCGGTTCAATGCCAGCAAGAAAGGTGCATGCGACGGGAAGTACAGAGCCATGACGTCAAGGAAGTGCTCACTTACTCTTCTTCCTCATCACTCTCGTCACTTGGGAGGGCGACAAGCTCCTCCTCTTCGTTCTTCCTCTTTCTTGTAGACATGGTATTGTTCTAGGGCAAATTGGCAAAAGTTGGTAGGTCAAAGTAGTGTTTTGGGGTAGAGCGAGAGCTGGAAGCTATGGAGAAGCTTGCGAGCGGGGGCCCAGAGACGGGGGCCCGGATGAAATAAACACAACCTACGCAAGCCCTATCAAGGAGGCTGGGAAACCAGGGCTTTTGCTCAATGGCTTAGTTCGGGCTGTTCGGGTGTGTTCTGGTTAGCCAATCATTGGCCATGTGGTCATCACCCGCATTGGAGCCCCGGGATGAGGGCACACAAGCGTTGCGCTGCTATTGCTTTGCTGCAGGTACCGCGCAAGGAGGTATCGGTTGACTTTGACGATTTGTCAGGAGTGCTCAAAGGTTACATGTCGATGGCATCCTGCTAGATTGGCCTACATCTGAAAGCTGTGTACCTAAACATGCCCGAGTATGTGGACACGCTGGCGATGCAGTGCAATCGAAGAAATGGTATGCAGGCGCAGAAGAACGTCATGTCGGTTCGCTTCCATGGTGAAGCTGCACTGCGATGCACACGAAACCGTCCCTACGACCGAGAGCCCGATGTGTACATGTGTAACTAGAGTGAAAGTCGCCGTGTTGGCTGGGTGTTCGCAGCTCAAGGTGCAGAGCTCAAGGCCGCAACAGGGAAAGCGCACCCCACTTGGCGCCAGTCATGGCTAGTGCTGCCCCTCCCGCGGTACTGCCTCTTATTCGTACTGGCTCGACTCTATTTCTTACCCTCAATAGTTTCTTGTCCGAGTCGACTCAACACTCGTTTGCACCCACGCCACATATCCGAGTACGCGCAAAATGTCGGCACCCCAGGTCGCGAGGGCGCCGGTCCAGCGGCTTCGGGGCCTCAACGATTCCTATCACTATCAGTCAAAAGCAACGCAACGAAGACAGGCGCCTCAGGTCGCTGCGCCCCAAGCCGCCAAACGCACATACACTTGCTGTTCCGACCCCCAAATCGACACTTCAGACAATGAAGTCATGTGCTACAACTGCGGTCATGTCCACAACGAAAGCAACATCGTCTCCGAGGTTACTTTTGGCGAAACTTCGGGCGGAGCAGCCATTGTCGAGGGTGGCTTCATCCACGCCAACCAACGACATGCAAACTCCATGGGCGGGACTATGCGAGGCTTGGGCGGCATGGAGAGCAGGGAACAGGCTGCGATGAGTGGCAAAAATTCTATTCAAGCTCTCGGCGCATCTCTCAATCAGCGCGAGGCCGTCATAGAGCAAGCCTTCATGTGGTACAAGCTCGCCATGAACCATAGATTCATTCAAGGCCGCCGCATGAGGAACGTCGCTGCTGTCTCCATCTACATGGCTGCGCGGAGACAACCCGAGAATACGCTTATGCTTATCGACTTGGCTGAGAAGATTCAAACAAACGTCTGGGCTTTGGGAGATACGTACAAACAATTTCTGGAGATGCTAAAAGAGGAGGACCCAGCACAGCTTGTGGGCACCAAGGCCGTCCAGGAGATCGAGCCTTTGATGCTAAAGTACTGCCGAAAACTGGAGTTTGGGGATGACTCTCACAGAGTTGCCGACGACGCTTGTAAGGTCCTCAAGCGAATGAATCGAGATTGGATGGTACAAGGTCGTCAGCCGGCTGGGCTTTGCGGTGCTTGTATCATCATAGCCGCCCGTATGAACAACTTCCGTCGAACCATTCGAGAGGTCGTCTACGTAGTCAAGGTCGCCGATTCTACCATCACATCCCGTTTATACGAATACAAGAGAACACAGAGCGCGGCTCTGACGGTCAATCAGTTCCGAGAGTTTGGACCCCGCCTCAAGGTTAAGGCTCAGCCTCCTGCCATCTGGAGGCGCGCAGAGAAGGAAGAGCGCAAGGAAAAAAAGAAGCAACGGGCCCGTGAAGGAAGTGATGTTGCACACCCACAGAACGAGTCGGCTGGTAGCGAAGTTGAACCAGGCGAGGATACAGCATCAAAACGCGCAAGCAAGAGGCGCAAGTCGAATGATGGTTCGTCTCAGCCGGCCGGAACACAAACTGAAACCCTTGGCACACAGGACAGCGATCCGTCCGCTGAAATAGAAGCGTTCGATGGTAATGGCGAGGCGGTCGTGGAGTCGGTTGCTTCTGCAGTCGAAGAACTTGAGGCTGGTGAGACCACCGATCCAGACTTTGTCATGCCCAAGAAGCGTGGTCGACCACCAAAGAAACGGGTACCCGTCGTCATCGACGAAGAAGATCTTGAAATTGAGCAGGATCTGGAGGATGAAGTCACAAACACCATCAAGGATTGGGAGGGCATCTTCAAGGAGATCGCCAACAGCGAAGACCACGAGCTTCTTAGGCGCTCTGGCTGGACAGCAGCAGAGATGGCCCGCGTTGCTGCTGACACCCGCGATGTCGTCCCTGTGAGTTTGGATCCTGAAGTCGGCGAAGACGAATTCAATGATGACCCAGACGTTGCGACCTGCATACTTGCCCCGGAAGAAGTCCGCCGCAAGGAGGCTATCTGGATCACGGAAAACGAAGATTGGCTGCGCGCCCAACAGACGAAGATGTTGGAAGCCGAACTTGAAGCCGCGGAAGACAAGCCTAAGAAACCCAAGCAGAAGCGCAAACACCACCAAATGGGTGACGGTAATGTTCTTGAAGGCCAGCCGGCAACTAGTGCAGCGGATGCTGCTCACAAGATGCTTAAGAAGCGCGCCAAAGCTTTCAGTAATCACATCAACTACGATCGGCTCAAGGAGCTATTCCCTGGTGGCCATACTTCAGCGAGTCCACCTGGTAGTGGACAGGGTGCCAGTCCGTCTTCCAACGCACCAGGTGCTGTACAGCAGGCTACAAACGTTGATGCGGAGGGTGAGGAAGAAGAAGAGGAGGAGGAGGAGGAGATGCAAGAGGCAGAAGAGGAAGAAGATTTGGAACACAACTACCTGGAAGACGACGATGAAGGATTTGGTAATGAAAGCTACGACTACTAGAAGTGAACGACAGTGTATTGTGGGCAGTTTCGGTTCAAATATACCAAAAGATTGGCGATTTAGGTTGAGCTTCATTGGCGAAAAGGTCTACTGGAAATCATGGCGATCATGCACGGCGTACTTGAGCTTTTGGTTTTCGCAGCCATATTGGCTAGGCAGTTAGAAGGGGAGCATTTTTGGGATTCAGGCTTTGCATGTATATTTACCCCCGCTTGCATAACATAGCATCGTAGTAACGGAGTTTAGCCTTCTCCCAATGGTACCTATATCTCTCATCTGTCGCTCATACATAGTTGGGAATCTTGGCTCATGAATCACGTCTCATAGTCAAGGACAGCAATATTGGTTGTAGGGGAGGAATTCCCAATGATAGATTGGTCCCTGCTTCGTAACTCATTCACACATGCTCATGCTACCCTAAATTTTTGGTATGCGAAACCCTTGCCCAAACGCCGATTAAGTCTATCATGTAAGACACAGGCGTCTCATTGCCCGAACGGTAGTGGCGCCGTCCCAAATCTCACTGTACACGCAAGACACCGACTAGCACATCTTGTACTGGGCCTCGCCAGACGCTTGTCTGTGCATATCGCTCGACTCGAGCTTGTATGAGATGTTAATGTCTAAATCGCGATGGTTCTTCTCGTTGGGCTTGTTCTCTAGAATGCCGCTAATGGTTTCGCCCTCCTCAACTGTGAGCACATCCTTGAGGTAAAAGACTGTCTGCTTCCAGTGAGTGTACTTTGTGTGGGGGCCGGTGGAGAAGCGGATGGGCTTGTGGCAGGCGGCGAACTCAATGTCGAACCAGGCGATGACGGCGTGGACAAAGTCGCTACGGCGCACCTTGAGCTCGTACGGTAACCGGAAAGCTAGGTCGGCGACAGTGCAAGTGTAGAGGTCAAGGGTGATGACGGGCGAGGGGTCGGTGACGACGGCCTTGATATCGACGGTGTCGACGAGGGGCTCAGTGATGGCGGTTGCCTTGAGGGGAGAGTAGTCGAAGCCCCAGACGTTGTCCCAGACTGCTTGAGTCAGCAAGGTTTTAGGAGGGTCGGAGCGGTGCATTGCTTACATCCAATCTTCTCCTCCTTGTAATCGCCATCCTCGATACCAGCCATGAAGATGGTGGCCTTGTCGGGGAAGATTAAGCCGTCCTTGACAAGGTACTTGTCGCGTGCGTACAGAACCGTGTCCAACATGGATTCGTAGAGCAAGAAGTAGCCCATCCACTCGGATATTATAATGTCGACCTTGTCAAAAGGTAGTACGACCTCCTCCATCTTGCCCTGGAGCAGGGTGATCTTGTCCGACATGCCGTTGACCTCGACAATCTCCTTGGCCTTGTCGATGATGGTCGACATGTCCACACCAATGACATGCTTTGCGCCCGCCTTTACGGCGAACCTAGACCATTGTATCAGCGCATGCTCGCGTGCTATAGGGTAGGGTGCGCAAACATGCTGAGAATGGATGTACCGCATCCAACGTCAAGGACGACCTTGTCCTTGAAAAGGTGGGGGTTCTGGTAGATGGCATCGCGGTAGCTCTTGGTTCGCACCTCATCTTTCTAAACGCGCACCGTTAGCCATGTGTCGCAATCGCTGCGAGGAGCAGCCTGAGAGGGCAGGGTGGGGCCGTCGTACCAGCATTTCCTCGTGGATGCCTTGACACGCGCATTAGTATCAGTCATATCATCGGAGCGACTCGGTACGGACCATGGTGGTTGTAACTGCAGGCAACAATGTTAGCCAAACTCTGCGTGTATCTGGACCCTCGAAATATGCCTACCTGTTGAAGTAATGCGCCTCAGAGTGCGCCATGCCCGTGAGGGGATCCTTCTTTCCGGCTTCTTGTTGGTTCGCCATGTTGGTAGTCGGGTAGGAAAAGGAGGTGGATTGTGACTAAACAAAAGTGAGGGAACAGAAACTGGCGCAGTTGCGGTCAAAAGTTAGGATAGGGAAATTTTGGTTTTGGTAGTACCAAGCACAGACTCAACACCAGGGTCTCAATCTCGGAAAGCGGGGCATCTGAGACTTTGGAAGCTAGGCTCAAAGAGGCATGACACCACGACGATTTCGTTTTTCACTGCTGATCCCACGCCTCGCAAAACAACGTTTCTGAAACCATTATACTAAGTGCAATAGATACAGTGGAGCTACTTGTAGAATTAAGAGATACGTGGCAATTTGTGAGATCCAATTAGAGAAAGCACTGAGAGGGGTATATCGTGCCAGAAAGCAGAAACCGCCCTCGTCGTCACGTCGTGTGTTTTCGTTTAGGTCATGTCGTTAGTCGTGAATGAGTTTTGTTCGTAACGTCGTCATGTATCAGCGAGTGTCGGACAGGTCTGTCAAGGGAAGAGTGCTGCGCTGGCTTTATCCCAAAGCCGATCAGACTCGGATGCTGTGGAAACTGTCTCTGAAGTGCTTCGCATCTAGCCAACATGTCAGTTTCGACCGGTATAAGCACCATGAAAGTGGCGTACCTTCTGATGAAGTAAAGGTCAACCGGTATTTGCCCGTAGAGCCTTTGGGTAACCTATAGCCATCACTGAAAACATACGGATGCAGCTTCTCAAACTGGATTGTATCGGGACCAACGCGCTTCATCCAGTCGCTACGTCCAACATATTGCGTAACGAATGCAGTCCAGATAGGGATCGTGTTTAGCGGCCCACGGCGAGCAGTAGCCTCGAATCGTACGCAGCCAGAGTCTGTGTCATAGTAGATGCGGAAGGCATGGAGATACCTGTTATCAGTCGTCTCACTGAACAGCGTCAGCATGAGATAGGAAGTCACGACTGCCCACTTACCCAGAGAACACAATCTTCTCCCCGGGCACGAAAACATCTTCCAGTCCCTCTGCAATACCGGTTTGATCTTGACGCTTCATAGCAATGGCGGTGCAGTAAAACAACACCATGCCTAAGAAAATGTCAGAATATTTTGCATCCTCAGTTCAAGTCTACTCACGCTCATATAAAGGGAAGCGCAATCTAGCCCATAGGTCAAGTCGACCATCTTCACGGTTGACCCGGCAGAGCCGCAAGGATGATCCTGCACGTCGGAGTGCCAACGCGGTGATTGGGATCTGGTGTCTCAGGCGATGTCCGTCGGGATCCATAGTGAGGAAGAGTATTCGTGCGCGGTTGTCATCAGCTCTCCAGTATATCCTTACCCAGACATTTGTTGCTTCGAATGGTAATTCCAAGACCTTCTCAAAACCATCGCTATCTAGCATCTCAATCACTCGGGGCTCGTCTCGTCCAAAGCACTTGGTGCGCTCTGCAGGGCTTTGGAAAGGAGTGGAACCGTGGCGACCATCGAATATCTTCATTGCCCAGTGAGCGACCGGCTCAGAGTCTGTCGACTGATTTGAATAAGCCTGTGATGATGCAGACGAATATGTGGGCGACTGAGGGATCTCTGGAACCGGTGGTGGGACGAACGGTATGTCTCCTATGCCTCCCCACGTGGGTGCAATATGAGATCGATGGGGTAGTGGTAGCTGCGGTGCTTGATATGCGTACTGAGGCGCCGGATACGTAGGGTGTTGGTGTATCTTCGGTCTGGGTACTTTGGGAGAAGGCGGCTGCGGCGTCCTAGCAACGCCCTTCCCATTGCCGTGTACTGAAAGTCTACTGAAGTAGGATTCGACCGGCATTGGCTTTCGCTTCTTGAGTAATCTTGATAGTAGAACTTTGAATTTAGCCAATTCTGCCTCATCCTCCTCCCTGGAGCCAGTTAGCCATTCTGTTATAGTGCCTTGCTACTAGTACCTACCCTTTCAAAGCATCATGCATACCCTGTAGATACGTTCTAAAGGTCTCGAATCTTTTGGGGAGGGACATGCCCTGTGAGGTGAAATCCGCAAGCGCATCCTCCCAGATAATTGCGTATGGTGGTGTGCCCGGAAAAGCACCTGGCGCAGCGTGTCTGCTCTTCTTGGATCTATTAAAGATGTCTTGCACGTCTTCAAGCGTATAGCCCAAGCTCGGAAGGCAAACCTCTAGATCCTTCAGGATGTGGCCTGCGTACCTGCCATAGCGGGACAATTCCAATGCATCGTGCAATTCATGTAGAGCGTGCGATATGGCGAAAAGTTCAGCAATGTGGCTTCTGATGTCCTTGCGATATTGCGGAATTTCTCCTTCGAACGAGAGAAGGCCTGCTGCGGTCTCTTCAGCTTCCTTGGCGTAGTCGAGAAGTCGCCAGTCCATGATGGAGTGCGTGCCAGGGTAGATAGCCGAAACGAAAGATTAGTAGCAACGCATGCTTTAGACGCCTGAAAATCAGCGAGAAAGGGACAAGAAGTCGCTCAAGCGATGGTGCTACGAGTTGAGCGTCTGGGGTAGACCTTTGGTGGCATGCGCGCCTGAGGAGGGTCGGCTCTTGACGTGTTTATGCAGCAGCTCGCCGGTGAGAAAGCCAATGACCTATGCCGACAAAATCCCTTACCAAGCCTGCATGTAGCCCGCAGTCCTCGCTTCCTCTTTCACACAACTTTTCTGTTCAACCAGTTTGGCCCCCAATTTTAGGGACTGGAATTCCATAGTGCCGGCTTTCTGTACGCAATTGTGCTGCGATGCTGGGGTAACATGCCATTCTGGACAGCCGGAGGCGCCACTCCGGCACAACGGCTGCAGCGCTGCGCTGTCAGGAGAAGAAGATCCTTTCCATCATACCGATTCGCGTGACGATGAATATCGAAGTGTCCAGTTCATCCGACTTAATGACATCGTTCGTCTGCATGTCGGCTACTGGCGCTGCGGAACGGTTTTCTGCCTAACTTGCTCCACTATGGCATGGACTAGTCCTGCAATGTAAGCAATAGTCGATCAACAGTCGATAGAGATGTCGAAGCTGTGGTTACGTGAAGATGTGCGGCTTGACAGCTGTCAACTGATTGACAGACACAAAGACACCACGCGCGAGCTAGGTATCAACGGCCGGACGTGAATCACAATCTCTCAAGTTTTTGCCATTTGAAGTGACATGCGCAGAATGACCGCGAGTGTTTCAAGATAAATATTGGATGGTCATCTCAATATATACGTGCTGGAAAAGGAGCAAAGCTGCGCCTCACTTTGTCCAAGCCACCACAATGGGGCTGCAAGTCACCCCCATAAGCCCCTTTCAAGGCAACCATGTGTACAGTCGAAGCCCATTGATTTGTTTTGGTTGGCTACTAGTGTGGAACCATGACTTCTACGGCATTGACGGCCAATCTATCGACTTGGCAGTCGCATATTGTCCAACAAGCGTGTCTACGACTTCCCAAGAGCCTTCAGTCTCTCGTCGACTAATTTTGAAACCATCTTCTCCAGTATCGCAAATTCGCCGTTTGACGATCCCTCAAAGTATCCAGCCACGCTCTTCTCCACGTATTTGCCAACCTGGTCCACCTCGACGTTGACGTCGTCGCCTGGTTTCTTGCCAGCCGTGACTACTTTTTCCTGCGTATAGGCAATCAACATGACCTCCCACCAACCCTCAGGCCCGTCTTGCACCTTGGTTACAGTCAAGCTAGCTCCGTCTATGGTAACATAGCCCTTCTCAACAATGTATCGTAGCACCGAAGTATCGCGAGGTTTGAAGCGGAAAGTCAGGGCGTTGCCGTCGGGCGTGACGGACTCGATGGTGGCGATGGTGTCGACATGACCCTGAACGAAGTGGCCGCCCATGCGTGTGTCTGCAGAGACAGCGCGCTCCAGGTTGACTTTGGAGCCCTCTTGCAGCGACCCCAAGTTTGTGCGCCGGAGTGTTTCGGGAGCGCATCCAATCTTGAATGATGACTTGGTGAACTCGGTGACGGTGAGACAGGTTCCTAGCCGAATCAGACCATGAATTCCATCAGACTAGTGCGAGCATACCATTGACGCTGATACTGTCACCCAAATGGGCGTCACCCAGTATGTCTTCACATCCGGAAATGGTCAATGATGTCCCGCCGCCTCCCGAGGCCGTCTGGTCGAGCTTCTCAAGGGCGGCAACAGCTAGCCACTATCAGCCGAGCCGAACGCAAAGGACAATGCATCGTTGCTTACTGCCAATGGTTTCAACGAGACCAGTAAACATGGTGGGGTGTGGGTAATTGGAGAAAGAAAGTTGGTGGGGTTCTGCAGCTAACGATGTGCCTCGGAACTGGCTAGCTCATCTTCGGGAACACCTAGCTATGCCGTGGAAACATTTCCGTCACCAGGCACATGTCGTGACTGTACCTTCCTTCAACCTAAAATGACAAACATGTTATTTAGACGCTCAAGCTGTGCTTTCCAGACAAGCCTGTCGGCTTTGCGGTCCAATCGAACACGACCTGGCCATGTTCGACAACTAGCGACTGCGGCATCGAGTGCAGATGCGTCTAATCTACCACTTGCCGGCATCAAAGTCCTTGACATGACAAGAGTGCTCGCTGGAGTAAGTCGTAGCTTATCAAATGACGACAAATCCCTCTAATATTCAGCAGCCGTATTGCACGCAAATACTAGGTGATCTTGGGTATGCGACGGATGACCCTGTACGGACCAACAGCCGAGGTTGGCATTCTGCAAGATTCCTAGATTGACAATGTGATAGAGCGGACGTGATCAAAATTGAACATCCAACAAGGGGAGGTAAGCGGAAGCATACATCATGATACTTTTTCCAAACTGATTGCTATGCCTAGATGACACACGAGCATGGGGGCCGCCCTACGCCAAGTACACCGATGAGCAACAAGGGCCGGGAGAGAGTGCATACTACCTGGGCGTCAGTGCAATCATGAATCTCTGGGTTTTTGAACTCACCAAGAATAGGTCAATCGCAACAAGCGGTCGATAGGTCTGTCCTTCCAGCATCCAGCTGGTGTAGACATTCTACATCGTCTGGTCAAGGAATGTGACGTGCTCGTTGAGAACTACCTCCCGGGATCTCTGGCAAAGTACGCCATGGACTATGACACCGTCTCAAAGATCAATCCGGGTATCATCTACGCCAGCATCACAGGTTACGGACAGACTGGACCGTACAGAAACAGAGCAGGCTACGATGTCATGGTTGAAGCGTACATTTTTCCGACCCTATGTTTCTTTAGCGCAACTGATGCTAACACTTCTCAGCGAAATGGGTCTAATGCATATAACTGGAGCTCGTGATGGGCCACCTGTGAAAGTAGGCGTAGCAGTAACCGATCTCACAACCGGTCTCTACACCTCCAACTCCATCATCGCTGCTCTCTTCCGGCGCCTGAGAAACCCAAGCAGCAAGGGCCAACATATCGACGTCGCCTTGTCAGATTGCCAAGTTGCCACACTAGCAAATATCGCCAGCTCTTGCCTGATTAGTGGGAAGCGCGACACTGGGCGCTGGGGGACCTCACACCCGTCGATCGTACCGTATAAAGCCTTCAAGACGTCTGACGGGGACATCTTGCTGGGAGGAGGTAACGATAGACTGTATGGTGTGCTATGTAACAAACTGGGAAAGCCTGAATGGATTATTGATGATAGATTCAAGACGAACGCGTTGAGGGTTCAACACAGGGATGAATTGGAGGAACTTATTGAAAGAGAGACGAGAAAGAAGAGTACACAGGAGTTGCTAGACTTGCTAGAGGGAAGCGGAATGCGTAAGTACCATCAACTTTATGCCCAATTGTTCTTGACTAACGAATATAGCATACGCTGCTATCAACGACGTACAGGATACAATGAACCACGAACACGGTATGTCTGCAATCTCTGCTCAGTGTAGGTTTCTTTCTATGTATTAATGCTTTGCGCAGTCCTCGCAAGAGACATGGTCAAGCAAGTAGATCACCCAGCATGCGGATCTATCAAACTAGTCAACACGCCCGTGAAATGGTCTGATTCGACGCCTGGCATACGTCTTCCTCCACCCACCCTGGGCCAGCATACGGACGAGATACTTGTTGAAACACTGGGTATGAGTCAAGAAGAGGTGGAAGGTCTGCGCAGTGGAGGCGTTGTCGCATAGATGCATTCCTGGTCCTGCAACTCATGTCTTGGGGCTGAGGACGCCATAGTCAATCTCCAATAGGTACATGTAATGATACTTGGGTTGTTTTCTTTTCCAATGGGTGGGCTGATAGCAGACCATGTAGCAGTGAATCTGGTTGCACTCGGCACCCCCGCTCTCTGTCACATGTCACTGCGTCATAGCGTGTCATGGGTGGCGCGTTGGTTGTCCAGGGCAACGGCGTTCTGGCCATGTTGACCGACAGGCGCGCGCACGAGCAGCTCCACATGGATTTGGTGCACCACAGTCGACTGACACTTGGCCTGCATCTCCAAAGACGAAATCAACACAACCAAACATGGAGCCTCCGTCGCGACCCTCGAGTTCGTTGTTCGATGTCTTTCTGCGTCTGCGCCCATCCAACTCTGCGAGTGCGCGCTTCCTCAACGTCGAAGAGAGCGAGAGCAGCCATGCCACGCACATCACCATACAACCGCCTACCCAAGACAAGCGCAAGCGCGCTGTTGAACGATTCGCATTTACACAAGTCTTTGAGGAAGATGCGCGACAGATGGATTTGTTCAAGGGCACTGGTGTGATTCCCATGATTGAGGGCGTCATGGGCACACCAGGCCACCACGGGCGAGATGGACTGCTGGCAACCCTGGGCTGCACTGGATCGGGCAAGGTACATATAAATGGAAAAGAGCAGCCCAAATTTCTTGTGCTGACACGACCACAGAGCCATACCATCCTTGGTACCAAGTCCCAGCGCGGCCTCGTCCAGATGACGCTGGATACTATCTTCCAAGCATGCGACGAGCAGCTTGTACAGTCCTTCTATGGTGCTCCGGCCTTCTCTTCACTGGCAGCAGCAGATGTGTCTGAAGCGCAAATGTTCACAGCAACCGCATACATCGACTCCATGTACGGCGACGAACAGTCCGGACGCTACTCACGAGCGCAGACTCCCATGGCAGTAAGTTGATACAGGAAGCTCTGCATGGCACTTCTCCACAAACAACACCTAACAGACACGACAGGACTGTAGTATATTCTCCACAGGAAGCACGTACAAATCAAATAAGATGCCGCGTCCGTCAACGCTACCATCGTCGCCTTCTGTCGCCGACATCCAGATACCCACAGACCCCGATGCAGAATATGCCATCGTCATGTCCATGTACGAAGTATACAACGACCGCATCTTCGATCTGTTGAGCGGAAACACGGCAAAGAACAAGCAGCCAAACGTAAAACGAAGGGCTTTGCTCTTCAAGAATACTGAGAAAAGTCCAGATCGAAAGGTTGTTGCTGGTCTCACCAAGATCATCTGCGGAAGCTTCGAAGAAGCCATGATGGTACTGGAGACTGGTCTCATGGAGCGCAAAGTCACTGGTACTGGGAGCAATGCTGTGAGCTCGCGAAGCCATGGCTTCTTCCATATCGAGATCAAGAAGAGGGCTGCAGAACCCAAAGGTCCCTGGTCAAGCAGTAACCTCACCATCGTTGACCTGGCAGGATCAGAACGCGCCCGAAATGCCAAAACTGCGGGAGAGACACTTGCCGAAGCTGGCAAGATCAACGAGTCCCTCATGTATTTGGGTCAGTGTATGCAGATGCAGTCCGATAACCAAGGAGGCTCAAAGGTATATGTTTGTATCCATGTCTGTAATTCTTCGACTAACATGCGTCTAGAACATTGTGCCATTCCGTCAATGCAAGCTTACCGAACTGCTTTTCTCAAACTCATTCCCTGCCTCTGCCCGCCAAGCACAATCGCACCGCCAGCCTCAGAAGTCCATCATGGTCGTAACTGCAGACCCCAAAGGCGATTACAACGCCACATCTCAGATCCTTCGCTATTCAGCCCTGGCTCGCGAGGTCACCGTGCCGCGGATGCCGTCTACCTCAGAAACGATCTTCTCTGGTGCGCCACACAAGCGCCCTGGTACAGCTTCGTCAGGCCGCGCGACTCCTTCAGGCCGTACAACTCCTTCGGTCGTCATGGAAGAGCTCGAATATGCCAACGCCGAGATCGCACGCCTCACAGCAGAAATGGAAATCTTCGCCCTTCGCCTCTCCGAAGAGACAGCTCGCCGGAAAGCAGCCGAATCGTCTTGGGCCGCAGTCGAAGACCACATGGTGGACCTTGAACAGGAAATTCGCGACGAATGTTATCTTGAGATGGAAGCAGCCGTCGACCAAGAACGTCGAAGATGGCAAGCTGCCCTGGACAATGAGCAAGACAACCAGCAAGCACACATAGATGCCAAGGTCGACGTCGTCATCCGAGCAACAAAGGCACAGATGAAACAAGATATCAAGGTTTATGAAGACCCAGATCCAGAACTCAGAGACAGGGTCGATGAGCTGGAACGTGAAAACGAGATGCTACGGGCCAAGTTGGAAGCCAAAGAGCGTGAGACGCAGCAAAGATCTGCGAGCCCTGTGAAGAAGATGAGGATTCTTAAGAGTAAGAAGTGGGAAGATCCTGAACGCGCAATGGGCGGATTGAGCATCGATGATGAATGAGCGACGACGTTAACGGCTTCATGATGAGAGCATGCATGGATGGCGTTTACTGCGTTATTAATCTTCTGGTATGGGGGTAATAGGGGTACTTTCAGACCTGTTTCTTGCTTAGCCATGTTTCTCGAGATACCACGCCTTTGTTTAATCGAATCTTGTTTCACTTTGACTACACGATCGTTGGATGATCGTATCGTTGGATTGTATTAGTGTAAGCGTGCTTCAAGAGCGTCAGTCTGGTTCGAATCAAACTTGGGCTTGCCCTATAGCATCGGCAATTAATTGCTCAATGTCATCTTCATCCATGTCCGTCAGTTCTTCACCACTACTCTCTGCTAACACCTCTCCAGCAGTATCCTAGACTGCTTTCTGTCCGTCCATAGCGTCCATGGTACCATCGGCGCCCATGCCCGTCCCGTCTCCCTTCCATCCATGGCTAAACACTTCAAAGTTGTCGTCGACGAGCCAATTCAGGTCTTCGCTCTCTGGGCGTAGTGTTCGTGCGAGTCCGTTACCAGCTTTGGGGTAGTGTGCTGGCGGATCGGTGTCGTAACCATCGTCTTCTTCGTACTGGTTGCCGGCCAGGTCTATGGTCGTGCGCGGCTGGTGGCTGCTTTCACCAAGGAGCTGTGCTTCTGCAGGGTCCATCTCCGAGTGTGAATGCGACGAGAACTGCGGTGTGTGATGTGTTGTTGTGTGGCCGTCTGGGGGCGAGGTCATCTGGGCGAAACTGAAGTTTGGTGGGGGTTGATAATTAGCATAGTGGTGGGTAGCCGAAGGTTGTTGTTGCTGGGGCGTTTCCGACTTGATAGCGGAGAAGTTTGTCATGAGATTCTTTATGTTGGGGGGAAATATGGGCAGTTCTGGATGTCGAATTGTGGCTGTTAGGAGGAGGCCGACGAGTTGGTTTTGTGGGAGCGTATTAAAGTATGCGCGTTTCTGCTAGTATTAGCCTGTATCTGGCCTACGCTATGGCATAAACGTACCTCATCTATAGTCAAGTCCTCGGCCGCGATCAGATTCTGTGCGCCTTCCACGACTGTCTGCTTGGCCCGTATGCATGGTCCGCATAGCCACTCTTTCTCAAGCACAGTGACAACCTCGTTGTCGATTGGCGGATTGTGGCAGTATTGGTGATATGCGGTACTACACGCATCACAGAAGACTATCCGGTTGTTGGACGGATCCGTCTCTCGATGACAGGTCTTGCACTTTGCGGCAAGTAGGGTCTTGGTCGACTTCCTCCGCTTAACGCCTTGAGCTGGCTCCGGAATGACGGGTACGAATGCGACGGGCTTGTTTATACTTCGGCCGGACTTGGTTCGTGTGGGTAGTGGAGTGTACGAGTCGGGGACATCGGAGTCGTCGTTGTCGTTCTACACCACGTTAGTATGCCGTCTCAAAGCACACGACAATGACTAACGTCGCTCTCCTCGTCGCTCTCGGAACGTTTCCGCTTGCCGCCTCTGCCCCCGCGTCCGCCACGCCCTCCACGACCCCGTCCGCGCCCTCTGCCAGATGCACGACCAAATGAAGGGCCCGAAGGTGATGCGCCAACTTCCGTCTTCAGTCCACTTGGTGTGCTGACTCTCCCCCCTCTTCCTCTACGCCCAGTACTCGCAGCCGGCGGAGGCGTTGGTAGTTTGTCGCTAGTAACATAACTCTGCAAGATCTCTGCTCGCTTCGCCTCGAAGGCAGCACTTCCGGCGGCATGGCCATTCTTTCCTTGGAGGCGTTCAAGAATCGCAGCGGTGGATGCCGAATACTGGGCAAAGTTTGGACCTCCGGCAGCGCCGCTATTTGTGGGAAAGGTAGACATTTGCGACGACCATGTAGGTCGCATGGGCGTTGTCGATTGCGCTTCTGCATGTGGATGCGGAGGAGCGGACATAGTGGCTGCGCCGCCGATCGCAATTGGCGTGCCATTGCCAGCGCTCAGTTGACTGTTTGGCGGAGTTGGCGCATCCATCCTGCTCTAGCAAGCCCCGCGACTGGGACTGGGTAGCTAAGAATGATGCGATTGTGCTCGTTGAGCAGACGGATAGCCCGTTGCTGCATGACAATCACTTGGAGAGAAGCCGCGATTCTGGCCCAAGCTTCACGCTAACGAGTAAGACGACGTCGCGTTGCATCACCGGTCCGCCTCGCTTCTACTCTATAGTCTTCACCTCCAGCATCCCAATCTATATAATTAAAATCAAGGGAGACAAAGACGCATGTCGGCAGAGTGGAAAATCACGCATGTCGCCAAGACCGCATGTTGTCAGAAAATTGTATGAATAATCATTTGAGCTGCTCAAGTGCTATGTACTAGAGCGAGTGTTTGTTCATCGCTGGTAAACATCAAAGTTGTGAGCGTTGATCAACTCCATGCCCTCCTTCCTGTACGTATCCGGCTCCGCATAGCTCGTCACATTGGCGTCGAACACAAAGTCCATCGGATTAGCGTTATCGTATCGAGGCCACATGGGCTCTGTTCCATTGAAATCGTACGTCTCCCTCCACGAGTTGGGATCGAGATCATGGATAAAACTGACCCAGTTGCTGTTCATGAACCTTGAAAGGTCACGGTAGTTCTCGGTCTTGTTCTCAAATGGAGGAGTAGCAGCGGGCCGATATCCAACACCTTGTAGGTTGAGGAATACGAATGCGACTTCTTGGAAGTGCGTGACACCGACTGCAGCAGGGAGGCCAGCCGGGATCGCATTGAAGCGATAACAGTATGCTGACACATTGGCAGCAGCCCATGTCTGACATGTCAACCTACGATTGGCAATGAAGACTTGGTCGCCAAAGTATGACGCTGAGCGGCGAAACTGCGCTCCAAATGCCGGGCCTAGGGTGAGGTTACCCAAGCTTGCGATAACATTGACGGAAGGATCGTCAGGGTACGCTGCAAGTAGCTGCTCTGTCAGATTGGCAGGAACTCCGCTCGCCATGATGAAGGTACGAAGATCCTCGGTGGAGTTTACAGGCTGAGGGCTGAATGCTGTACCTTCATCCGAGTTGGCACCCGAGATAATTGGAACATGCACAAACTCGCCGGCTTCAAGCTGAAGAGAGGTGCGCTTCTGAATGAAGTCACCATCCAGGCAAGGCATGAAGTTCGTTATGTTGAAGGTCGGAGTTGTGGTGTTGAGAGCAGTGTTTAGCTGCTCAGCAGGCAACTGACGTAGACATTCGAGTGGACTGGTAGTATTTGCACAGTTGGTTCGGCGAGTGAGCTCGCTATACATGTCGGCATAGCCTACTGCTGGGTCCGGAAGAGGCCCGAAGTTGATGGGGTTGCCACTCTGCATAATAGCACCACGGAAGAGCTTGTCGTCACGTCCACTGTAGGCTGTCAAGTGGAATCCAACGGATGCTCCACCAGCGCTCTCGCCATATATAGTCACTTGTTTGGGGTCGCCTGTTCCATGTCAACTCATGCACTTCGGACTTCGTCTTGAGCAGACATACCTCCAAAGGCTTCGATATTCTCCTGTACCCACTGCAGCGCCAAACGCTGATCTCTCAGGCCCAAATTCAGGTTTCCGGTATCCCTGACTTCTTCACTTCCACTCAGGAAGCCCCAGGCAGATAGTCGGTAGTTGATGGTCACACCAATGATGGGCTTTCCAATCTTTTGAGCATTCTCCACGGTAAAAGAGAGGTTATAGCGCTGATCGACACCTCCTCCTTGGAAGAAGCCACCTCCGTGTATCCAGAATGCGACTGGAAGTTTTTCATCCTCACTGCATCCTGCCGGACGAATAACATTCAGGTACAGACAATCTTCCGAGACCTAGAAATGGGCAACGGGTCAGTTTAAGCCGAATTCTCGGTTAGTTTGACACCTACCGGATAGTTCCATTGATCAGAGCCATATCCGTAGCACTGTGATATTTGTCAGCCCAAGCTCCTTACCATAGATCAAAACATATACCTCAGTAGAGTACTGCGTAGCCGACTTCGTCTCGTCCCAGGTGGTGTTGAGGCCAACAGGATTTCTGAAGCGAAGACTGCCCACGGGCGGTTGAGCATACGGTATACCCAAGAAAAGGTCCTGATCATATTCGGCAGAGTGTATGCCGACATACGTTCCATTCTTCGTCTGAGCGGTTGGCACAGCAGCGTCGGAGACTGCTAGGCCGAAGAACAGCGCGGTCGCTAGAGCTGCGTTGCGCAACATGACAGGCGATTGCGATGACTGGTGTGATCAACCCGGAGCATCGCTGAGGTTAGCCATGCTTTATACTGACAAGCTTTAGCTCGCTGTTGCTAAGTAGCCTCGTGACGGGGACATAGTCTGTGTCGTACTGCGCGACTAGACATCTGCCGCTCCGTCTCGAATCCGGGGTATGACGGTATAAGCTCCAATAGTGAATATTCCCCGAACCGAGGATCAAGTATTGCGGGGATCATGACATCGTGACGCTGGTTGTTTTTCTCGCGAGGTGGAGCGATCCGGGGTTGCCATTGGACAGGCTCAGCCCGATGTTTGCCCGTGGGCCCCCAGATGTCTCCTAGCGTGGTTATCATAACGATACTGTGGGGTACAGAACATGGCAAATCCCAACGGCATTTCCAAGTCTGGAACTCAAATCTACCCCCGACGGTGGAATAGCATGTTCCTGTTGTCATTCTGGTTATCGTCTCTTGTTCACACTGTTACTTGGGTACTTGCTCGTCAGAGACACCGTAGCTGAATACATAGTCTTTACTGCTGAGACGCGTGTGTCTGGCGAGAAGAGTACGAAAGGCTTCGGCAATTCCATCGGAGACACTACGGTATTCAGCCACCGGGAAACAACTCCCACTTCATGAGGCTCTTTCAAGGTTCGTACCGATTCAGCCTTCTTTTCTATTGCCAAGATACTTACTCGGTAGCATTGGCAATTGTGCTCTCTATCCCTGTTCAACTAGCCTTCCCTGTATCTTAATCTTCCTCTCTACTTCTCGGTGCAAAAGTCTTGTTGCCGCTTGTCCCCACCTGGTAAGCAGCGCTCACTCCAGCTTGACGCCGTTCAGATGTGATGGCATTTTAGCGGATCCGGCAGCTAGTCTTGGATGAGGCAGAAAACCAACAGCTAGAGCGTCCACAACGTTAGGCGGTATACCAAGGGTTCCGATAGCCTAATCTCTCTAGCGTAGAGCCATGACTGCTACCACTACTGCCCCACGAACACCTGTTTGTTGTCAAACACTGTTGGGGAACGGTAAGTTTCCTTGAGCAAATCGCACAGCGCAAGTCCCCAAACACTTTGCGGCGGACTGCATGTACTCGAGATATGAATGTCTTATGAAAGAATACTGATTGAACTAAGTGGTATCATCTAAAATATGCTATTATCCGCACAAGTGAACGGTCCGTTTAAGGTGCTATCAGGATCGTTGTAGATGTCGATGAGCGCCTTCAGAGATGTGTATAATCCTCCCACCATCAGAAAGATGGTCATCAGCATGATGCCGTAGTTGACAACAGCCAGGGCCTTCTTCTGCGGTGAACTCCATTGCGTCTTCCAGTTCAGATGCAGCCAAAAGATGCTCGTGAGTCCAAACGTAAACCATGAGATAAAGATGGCGGACGAGATATTGAGAATCGACGAGAAGATTGGAATCGCGTTGGAGATGACGAAGGATACGATCCAGAACAGGGCGCCGAGGCCGATCCACAGAGTCCAGGTGAACGTGTTGTGGACGTTTACCTGCTCAGGCTTTGCAGCTCGCATAATAGTAATGTACTACGTTGACGTTAACTTATGGTTTCCTCTACAGGACTAAATAGTTCTTACCATAAACTTGATGGCTGTAATGCCAATAATCAGACCAGTTCCCAGCACCGAGGGGATAAGAATGCCGTAAGCAATCTTGGCAGTCAATTCGGGAGCCGAGCCGAGCGCGGGCGATGTGACTGCATTGCCTGCAAGGCCATAGATGACACAGGCGACTACGATGTAGATGACCACTTCGAAAGATTTCTGCATAAAGAGCGCAGGAGGGAAGTCCTTGGATGGGTCTCTCATCTCAGCCATGACACTGATGAAACTCTGGTTTCCAGCGAAAGCGAAAGCCACGTTCAGCAGAGCGTTTACTGCCTCGACGAAAGTCGGCTTCCCAACTAAATCTATCGAAACCTCGAATCCGGGTGGGGCGTTTGGTCCAGCAACACCAAGCGCAATCATAACGATTAGAACCGCAGCTACAATAGAGATCGTGCATACCCAGCTAGCGGCGGCGGCGAAAGAGAGCTTTCGTGGGATGCAGAGTAGCCAACAGAGGATGTGAGGAAACGCCAGGAAAGCCACCGTGCAGAGAGCATGGCGCGACAGCGTGTTGAGAGCCACCGATAGAGTAATGTTGGCGGAAGCGCAGATGAGAACAAGGTTGAAAACAAAGGCAATTCCGAGAAAGGTTTCGAATGGCTTGCCTCCGACGTATAATGCGCAGTCGACCAAGTTCGTAACCATGGGGTATTTTCGATAGAATTGGAGAAGGATGTATCCGCAGTAAGTTGTCAAGATACCAAATCCAAGGATTGCGATGATTCCGGGTATCAGGCCGAGCGTCTTCAAAGCGGAGGGCAAACTGAGGATACCAATTCCGACTTCGATCGTGATCAGGATGACGCACGCTCGCCATCGACCCAACGTACGGTAATTCTCTCCTGGAGTGTTTGGGTATTCTGTCGCCCCAGCGAATCCATCACCTGTCCATCCAGTGGTGATGTCGGTGTTGTGTCCGTATGCCTGCTCCATATCGTCCTTCTCTGATGCGGTTGTGTGAGAAGCAACATCGTCGTTCGAGGGCGCTTTGTGCTCTTTCTTAAGGAAGGCTTTCAGACCCATGGTTGAGATTTGGCCGTAACAACGGGTTATGGGGTCTGAAATGATACTAGATGAAAGGTAACTTGGCAGCGAGAAGCGGCGAAGCTGGGTCTTTTGAACCTGCGCGCCTCCTGTATCGGACCTCTGGGTCATCATCCTAGGACGTAATGTGTGCTAGTGGCCGAACAGACCCTGGGAGATCGCCTCCCGGTGACTACTGCACACGTCGACTTGAATTCTGGCTAACATAGTGCACATCCTAGGGATCCACTGTCAAGCTTGCAACAGCGGAGTAAAGTTTGTGGGGGAAAGAGTACGATAAGGCTACATGCGGCATAGGCTTTTGAAAACATCGTCGCTACATAATGTCAATGCAGAAGGGGTCTTGGAGTTTGATGAGGAGTGTGGGTCATCGTGAGTAATAGTGTGCGCTGAGATGTGACCGTGTCGTCCGATGCTCCACATATCACGTAAAAGTCTTCGAGAAATTCTTCGCGCCGGGATTGGCCGCTTGGCAACGTGCTTGAACCAGCCGAAGTGCGGTGCCAGAGCCGGTGGGACGTATGAACAGGTTGTAACACATGTTTGTCAGCATATATGTAGAGGTCTGAGTGATGCAGTCGACAAAGCGATGCCATGTCAGCGGGATGGAGGTGGGACCAGGGCGGGCGCTAGCGACGCTAAGACGGTACCCTCTACAGGGCTGAGGCAGCATAAGTCGACAATCAGAACCTGAGCACGCGACAGAAGCCGTATCACCCGCATCGCGTGCTACTATAGATATATGAAGATTTTTAAGTAACAGGAGTAGTGGACGACGGATTTGAAGGTACAACGAATTCGGTAGATGCCACTTGCTTGTCAAGACCTGTTATGTGACCCTAAAACTTGCTCACCTCTCCGTCTTGTTCGTGTGATAGAGGCATTGCTGGGGTTTGGATTATGGAGATCGGAGTTTGCTGTGTATTTAGCCATGCTTAGGACAGCTGCCGATAGTTACTTCACTCTGCGTGTTTTTCCATGGATTTCTAGATCCAGTGAAGACGTGGATCCGTATGGCAGTGGTTCAGGAAGCTATTGGCTGTTTACATGTGACAGGCAGATGGCGTATCTAGGTGTGTAGCACTGGACCTGAAGTGATGGTGTTGCAAAAAGGTACAGCCGCCTTCTGGTTGGCCATATGCAGAGCGATGCAGGGCAACGGCTAGCTTCCTTGGCCGCCTATACGTTAGGGCGTCTTACCCGAATTCGATGATTGGTCTTTGTGCACCATATGCTAGATGCAGATATGAAAATCATCTAAGGCTGAAAGCGATTATCCAAGAGGTGTTGCTCCAAGAGGTGTTGCACCAAAAGAGGAGAGAAAAACATGATAACGATGACGTCGCTCCGTCTGGTTTACGCTTGATGTCACCAAAACGCAGGAGAACCGCGGAAACGGCTAAGAGCGCCAAGTCACTAGCGCATCGCTATCGCCACCGCTATGTGGGTCACAACTAGATGTAACAAGGTTCCCCGACGTGCTCCACGGTATCTTCGCGGGAAAATCAGCGGGTGTGTCTGTATTGAGTAGTCAGTGAGGTATCGAGTTGCGAGTGGAAAGGCGTTGTGCTGCATCGCCATGCAGAATGTTCATTGTAGATTGCATGCAGGGTAATGTGCTCGCCAAGTCTGTCTAGTGCGCCTGCCGATCGTCCCGTCCTAGTGGCTGGCTTCCGTTGGTTGGACGGGCACCGACCAGAACTTTCCTCCTCCGTTCTCCTCTCTGCATTCTTTGTACAGCACACCGCTATCACACAACTTCTGTTTCTAGCCACCGCGCCCTCATTTGTTTGCTTCTAGGTCTTTTTAGGTCAAACGCAGGGAAAGCTCTACTCACACAGCAAGCCACCTCCGAGCTAAAGGACAACTGCGTGTTGGCGAAGCCGTAAGAACCAAACCAGGTTGCAGAATGTCATTTCTTACCAAGAATCGAAGAACAAGTCTCCCCCAAGATGCCCCCGAAATCCGCGAAGATCAATTTCCCGCTGCTCAGCTCGGTCTCCTAGGTATGACTTTCTACGTCACTGACACTAGTTGTCACTAGCCTGAGCCTCGCACTGACAGTACATTCCAGCACTGGTTCGAGTCGCAGAACCAATTGCTCTCACCTCGATACTTCCATACGCATGGAAACTCGTCACCAACTTCCAGGTTGGCTCCGAAGCGAATGCACCGTTCTTCGCCGGTCTGCTCATCTCCGCCTTTTCGCTCGCTGAAGCATGCTCGGGCATGTACTGGGGCTCAGTCTCCGATCGCATAGGTAGAAAACCCGTTGTTATACTTGGGTGTCTAGGAACAATGTCTTCTTTGCTACTTGTTGGCTTAGCTCCTAATTTCTGGGTCGCCCTTCTGGGTCGGATCATCGGCGGTGCGCTTAATGGTAACATCGGCGTTATCCAGACCATGGTGGGAGAGTTGGTCAAACGACCCGAACATGAACGTAAGTTCCAACGCCTGCTTCTGTTAGATATTACTAATTAGCAAATAGCAAAGGCGTATGCAGTCATGCCGTTTGTATGGAGCATTGGTACTATCATAGGCCGTAAGATCTCACCAATCCATCGTCCCCTAGTCACCTATACTGACTGCTCTAGCATCGATCGGCGGATATTTTGCTGAGCCCGCTCGAAACTTTCCATCTGTCTTCAGCCCCACTGGTTTTTTTGCCAAGTTCCCTTATTTACTTCCAAACATTATCTGTGCCTCTCTACTCCTACTCTCTATCTTGATGGCATATTTCCTTCTAGAGGAGACTCACCCAGACAAGCAGCCTCGAGGCTATTTCGAACAATACGACCCAGGCGTTGCAGAGACGCCGCTTCTCCCAGCCCAGGGTGCGACAGCTGATGCAGCCGCAAACTTGACAGCAGATTCTTACGGCACTTTCAACGCCGTAGAGGTTGAACACGACGAAATCTGGCGTGTGCGCTCTAACGGAGATTGGGTAGAATCGCCAACAGATGAGAAGGTCTTCACACGTCCAGTCATCTTATTCGTCGTAGCACTGGGGATCTTCACATACCATTCCGTAAGTCCAATAGATATCCCGACATGAACAACCGGCTGATGTGAATTTAGATGACATACGATCACCTCCTTCCCATCTTCCTCCAGGACAAACGCGCTGACAGTGACATGAACGCACTGGACATCTCGCCTTCTTCTTTGGGCGGTGGTCTTGGTATCCCTATTCAGAACGTGGGCATCATCCTTTCTCTTAACGGCATCATTCAGCTCGCGATCCAGGGCTTCGTCTTCCCTCTATTGGCGGATTGCTTTGGTGTATGGCGCCTGCTCCTCGTGGTTACGCTCGCACATCCGATTGCATACTTTATTGTTCCCTTCCTGCAGCTTCTACCCGAAAACTTGCTCTACCCCGGTCTATTCGCTTGCCTGACCGTGCGAAATCTGACATCGATCCTGGCCTTCCCACTTCTCCTGATCATGATCAAAGAAGCTACGCCCGACAGGTCGCATCTCGGAAGAATCAACGGACTAGCAGCGTCGACAGGTGCTGCCTGCCGTACAGTGGCGAGCCCTATTGCTGGCTTACTCTACGGTCTATCTATTGAGCTACACTTCACACCCTTGGCCTGGTGGGGTTCTGCCCTGGTCGCAATCTGCGGAGCTCTCCAGGTGCCATTCCTGAATCGCGCCGCGCACGAGTGTCACGCTCGTGTTCGTAACGTAGCTAGCGACTATCTTACCAAGGAACGTCGTCGGAGTGAAGTAGTGCACATTGTGGTCGAAGACGAATAGTTATGGAGGCAGCAACCTTCCGGACATAGCGCGTAGACGCGCAACTATAGATTGGAGTATTATGTTCTCGCCCACCCGTTTTTGGGCATAAATTAGTCCTACAAAACGCGATTCATCTTCGAGGCGTTTTGGGGGCAACGGCAACGATACCAGAATTGTGTGGATATCAGTGCTGTGCATTGGGGGTTTGGCGTTCACTGCGTTTACATCGGTATAGATCACGGCAGAAATTTGCAAATGTCTACGTTCCATGAATATAGCAAGATGACAGGTTCCTTCTTGCATAACTTTCCCGTGGCTGTCATCGTCGGATGCGTTACTAAAGGGACCGGGGTAGTCGTAGCATAATGTCAGTATTTCATGCGGAGTTCAATTCTCGAAACGACTAGGTTGTCATGGACTTAGGGAGTACAAGAATAGCAACGTGTCAGGGCTCTCCGAAGGGACAATCCGACAATGTACCGAAGCAGCGAGGTACAATCTGAACTACCTTCGGTTGAGTTCTCTGTACTGTGTTTCTTGATGATAATCTGAAAGCTTTGAGGATGATCTATGAGCCAACGTCTTGCAGTTGTGTACAAGATCTCCTCTCATGTCGCGTCCTCTTACAATGTGGCTTGTGGTAAATTGCAGCCTTGAGATGCCGTCATTCTTGTTCAGGAACTACTGTCCTGCGTCAGTGTTCCGAACGCTGACACCGCCACTTCCGCGTTCACGACACCTTTGTGGCCTGTTCCACATGCTGCAAGGTACCCGTGCGCCATGTCTCCAAAGCTTGCCAGTCCACCCCTGCACCATATGCGATATTCTGAGAGCTATGCAACCTCCATCTGGCAATCAGATTACCTTCCGAAGGACGTTCAATATTGATTTGCAGATGGATAGTGAGTGGTGCGCGGGTGATGAATCGCGCATGCCCCTCCATGCCTCGGTCTTTCTCGCCCGAACTTCAGTAAGAACAACGCTGCCAGTACTCCGAGCTTGATCAGCTGGCAGCTCTATCGTGGCTTTCAACGCTCTTCTTCATGCTACCGTCCTTCTAATATCGCAAACAAGCCTTCGAGACGCGGGCTCTCGATGGACCTAGGATCCATGTCGCGCGAAGCTTGATGTTCCTCACGCTGGTTGGCTACTGTAAGGGCGCAATGGCGGAACAGCCGTGAAACACGCTCGTGCATGTTCCTTCAGAACGACAGCTTCACGACTAAAGTTAGTGGCGGGATTGGCTCGAACGGGAGATACAGATGACGGAGAATAGCTTGGCTAGGCAATACGGATCTAGACGGATGCAGGGCAAGGGACTGGCGGGCCAGACACACGAAGAAAGCAAATATGGAACCCTCCAGATGCCCGCATATATCGATCCCTTAGTGTCTCCGCGGTACCGCTACTGAAGTTGATCCGGGAGGCGACAAAGCATAGATGTGACGACTCGTCGACAGTTTGCGGCTCTGCGTTCGTTCGAGAATGTGGACATCGGGCCTCACCCAGTCATAAGAGCATTGAACAATATACTTGACGCAGCTGGCTTGCCGATGTACAACCTCTTCACGTCATTGGCTCGTACCTGCATGACAGTCTACTCAAGCCTGCTATTTAGGGCGTTTCGGAAGCGCCCCTGTTGCCCTCGCTTACAACATGCTCACGCCAAAGCCGTTCGACTAGGCTCCACAACCTCTTCCCAGGCCATCTTGTAACCGACGACACTATTGCCATGTGGACCTGCAGAGCGCGCGACAAAGACGGACATGGAGGCCCCTTGGGCGACTCGTTCTGATCGTGGCTGAGCAGACGAGTCGGAGGCTGTCGGCGGACCAATCCTTTGGAAATGTTTCGAGCTGGCTTGTTTCGAACGAGCGTGGTGGTAGAAGTATATCTTCCTCCATTGTCCTTTCTCCTAGTGTTTCTACACACTCTATCTTCTTAATTACAGCATTGCATTTGCTGCTACTTTCGCTTACCAAGGCGAACAAAGTCACACTCTTTCGACTTTGCCGTCTTGTCAGACCGTCATTCGTTCAAGGTCCAACTACAATATACTTTATCTTTATTGCAACTTTTGAATTTGAACTCGACCTCTATATTTCACCATGAAGTCCACATACGCTCTTTTGGTCACTGGCCTCGCAGCCCAGCAGACCGCAGCACACTGGAACTTTTTCGACAACTACGGCACACCCAACTACAGCAAGAACGTTTGCGACGACAAGCAGAAGGGTGGCTTCGACTGGTCGGATCTTACAGATGGTCAGTCTGTCGGCAACTATGGTGATTTTGACTTCTCTGGAGGATGGAAGTGCTCCAACTCCTTCGGAAAGCGGGACTCCATGAGCAAGCGGACGTTTGGAAACAAGTGCATCAAGAACACCGTTCGCAAGGACAAGCCTGCCACATTCGGCTGTGCCCAGCGTGGTTTCTCGATCACACACATGGATGTTTCATCCGAGTTCGACGCTGAAATTGAACTCCATTACAAGATGGAAGACGGATCTCTCTGCAAGCAACACACCAGCTGCTCGGCGGGTGGATCGACGTTGCAGAACACACAGTGCGGTGGCGCCAAATCCGTCGAGGTCTACCTTGGCTCACACTACAAGGGCGAAAAGGAGTCTTGCGAAATTGGTTTCCACAACATTGGTTTTGACTGCAATGCTGAGAAACCATACACTACTCCCTCTCCACCTGAGGTTCCCTCTACCTCAAGCGAAGTTGTATCTTCCACCATCGTTGAGTCATCCACTGCTCCAGCTTCCAGCGTTATCTCCTCCGCTGTCGAGACCCCTGCTTCCTCTGCGGTCGAGACTCCTGCATCGTCTTCTGCCGTTGAGACACCCGCAACCTCTGTCAACGAGTGCGGACAGTATGGCGAGGCATGTAACACACCTGTTGAGACACCTCTCTCTTCCACTGCTCCTTTTGCCAACAGCTCTATGCCCGCCTACACTCCTCCAGCCTCTTCAGCCGTCGAGATTGAGTCTTCCTCTGTCGTCGAGGTCTCCAGCACCCCTGTATCGATCTCTTCCATTAGCACTGCTACTCCTCAACCGGAGTCTTCCACCGCTGAGGTACCACCTACATCTCAGAGCTCCGTTGCTGCTGGTTGCGGTTACGGAGAATCTTGCGAGCAGTCTTCAATCGTCGCATCCTCAACGGCCGCGTCGTCAGCTGTTGTTTCATCTGCTATTGTCACTTCTGCTGTCCCTAGCTCTGGAACTGCCCTCCCTGCTACCAGCTCCGCCGCTCCTCAGCCTTCCAGCCCTAGTTACCCTCCTGTCGACATCACGGACTCGGTTCCCAAGTGCATGAACTCGTGGCTCCAGATCTCGGCCCCAGATTGCAAGGACAACACCGATTCCAACTGCTACTGTGTCAAGCCTGAATTCACCAAGAACGTCATTGACTGTATCTCAGCTCGCTGTGGTAGCGACGACGAAATCAGCAAGGCCCTTCAATACTTCATCGGCATCTGCGCTGAACACGTTCCTAAGAACCCCAGCATCGTCGATGACTGCCCTTCGTACATTCCCTTGAACCCTACTCCTGCCGCTCCATCTGGTGGTGCTTCCACTGGTGTTGCTAGCAGCAGTGAGGTTCCAGAGGCCGCTGAGAGCAGCTCCATGGCTGCCCCTCCCGCTGGTGGCGAGAGCTCTGCTGTTCCCTCTGCTCCTGCTCAGGACACATCCAGTGCATACGGCCCTGGTTACCCTGGTGAGACACCTGCTGTTCCTACCCAAGGTACTACGACCGTCCCTGCCGGTGAAACTCCTGCGATTACCACTGTCGTCTCCTCTGCAACCATGACTCAGGTTGTTGGCACCACCACTCCTGCCCCTGAGACTCCTGCTGCAGAGACTCCATGCACCACCATCACCTTCGGTACCACAACACTTACCGTCCCACAAGTTCACTTCACCACCCAGACCAACTCTGCCGGCGCCAATCCAACTGAGCCTGTTGCCCTTGTGCCTGGCACTGCTGAGCCTGCTCAGACCCCAGCTGCCACCACATCCGCTGCTGGTGGTGCTCCTTACCCCATCCCCTCCACCATGGGCACTGCCACTGTTCCTATGGGTACTGCTACCGGTACTGGAGCCATCCGCCCTTCTTCGCCAGCTGAGTTCACTGGCGCTGCCTCGCCTTTCACCGTGGTGCCCAAGGGTGCTCTATTCGGTGCTGTTCTTGCCTTCCTCGCCTTTTAGATGCTATACATTGTAATATGGTGTAGCTTTATCTCTTTTGTTTCGCTGTTTGTATCGAGCTACTGGTACCTTAAATGATGCACAATTCGTATCCGAGGACTCGAATCTGTAATGCAAGCGTTTCCTCTGAGCCACAGAGTATATAGAAAAGTATACCACGAGTGATTTACATACTTTGACACGATTCTTGAGTACCGTTATGATTGAGTCCATGTTGCTCGGAGTTGACGGCAACAAGACACTGCATGGGTTCGCATGTGAATAAGATGGGGCAGAGGGCTGTGCCGAGGTCCGCTACGCGGATCATAGGCGCAGCATTCAGGGATCATCGTCATATGGCTAGCTTCCCCAGACTCTCTAATGACAACAACATCCCCTCAAACTATGGTCCTGACACATACAACCGAAGACGCCCAGTATGTCGTCGTCTGGCGCATCGCAGCCCACGCCGCCCAGTAAAGCACAGAGCGTCGATCCAATATTGCGCAATGCGCTCCGCTACACCATCTCGGCCAAGGAGTATCAGTTGCTGCACCAGTACCTCCTTTCGCGCGCACCCGTCGTGAAGAAGCGCACTATACATCCTAAACGATACGACGCGATTGTCAAGGGTCCGGATGACTACAATGTAGCCGCATTCCGCGCTGCACTGCGGTTGGGCGTTGTGACCTTCTCGGGGCTGAAGGCATGGGAAGTGATTAGCACGAGGCTCCTTTCGCGGGGGACAGCGAAGAGGAGTCAACCTAGGACATCAGTCCTCAAGTCACCCAACGTGCGCCTCAGCAGCTCCCTCGCCCTCATACTCCTATTCCACCGCCTCCTACGTCGCTTCTTTCTGCGCATCCGTGAAAGCCTACTCAGCCACGAAGGCAAGTCGTTCCGGCGACGAAACCCGCGCATATCCCGTTCCTTGACGTCGAGGTTGGCACCGGCCATTGGATCCAGCTTGGCGGGCTTCTTCCTCGCAGTGTACCCCGGGGATCAACTGCGCGTAACAATTGCGATATACATAATGACAAGAGCTCTGGAGTTTGGCTACAATTACTCGGAGGAACTAGGATACTTCAAGAACAAACCAACCTGGCTTGGTTCCTGGATGATAATGCCAGTGGCATGTGGTCAATTACTGCACGCATTCGTCTTCGACCGTGACTGTTTCCCTTCTGGCATGGGCAATCACATACTGAAGAACTCACCAGAGTACATACAGAAACGACCCAAAGACTACCCAAGCACGGCGCAGTGGCCAGGCACGTTTGATATTGTGGACAACCTAGCCGACATATCGCGGCAACGCTGGCCAGCTTTCGTATCACCCATCCTCTTCCCCAATGCAGAAACGCTACCAAAACGCCTGTCGTCCATCTCTCCCATAACCTCTCCTGCACATCCAGCCATCAAGTCCTTGTCGTGCGCCTTGCTCCACCCACAAGATCCTTCCTGTCTGCGAACCTACGTCCAGTACTGGATCCAAGCCTTTCCCAAAATCGCCCGTTTTTTTACTCTCTTCTTCGCGGCTATGAGCATCACAAAGTACAAAGCTTTCCTCTCCTTTCCCATCGCCTCGTTAAACAATCTCGCCAAACGCGTACTGCGCATGTCGCTCTTCCTCTCTGGTGCTATAGGAACGAGTTGGGGCTCTATTTGCCTCTTCCAGAACATTCTGCCCCGGACTTTCCTCTCCACCCAACGATGGTTCCTAGGTGGTTTCCTCGGTGGCCTATGGGCTTTCTTGGAGAGGAAAGGTGGGCGGAGTAATTTCTTATATACAGCCAGAATGTCGATTGATTCACTATGGAAAGTGGGTGTCAAGAGGAGATGGTGGAAGGGCGTGAAGAATGGAGACGTACTGCTTTTCGTTGTTAGTTTGGCAACTGTCAATGCTTTGTATGAGGTGTCGCCACGGGCGGTTAACAGTGGTGTTGCCAGGAAGGGATTAGGTGTGTTGAGGGGTGAGGGCTGGGTTGATAGAGCAGTAGTGCCGACTGAAGGTAAGGGCGAAGAAGGTGCTGACCAGGAGTAATGATATCCAACTGTTTGTGTACGAACACTCTGAATACTGAACATGGTGATGGTGCATTTTGAATCTCAAGGTATATATGTAACGTGCTGAATTGGCATACAAGTAATGACTGTCATAACAAATTCGCTCCAAAAGGACTGAACAATCTTGGGTGGGGTATAACAAGGCTTTTGAAGCCAGACAAACACGCTGAGTCGCTTCTTCCATCTCCTGCCATTACATCTACCGCCTACTTTTCCTCCTCGTAGTAGAATCACATGTTACATCAAGCCATCTTCATACTCTCGGCGCTCTCGGCCAGCTCTGCCCTTTCACCACCATAACTCTTCGGTACACCCTTACCCAGCTCGGCGGCAAGCTGATTTCCATAGCTCAGCACCACAAACTTCTTGCTCGTCTCTTTGGCCACAACCAACTTCATTGCGTTGAACAGCCAACCCATGACCACGGGTACGTTGACGAAGAACTTCCTGCTCAAGGTCTCGGGGTAATGGCGTCCTAGTATCTCAATGGTCTTATTGGTTGCCGTCTTGACAAGGGGGTCGCGGCGCAAGAAAGAGACTTGAAGGTAGTCGTGGATTTGAAATCCTTGGTATGGGTCTGGGCCTTCTCCGAAATTGGGAATGGGCGTCGTAGCAGCGGGGAGGTTGAGTGCTTGGACGGACTTTTCCATAAGGCCCACACGCCAGCGGAGGAAGCTGTAAGGCTTCTGTTAGAATGGCACCACTTATGGCATTAGGAGAAGAAAGAACATACCCAACTAGATCACCAAACGTAGCCTTGTTGTCCTTGACAGCTCCATAGATGTTGAAAGTAACGATATCCTTCTTGCTGGGACTCTCCGGCACGCCCTCGACCTCCAGCACGTATCCTAGCCCATCGAACTTGCTCTTATCGAATGTCTCTCCTGCCGCCTTGGTCGGATCGAACTCCTTTCTCCACTTCAGCGTATCCAGTAGCTGTGACTTCGCTTTCTCCAGATCGTTTTGGTTGGCTCGGAGGAACTTTTGTAGTATGAGCTTGGTATGGAAGGGTTTCGATTTGCTGAGCTCTATGCCATAGACTTCTCCATGCTGGGCTTCGGTAACGAGGGCTTCGAAAGCATCGTAGAACTTGGTGAGTGGGTGATCGGGCGCCGTCTCTGGCCAGAAGGGTCCCTGAGTGGGCGCTACGGTGTCGGCTTCGGGTTCTTTCCGTTCCACAGGTTTGGCTTCGCTGTGTGCGGTTTCGGGCGCCACGGCATTGGCTTGGGGAGTGACGTCTGCTTCCTTGATCTCTCCTTTCTTTTCGTCGACAGAGAGATCGGCTACTGCCGCGGTGGCGTTGTCGATAGCCTCCCCTCCATCGTTCTTGTCGTTGGACCCAGCCACAAGATCAGGCTCCGGCTGTTTCTCCAGACCTGCTCCACTAAAGAGACCGGCCCCCTCTGTAGGTGCCGTACTCGCGTCCTCGGGCTTCGCTGCCATCTTTCTTTACTTCGCAAAGGGGCGTGTGCTAGTCGGGCTGCCAACGTTGTGTTTGGAGAATTGTTTCAGGAATGTGGAGGCCGATCTCTAAACTCCGGAACCGCGATGCGCGTCCTCACGTGTCTTAAATCGATATGCGATTGTACATCAACTGTACACACCGCTCCAAATTTATGGCCAGTATAACTCAATTGTTTCTATGTACGGAATCTGCTCGACAGGGGAGCTGCCTGAAGTTCGCCCCATGTTCGTAAAAAAAAAAAGGTCTTTGCCTACAACAAAGCGTGCACATGATGTTTAGCTAGGACAAATTCCTCCGTAGAAGCCTAATCTAAGTATGCATTTACCACGATCAAGAGTATTTAAATAGATTCTGCCCATATGCAGTGTGTACTAGGGGTTCCATGTTCACTGTCAATGTACTTTGCGAACAGTCAAGGTTCAGTAGTAGTAATAGTTTAGACATTTTCATTATACATAAGAAACTACATAATCGCGCTGTACTTCCCGACAGACACCTCTATTGAATTCGCTTCGTCTCCTGCTGTACACACCTTACTCAATTCCATCGGCGTGTGACAACGGTTGAGGAGGAAGGAAGAATGAGTAGTGGCGATGCACGATACGAGCGTCATCTGCGACTGACAGTCAGCATATAATGTCCGTCGTTGATTTGAACAAATAACACAGTTGAAGAGAGCAATCAGTCGAAAGATGAAAAGTCTCGAATGTTTTTTCAATCAGTGAGGCGAGCCCCGTCTGAGTTAGCATGAATTGGTGTTCATCATAGCATGGAAAAGAAGAAAAAAACGTGGGTAATGTACCTTTCCACTGCACAGCTGATAGCTGAAAGATGTGTTATTTTAATACTATATTTACCTAGAGCAATGTCAGTAACAATTCAGACAGAAGACGTTTCGACTAGAGCTCGGGTATGGGAAGAGATTCAGGTAATCGAACTAGTTTATTCCCCACGGAGTGGTCGGTATTTGATAATACATTTGTTGCTCATCATCTAAGGATAGGTACTGGGGTGCGAGGGATGTGGTCTAACCTTTTGAATCATATTACAGCCCACGAAGCCTTTGCCGTCTGGACAAGGCTATGACGAGGTCTGCCATCGCTTGTAACCAACGACCATAGAGGATGTGCGACAGGCGTAACGCTTCGTGGGGCTACGGACCGACATGAGCGGTGGCGCTTTGCAATGCGCATCATAGTCGCGAGGTCATACTCGGACAGACAACTGCGAGACCCTTTATAGTTTGTTAGCGTTGGTCCCAGCAGAAGTTGCAGTAACAAATTGGTAGATGTTGCGAACGATCAGTATTCTCGTTTGGCTTGAGTGGTCGGATCACCATAGAATGTATGATAGGGGCGACACAAGTGTTCATCATGATAACAACAGTAAACAGAGAGAGGGAGGGTATGATGACTTACGAATAGTTGGGCGCGTTGTTGGAGTGAGAAGGGAAGCAGCGAGCGCAACTTTTGTATGGGAACTTTTCGCGGCGGTGTTTCGTTTCGCCGAGCGGGTCATGGTCCAAGCTTTCATCCATGCGGCTCTCTTGCTCATGGACGCGCTCCACCGTTGTTCCTCGGTCGGCACCTACGCGCTTCCTTTCTACATCAACCCACCACGACGAAACTCCATTTGCACCCTCACCCAACATGGTCGCCTCAACATCGGCATCGTTTGAGAACTTTGTCAAGCAGACAAGGGAGAAGAAGAAGAACGAAGCCCTCGCGCAGCAGTTCCTAGGCGGAGCCAACCGAGGACGGAAAGCGAACGCATCAGGCGCTGGTGGACGGTCGCGCGTCGAGTCCGAGAAGCCCTCGTTGCTCAGCCGGATAAACGGGGGTGCCGGCGTCCAAAAGCGATCATCGAGCGCAAAACCAGCGGGCAGCATCGAGGGGAAATGGCAGCATGATCTGCATAAGCTGAACAATCCCCGCGGCGCAGCCAACAACAGGAATACCCTCGCTCGGACGGCTTCAGCATCGCAGGTTGAGCGCAACAGTAGGACGTACGGCAAATTTGCTCCCGCTATCGGTCAAGGTGCAGCAGGCTTCAGCATTCGAGGTGTTGCGACTGGAGGCCCGTGTACCGTCATCGCGAGCAACTTTGCACCTGGAACCACAGCCGCGGATATCGAAGCCGTCATGAGCCCAATTGGCGGAGAGACGCTGGGCTGCAGACTCTTGTCTTCCAACCCGACCGTCATGGTTGAACTACAGTTTGCAAGCAGAGACGGGGCCGAGAATGTTATTGCAACATTCAACAACCAGAAGGTCAGTCGTCTGGCGTGCAAATTGCTGGGCTGGGCTAATCAGAACAACAGGCTGATGGAAGACTACTCTACGTCTACATGAAGGATGTTCCTGCGAGCACCCACGTAGCGCAACCCCGAGCACCGCCCGCTCGCCTGACACAATCCATGGATGACATGGACGTTGATACCAACGCGGGCGCACAAGCCGGTAGCTACCAAGATGGCCGATTCGGCTTCAGCGACGCTGGTCGCAGGGAACCACCGCGCGGCCCCCGCCGACGATACTAGAGCTTAAGCATCAGCGCACATCTTCTTCGATTTCCCCTGTACGATACCCTTTCACCAATGATAGCGATGAACAGACTCCACTCGGCGGGGGCTCTAAATCAATGACATGCAGATGAGCCGTGTAGTATTGTTTTTGTTTCGGAGACATAAGCAGGGAGTTAGGTTACAGAGACATCGTATGCTCTAACGACTTCCTCGCAAAGGATCTGGTATCTAGAATACATCTTTAATTATCGACGCATATCATCTCTCTCCTTGCCATATTCCTGTCTGTTTTCGCCTCGGGAGAACTACTTGCTGGACCAACCTGCAATAGCAGCATCGATCTCGTTCCTGTACCTTTGTTGTCCTTCACACAGCTCCAGGAACACCTTGTACTTAGCGTCCAACAACTTCTTGACTGTCTTGTCGGCTAGTGGCTTCACAGTTTTTCCAGGCTTGCTCAGTCTGTCCATAATGTCCCAAAGCGGTTCACTGTTTCCGTCCTTGTCGGTGCTCGCTGCCTTTGCACCCAGCATAGCCGCGCCGTGCACCACAGCTGCATGTACATAGCGTGGAATCAGAACGGGCATGTCGCATGCGGTGGCCATGAGTTGCATGAGTAGGCTGTTCTGGCACTGAGAACCAGACATGAAGATTGAGGAAATAACGTGGCCGGAGGCATTCATCGCAGAGACAATCTGGTGTGTCTGCAGAGCGATAAACTCCATGGTTGCGTAGTAGTATAGTGCCAGACTGTCGAGACTCTTGTCGGAGCTCAGACCAATTACAGAGCCCTTCATGTTAGGGTCGGCGATGGGCGAGCGATTACCGAAGAGATCACCGTAGAAGAAGAAGTGGCGGCCAAGCCAGGCGATGTGTGGGGCATTTTCTTTGTCTGCCATCTCGAGGAGGTGTTCGTTGAGGTAGTCGTAGATATTGGTGTTGTATGTTTCTGCGACAGACACGGCTTCGTTGAAAGCTGGATGTGTCTCGATTACATGTTTGAGCAATTCACCCGTTGCACTCTGTCCTCCTTCTGCCATCCAGTAGTCTGGTAGTAGGACGTCTCGGTATGGACCCCAGACACCGTCGACGAAGACCGGGTTACGGGACATGGCAAGGTGACAGGTCGATGTTCCGGCAACGGCTGCGAGGCGCGTGAAAGCTTGTGAGACGTCATTCTTGGGTTGATCCATGTCGAGAGTATCTTCGTCGAGCTTGACTTTGGCACCAACCGTGCCAATCCAGCCAGCGTAGGCATCGATAACTCCACTGCCGACTGCGATACCAGGCTGTAGGCCCATCTCCTGTGCAGCCTTCTCGCTGAGTGTACCGACAAGTTCACCAGCAGTGAGGTAGCGTCCGTTCTACATGCATGTTAGCTGGTACCGTCAGGTGCTAGTAGCGAAGGACAAACCACTTTATCAACACCTCCCATGCGTTTGAAGTTGTCTTCGCATAGGTCTTCAAGTCCAATCTCTTTGAGGAAGTCTTCCTGCCAGCCCTTTACACTCCCATCGACTCCGACCGGTACAAAGCCCTGCTTACAGACTACACTGCAGTAGCTTCTGCTTTCACTGCCAGTAGCCAAATGTGTAAGAGCATCAGTCAGATCATAGAACTTGCAGCGATCGAATAGTTCCTTTGGCATGTTGTTCTTCAGCCACAGCACCTTTGGAATCTCCATCTCGATAGACATCTTGCCTCCAACGTAGCGGAGCAGATTATGCCCGGTAGCGTTGATCTTGTTGGTTTCCTCCACAGGCCGATGGTCGAGCCACAGGATGACATTGCGGTCGTTGCCATCTTTGTTATCGAAATTGGGTCCGGTGACCGCAACAGGCTCATCAGTGTCATCTCTGAAGACTGCGAGCGAGCAGGTGGCGTCGAAGCCGATACCGCGGATAGTACTCTGGTCGATATTGTGCTGATCCATTGCTCGGCGGACTGAAGAGCAAATGCACCGCCAGATGTCTGTTGTGGATTGTTCCTGTTTCGTTTAGTTTTTGATCACAACAACTGTCACACGTGGATCAAGTACATAGTAGCCAGTCTGTGGTTGCCAGAGGCCAATGTTCTCTGATGCCAGTCCAACGATGTCTCCTTGATCATTCATGATGCAGGCTCTGGCACTACCAGTACCAACATCGATACCGATGTAGTGGTCGACTTGAGGGTGGAGCTCATTGCGGGGGTCCGTCGACAGTTGACGCGACTGCTTGCGCTGGGACTGTCGGAAAGGAATTGCCATTGCTGCAAACGATTATGAAGAAGTGTCAGAAGGGCGATGTGTTAGAATTGAGGAAAGCTAGCAGAAATCTCGAGGACTTGAGAATAATGTTGAGATACAATACAGCTGTCAATGCGGGATGAGCTCATAAGAGCTCTGGGGGAGCTCTAGTACGGTGGGGGTGGGGCAACAACCCCAGCGTTCTGTGCAATCGGACTACTCGTCCTCAGGGTCATCGTCGGCCTGAGTGCCGATCTGCTCACAGACAGACAGAGAAATGTGGGCATCGTGAGCGTCGGGTCCACCTTTTGAGGTATGCCGGATGCTGTTGAGCCAGCGTTGGCTGTCAAGAACGCCACGCAAAGCAAGTTCATGTCTTGGATGCTGGCTAATCATGGTCATCGGTGCGATTTCGGATCAAGCGGAGGTGCAGGATCATTTTACTGTTTACCTCAGGAGATATGGGATGCGGAGGAGGGGTCACTCAAGCGTGGCTCGCTTGAGTGAATGGCCCGTCGGTGATACGATTCGCCGTTGAGTTGAACTAGCTCTAGCTCTCGTAACCAACACGGTTGCGCATACAGATAGCAACCGCACCAGCACGCCAAGATGTTATTGTCAAGGCTTCTTCTACTTCCCTTTGCGGTCGCATCGTCGGTCACACTTTATATCTCCTCTGTCCCAGCCTCAGCCGACAGCGCTGTAATTCCCTCCCCAATCCCGCTCGCGCAAATCGGATACGATGCAGACCAGTCCGTCGGCAGTCTAGCTTCCTTCACACCACCCACAGGCTCCTACTCGCCTGATCATCTTCTTCGCGTCGGCCTTACAGATCCAAAATCCGGCTCATGGCGGGGCATTGTCACATCAGCAGCTAGCTTCTCCGACCGATACCACAAGAAGTTTGTTATCCATGTCGATGACAAGGGGGAACCTTTCCACGTCGGCTTCGGTACGAGCGCGAAAGGTAGCGGAGACGAGGTGGAGGTGGAGATAAAGAAGAGGAATGCTGGGCCAAAACCGGTCCTGAACAAGCCTATCGTGCTCAATGCCGAGGGGAAGCTTGATGGTAAAGAGCCGGAGAAGACGTTCTTGCAAAAGTGCGTAGTGCAACAGTCCTCGCTCTCGGAGGCTATGCTGACCTTCATACAGGTACTGGTGGGCTCTCGCTCTCTTCTTAGTAGTGCAATTGGTTGCAGGTGGTGGAGGCGAGAAATAAGGCAAAGGCGATTTGGACCCTCATTGATTCCCAGTTCAATCCTAAATGCATTTTCATCTCCATTGCCAATTATGATTCCTTTGAGACTGGTGCTACAGGTACGGTATTCTCAATATTTGCAAATCGATTCCATGTAATTGTGAGCAACAAATGTTCTATCGAAGGTAAAGGGCATAAACTATCATATATTCCGTTTCGTTCCTTCGTCTTAACGTCTATGATCTGGTGTAATCATACATTCATCGTAAGCGCTCTTAGGCGAGAGCTGTGCTAGCAGAAGTAGGACGAGATTGGGCAGGTGGGGGAAACACAGTCTTGGGGACTGCGACAGCTGCAGCAGCAGCAGATGTAGCTAGAGAAGACAGTGTTGGGATGGATCCAGTCGAGGTCGCATTGACTGGGGTACGGATAGCAGGGGATGGCGTTGACTTGGGCTGGTGGACGTCCATGGGTAGGATCTCCGTCTTGAGCTCCCTCGTCTTCTTCTGCTTAGGTTCGGGGGCCTTCTCGTTCTCCTGGACATAGAACTTCCGAAGCAGCATGATTGCTTCCTCTCGGAAGATGCCGCCGGTGACTGGATAGGGCTTGTCAACGCTGGGGCTACAGGAGTCAGTACGGACAGTTGATGTGTCTATCTAGAACGAGGGTCACATACTCAGAGTGGATATTCAGCACTCCTCCGGTACCGCCGAACCGCTCGTTCCAGCATCCGAAGTAGACTGCTCGAATGCCGTACTGACGCAGCATGGATGCACACATGACGCATGGCTCGACAGTGACATAGAGGTCCGTCTCGTTGAGGATGCTGATGGGGTGCTTTGACAAGATGCCAGCGATGGCGACGAACTCTGCGTGTCTGGTACCGTTCAGAGTTCGGTTTGTCTCGTTCATGCCTCGTCCAATGACCTCGCCATCTTTGACAAAGACACAGCCAACGGGCGTCTCATCACTCTTCAGTGCAAGTTCAGCCTGTAGCGATGATGAGTCAGCATTGGATCCAAGCACGGTAATGGAGGCTTAGGATAAAGGTGAAATGCTGTAAAGCGAAGGGCGTGATTCACCATAGCGATAGCCTCTCGCATGAAGCCTTCATGATACGCTCTCTCCTCCGGATCCATGGCGTCTGGTACGTGAATCGCTTCGTTGTCTTGGCACTGTTCTGTATGCACCTGAGAAGTATTCGCAGATTTCGAAGTCGGTGTTTGCTGTGCATGTAGATAGTAAAGCGTCAGGCCAAGAGCGGCAGACGCGAGCACGAGAGCCTTCCATGATTCCTTCGCTTGCCAGATTGCAGTCATTCCAAGGTGAGGCAGTTGCGACCATACAGAATGTTCTGAAACAGAAGGTGCAGGTCCGAGTTCTCAGGCGCTGAGTGCCGGCCCAAGACGGTTTCGGCAAGCACTAGCGCCTAGTTTACGTGGACGTGGAAGCCGCGATCCGACCGAGGGCTAAGCTACCAAGAGAAGCACACAGCCATTGCCATCGCAACGCCAGGCATCGACCAACATTCACTCTGTCCAAGCCTATTCACTGCACAGCCACAATCACATTACGCAGCGCAACGTACACCAACGCGGCGCACGATATTTCAACAAAGCATATCAAACCTCGCGTGAGACATCTTCCAAGAGCTCCATTCAGCTTGCGCCAGCAACAAAGCTACCGGAACCGCAACCCAGACATCTGCAACACACCACCTTGCGCATCGCCCAGCACAGCTAGAGTTATTCGACAGGTAGTTGCACCGCAAAAATGACGCTCGCAGAAGAGTTCAAGTCAAGGAATTTCAGTAAGACGCCGAGTGCCCAAGCTGTTACTTGTTGCTGACATGGCATCTCCACAGGTATCTATGGTCAATGGTCAGTCACACCAGTTGCTATGCACATATCCACTGCTTGCAGCATGCCATACTAACTCATCCGCAGGACCGGAGTGTTGTGTATAGTCCTTTGCTTTGCGCTGGGCATAGCCAACATCTTCAACGCCAATTGGGTCATCGCGTTTAGCATTGTGTGTTTGTACGTTTCCCGTGGCCTTCTCCCAGACAAAACCACATCTAACCAGCTCGCAGAGTATGCTCGTTCATCATCATCTTCATCGAAATACCGCTGCTCCTCCGCATTTGCCCAACTTCACCCAAGTTCGATACCTTCATCCGTAAATTCAGCTCCAACTACATGCGCGCGGCCATCTACGCGGCGATGAGCGCCATACAATGGGCCAGTATTGCCGCCCGGGCTACTAGCTTGATTGTTGCGGCCATCTTCCTACTGCTCGCAGCCGTCTTTTACGCGCTTGCTGGCTTCAAGGGCCAGCAGTTCCAGGGCAGCAAGACACTGGGAGGACAAGGAGTCGCACAAATGATTATATAAGGCGGAGGTGGAACTGGACGACAAAGCAGTAGGCATGGGCGACGAACTTGGACGAACGACACGTTGTTTATATAGAGAACGCAAGGATCGACGAAGCAGTTGGAGTCTCTAGGACCAACATGATGAGCTTGGTCTGTTGGAAAGCGGTTATAGGGTGTGGTGTAACTCCTTTGTAGCATCATTCGGCAGCTGGGCGTTCTGGGGGCTATATCTTGTATGAAAAATCCCTTGGGTTTGGAAATGCTTGGTCAAACTGCTAGGCAGCCAAAATGCGACACATTTTTTTCTCCGGTACTCATCATGTTCCCATGACAATTGAGTATTTGTCTGTGAAGCATATCTTCTCGCTGTGTGGGGGCACCTACGTAATTATACACAGGTATTGATGTATGGGGACGAGTGCAGGGCCCACACGAGTCCCTATGACGATGTTCTAGAAGCTCGTCATGATGAACATCGCCTCAGCCTCTCTGGCTTTGAATAGTCAAGATGCATCTACGAAACAGTTTATAAAGGTCAATTCGACGCTCATGCTAGAAAAGCGCCGACAAGCACGCGCAGTGTCAGACCAACGACTGTGGAAACCCACCATAGATAGATTGGCATCTGCTCGCCTTTGGGATGACGGTGACTGGTTGCTACAATCTCGCCAGGAACCACACTTGTTCGGCGCGGGGAACGCTAGCGGTCTAGCGGTGCCGGAGCTTGCGCGGGCGTTGAAGATCCTGCCACACTCACCGCAGCTGATGGGTGTAGGTCAAACAAAGATACATATCGTATGGTGGGCTTTGCAGTGTAATCCGCACAAGTCTCGATTCAAGTTGGAGCCTCGCAGGCTGCGAAACATGAGCACGCGGTTGTTGCAGTCGCATAGTCCCCAATGTAGGATAGCGTCTGGCGAGCATCCATGGATGTGTGACGCTCCAGTGCTCCATTCCATCCGCCAACAGTGACATTGACGTGTCGAGCAAGACAGCATCTTCTCCACGACACTGCCATGTGGCAACGGTAACCAAACTGTGCAATTGACCGAGTCAAATCATGGGTGATGGGTATGCAGGTTTTGGAGGGTGACGATGGTAGCCGCGTGCAGAAGACCAGGGCCCATACGCCATACCCAGGCATGATGCAAATGCGGGTCGCAAGCTCTCTGCTACATAAGTGCACCGCCCCAGCTTCACAAAACCGATCCATTTGCGCCATTTTGGCTATCTGCCCCTCTTGCCAGCCTCATTTGTAGTCTCCAGTCCAATTGCGTATTCGAGGTGAGTACCCAGTGTATCCGCTTTGTCCAGCGTCGTTGGGTCTTCAAGTCCTAGCCGCGCTTATTGGCCTGGCCTGCAGGAAACTGCCCGAGCCAGAGCTGAGCAGTTTTCTACAGCTGCCCGTTTCCTCTGCTCGACTGACCGGACTGCTCATCACACGCTGCTCAATTCAAGCATTCAATGTTCCGGCTCTGTCACTGACATTCAACGTCGTGTAGTTTCCCCAACACCCACCCCTCACCTACCCACTCGAGCAACAGACTCAGAAACAATGAGTGCTCCACCAACGATACCTCCACGCCCCACGCGGGCCCAGAACAGCTCTTCTCCTGCGCCGGGCACCCACATGGACGTCCCCAAGATTCCTCCACGCCCGAAGCGTGGCGTCGAACGCTCCGTCTCTCCAGCTGGGGACCGATATGCCCGCTCCCCTCTCAACGACCCAACCTACGTACATGGCGGACCGCCCAGGGAGGGCGGTCGTCTTAGCACCGATCTGCCCTCGCGTCCACCGAGCGTCTCCATGCCCTCGCTCGGAGAAGAAGGCAACGAATACGCCAGTTTCGAAGATCTGTCAAAGACCCTCACAAGCGAGAACCAGGGCGGCTCACCACAACATATGAAGAACGTGGCAGGAGACTTGCCTTTGCATGCTCCAACTGCCTCAGTCCCCAGCTCAACCGCGAAAAGTAGGATCCAGGCCGTGACGCGGACCGACTCGCAGACAGCTGCTGCCGCTGGCTTTGGCTCGCAGCTGTCCGTTGACGACAAGGTCTCTCAGGCCAAGTCCGGTCGCTCAGGATCTTCCGCTGGCTCACGCCCCAGCTCTCTCTATAACGACAAAGATGAACACGGCATTCCCGAGATCGGTGTGCAGGTACCCATGTTCCGCAACGCCGGAGATGTCCAGGCTCCCAGTCCTTCGCCCTATGCGCAACAGCCCGGCACACAAGGAGTAGGTTTCCACCAGAAAGCCGGCGGTCGTCATCACGGCCGCACCAAGAGTGGTCGTGAAATCTTCCATGGTCCTCCTGGCAGCTACGGTATGCACGGTCATGGCAAAATTTCAACAGACGATTTTGAGCAGAAGTGGTATGAAAAGCATCCCGAGGATCTCAAGCGCGAGAAGGCCGGCGAGTATGGCCCTCACATTCAAGAAAATAGGAAGGATTACCATTGGCGTGCGGACAACCTTGAGAAGTTAGTGCACACCAGGTCTCAAGACGTTGGAATGGGTAAGTTGGCAACAGCTTCCGTGTCAAACAATTGTTTCTAACTGGTTTTTCAGGTACCAGCCGAGATGCAGTCAGTACACCCGACGAACAGATCGGCTACAGGGCTACTGAGGAGTATGCTTCGCGAATGGCCTCTCCCAGGCCGCAGTCGTCGGGTCGCCCTGCCTCAATCAAGGGTGGTTACGTCGATTCACCGCTTCGTAACGAAGCGGGCCAAGAGGTCAACGATAAAGGCGAAGTCATTCATATCGATCCCCCTGCGCACCGCGCTAGCAAGGTTCACGGCGGAGGCTATGATCCGCCAACTGAAGATCTTGGTCCTGAAGGTGGCAACACGTCTGAGAAAGGCGGATGGGTTACTGAGCGTGGATACGGCACTCCCATCCTAGCTTCGGATGAGCTGAAGAAACACCCAGACGCCGAGTGGAGACAGCCTGCTGTATCACCTGAGCTAGAGCGTCACGGCAATGAGTACACGCTTAACGAGGACGGAAACCCGCAATATGTCACAAAGCAGCGCACGCACAGCAGGAGCTCAAGCCGGAACAATAGCACGCAGCAGCAACGCGTCATCTCTAGCCCAGCACAATTCGATCGCGGGGGTACCCCACTAGAGTCTCACAAGGAGTATGAACCCTTGTTCCCAGAGGATGAGGAAGACAACAAAAAACCGAAGTCTCAGGTCGACAAGCTCAAGCGTCCAAGTGTTGCTCGCCACCATTTCCCAAGTCAAGATGTCTGGGAAGACACGCCTGGTAGTCTGCAACTCGAAACTACCGTAGACACTCCTCAAGAGGCGGAAGAGCCAAGGACTGCTGGTGCCAACGACAATGTGAGTCCTGCAAAGGTCTTTGAAGACCCGAACATAGAAGAACAGCGCAAGAACCAGATCAACAAGGAAGACCAAAAATCATTTCTCCCCGAACACACTAGACAATTTGCGGCAGAGAACAAGCTCCTTGGGAAGGTTCGAGACGATACGCCTGGTCGCCCTGGAATGCAACAGCGCTTCCCAAGCCAAGACATCTGGGAAGATGCGCCGTCTCACAACTATCTTGAAACTACAGTCAGCACACCACAGATGGAGGATTCGAATGAGTATGCTGAAGACTCGCCAATTGACCAAAAGCCACAGGTGCCGGCTCGTCCTAGTGTTCCAGCCCGACCAGCTAAGAGAGAGGCTTCTGGGGACGACAAGAAAGCGCCCATCATTCCAGACCGTCCGAAGCCGCAGATTCCTGCTCGCCCAGGCAAGCCATCTACCGGCTCTTCGGAGAAAGTACCAACTGTTGAGTCACAGGCAGGCGAGAACAATGCTTCTCAGCCGAAGGCGAAGCCTCCCGTCCCCGCCCGGCCCGCTGGCTCGAAGATTGCAGCTCTCCAAGCTGGCTTCCTGAAGGACCTCAACAGCAAACTTGGTCTTGGTCCTCACGCACCACCTAAGGTCAAGGAACCCGAAGAGGAAGAAGAAGCAGAGAAGGAGACGGCACCACTTCCGGATGCTCGCAAGGGTAGAGCTAAGGGCCCGCAAAGAAGGAAACCTGCTGCATCTCCGTCACCAGCTGCAGCTGCTACCATTACTGCTGAAGTCGCTGTCCCGAGGCAATCGCTTAGCTTCGGTCCTGTCACCGCTATTTGGACGTTCGGAGAAGATGGTAGTCTCGATGTGCCCGCTGCAAAAATGGCGGCTCAGATACAGCACTCACTCAGTGCTTCGACCAAGACAGATCAACCAGCAATTACTGAGGGCGAAGTGGACCAACCCGTTTCAGCGGAGTCGGAAGAACCACAGCTTACACAGAGTACATCAAAAGATGGTAGCGAACCTGGCCCTGAGCTTGAAACAGTCGAGAAGGCGCCATCAACCCTTGAACAGGCGGCTTCTCAAGTGTCGGAAACTCTGTCATCCGTTACTTCCAAGATTTCATCTGCACTTCAACCAGAAGAACCCTTGGTAGCTGAGACTGTGCCCGGCTCCTCAGATGCCCCTGGCGCATTCCCTGAATCCGGTTCAAATATAAACAACGAGAACGACGTCAAGGATGCACCTTTGGTACAGAAGCAGACGGAAGACAAGCCTATCAGTGCTCCCACTGAGGAGAGGAAGACTAGTGAGACCACTACGCAAAAAGAGGATGAGGGGTTTTCACAGACATTTGCTGGTTAGATCACGTTTTAAGGAAGATGGGGCTGAGCAGTGAGTTTATCTGTATTGCTATAGGGAGATTATGATGTCATTAGTAGATCCTAGGAATGTGTTGCCAGAATCGACTTTTGTCTAGTATATGTGACTTTTCCATGATTGTTGCTGCTATTTAGTTAGTGTCTTGTCCGTACGCTTCGGATTGAGACCTCAGAATATGAATCCCTCAGTACACTCAAATACATGCCCCTACGTCGGCCACAAGTACCTCAAGTACGGTTCATAGTTGCATAACATCCTAGTTTCCGTGTCGAGCTGAAAAGCATGCAAGAGATGTATAGGACAGAAAGAAGGGTTAATTTATTCATGTTCCATGTACAAGGAAAATCCTCTTATTTATATAGAAGAAAGAAAGTAAGGAAGTACGCTGGTAAGCAAAAGAGTGAGAGAATCGTAACAAGATACCTGAATAATAAGACAAAACTTAGGGCAACAACGAAGAAGCGCACGAAACCATCGTCCAACAAGATTTCCGATATTCCTGTGACTGAGTCGTTCGATACCGCCCACGTGGTTGGGTACAAAGGTTGCAAACGTCTATTGACCCGGTTCTAACCTGTGACTGGCGAGGCTGGACACGGAGTGTTTTGACGGAAAGTGACTCCCATGACGCCTCCATGAGGTCACATTACGCAGGCCTACAATGTCGTTGTTGTCATACTGTTGGAATAGAAGACCTGTGAGATAGACCTACCGTTCTTGGACAACGGATATGCGAGGTCCGAGTGGAAAACAGAACCCCTTACTGAGAAACAAGGGAGATGGTTGGTTTCTTGCCTGCGAAGAAATGATGATCAGTACTACGACGATGAAAATACCGGTGAACCTGGCAAGACCAAGAGAAAGAGGAGGAGGATGAAGGTAGCCCAGAAAGGGTTAGCGGTAAGGTGTCGAGAATCTTGAGCGAAAATCTGGGCAAAATAAATAAAGACAGTCGTCATTCAGAGCCGGAGCAGAGCAGTAGTAACGCAGATGGTTAGTCAACTTGAAGCGATGCCATTCACACATAAATCTAACACAAAGATACGCTTGCTAAGAAAGTAGTATGCTCTAGTTTTAAGCAGTCCTGGTTTGATTTTGATCCCGTGTCGGATGATATGCAAAGTTGGAACGATCGCGCTGTTGGCACGCATTTTACATAACTCTCATAGAGAGAACGATCCCTTACTAGCAATGAGTCGACCTAAGCTTATCTTATATAAGTGTCAGTCTGCTCTAGAGTCATTGCTAGTATTTGCTAGAGTGATGCCCAAAATACTCAGTACGTCTGACAACCCAGTGTGCTGGCTGATCAAGTGCTGAGATCACTAGTAGATCGTTTGCAGTAGCTTCAAAAGACGTCAATAGACTGTTTGGAGCAGAGAGTCTTGGGGTAAAGTCTAAGAACGAGGCTCCGCCTTGCGGCTATCGGATTGGGAGAGGTGTTAAAGTAGGCTGAAGTTGGGTTTCTTTGCGCAGCTTTCTTTGGACCTTCCTCATGGCGTCTTCGATACTGGACACCTTTCTAGGTCTACACGATCAGCCTCGATTAAAGATGAAAAGAATGACTTTTGAAGTCGTTTTCTCCAAAAGCTGCTTGATCGACTGCCCTCTAAGCAGACAACACCCATGCTTGGTTTTCAGCTCGGGCATGTCTCCTGAAAACGGTGTTTACCGTACATGGGCGGTCACTCCTCTGCCATGACCAACACCTTACCTTGACCTGGTCTAGGCGCAGCAGTAGGTAGTCTTCGGGGAAAGCCGAAGCCTTGTGTACTACCGACTATTCGAGAAGGATACGAATGGGTAAATAAGCGACCGGAAGGAATCTTCAGTGGGACCCATGCTATCACGCCGCTTTACAGCAACAAAGGAAGATTTGGCTGCATATCGAAATCTTACCAAGCGGTGTGTGCGCAGACTACTTTGCGGACACATGTTACCGCAGACTCCACATCATGGCATGCACGCGTCTCAACACCAACACAGAAAGCTCACGATAGTGCGGTTTATAATACCCGAGGCTCGGGCGAAGCTGATACGAGGCACCAGCTTCCCGAGGTCTCATCGACAGGTACTGCCGCCCCCAGCCACGCACGCTAGTCCTGACCATGGTGTGATACCTGCGCCAAATGCGAAATTCCTGCTAGTAAACGGAAAAAACTTTTTCTCCGTGTTTTTGTGTACAAACTTCCTGGCTGTTGGTGGGCCGGGCACACTAGGCGGAAAATTCTCCGTAGGAAAACTGACAGAAAACGTGGTTGTGTAAGGAGATACGTCGAACTAGGATCTACCCAGCTGGTGCAGATGGTACGCTATAGAAGTTCTCTTCCGTCAAATTTTCGCTGCTTTGCTCGAACGACTTCAGGGCTCCTTTCTTCCGTGCTAGAAGTTTCCTGCACAACATGTGCTGCCTCGGTGCGGGTCGGCGCGAGGTTCTGAGCGGATCCGTATGCACAATCAGTTTTGAGCTTGCTGCTTTTGGAGGCGTCGGCTGACACAACAACCTGACGGTTGCGTATCGGGTTTCGAGATCTCGTTGTTGTGTCGAAAGAAGCTGGCAACTTGAATCAATGATGCGGAACACCGTATAGTGAAAAGGGAGTGCTTGGCAATCCGAGGAAGCCGTTGACCAAGCGATCGACATGGAATCTACCAATCTTGGTAAGGTCGTAGATCTCCTGGACTGGAAGGACAAGATTCCGCTCCCGGCGCGTGAGGAAGGCGTGTCCGAGTCCGAGGAATCCGGCTTGACAGCGAACATGTCATAGACCCTGGTTCCCGCCCTGACCGTTGACGGCATCATCATGTGAACCAGCTTATCGAAGCTGGCAAGTCCAGACCTCGATCAGTGAACATTGCTGATGATGCAAACGACCTCGGAAGGGAAGGAACGGTTATCGCAAGCTTCAGGGGGAGGGGAAAATGAGGAGATGACCATGGCTGGTCACAACTACTGTATGCACGTGGCTGATGATGTGGCTCGATTATGCTTATCTTATCACCGTCTTCTTTGTCCGCTCCGCCCCAGATTATCAACAACAAATCATAGTCCGTTCTTGTTGGCAAGGTGTCGACGATCATTCCGTGTTCTCGTAGGCCAGCTTCCTAGGCGGCCCATACTTGTATCGGCGTGAGCTGAGTGAGAAATGTTTATCACGGAATCTGATTACAGATGAATGACATCAGCAATAGGCATTGATTATACATGTTTGGGTAAGTTTTAGTGACAATATGGTGTTTATCGAGCAGCACCCTGGACGTGCATGCGCGGATCATGTTGGCGTAGATGATCTGATCGTCAGATCGGGGCTGCCTGAGGCGCGCCCTATTTCCCTGTTTGAGCACCAAATTCCTTGATTGGCAATAAAGGACCAGGAACAGACAGACATGAGGCGTTGCCAGGGAAGACGCGGCACAGAAATAAACAAGCAGCTGAGTTGGCATGCCAGCACAGCAATAATGACCATGACACGTTATGGCAACATGCTCCAAACTTGAGAAGCAGGGTCTTGCTTCCTGTGAGCGGATTGCTTAGAGCGAGCTACGCGCAAGTTAGATTCGTACATGTCTCACCAAGACTCGCGAACCACAGCGCAGCATTGCATACCGGACTAAACTGAGGCCGCCAACGGACGTGCGTAGCAAAAGCAAATCGTCGATGGTTATACGAATACTCTGAATCTGAATCGTTTCGTTGACCAAACAAATCGAAACCTGATGAAACTCGAAGATGTTGCGCATAGACATGTTTGGTGTCGATATTTGGTACCGACTTTGACTTGAGATTTGATCATTTCAAATGCCATGCTGATGTTTCGAGACGACCGGTCAGCCCCGGTATCGCCGCGACACAGTGGGTGGAGCGTGGGGAAAAGGAGAGATCAGCGCTGTAACTTCCGCCTACAACTTGTGACAGTGTGGAGACGGGAGACCATGCTCAGATCAAATCTTACGAGGGTCCAGAAGGTCTCGACAAGTGGGTTCTGCGACGAGATGCCATGATCCGCTCATCAAGACAACTATCAAGTGCATCAAAATGAGAGTGTGAGTGGATAATGCGTATCCGCGTGAGACGGATCATGGCTCCCTGATGATCCGCTCCATGGTCTGGCTCACATGCCCGCGTTTCGACCGAGCGGAACAAAACGTGACCGTCCGTACTGCGAGCTCCTGTTGTGTCCGATCGGGCACGTTCAAACTCCGAACCTCCCACCCGCATACGTATACGCATACTTTTCGGACAAGGACACGAACAAAGGCCGAGTTGAACCGGCTGCGTGTGTGGCATGCTTTGCATAGGCCGTTTCTTCCAAGGCAGAAGTTCTTGGAGGATTGACGGTGCGTGGGGCAGTGTGGTCAGTGTACGCAATCAAGTTCGCATCGCCTTCTTTCTGTATGCGGGGATACGACGTTGATTGACCGGAAGTGTACTTTCATCAGGCAGGCGATGCGAAGGCGATGCGAAAGCGTCGCTCCGCCATGCGAGAGGCTCGCTCGGCGAAAAGCAGCCGTGGCCGCGATGCGAGGTGCCCGCCCTATGCGGGAGGCATGCGAGGGCCAGGGTCTGACGCACTGGCCAAAAGTCGGTCAACCCTAGAATTTCCCAGTAACACATGTGTGACTGCGCAAATTGGCAGACAACTGTAATGCGTGGGGTTTTTGTACTATGTGCTGGTGACAGTTCATCAGTCATGCATGGCAAGTGTGCCTGTGACCCGATAGGATGTGATTAGCATGCAGAGTGCAGCGATAGTAGAGCATCACCTGAAGAGTGTGGAGATTGTTTTTTGTGGGTGTAATGATCATCATTGAAAATCTAGCTATAGGCGGGAGTCTCGACCATCGCCTTCGGGAGACTTCGAACCGCTCGCGACCAATATCCCAAATCCTGCTATCCCATATCCATGCAACATTTCAGAGTAGAGTAGCTTCCTGATATCTTCGTGAAGATCCCAACCGCCCCTGCGGTATATGCCAATAAAATAAAACCAAAGGATATAATGCTCAAATACCACGCTATGCTGTAAAGGACACGCTCGCTGAAAATGCTAGATCAAAAATCAAAAGGTCAGAACACGTTGATGTGCTGGCCTAATAACTTGAGATGAGCGGAGCGGTGGTATCCATGAACAGCGGATGGTCCTCGATGTCTTGCGAGGCTGGTTTTGCGTCGTAGAAGGTTGTTGTAAGCATGGCCTCCTTGTCGGAGAAGTTGAAAGACGCTTGTGGGGGAGATGTAGGTGGTGACTCGTCATCGGACTCTTCTTCGTAGGTGAGCTCGGGTGGTGATTGTAGTTGCGATGGCACTCGAGTAAGAGCGAGCTCCGAGTCGTCCTCCATGTCGTCGTAGAATTCGTCCTCATCCTCGTCCTCGTCGACCTCCATTGTGCTGATCTGAACTGGTGACTGAGCGATGCGGCGAGGCAGTGGGATCATGTCGAAGTCGTCTTCGTTCTCAGAGTCCGAGTCGGACTCGTCGTCGTCGTCTTCCTCCTCAGCAATGCTGTCGGCCCATTGGATGTGGCGGGGCTCTTCGGACTTGGAGGCCTTGGCCATGGTCTGGTTGAACCATTGTTCTTGCTGGCGTTCGGCGTCTTGGAGCTCAATCATGAGGCTGTCGAGGAGATTTGCGTGTCCAACGAGAAGGCGGAGGTCGTGGTCGGCCCTGCATGCCTCTTTGCCGAGCTTGGAGCGGGCGGAGGCAGCAATGTAGTAGGTTTGGGTGAGAGACATCTTCTGCTTCTTTTGCGGTGGTGAAGAGACAAAGTGGGAGCGGGTGGTCTCGGCGGTAAAGGGCTCGAAGGAGGTTTGTATGCGGAGATGCGATGAGGAAGGCATGATGTTTGTTATGTATAAGGCAGTAGTCTGTGGTGAGAGGCTAAAAAATGTGAGTCAGTTTGGTTTATGACTTGGAGAGACGCGGGTGCAAACCTACCTTAAAGCAGCGGCCAATCGAGGGAAGGTGATCCGAGCGTGTATGGAAGCTGGGAAGGTGTGATGTAATTGATGGTTTGTGGTAGCGGTGATGATGGGCAAGCCGGAGTCTGGGGTAGTCGGTTATTCGCTGTGGTGTTGTGGACTGGTGTTTGAGCTGGTGATGGAATCTGAAGCGAGGGCACGCGTGTTTCTTATGTTTCCCTGACGCAAAGAGGATGGATAACGGGTTCTCGGAATTATTGGCATGTTTCCACCGCTCTTGGCCGAGCAGGGACGGATGCGGTGAGCTAACACACTATGATTCACACGACTGCAGGGGTGCTAGCGCGGCTTACGAGACAGCCCGGTCGGTCGTAGAGACTTTCGCCCGCATGCACATACGGGCGTTACGAAGCGGACACCGGACGTTGCGCGGATATACAGTCTGCCCAGCACATGCTCTGCACATGGCTAGCCTAATCGGCGTCTCGCTGTTTGTCGGCGTTTACTAACTCACGATGAATTGCATCACACAAGTCGCTCCCACATCGCGCCATCAGGGTTTTCCTTTTTTTTTTCTTTGCACTGACTGCTTGGGCTGATTGAGCCTGTCTGGCTGCCTGCCTGGCTGCCTGCGCTGCTAGGATGCGCTGTCGTAAGGGCTAAGCCACGGACCTCTGTACAAGCAGAGCGGTCAGCCCTGAATCTGTGGCTGTCAAAACGTGGCCCCGTCACCCTCTCGCCCAAGGCGCCTCTGTTGCACCTTGACAGCGCGCGCAGCCCTGTCGGGCCCGACGCTGCACAATCCCTCCGCGCGACAAACTCACCGTTAGGCTTACTGCGAATTGTTTGCGTTTTCCTACATAGTCCTCGCCTCGGCCGATGCGCTGCAACCTTGGTTTCGCGGCTGCCTAGCACATCGGCGTTTGGCTATCCTCACGTCTTTCGTCCGCATCGTCAAAAGCCACCATCTAGGCCACGCGGACCTGCCACTCACTCTCACCCCCGCGCCCAAGCACATCATCATCAAATACAAGGCACCAATCATGCCTGGGCTCCGACACTGTCATTTGTCCCGACTTCACAATTACAGAATTACTAACTCCCGTCTGCACCCCGGCTGTCATTGGTACGCGGGCTGGCTTTGTCATTGATGCTGAAAAATACCTTCTGACAAACCCGCTAACGACCCTGCATGAACCAGTGTAATTTGATGACACGATCATGCGCATTCTTCGCAATCGCGTGCTCAGTGGCAGACAGCCTGCGATTAGGCTATTTGCGCACTCGTCATCGTCTTCAATTCATTACTTTTGCGCTTCTACAGCCCGACTGTCCAATGTCCTGAGCTTTTGGCATCTGTGCGTCAAGTGTCAGGCACAAACAAAAAACGGTGAACAGTGCGTCCGTACCATCCGTCTCCGCTCCGCCCTTTCCCACTACACCGGCTCCGGCGAGGGCGTGCTTCCAGGACGAACGATCCCGAAAGAGGAAAGCACAGCTTGTGGCGCTTTCAGCCGTCGCTTCGTATACCGGATTGCGATTACCGAGTCTCTCATCTCCACGCGCACAGCCCTTTTGTGCCATTGAGTAGTGCGGCTCGCATGGGTCCAGTCTAACCGTACGACTCGCTTCGACACGTATCCGTTGGCCTGACTTCACCGCTGAAGCTGTACGAGGCTGGTCAGGAGACCGCTAATCGCCAAATCCAAGAACTCGCATATATGCATGCTGCGGCACCATAGCAACGCAATGCTGCGATGCGACTTCACGTCGCTTTCTGACCAAGTATGAGTCGACTATGCCAAGTGCACGATGCGGTCCTTGGAAGCCTGAGCCACCACATGTTTACGAACACCAGAACCCCGCGTCAACAGCTCTACACCGAGATGCGCCATTGTGCGCGCCGCACGCACATCGCTTCTTTGCTGGCATGCGGCGAGTGGGTCAGCGTTTGCTCCGCCCACCTCACGTCCTCTTCACCACGTTCAGTCTAACGTCGGTACCAGTCTTCGCCATAGCGTTACCGCTTTAGGTACTTCATCAGATTGCGGCATATTCTAACAACCAAGTGAGGATCTTCAAGCGAGCGACCAGCCCCCGTCTCCAAGTAAAATCACGCAAGCGAATCTCTAGTAGGATACTCTCTAAGCCACCAAATCGCTCAACCCGCAACTGGCCACGTGTGCCGCCGACGAAAGCATTTCTTCAATCCAAAAATGATATGCATTCTCCATTGCATTCCGACTCCTGCTATGGATTCTTTCCAGTCGACGGTCTGTCCGGATATCAATTCGGGTCCAGGCCATGTTTCTAAGCACATAGCTGCGCTACTACGTGCATCACTAAGCACCATCTTTACAACTATTGGTTACCAACTCATACACACCCGCCGGTATCTCAACACTCACGTAAGTCTCAGCGGTATCTATATGACGCAGCAATCGTACGAAGAGCGCACACCTAGAGCAGCTCAATCATAATCGCATCAGCGAGACAAAACTCCACGGAAGGCACTCGCCAATGAAGATACGGGACGCCATGAAAAAGCTTCAGGTTTCCAGCTGACAGGTTGGGAAGTCAGGGAGTCTATCTGCTGTCAACTCGAACCCAAGTTTGAGCGCACGCTACTGGCTCGCACCTCCGCCTTTGTAAGACAACGCTAAACAGTATTTATGATGGACGGTCCAATCCTAGTATGATCAGTACTAGTCAAAGACTCGCAACTGGGAAATTGTCGACGATACGCGAGGAGCGTAGAATACTGTAAACTCGTGATCGATGAACCTCTATCTCCAATGCTGGTCAGCTTGTTCCTGGATTAAACGGGAAACCACTCAAGAGTAACTCGCACGGAAGAAAACGTAGAGAGCAAGGATCCAGCCTGTCTTTGCGTTGTGGTTATCAGTCAAGAAGCCATTCTGCTGATGGCACATGCAACGCTTCCACGTTAGTGCATCCAGTTGATTTGTGTATTTGGCGGAAGCACATGCCATTATCAGATTGTCAGTACCAATCTGCCAACGCGCTTGCGAAGAAAGCGAGTACGTAATCTACCCTTCTTACATGCGGACAAGACGAGTCAGCAGAGAAGGACCTTGCCCCTGGAGAAGAACCTGTAAAGTGTACATGAAGATATTTCTCAAAGATCGAAATGTGAGAATAGGCGACTATATGTTACTTTAAGGCAGCGCACTAGTCACTACATGCATCACATTTTGTTAGGGTTAGCGACATGCTTTCTGTATCCTAGCGAGTCAATCCTGCCGTTCGCGGTCATTCGTAGCTCGTAATGTGGTATTCGACACGCCATACCAAGACCAGCATGGGTAGCGAGTCCATCCACAGTTCTCGACTCAACGACACTTGACCCCACCAAAACATCGTCCACCGCCAACATGATCATCTTACCACGGTAGTGACTTTGCTGTCAATCATCTACTTATGATTTTTATCTAATTTCAAACTCCATCATCCAAGTTGCCCGCTTAGCACAGTGGTACTGCGTCGCACTCGTACGCAGCATATGTTTGATATGCGAAGATCCGCGGTTCGATTCCGCGAGCGGGCAAACCTGATTATTTTTGAAGTTTGGGAAGCTTTTTTTTTTGGCGACAGAGAGGTCATGCAATACTAGTCAAGTCGGAAGGTCCACAGCGTTGCCGTATATTCGTGAGGCGAGCACAGAAGCGCTCATGTCCGTTTATATGGGCTTCTGATTTTAGTGAATGAGATTGATGTGTAGAGATGGTAGAACCGACCTTGCGAAAAGCCAGGAAGCGTGTTTGAAGTTTGCTACCATCGCTCCGTTCTTCTTGTATGGTGTCATTGTTCTTCATGCGCCTACCCGATGAGTTGCCTGCCCCACGCTAGGTGTTTAGCTTCACCGAGAGTATCACCTTGTACAGCCAGTTCAAGTAAAACATCTCCATATCGTAGTATTTTGTCAAAACTATATTACACGACGGCAGCCCCCTATGCTGATGCCGTTTGCGGCTTCCCAATGAGCGCCAAAATATTACTAAACAAACCCTGCGGCGGGGGAGGGACAGAACCGTCATGCAGCACGTTCTGCAAATCCTGCATGCTGAAGACCTGCTCGTCACGCTCAATATCTTGAGTGAGATCATCAGAAACCAACAGTTTCGCCAAAGGCTTGCCAGAGTCGTCTTCCTCGCTATCCTCAGGGTAGGAGATATGATGCATTTCGAGTTGCTCCTCTGGTGGAGGAGTCAGCAGCTGCAACGACCCAGCACTTGGGGTGATGGTCCTGAAGTACGCCTTTGAGTCAAGAACAACGTAACCGCTTTTCTGAGATGCAAGACCCATGGTAATACTGGAATATGTGTCTTTCCAAATGGGCTTCTGATGCTCTGGTCCATATATAAACATCCTAGACGAAACCTTCTTAGTGGGAGTAGGAGTAGATTCGTTCTTCTCGAACCGAGGTAGTGATACAGCGAATGTACCGTCAGTGCCGTTGCAAGCTAGTCGGACGAGCGGTGCGCGCTCTAGGCGTCCGATGCCGGGAGTATCGATTGGTATGCTGTATGCGAGTCCGTCAGAGACCATATCCCAGACGGTGATGGCATCAGCAACCACTATAAGATATTGCCCGACGAACCCAAGTCCAGAGAGGGCCGTTACATCGATCTCAGTGAGTGATCGTCGAACGGTTGCAGATTGAACGTCGATCAGATGTGTGACACCGGCGTCTTCTTCCAAATCCCAAGAAATTGAAGCAGCAAGGACCGAGCCATCGGATGAAAAGGCCAATCGTGAAGTGCGTGGCGGTAAGGTTCGCTGTGAACCTTCGGTGATGTCGAGCTTGTCGTTGATTTCAATGGACCGGTCGAGCGACCAGGTGACCAGACCTTCCTGTTGGGCCCCACGAACGATGACTCCATCGCGTGATCGTGTCTTAGGTCTCCATATCCGTACGACGTGATCTTCGCCGACAGTTGCGAAGCCCGCAGTAGCCGGATCAGCGACAAGATGGAATACTCGCCCATTACCACATACGTCTTCGAAGAAGTGTGGTGCGTCAATGCGTGTTTCCAACTTCCATTGCGCGCTGCTTTTGTCGCGTCGCCAGACCTTGAGATACACCTCGCGGCGGCGCAGGCGTTCCTGTTCATTGAACTCTGGAATACCTTCATTCACATAACGAGTGTCCAGTTGTGACGGTACCCACTGCAATAGGCACGAAGTCAGTGTATGTCTTACATGCATCTCAGATAGTCAGAACTTACCTCATCGATTGTCGCAAGCCATTCTCCGTCATGGCTGACTTGGATATGCGTAACTGTAGGCTCCTTGATTTGGCGTCCATCAGGGGCGACATTGGGTTCCGTCGCATTGTTGCGGGTGAGTGCCTGTCGCCCTTTGGCGCGATCATTCGCGAGGTCAAATGTCTGTAGGTACGGCTCAGGTCTGAAACCTTCGTCTTTCTTGTTGTGACGAGGTTGTGACGATGGTACAGCGAAGAACACTTCGGTCGAGTTGACCGGGTTGACAGCCATGGGCACTGCATCAAAGATACCAAACGTGTTGTCAGCATCCTTAGATAGCTGTTCGACGTCAATTCGACGTGATTGGATGCCGATGATGTTTGTGCGGGCCTCGAGCTCGGTGGTAGAAAGAACAATGACAGAATTGTTAGCCAGTGTCAATGCATACGCTGAGCCCGTGGGAGAAACCACAACGTTCTCAATAGCCGCGGAAAGATGAGGTAGATGCTGTGGTTGTCCAGTAGCAAGCTGCCACATCGTAAGGACGGTCTCGTCACCTCCCGAGATAAGGTAGTTGCCATCCAACGACCACTTGACAGACCCTATCGCATCTCTATGCCAATGGAGTCTCTTGGGCCTGAAGCTTTCGGCATTGCCTTTCTCAACTGCAGCAAAAGAAGCTAGAATGTCTTCGAAAAGAAGGATCGCACCGGCCCCTTCCCCAACAGCAATGTCAAGAACATCCCTTTGACTTTGTGGAGTCTTGTTTCCGTTGTCATTCTCTTGATGCTCGCGGTGATAGACATTAAAGGTCGTGATGTGCTTTGAGAATTTGAATTCCCGCCAGACGTACTCCAAGTCCTCGAATGATGTCTTGCTAGCCTTCGTGCGCTTTCCGACCACGAGAGAGTCAGATGTAGAAACCACGACGTACTTGCCTTGCAGAAGTACCTGGACACCGCGGATTGCAGAGCTCGCACTGCTCAGTATTTGCTTGGCTTGCTTGAGTTCTGTCCGGGTATCTTGACGCTTCGTACGAAGTGCGTGCACACTGATGGTGTGTCCCTCGTCAGTTTCATGACAATATGTAAGATCATCCTCGGAGGAGTCTGACTGCGCAATGACTGTCATGTGGCGGACTGTAGCACCAATGTTCCATCGACCAGCTTTCTTGCCGACCACCCAGTTCCACAGTATTATGTGCCCAATTGAGTATGCGACGTACACGAGATGGGGGTTCGTGGGTGATAGAGCATAAGCTGTGAGAGCGCCTATGTCATCTTCGGAAAGTGTATTGACGAGCAACGATGTTTCGGTTGCATAGACGCGAAGTGACTTGGCGTTGGCAATGAGCAGGTATTTCTCGTCGGGCGAGAAGACAGGGTCGGCTGGCAGGAACCATCCTCCATGAGCGGGTGACGAAGCCCACCTATCAGTCTTCTTGCTCTTCTTCTTTTTGACTATGCCTGATACCTCGGCCTCGATCAGTTCGTTGCGCTCTTGTCTGTTCCTTTCCTTTCTGTCCTTCTTTTCCTGCTTCTTGAGAGCTGCCTTTGATAATCCTGACATGTCCAGTGCTCCGTTGACTTCAGCCGGTGCATCTTTGCTCGCACCGTTCGCTTTCGGGGTAGACGTCGATCGCTTCTTTGGCGTAGACGCATTCGACTTGGGCGTTGCACCGGTTGCACCGTTTGAAGATTCGTCGTTGCGACCATGGTTGAGCGCAGCGGCAGCGGCAGCCTCGTTCTTCCTCTGCTTCTTGGCCCTCTTCTGTGCTGCAGCTTCCTCGGCCTTCCTCTTCAATTGGGGAGTCGCGTCCTCCATCCTAGCTGAGTCTCGAGTAGACTTGCGTGTAAGAATCCGCAAAGGTGGAAGTCGTGAAGTTCGTGTAGCATCGACATGTCGAAGTTGAACTTTTTCGATGGAGCCTGGCCCGAGCTTTTCACCGCCCGCGTCCTTAGCGCGCCCGCAACTTTCTTTGAGACAGCGTCCACCAGCGTCCGGCATCACGACAACCTCACCTTACCTTTGCGCGCTTCCACAGCTATCAGAACGTGATCGCGTGTCCTCTTAAACAACGCGAATACCCCCAAATCACCAAGATGATTGTTCCCATCCGTTGCTTTTCGTGCGGCAAGGTACTACAAGTACATTCTAGCTCATGCGCGCCCTTACTCACAGAGTTCCTAGGTCACGGGCGACCTATGGGAGAAGTACATGACCATTCTCAGTGAAGGCAAAGAAGAAGCGTAAGAAGTCTCATTCATAGAACACCCCAGCACGCCTACCTTGCAGCCAAACTCGACCTTGTTCAATACTACTACCAGTCCCATACCGACACAAGACATTCGCTAACGTGTACCACATCTAGTGAGGCCCTCGACGAGATCGGTCTCCAACGCTACTGCTGCCGCCGCATGATTCTTACCCACGTCGATCTCATCGAAAAGCTTCTCAAGTACGTTCCCGCCGCCGATCGCGACAAGCTGATGCGCTGCCAGAATGCAGAGATGCAGAGACATCAGCGGTAATGACGTCCCGGAAAGGGGCTAACACTTCATACAGATACAATGCTAGCGAAAGAGAACAAGCCCGCGCCGCCCGAGGAGGACGATAGTCGGCAGACGATATAGATGGGCAATTTGGAGTTTTGGAACGGCATACTTTATCATGGCGAGGCGTTTTTCGGGCGAAGCATATTGGGTTGAACTAGATCTTCTTCCATCCACGATCTGGAAGTCTGCAAAGACAGGAAATGCCTGACTGTAATGAGAGTCGCTAGCCTGCGTGGACGTAGTTCCATGCGCAGGCACATGTGCAGAGTGCGGGATTACAACATCTACCTGACGGACAGAGCAAAAGAAACCCAGTTCTTGATTACTCTCAACATCCCTTACCTTCACTCCTCCAATGTTCTTCCACCCACTCCGTCATAATATCTGTGAAGCTTTTCTCGTTGTCAAATGCCTCAGTATCCTTCAGCCCACGCTGTGCACCCAAGTACTCAAGCGCCAGCAATATCCATTTCTCAATGAACTGATTATACATGAGATCAACGGTTTCTGGTTCTTGGATTTTGTTCCCTGGTCGATCGAAGCCAACAGCTGACTGGATGCAGTTTGGAACATTGTAAAAGGCGATAGGCTCATGAACTGTGTCGTCGCCGTCCGTGCCGGCATCGTCTTTGGTGGTATAACCTGGGAAAGGCTTTGGCTCATCCATATCGCGGAGAAGTGTTTGGCCTTCATGGAGGTCGGCAAAAGCAGACTCGAAAGATGTGAGCATGTGCGGTCGAGACCGTGCTGCTAAAACCTCTGGGGGCTGCAGGAATGCGTTGCTTTCCATCATGGCCAGCATAATAGGTCCTTCGTTGTTCAAAAGTTTGAGTACTTGGCTGGCGGCTTTGTAAGGTACGTCCTTGATATACCGGATACCACTTGTGAACGGCGAGACTAGGAACTTCGTGTCCTTGGTGAAAGCTCCCTTGAAAATGTCAAAACGGATGGCACCGGTGTTGGTAATCACAAACGCCTTCTTGCCATTCTGGATGCGATCGGATTTCTCGATAGTCTGAGGTAGTAGCTGTTCCTCAATCCAAGTGAAGATACTCTCGTTGTGCGGGTAAGGGCGACGACTGATCCAAAGATCTTGTGGCGCACAGCCATAGACCTTTCCAAGGCCGAGAGATTCTCTGGCTTCGCCGATCGCCTTGGAAACTTTTTTCCCATGGTCAGTTGCGAACGATTTCGCGTCCTTCCCGCTGTGGTGTTGCATCGAGTAAAGGTTGTTGTCAATATATCGACGAGAGAATGTGAGCTTTGGGCTCTGGAGTGCAGGCGCTCTATCTTTCGTGCCGCGAGTACTGAGACCGTTGATAGACGCAAAGCCGAGCGTCTCCATATACCGCCCACTTTCGAGAGCAGCAGCTTTGGCGTCAAAAACCTTATAATCACGGATATGCGTATGACCTCCGAAGAACTGGATAGGCGTATCCCAGTGCAGGGAACGAATGGTAGAGAAGAGCACTGCATACTCTTCAGAACGGATATCGACGTGACCAAAGACGATGATCAGGTCGATGTCTTGATCTTTGAGGGCTTCCTTGAACCACTCTTCATGCACCGTGTCTTCGACTCTGTGAACCACAGTGTTGTTTGCATTGCCTGTAAAATCGAAAATGAATCCAAAAGCTAGGATACGTATGCCTTGGTTCTTTGTAGTGAATTTCTTGAAGCGCGGCGCGAGTGGCTCCAGCTTTCCGGTCTTGGGGTTATAGATGTCTAGATTGGAAGCCAAGTAGTTCTCTTTGAAGTCAGGAACTGTATGGAAGTATTCACCCTCGGCAGTGTTTGCTTTGTAAAGTTCGTGATTCCCAGAACAGATCAGATCGATGTTTTGTTCTTTGGCAATTTCGTAAGTAAATCTAGATATTGGGGCACGAAGTCAGTGTAGGTCCACGTGTATTGAATGCAGGGCCCCACTAACTTTCCTCGAGGCTTAGAGGAATCGTAGATAGCGTTTCCCTCTACTCTGTCTCCGGTGTCTACAAGAAGAAAGTCCGACCCATCCGCGTCTGCTTTGTCACGCATGTGCTGAGCAAATGAGACATAGTCGCCCCAATCGGACGAAAACGACGCCCTGCAGTTGGTCAGATCGACGTGTGTCAACATAGTAAATTTCAGGTGAAGGCGTTTTTCGGCAACCTACTCTTGTAGATGGCCTCCCCACCACCCATGGATATCAGTAGTATGCAGGAAGTTAAGTTGCGCCCAAGGTAGATCACGCAGGGGAGCCGCTTTAGGGGACGGCGCCTCAGGCTGGACGCAGGAAATCCCTTTCAGAAGCGTAGAAAGAACAATAGATTTGTGAAACATGTTGAAAGGCAAGATGCTGTGCTACTTGCCCCTTTCGCGAACTGCGGTTGTATCAGGCGACCATCTAGGTACTGGGCAATGGCTGGATGTATTTTGATGACGAACGACAGAGACTGGGATGCAATACGTTAAAGCAGTGTGTGAAAGCACAAGAAGACGTTGCAGTGTTGATGAGGCAGATGAGGCAGGTGATGCTAGATGTTGTGAGTGTCGGACGGTCAACAGTTGATGGTCAGCCAATCAGGCAGTGACGTACGCGATGAATGGTTGACGGGCCGTGGCTGCAGCGAGCTGGTCCATGTAAAGTCTAGCGCCATGCTTGCCAAATACAGTTCAACATTTTTCTATACACGACAACACCAGCCACCTCACAACAACTTTCCACCCAAACACTTTTTACGCGCATCACCTCTCGTTCGTGTCGCGCAAAATGGCTAGAGCTTCCCGTTCTGCGAGCGCAAAGCCCGCCGAGAAGAAAGATGCCAAAGAGGTGAAAGTAAACGGCGCCGGTACGTCACGCCCACCCAGGGAAATCAGGCCACCGCTAACCAACCTCGCAGTCCCACGAAGAGGCGCAAAGAAGGCCGAAGACGCGCCTGTTGCCAATGGCATAGCCGAGGAGGTTGAAGACGCCGAAGACGTCGAAATGGCTGATGAAGACGCCGAGGAAGTCAAGGCAGCACCACAAAAGCGTAAGGTCAACGCGTCCAAAGTAGGGCTATCTGCTAAGACGGGTCTAGCCACTGGACGCAGTCGCGCAAAGAAGACCGAAACTCCCGCGCCTGAACCCAAAGCCGCGCCTAAGAAGACGACAAAGCGCAAGAAGGACGAAGAAAGCGAACCCGAGGCCGAAGACGCGCCTGCGCCCGCTGTGAAGAAGCCAAAGGTCGAGCGCCCGAAGGCTGCACCCAAAGCTGCGCCAAAAGCCGCGTCAAAGGCTGCAACACCAGAGCCAGAGGCCGAGAAGATTGATCCGGCTCTGGTTCCAAACCCCAAGGGCCCGCGCCGCGCCAAGGGCAAGAAGACAGAGATCAACTCGATCCGCTACACTGAACCTTTGAAGGTATTCGTCTTCGGCGAAGGTTCCTCTGGTGAGCTCGGCCTTGGCGCTACAAGCAAGGCCATCGACGTGAAGCGACCGCGTTACAACGAGACTCTGTCCAACATGAATGTCGTCAAAATTGCTACTGGTGGCATGCACGTTGTTGCACTAACCAAAGATAACCAAATCCTGACGTGGGGTGTCAACGACAACGACGCCCTCGGGCGCGACACATCGAACGCCAACGTCAAGATGCGCGATCTCGATGCGGACGACTCCGATTCTGATTCTGAAGACGAGACTGGTGGCTTGAACGATGCCGAGGCTACACCTGCGCCTGTGCCGGCCGAGTTTTTCCCTGAAGACACCACCTTCGTCGATGTCGCTGCCGGTGATAGCTGCTCTTTTGCCCTCACTACCGAGGGCGCTGTTTATGGATGGGGCACGTTCCGAAAGAATGAAGGCATCATGGGATTCGCAACCGACAACAAGACTGCACCTCGGCCTGTCTATATTGACGGCGTAAAGAAGGTTACTCAGATCGTGTGCGGTACCAACCACGTCTACGCACTTGACAAGGACCACCATGTATGGGCTTGGGGCAATGGCCAGCAGAACCAGCTTGGTCGCCGCGTTACCGAACGCAACCTCGTCCAAGCTTTGCAGCCGAGCAAGGTTGGTTTCCACGATACCTCTATCAAGAAGCACAGCCAACGCATCACGCACATTGCATCCGGTGACTATCACGGTCTTGCAATCGCAGATGACGGGCATGTCTGGGGCTGGGGTGCGAACAACTACTGCGAAACTGGTTACACCGAGAATGCTGGTGCAGACGATGCCAGCGTCCTACAACCTAAAATTGTACACAGCTTGGAGGGCAAAGGCGTTCATACGCTCGACGCAGGCTCGCATCACAACCTAGCCATTACCAAGGATGGACAAGTGCTCGTCTGGGGTCGCTGCGATGGTTCACAGACCGGCCTCCCTCCTTCCCAACTTGACGCAGAGACGGATGAGAGCAAGGTATTGAAGAACAACGGCAAGGCGAAAATTGTTGTACAGCCGACACCCCTTCCTGACCTCAAGAACATTGTCACCGGCGCATGCGGCCCTGAACACTCTATCGTCATTGACGAGGCCGGCAAGGCCTACTCATGGGGTTTCTCGGTGAACTTCCAGACGGGCCAGGGCACTGATGACGAGATCGAGGTCCCGACTATGATCGACAATACTGCTGTGCGAGAGACCAAGCTTGTATGGGCTGGTTGCGGTGGTCAGTACAGTATCTTGGCAAGCAAGAAGGAGTAGGCCACTCGGGCTGTATCTCCATGGTGCAGAAAGTTTCGATGGCGGCAACCTTCTATGAGCTTCCTTTCTTCCATTCTCTGATATTTAGTCTGGCCTCGCCTTTGAGGCTTTCAGACAAGCATTCACGGCGTTCAAGTTCCTCTCGGGTATCTTTTGCATAGCGGATATCTGATTCGGTACACGGGGTTATCAAACGTATTCATTCATTACGTGGCTCAGCGGTAGGCCAAAACACACGACATGGCTATTAGTAGAGGGCGTAGACTGGGCGGTAGGCTCAGCCGTGCTTGTGATCAACTTGTAATAGTACGATGCTATGCTATATATATTTTTTGCGCGTATACAGTGGTGCTTTTCTATGCCAGTTGTACTTTCAATTACAATGCCTTGAAATGAAATGGAAGACTGATGCCGTGGAATATGCAGGGCTCATGCGCAGTCGCAGCTTCAGATACCTTACATAATCAAACCGTGATGACGCTCGACCCTGCCGCCCAAAAATCACCATCACCGAAGCGCATCGATACCACACCCACGACACTACTCCACCACTATCGCAACCTCTATACATCGTACGAACCCTGTGAAACAGAAGCCGCGTGTTCCCAATATTGACGAATTTCGCAGCTTCACGCTTACCGCCGTAACAATGCCACCCAAGCAAATGGCAGGCAAGGGCCGTACTCTCAACGAACCCAGTTTCGCGTCTAGCACTGTCTCGGCCTTTACAAGCAAGGAGAACAGGAGTATTGTTACTGCTGCGGGGTTGTTTGCTGTAAGATACTCTATGCGATGGCAGATATCGGAAGGGGGAACAGAACACGATTTACAAGAAGGAGAATTGAACCAAAGACGAGCGCTGACGACGGTGTACAGATCGGCGTAACATTCTTGCACAGCAGCTGGGCGGAAATCCTACTCCCCGCGTAAACCCAAATCCATCACAAAGGGACAATGCGCCGGCGCTGTGACAGCGAGGCGGCAAATGCGAGCAGCCATCGCAGGGCAATGGACGAACCTTGACGCCATGTACAAAGAAGGAAATATCATCTTGGGAAGAGCATTGAGAAGGGCGTTCAGGCACGGATAGCATACTCAATGGTGTGAAAGCAGGGTCAAAATGCGACCTACAACCGGGGTCATTCGACGATCTTGCAACGAAATGTACAACAATTCCGATTTTTTCCTCCGAAGCAATCTCAACTAGATTTTTTGATAACTAGTCTCATTTCATACCCCTCTCGACGTCATCCCAAGACATATGGTAATCTGAAACACCATGCGCCTCACCTGTATCGACGCGTACAACGGTTCTGTAACCCACATGGCTGGAACACACCAAGCACTGTCTTGCTGTCACAGAAATGCTTAGCTATACACATTACGGATCAAGTCGCCCTATGAGTTTTTTCTTCTTCTTCTTTTTCCCTTTTCCGAGACACAGTCTGAGCTTGACCACAGTTTCACGTCGCCTCTTTGGTTTGTTCAGCTTCATTTACCACCATCGTTCGTGTCAGCTATGGCGCGCGTCGAGTGTCGAGTTGGAACTCCTGCGGGCTGGTGCGAGCATAGTGTGAGCTCTTGGGGGAGCATTTCTTTTTCCACGAGGCAAAAGCTGGGCAAGCGGATCTGAGATCAACCGTCCGGGTTGCTCCGGCGAATTCTTATCGGGCGCGTAACTGGCGTATGAGAAGTATACGCGTGGCATGTTCAGACACGTCCTGATCGAGCTGTTGGCGGATGGTATCGTTTGGCTATCGTGAAGTGTGCCTTGGCGCTCGGAAGTTGTCTGTTGGCATTCTAAGCGCCAGTCAGTTGGACAAAGCAGCCTGTGTTGGTTCTGGAGCAGTTTGTAAAGTCAAATAGCAACGTTGATTCGTATTCGGCATATTGCTTTCATACGGCACGGTGGCGTCAAGAATCAATTAACATGCGGCGCAGCAGAGTAACTCGATTGTTAGTCTGCGAACCTGGTTGTTGGTACTTCGACGCGCCGGTGGCGCATGCAGAAGGCCTTACTGTATGCGATCATCTACTGCAGGTACTCTGCATACTGGTAATGCACATGGTTCAAGGAACATCACATAGCTAAGAAAACAACCATTCGTAGTAGCTGTTCATTCGTAAGATTCGATTACGCTATCTGTACATGCAAAGCCGACTCTGATAAGCGGATCAACAGTCCGGCTGTGAAAGAGAGTGTACAAGGGTTTATGCATGCCCACAAAACCAGCAATTATGCTCGCTACAATTACAGCAAAATTGGGCGCTATCAAATCAAAGACGCCGGAGCAATTGATAGGCGTCCGAAGAGGTAATAAGGAAATGTTATGTCGTTCGTAAATATGCGTGATGCTGGGGTATCTCTAGTCTATACTTCTCTAACCCAAACCTGGTAAAATAGTCAGTGTATGGTCTTGAAGCTAATTGTCTTACGAAACTTACCTCCATCTTCGCCATATCGCTGCCTTCCTTTCTAGCAACGCTCTTCGCCGTCTGAATGGCCATGTCAAGATCATCTTGGTCGGCCATGGTGATCATGTCGCCATCATCTTTGAACTCCACCTTGAATTTATTTCGCACACCAAACTTCTCGCGAATCTGTTGCCAGAATTCGGTAATCAGTTGATCCGAGTTAATGAAAACATAACGCGTGTCACTAGAGTGAACCTTGACTCTGATCTTACTACCTGCACCGCGGTTGCTACCACCCGATCTGGTGGAGCGAGCGGGTGATCGTCTCCTGGATTTCGAGCGGGACATCATCTCAAACTCAGCATCATCAAGATCACTACCGTCGTAGTCGTCCTCGTCCTCTTCCTCGATGTAAGCTGGCCGCCTGCTCTGTTTTGAGCGAGTATATGCGCCACGACTGGAGCGGGAAGGCGGGTATGAGTCGTTGTCATAGTAGTCGTCGATGATATCGTCATCAGACCCACGACGTCGTGGCCTGTAGTCACGATCCCGCTGATCTCGCTGGTCTCGTTGGTCCCGCTGGTCTCGCTGGTCCCGCTGGTCTCGCTGGTCCCGCTGGTCCCGTTGGTCTCGCGGATCGCGTTGTCCTCGGTCTCGTGTTGACTCTGAGCGGCTTGGCGGCGGTCGCTCAGAGGCGGAGCGCTGTGTTGGCTGACGGCGAGGGGGCTCGTTGCTGCTTTGCTGGTCGAAAGCAGCTCGTCCGAGGTTCAGAGGCTGGGGCTTAGGACCGCCACCTCGGACGGACTGTGCGCGGCTCATCGGGGCATCGGCAGCAGGTCTTCGCTCTCCACCAGATCGCCTGTCACCAGACCTCCTGTCTGCCTCTGGTGGCGGTGTAGGTGGAAACATATTACGGTTCATCGGCGGCTCTGACTGCTGGCGAGCTCTGCTCTGAAGCTCTGGTTTGACTAGGTTGGTCGCGGCGTAGGAGATCTTGTCTTCAGTCCTATCGTCTTTTGCAGCTTGTCCTCCCTTCTTAATCTCGGCACCGGCGAAGCCAGTGAAGGCATTAGCCCGGTCTGACGCAGCGACAAGACGTGCCTTTCCAAGATAGTCTTTTGTCTTCAAGTTCTTTACCTTCGCTTCGTTGGGACGGTAGACGATACCGACGGGGATGGAGAAGACGGTGTAGCCCTCAGCTTCCTCGCGAATGGCCTCGTCAATGACATCGTGGTCAGGCACCACCTTCTCTTTGGCTGCGAAGGACAGATCCTGCAGACCTGCGTCTCTTTGCTGGAGGTAAATGTAGCAGAGACCGCGGTTGAAGAGCACCTCGCAGGAGTATAGCTTGAATTTCAGGCCCAATTGCTCGTAGTCAATATTGTTGTTTCCGCGCAAGTAGAGGAGGGTATCGTTGAAGTTGGCGAGGGCTTCCTCAAAATCGCCCATGAGGAAGTTTGAGACGCCCTGTTGGAAGTATGCGACGGCGAGGTATTGGTCCAGACGCACAGCGCGCTGGTAACAATCTACCTGTAGAGCTATTAGCACGTGCTCGTGGCATTGGAGCCGTTATCCTTGACTCACCGCCTTCTCATGCTCGCCGAGAGTGGCATGGATTACGCCGCAGTTGAACAGAATCTTGGACGTGTCGGAGATCTGGTCAAAGACCTTCAATGCGACGTCAAACTCGTTGTTGTCGTAGCTGGCGAGGGCTGCCACCCAGGTTTCGATTTCCTACCCCGCCTATCAGCAATTGGACTCGGAAGGAACAAACAGACGCAGGAAGAAGGAGCGCACCTGCTTCAGAGACATGACGAGTGATCTTCACTTGTTACCCGGCAGTATGGTGTCGTCAAGCCTCAATCTACGGCCTCTCCTAGCACTCCACCGTGGGACGAGGGGTCGCGTTCCTTGTCAAACGCAAACTGCCCAAAGTGCTCGTCTCAATTCCGCCAGATTATAGAGTAGCCGCCGGGGCTTGTGGGTGTGCGCGACGTGGTGAATTATGGTGCGGTAGAGGCGGTGGGTGCTGGCTATTATGGTCGTCGAGGTACACAAGTACCTGGTGTGTTGCGCGGGGAAGTAAACGATCGTACAGGTGTGGGAATTAAGGCACAGTTGGGAAGCCGTTCGAGAGAGAGAAGGAGGTTTCGAGGGCGGCACTCGGAAGAGACAGGGACACGGTGGGAATTTGGCGGGCGGTTGCAGGAGGGCTACTGGTGGGGAGGCCAAATCTGAGGTCCAGCGCGTTTGAGAGACAAGCCTTGGCCGACACGGCGACCGCCACGCTGATTGGACCCCTGCACCGTGAAGCCCGAGAGCCACAGCGCTACGCGCCAGTCCAAGACGCCGCAACCCAGCCCATTGCAGCATGACACCACCGCCTCCCGATGTCCTGAGAGCCTGACCGTCCTCTCCAGCGCTTCCGAAAGGACCGGAGCCTGGCTTGGTGACGCCGACTGCCAGCAGCGAATATCCGACTGCTGGCCCCCTTACGATCATCGAGCGATGGCGTTTGAAGTCTGTAACATGAAAAAGCTCCGACTGAGACAGCCACGTGACGATTCGTCCGCGCAGCCACTCACCCCATCGCCGCGCTTTTCTCAGGCATGAACGCATGACTATGCCAGGCCTCGCAAAGTCCGTGTTCGCGCAGTCCTAGTTTCGGCCTAGATTTCAAGGTGCATGCATTATCTCTCCTCACCAAACCAACACGGCACTTCAACGGCACTTGTGGACTTGTTGGTCTATCTTGGTCTGTCTTGAGCTCATAGCATCCCACGGTCGCGCTGCTCCTCTCTCTCCTGCCAGACCGTCTTTCCGGAACACGAACATACCGTCTTGTCGTCTGAACAGCCATTAGCATACATCCATCTAGAGCACACGAGCCGCCAGAAGCAGAACACGTGGGGTACCAAGAGCACTCACTGTCCCAAACCCCAGCGCTACGTGCAATGACACCTACTAGCGTATCCGGATCGTTCTTATCAAGCTGTCCAAGGTCAGATTAGATCTCGGATCAATTAGCGGGTTTCGCATACCTTGCCGTCTTGCTCCTTTGCAACTACGATGCTGCGTCCGATCATCTCCCAGATGTGGATGGGCCTGTCCAGGAACACAGATCCGACTCCACCCTTCCCTACCTGAACGGTTCCAAAGACGCCTCGACACGGCTTGCCCTCCTGTTTGGCTTTGTGATGTTCCCAGATGGCGCCGGTAGATTCAGGTCCGTCGGATATGTTGCCAGATTCGCGGATGGTTGCATGGTATGTTCCAGGCGACAATCCTCGTATACTCAGGTCAATGATGGTCATACTTGGAGCCACTTCCACCATGCGCACAAGCCCTCTAACCTTGTTCTCTACATGCAGTGCATGTGATTCTAGAATGCAAACTGCGGCGCCTGCTCTCATGTCAGAATCATAACACGTCCAAACTTTACATTCAGATGGAGCATACTGTCTGATTTTCCAGATCCTCTTAGAATTGCATCACGACCAGTAGCTTGAATAGCTTCAACGATTGCCGATGGTGCTGCTGTACCCTCGATAGATACTAGTTGATCTTTGAGGTTGGCAGTGACTTTGTTGATACCTATCTTGTTAGACGCTGAATGACGTGCGTGGGGATCGCTCATACCACCCAACTGCTGCAGAGAACCTTCAATGTCGTTGATGCATGACTGGCAGGTCATCGGCACCGCGAAGATGGTTTCAAACGACGGAACAGTCATCTTGAAAGGAATGAAGTTAGCTGTAATCCTGTTTAAAGCTTTGTGCTATTGGTAGAAAGATTAAGTCGTTGGCATGCGACTTTGCCGTCTGTCGCTTTGAAATCCAGGCCCGAATCCCCGCCGAACATCCATGGACGGATCTGGCATCGGAGCTTATCTTATCGATCGATCACGTGAGGTTGGAAATGCTGAATAGCGGGCTTGGCATCAACCTTCACTGCACTGCGACCAGTCCACCAATAGCGCTTGCAGCTTCCCTTCCCTCGTTGTCGGGGAATTTCAGACTTCATACCCTCTCATAGCTTAACTAGGGTCTGCCTTTCAGGGCATTGACTTCGCAGCCCGACATGTCGCAAGTGATTGGAAAGGTGTGTATTTCATCGGACCTCCGCACCCCAATATCTCTATGATCGCTGCCACTGTCTCTCTGGTGTCATGTTCTACTCTTTTTCTACTTCCAAAGCTAAATTTTTTGCATAGACCCGCCTGGCATACGCTCGCTCATGGCACCACCTCGACATCGGCTCTGACCCACGCGCGCTGGGCCGCGTCGCCTCTGCCATAGCCCTGACCCTTATGGGAAAGCACAAGCCCATCTTCGACCCCTCTACCGACTGTGGTGACTACGTCGTGGCTACGAACTGTTCTCAGTTACACACCACCGGCAAGAAGCGCTTCCAGAAACTCTACCGCACGCACACGACCCGCCCCGGCTCTCTTAAAGAACTCTCCATGGACAGGATGATGGCCAAGTGGGGAGGTGGAGAAGTGTTGAGGAAGGCCGTTAGCGGTATGTTGCCGAAGAACAGGTTACGGAAGGACAGGCTGGCGAGGTTGAAGACCTTTGAGGGAAGAGCGCACCCTTACAAAGAGAACATTCTGCAAGTGGGGAATGGCGGTGGACAGAGCATAACGGAGCATGGAGACGTTAAGAAGACATTCGCGGAAGTGAAAACACAGGCTCCCGGGGCGCCAGTATCATGACGAGGGGGTGGGCACAAAGAGGAAGAGAAGATGTACCAAGAATTGGGTTTGTATAAGACGTGTAAATCTAAACTGCAGGGCTTGACCTAAGTTTTGGTTTGGTTGCTTCGTGAACTTGGTTTATTATTCCACGTCTTGTTGTTGGGTAATCTCAAGCGATTCCATGGTTCGTCGAACTGTGAGCGGGCATGAGACGAGTTATGTTTAATGCATTTAAGGTTTTACCAGATAGATTGATCATGCACCTTCACGTCACATGCATAGGGTGTCAAGGAAGATAGCGAGCCAGAAGTTGAATTCGTTCTACTCGCATGATAGGTGTTCTACTCTCACTCGTCCCCCTGTATAAAAAGAAAATGTGGTATAATGTTCTACTCTCGCTCGACGATCTTCCCCTTGAAAGTCACTGGATAACCGAAAGAAATATACAAGAAACCAAAGTGTAACGGGAACGTGCTGCTGTATCTACAGCTTCGACTTGGTGCCCTTGCGGGTGACGGTGCACTGAATGAGGCCGTTGGGGTCTGATTGAGGAGCGAAGACAGTAGCATCCTTGCCGGTGTTCTTGATGCCCTTGTGCCATGAGAGGTCTGGCATTGTGTTAGTAATCCGATGTGAGAGATCAAACTTGACGCAACTTACCAACTTCGAAGTAGTGCTTGTTGGGCAGCGCATAGTCCACAGCCTCGACCTGGGGAACAGCGGCCAAGATCAGGTCACACATTTTGTACATAGTCGCCTGTACACTGGCGCTGTCATCCTCGGCAAAGACCTTGAGGGTAATGTCCCTGGCCGCCTTCCATGCAGCGTTGAAGTCCACGGCCTTGGCCTCATCTAGGTTCTTGAACAACTTCCATTGCCAGCCAGCCTCAATCTCTGTGCTCAAAATACGGTCCCATGTCTCAGGTAGGCGCGTGTACTCATCGCGGTGGAAGCCATGGAATGCTGATCCTGTGCTCTTCAGCACAAGGAGCTTCTCAATCTTGGATCGGATAGAGACACCCTCGTTTTCGCGAGTTACTGACTCGACTACGCGGGTCTCTTCGCCGTCACGGAAGAAGGAGTGTGGGTGTGCTTTTCCGTCGATAGTCATGCGCGTCCATCGGTGCTGGACGATCTTGACGTGGGCGGCGTGAATGTGAGGGTAGGTCTTGACAAAGTGGTTGCCAATGATGGCAGCAAATTGCTCGGGCGGGTCGATGGGGTTTTGCTTGGCGAGGATGTATGTTGTTTGCTTTTGCGTATCGGTCGCAACTACCACAGAGTTGTCTGCTTTAGTGTAGCTAGAAACTGTCAATATATCTCATGCTAATACCGCGGCGCGAAGGCGTACGAAGTCTCGATATCTCCCTCGAGTAGAACGCAGACTGTTTGCTCAACAACCTTGTGGATGCCGGTGTTAGGATCCTTATCGACCTTGTAGAGGCGGACATTGTCCTTGCCATAGCGGGCGTAACTAAGCTGAGACATGGCGAACGACGCTGTTGAGATTGCAACAATAACCTAATGTACTTGAGATAAGGGTTGAAGATGTAGGTAGTTAGGTGGTCAATGGGAAGCAGAGGGTAAGTAGACAAAGTTATCAAAAAGGGCGATCAAAGCTAGATATACTTATGAAACGGCGCCTTATCTGATGGACGGCACGCGGAGGACACCGAACTGTATAGGAGCGGTTTGCGATTGAGGCACGAGCAAGCTATGGACCGCCGGCAAAGAGGCGGCGAGAACGCGTTTCGATTCGTTGACATGGCCATCGGCGAGCTCCGATCGAGGGAAGAGGCCCTGGACAGCGGCGTAAGGCGTGCACGTGACAGCATCAGAACAGCTCCCCGCCTGAATCTGTAGTAGGCACGATGGGATTATGGATCCTGAACTGTCGGTACATGGAGTTCGGCGCTGTGTCAGGCCATGATGTGGTGAGATGCAAAGCCGTACCGGTACGTGCAGATGGAGAGACGCGAGCTCTGCTACCAGGGTAGGAGGGTAGGGAAATGTGCACGTCCCTTGTGCAGCAGCCGCTGCCCGCAACTCGAGATGGGCATTGCAGCGCGCCATGCAACATTCACTCACACTGTCATTACACCAGCTCCACACTCCCTAGCCCCTGCCACAGCCGCTCATTCCCCGAACCTTAACCACACTTCCGCTTTTGGCCAGGCACCGCAACGAGGACGACTCCACCTGTGCCCGCGAGTTGCTCATGAGGCAAGAGGGCACCGCCGAAAGACAGAAATGCGATGCGGTTGGCGGGAACACGGTTAAGGCGCGCTCATGACGCCATCAGCTCGCTCCGTAAACACACAGGCCGACGCCGCCGACCAGAACTCTCTCCTTGCGCCCACGACGAGTAGAGATGGCCGCTCAGCGTCGTCGGTCGGCATGGCCAGCTCGCGGGGCGGCCAGGCCTCGTATGCCTCGTATGCAACTGCCAACACAGGTCCTGGCAGCTTCAATACCGCTCTGATGCGGCCCTCGACGTCGCAAGACAGTCGAATCCGCCCCGAATTCGACATGCATGCAATCACCGTCGGCGACAATGACGGCACAACCACTGAGCAGAGGCAGGCAGAGCTGCAGGACCAGATCGAGAAGGAGACCAAGATCAAGATTGGGTCCGAGAACCTGCTCGAGGCATTGAACGCCAAGAACGCAAAAGACAGCAAGAACCAGCGGTTACAGGTTGAGGAGCAGCTTAACATATCCAACAGAAAACTAGCCCAGTTGCAGTCGGGCTTGGCTGCGGAGAAGCAGAGAGCAAAAGAAGTCAAATCACCACCAGCGGACCCACAAAGCAGACTCTCATATCTGTTCCGTCGGAACCTCTCGCGCTCGCCGTCGCGGCACATCGTCCAGAAAGAAGTAGGAGAAGAGGAAGAGACCGAGTCGCCAACCTTTGTTCTGGCTGAGATATTGCAGGCTCTGGAAATTCAGGGCATGCAGCCGGAATACTATGTAGAGAGAGCCAACTCTCTGGTCCTCCTATTCAAGCGACATCCTACGCTGAAGTACGACCTGGCCTGGTCGATATTCGGATTACGAATGCAAACCATGCTTCTGAGCGATAGCCGTGAAGTTGTTGCAGCGGCGTATCGAGTCATGCGCTATTCCTTCACTGATCGCAAGTCTCTCCGAATTGTACGCGCTCTTCACACAGATCATCTTGTTATCCTGTCGTTAGTAAAAGAGTCCAAAGCTAGTGTGGAGCGCGAGCAAGCACTGAAGTTTGTCCGTGCGTTCCTTGATGTCAAAGGAGGTGTTGAGGAAATCGCTCGCGCCGTGGTTCGTATCATCGTCGCAGTGGCTGAGCATGCAGAAGACCGACTGAGGAACATTGCAACGCTGACTCTAGCCGAGATCCTTGTCCGAAAGCCATCTCTCCTCGTGGCAGCCGGAGGCATGGGCGCTCTGGCTGATGCTCTGGGAGAAGGAAGCTATCATGCCGCTGAGAGTGTTGGTACTTCGTTTCTCTACCTGCTGGACACCCCTAGAAGACGTCGCTTTCTACGATCTGGGCGCGAACTGGAAGCACCCTTTGCCATGTTCACCGATGCAAACACAACTCATGGGCATTTGCACGAAGAGAAGTTGAAGGTTAATGCCAAGGTCATTGCATCGTTGCTCCGCAGCTGGCCTGGACTGCTCACACTATCCATGAACGACTTTCTTCCCCTCCGATCCCTGCTTTGGTCCTTACAAATCCCCACTCCCCATGTTCGGAACATCATCTTGGAACTACTATTTGACCTCCTCAGGATCAATCCTCCCTCTTGGTCTTCGTCTTTCCTTGCTGGACGACGATTAACTACGTATGGTCGCGTTACAAATCTGAAGAATCAGCAGATCAAAGATGCTTCAGCTTCCAACAGTGCTGAGGATGATACTACTAAATGGAGCCTACTAGACCATTACGTTTCTGTAGTTCTGGCAGCATTTCTGCACGCTGGGTTGATGCCAGCACTACTACAAGCTGAAGAAGATTCTTTGACATTGCCATTAAAGCGTAAGACGACATTGCTGATTGGCGAAGTTCTGAAGATGGCGAACGAGTTGCTGCCTCCATCGTGGAGCGCACAGCTTCAGGTACTCCCACAGCTTCTTCATTCAGCAGCGCGGTTCGACTCCGAAGACCGATTTGTCGCGATTGGTACCATATACCAAGTGGATAGCATCAACAGAACTCTATATCGATCCGGACCTACGTCTTTGTGCAATCCTAAAGGTACTGCGATGTCCGACAGTACCTCGACGACCAGACAAAGTGACCATGCGGCAAAGTTGCAAGCCGCTATGCAGGTGGATGAGGCTCAATTTCGCAATTTGATGGTCGAAACTCAAGTATTGAACACGGTCACGTTCACAAAATGGAAGTGGGATCTCATTTTGAATATCATCGAAGGTCCACTACTCAATCCTAAACGCCTAGACGAAGCTATCAAAGTAACCAAGTTCATACATCGCGTCCTAGGTTTCTATCGACCATTTAAGTATCGTTTCTCCGAGATCAAAAACACCAAACCCAACCAACGATACGTACGAGCCGGATGCGCCTTGATGCAGAGCCTTCTACAAAACCCCGAAGGTGTCAAATACTTGGCCGAGAGTAAATTCATCCGTCAGCTTGCCGAGTGCTTATCGCATTTCGATCGAATGAGCGGTCTGACCTCTGAATCACCCATTTTCCAGACGGACCGTATGAATGAGACGCTTACTGGTGGCTACTTTGCGCTATTGGGTGCTCTAACTAAAGACGCCCGAGGTATCCATATTTTGGAAAGATGGAGAGTGATCAACATGTTCTACCATATCGTCGAGCTCAATGATCGCGACGATTTGATCCGGACTCTTCTGAGTAACATGGACTACACCTTAGACGGTCATCTACGCCTCATCATCTCTAAAGCGATGACATCGTGCTCTAAGGAGATTAGAATATTTGCAACTAGGTTGTTGCGCAAATATGCAACAAAGCCCATGGGGGCGAGCAGCTCTACAAGTGTAGCTGAATGGGCCATCAGGTTGCTTGTAACGCAGCTTTACGATCCAGAAGTGGAAGTCTGTGAGGTCGCAATCAAGATATTAGAAGAGGCTTGCAACCAGAAAGAGTCGCTGGAGTTTGTGGTGAAATGCCGTCCGGCTTTAGATCATTTGGGAGAGATTGGTGCTCCACTCTTACTCCGGTTCCTCTCAACTTCGGTAGGCTACCACTATCTGGACGGATTGGATTACATCACGAGGGAGATGGACGACTGGTTCTTGGGAAGGAACGATACTTACGTGGCCTTGATCGAGGCCTCGATGGCTCGCGCACTTGCGGACATACCCGAAAAACCGTCGACTCAGTTGACTTACGACGACGCGCCTGAACCAACCGATTACGGTCTTGTGCCACCACACTTCTACCGAGAGCTAACCAGGACCAAGGAAGGATGCAAGCTACTCAAGCAAAAAGGCCATTTTGACGAGTTCGCAGCGACCATTCGAGACTTCGCATCGGAGAACGACGATCCCGAAATCATACTCAAAGTCAAAGGCTGCTTGTGGGCGGTTGGAAACGTCGGCTCGATGGAACTAGGTGCGCCGTTCCTTGAGAATTCGGACGTGGTCAAGTGGGTCGTGCAGATTGCCGAGCAGTCAGAAGTCATGTCGCTCAGAGGTACAGCCTTCTACGTGTTGGGCCTGATCTCACGAAGCCTCCATGGTCAGGAAATCCTGCTGGAATATGGTTGGGACGGCGTCGTCAACGACTCTGGTGAGGCACTAGGGTTTTGCCTACCGTTAAACTTCAATAAGCTCTTTGCGGTCAGTACCAGTTTTTCTTTTTCGTCTCAGTCAATGATCTAATACATTATAGATGACGCCCTGGGTTGCCCAAGCAGAAGACATGAGCTGGAATCCCAATGCCGAAATCAAGGTTGCCGTCACCGACAGAGATCCAGTAAACGCGCGGATCTTGAAGCTTGCTACTGACCTGGGTAATACGGTGCTTGCCAAGAAGGCAGCAAATGACCTACAGGCGTAAGTAGTCCCCTAATTGAAAGCTGAAAGTCACGAGCTAATGCATGCGGCTTAGAATCAAAGCTAGGAAGGCACCTGGGTTTAGTAAGCCTGCAATCTTCCACAAGGTAATGCAGATACTAGAAGCACATCACTTCCGCCTCCCAGCATGCCGGTTCATGCTAGATCTGTTTGACAAACGGGTCCTCGAGCAGATTGTGCTAGAGGAAGAAGATGACCAGGAAGATGAATCGAACAGCGAGTCAGAGGTTGGCTCGGACGTAGACCAGGCCGCGACAACCAGTGCACTCAGGACATCGTGAACTGGTGTTCGCGAAAACGAATCCGAAGTTTCGGAAATGGGCGTTGAGGAGCGTTATGTACAGGGATGTCAATGTACGATAGTCATGTTCTATGTTGGTGGAGCCGAACGAAAGCGTGCATGGAGAGTTTCCTTTTGCATATGGAGTTCCCTGGTACGCTTTGGGGGGCTTGCCGAGAAAGCATGTCCACTAGTCTAGTGCTACGTTCGGTCACGTTTGGCGAAACTGGCACGGCAGCCAGGGACAGGAGCATCAAGTGATATTGAATTGAAAAAAAAAACTCTCTCAAAGCATGAAAAGTAGCTTTTTGGAGCCGCGGCCTCCAGAGCCGCGAATGCGCGGCGTTGTGGCTTGCAGAATGAGTGAGACACAAGACACAAGCCCCACCCTGGACGGCGGTGGATAAGATGCGAATGCAAGTCGTCACGACAATCGGACCCTTAGGGGGATGTACAGGGTCTTCGCTCGGCAGCGGCTAGTCGTTTCCGGCGCAAGTGTGTACACATGGGAAATCATGGGATTGACGTTTGGCAGCCCTGGGTCAGACGCGGTTCAAGCGGGTCCGGGCTCTGATTGGCTGCGTAGTGCTTTGATTCTCAATGTATGACGATTTGACCTCATTCTCTCGCTTCTTGTACATGTGTACCGCCGAACACCAAGGTCTCGCAGCACATAGCAGATAGGTTGACACGACACGCTCGTGCGTGGGGCTCGCGCGGCTGCGATGCGGATAAGAACAGAGAGATGGGCTTGGCAGACGTTTTGCTCCTCGACTTGGGAAATGTTGGAATTGGCAGAAATCGATCATCACCACTCTGACCTTTGCTCCCCGGAAACGCGGCGCAATCAATGGACCGCGGCAGTCATCCCATTCCTCGGGATACCGGTTCGAGGCGCATCTGGTGTGGGAACAAGCAAGGTTTGAGTCGTCTTTTACTGTTGGAGGTCGTCTGCGGGTGGACCGTGCCAATTTTTTATATCAAGCTGGCACAGGATTGGCTTAGCCTGGCGAGCCGATGACGGGCTTTTCTCTCGATCCGAGTACCCCAGAGCTGACACAGCAATCGAGGGCAGCCTCCCATGACTGATACGGGGCGCACAGCAACATCGCCGATCTTTAACTATCCGTCCAGCATGGATGACCACATCAAGTTGTTCTCTCTTGAACATGGTCCTTGTCCGCTCTGCGCTCTACTGCTAGACTCCACTATCTCTCGCCATTCCGCGAGCTCTTGTGTTGCCACCCCGCGTGCTTGTATATATCCCGACTTTGTCTGCCCAAGATAATATCATCCCTCTTCGGCAGTCTCCGTCGTCACCCGTCCCTGCATCAGCACGCGCGTTGCTGATCCGCCCTCGTCCCAGCTTCCGGAAGAATCGAGCGTTCCGTGAAGACGTTTTAGCACATTCTTGCCTATTGTGAAGGTTTAACTATCTTCGAAATACGCAATCTCGCTGCCCGACTCGACTCCCGCCCTCCTTCCTTGTCCTGACCTGCACACCTGCAGTGCGCACCCACCCCACGACCAACCAAACCCACGACCCGACCCCAACGACGGGCCTGCGACTGTATATGGCTGCCGGAGCCATTGTACAACATAGCGAATCTACATGAATCGTCAACGGACAAAAGGGTGCTCCATCGTCGAAAGCGTTGAGCATTCCTTTGAGCCTCAGTTTCCTGCACAGGCCTTCATGTGCAACGATGAGCGCTCGGCAGAGGCTTCGGAGGCGGTAGCCTTGGACGCCCACTGTGACGCCCGACAGATGGTCCGTCTAGTCCAGTGTCCACGATGCTCGAAACCTCTGAGTGCCCCAGTCACCCTGCCTTGCGGTCATACCGTCTGTCGCGGCTGTCTGCCTCCTCCACAACCTCGTACCAACATATCATATCCAAACACACCAGATCGCCTCATGGGCATTTCGTGTCCCCTTATGGGCTGCGGAGCCGAGCACGCTTCTGCTGAGTGCTCTGTCGACGTGACGTTGACCAAGTTGATGGACCTCATAAAGGCTGAGATAATTGAGCACAGGCCATCTGCGGAAAATACTCCGACACTCCTCGTCGAGGTACCCCAGCATGAAGATTCCCCTATGGATGAGGAAGAGAAGGAAAAGCTTAGCTATCATGGAAATCAAGTGGAACTGCATGGAGGACGCCTCGTGTCCACGTTTACCATGGCTGAAATGGGCAAACTTCGGTATTCTTCCGAAGTCCACTACCAGTCACTATCGGCAAGCGGGGACGGTTACGAGCATCTTGACATCACGCTTCTGGAACGCTTACGCGACGTAACCCACAAGGAGTTAGACTGCCTTGTCTGTTACAACCTGATGCTGGACCCAACAACGACATCGTGTGGTCATACATTTTGCCGTCGTTGCCTCGCTCGCGTTATGGACCACAGCAGCATTTGTCCTTTCTGTCGAAGAGGCCTGCATGTTCCTGCCTCACTACAGAATCAATCTAGCAACGTCATACTCAACTCCTTGTTGAATGGACTTTGCCCCGATCTGGTAAGTGCTCGTGCTGATGCTCTCAAGGCGGAGGAGCAGGCGGGAGATAACGTGTTGAACGTTCCGCTCTTCATCTGTACACTGTCGCTGCCCTCTATGCCGACATTTCTCCATGTCTTTGAGCCTCGCTATCGATTGATGATGCGGCGCGTCATCGAAGGTAGCAGACAGTTCGGCATGGTCATGTACAATCGCACACACGCACCTCAAGGCGATCTTGGCTCGACTCCGTTCCTGGAGTATGGAACACTACTTGAGATTGTCAATTACGAGTTACTGCGCGATGGGCGCAGCTTCATCGAAACACGTGGTATCGGACGATTCAAAGTGAGGGCTCATGGCTTACTTGACGGGTACAACGTCAGCCGCATTGAGCGTGTTGAAGATGTTTCTCTCGCCGAGGAAGCTATTCTGGAGCAGCGTGAGACCACTATGGCAAGGGATTACGCGGAAGCATTCTTCCGCGACCATCCTCAGACCCAACTCCCTACGGAAGTCGCAATCGAGACATTATCCACCCAACAGCTACTTGATAGCTGCACAGCATTTGTACGAGAAATGAGAGAAGCCAGTGCGCCCTGGCTTCGCGAACGGATCATCCAAGTCTATGGCGAGCCACCCGAGGACCCCTCAATCTTCCCATATTGGTTTGCATCTGTAGTACCAATCGTAGAAGAGGAAAAATACGTTTTGTTACAGACTGAACGGGTCCGCGAGCGCCTCAAGATTGTGTACTCGTGGATTGGAAGGATCCGCGGACAACGATGGTAAGCACTCACCTTCTTTATTGTTTACATCCTGCATCTACACCACATCGGATCCCGGCCCAAGTAACCAGGCGCATGCATGCCCCTTACGCGACACGAGCATAACGGTGATCATTCCTTTGTCGTGCAGCATGGTCGCTGCAACTAGAGGTACTTTATCCCTTGTGCGCTGATCATTATGACGAAAGTCACATGCATAAGTTGCCTGAAGCTTACATGTCTAACCACAAAAGATATATCCGACGTGTTTGATTTCACGGCACTAGCTGACAATAAATTGACAGGTCTTCGGGCAATGCATGCAGCATCTTATGACTCCTGATTGCTCTTATTACCATCGGAATCGCGCTCCTATCTACGCCTCCACCTCAACCTACCGTCCATTCTCTATAAGAGGATGAGCAGCTTACATCACATTAAGCTTACAACTTCTCAAGATTACCAGATACCCTTCTCTCATGGCCACAATTTGATACCAAACCCAACCTCTCATGTCTCTTCAGGCATTAGGAGAGGCTTTTTCTTTTATGTATTGCATTATTTTACGTCACGAAGATTCCATTTGTTACCATATGTCCTTTCGCTTCTTCAACGATTACCCCCTTTCAGGAGGACCCGGAGCTTGCCGTGGTCCATGTTCAAGTGACTTTTTTAGACCCAGGTGCTAGCCTGGGAAAACTTTTTTCTGGACGGTTTTCGAAAAAGGTTTTGGCATATTGCGACGAAGGGTGGGAGTAACTTTGCATTTGATAGGCGTTTCTTTGGTCTTGTCGCATTTAGCGGGGCTGCTCCAGTTAGAGACTGGCAGAAGGTGGCTTTGTAGATACTAGAGTACTTGTGAATGGGTGATGCGTATATCCATCTTGTGCACTAGAATTCACTTCACCGTAGTTCGTGAAGAAGCAGGTGCGATGTGATACCCGCAATGTACGCGTTACCTAGGTGTAACTACGTCAAGGGTCATGACATTGCAATCGTACTATGCCTTCATCTTTCTGGCTGCGAAGACGACCTTGAGGGGCATCAAACATCTTACGACCAAATGGGAAGTTCTCTCCCTACTAAATCGACCTTAGAACTATACACTATTGATTTCTGTCTAAACTGCTATACAGAATGTTCCGTATACCTTTAAGGTTAATCTTTCTAAGGCTACAGAATTTAGTGATAAAGTTTTCAACGCTCAATACGCGATTCACTTCTTGTTTGATCTGAAGCTACAAAGGCAACAAGTTTAAAGAATAAAAAGGTACACAACAATCTACTAAGACAGCAGAAACACCTCTGTATTCATTGCGTATACGACCATCATCAAGCTGGCCCCTAGAGTAAGTGCTTCTGTAATCGTCACCTCTGATCTTGTAGAACACAGTCTGATGGTGGTTAATGATATCGAACAAGAACGCCTCGGTTCTCGTCGCAACCTTTCCTTCTTGCTATCTAAGTGCAGCCTCTTCCTAGCAGTTAGTAGACTCGTGAGCCTAGCTTCTTCCTCCTGTATACGAAAACGCTACCGCATTGCAGTCGTCCTCTGGGTGTCTGGTGGCGTGGTACTCTCGCATATCCTTCAAATTGGAAGGACGCGATGTCGATGCGTTCAAGAACGATGAGAGGGTCTTCCAGAGAATCCATAGGCCTGAACAGGCAGTTCTGCCTCATGTCTAGCCCAATCTTAGCATTATTGTGAGCTCATATTCCACTACTTTCAGCCATAATGAATCATGGCATCGTTTGTTGTCGACCTGGTGGTAGGTAACTTGTGAATTGCTGGTACGTGCAAAGGTGGCGCTGATTTGACGAGGTCTTAAGATGAATTCTATGAGCAGCACAATCGCTGAGGACGATGACGATAGAGCGGAAAGAATGCGAGCGATCTTATAGAGTAATTGCTGCGTTTTGGCGTTTAGAGAGAACAACTATCTATTCTCGTAGTCGTCGCTGTCGTAGTCAGTGCCGTCGTCGATGCCGTTATTGTTGTCACCAGTTCACATTTTGTATGTCTAGTGGGCGAGGGTCGCGGATTTGACGAGCACTTCCTCCTTCTACCGAGACGGACTGCTAATTGTGCTGGTGAGATACTGGCTGAAGAAAGGTAACGGAAAGGAAGATGGTTGTTCATTCTGACCTTGCTCGGAAAGGTGAAGTGGCAATCTACATATTCGTAGAGCGGGTCGGCCATCAGGGCGAAGCTTGGCACATGTGCCTTCTGACGATGCTGCAGCACATTGCCTTCGCCGGGGAAGATCTTCTTACATACTGGGCAGTCGACTGTAAGCGTTATGTCCGTGTGATGAGTGCGCTTGTGGTTCTTGAGGGCGCCCACCAAGGAGAAAGTTGTGATCAGGCCTTCACGAGCCGGTGGTTCTCTGTGCCCATCCTAGCTTGATAGATTTCACCTCAATATTCCCTCAAGGCCTCGACAGCGTATCTGAGATGCTTTTCTATCGAGATTGGAGTTACACAGTGTCTGGTGTGCGGGTTCAGAACTTGTAAGACGTTTTTTTTTAAAGCGAGACTCATCACGAAGGATCTTGTCTGTCAGCTTTGCAAAAGCATGTGAGTGACTTCTGAATCAGAATCATCGTTGGTGTCCGACTGGTTCAGGTCTGGAAGAGCCTTGATGGCCATTATCTCTTGAGCAGATCTTAAAGGCCACATCATTCATGGTGCACTTCTATTTAACAGGAGTCATGTATCAATATCCGATGTTGTAACCGCACCGCGGCTTGTTCTATCGTCCTCTTCTGAGCATTTCATGCGGTGTCTATTGGGGACGTATAGGTTGTACCTTCCCTGGAAGCTCGACAGGTTCCACATTTACATGATACCCGTACATCTCAACTGGGCCGTGATTGTTATCCCAGTGCTGTCCCTTCTGAATGTGAGTTGAGCTGTCCGTACTCAATTCTACAAAACCACTCGGGTGATCATATGCGTATCCTGGTGGCTGTGTCACCTTGTCTGTAGCACCGCGTTTCCGACGAATGAGAACGACACCGAGAATGGTTAAGCATATCACTGTAAGCCCTCCAATGACTCCACCCACTATAGGCCCAATACTTGTTGACTTCTGTTCGTTGGGTGCAGGTGTTGAGCCTGGTGTTGATGATGGGAGGATACTGCCATTTGGATTAAGGGAGGTTGAGCTTTGCGCGTCTGACGTTGTTGGTGGTTGGTTTGAGGTAGCCAAAGAGGCACTGCTTTCAGTACTCGAAGCGGATGTTGTTGTTGCCTCTACTGTATTCGGCACCGCGAAAAGGTTGTCGACGGCGGCAGTGTCTCCGCAGGCAATGTACTCAAATGATTGATCAGGGCCGTTGATTAGGAGCGCTGTAGAACAAAATTGTTCGGAGTCGCTATCTAGTTAGAGGAGTACTCTCTAATATTTGCAAAACAAAGGAGCGACTAACCATGTAAAAGTAGTGATATCGGCTCGATCAGATAGTCTCCCACACCCCGTCGTGCAAGAATGGTTGTCGATGCATAAGCCAGCTAAACCACAGTCTTTGGCCGACAAAACGCTGGTTGGACAAAAACCCCACAAACCGTTTGCGGTGTCGACACGGCATCCGTAGCCAGGGTCAGCTGTTCGAGGATTCTCAGGTTTGCCATCGAGATATCCACAGGTAGTGACAGGTGCGAAGGCTTGCCGTTTATAGAGCCGCTCATCAGCGTGAGCTGCTAGCTGTGTAGCATGCGGCACTACTGGGGCGAACCGGCTGCGAACCGTAGCAGGACTTGAGGAGACCAGCTCAAAAGAGCTGAAAAAGATTAAACCTAAAGAGTAGAGACTGGACATCATTCAAACGAGTGTTAAAGCGAGTGACGACGCGTAGAACGATTGATAGACTAGAAGCAAAAGACGGGATGACTAGGTAGCTGTGACACGAGGATACATGCAGTTTATGGAAACTCCTGAGTACAGCGCATAGTCGCCGTAACTGAGAGCCTGACTTTGGCCATGGTCTATACTGCTTGTATGCAGCCACAGTTTCATGGGGCGATAAATACAAGACAATGTGATGTTCTAGTGGCACCTAGACGCACAAAGAGGTATAGCCAGCTGCCCGTGCTGAACCCTGACTTGAAACTGAGAATGCGTGACGCCGTCCAGCGCTCTTGTCGTGTGAAGTACCTACTTCGTAGGTGTTGGTTCCGCGCTTAGGTCAAATTTAACCTGCGTGATTGGTTGCCGCGTCCGCGGAACTTCTCTCAGGCGCCCACTCATTTCCACGCGGAACGGTGCGAAACCGCCTCAATCATTCACTGGGCAGGCTGCAGGATGGGCGCGATTGCGCTTGTTCATGCTCGTTTACTTAGCACTTGCAGCACGTAGACGCCATCTTTCAAGAAACTTCATCAACCTAGGACCTTCTGCGCTACGTTCTGACTTTGCTCTGTTATCGTTCATTTCTAATGTCACCACCAAAGAGCATGAGATCGCTTCTACAGGCGATCGCACTGCTCTGTGTTGTCTTCTTGTTTGTAGCTGGCTTCGGGTTCTTCCATTATGGTAACGACCTATCGCAGATCAAACCCATCGTCACTGGCATACTCAATCCATCGTCAACAGGTATGTCGCCTCTATTTACTGTTGTGTAGAACGTTTCTTAAGTTCAGGACTAGAAGTAAAACCGAGCGCCGTACCTGAGGCAGCTCAAGCAGTCACCCCGTCAGACAAAGGCAATGCTACTCTCATCGCACAGACGCCACCATACCTGCATGCGATCCTAAATCCGTCAGATTCGACATTTCCTCGTCTTGAATGTTCACAACCAAACCTCGATCGCTATGCCTACTTAGGAGGCTCATCTGGATCACTTCAGCACGCGCAACGTCCTAGATACTTTTTTGCCCTTGACCTACACCAATGTGTTCATCTTCTTCCACGGTTGATTGGTTCTATCGTAGAAACAATGTACTTTCTTGGGCCACAGAACTGTGCGCTTTCCATAGTCGAAGGAAGATCCGATGATGGCACTTTTGAGGTACTCGATCAGCTTCGCGCTAGCATGCAGCTTCTCGGGATTAGGTACTACTTCCAGTCCAGCGATATCAACCCAACGGCCAAAGGGAAAGACCGTATCGAAGGTCTTGCAAAGCTCCGCAACTTAGCCTTGAAAGATCTCATCGCACATCCAGAACATTACGACGAAGACACTACGGTGATATTCTCCAACGATGTGGCTCTATGTATGGAAGATCTCCTGGAGCTAATACATCAGCGCAAGTTTCAAGGGGCGGACCAAACGTGTGCCATGGACTGGACGTACGTTGGCGACAATCCAACATTCTACGATGTCTGGATTGCACGTGGTATGACAGGCGATTTATTCTTCAGAATCCCGGAAGATGGTAGTTGGGACTTTGCCTGGGACCTATTCTGGAATGACCAAAACGCTCATGCGCGCTGGTCTAGTTCAAAACCTTTCCAGGTCTTTTCATGCTGGAACGGTGTGACAGCCTTCACTGCGAGGCCTATTATGGAGAGGAAGATCAAATTCCGAGCACACAAGGAGGACGAATGTTTTCAGGGTGAACCAAAACTGTTCGCCAAGGACATGTGGTTCAATGGCTACGGCAAGATAGCTGTAGTCCCGAGCGTCAACGTGGAATACAGTGATGAGGCCGCAAAGAAGATTAAGGCTCTGAAAGGATACCCATCTAAGCATTTTGCGAATGAAGGGGACGATACCAAAATCAATTGGGAAACCTCGCCGCCGGAGAAGGTGAAATGTATGCCGGTAAGCTCAAAACCTTCCGTATCGCCGTCTTCAGACGGATTCGTTGCTGACAAGTAGCCAATCTAGGATCATCAACACCAGACCTTTGTGGCTTGGGACGAAGGCTTGCGGCCTTGATGTTGTCAGAAGATCAAATGCCAAATTCAAACACTACCTCTGGAACTAGGCACTACATCCAGCATAAAGCTACCGTCATAGATCCAAGCTGTTAGGCATTGTGTCCGCCCAAGGCATGGCGTTGGTACGCAGAGCAACGAGCTCTATCAGATGGAATCGATTCACTTGTTTGCAGCGCGAAATGCACAGCTCAAGTGTGTGTTGTACGAACGAGTGAAGATCGTTGGAAGGCATGTGGCAGGCTAACCAGAATGCTGTTGTTAGGCAGTTATGTTGATCCAAACTACAATATAGGTCACATACGACCATAGGACACTGAAAATTAGGCTTCCCGTCCGCTCAGCCATATACAAGCAGTGTACCGGCGGATTAGTAGTTAGGTGGGTGACCACTAGCGAATCCCCGCTGTTGTATGTTTTTGCCAGTGTGCGAGTCATATTTTTGCTCCACCCTACTACTGTGAAGAGACCATACATGATGACAACAAACTGAAGAGCAGCTAGGACGTACAAGCCGATTCTAGATCGATGGAGTCGAGTCGGACAAAGACTTTTGTTTAGTAGTGGGTATCATCGTATAGAAATTTAGACAACAAGAAATCGGCTCATGCAGCCTCTTCCTCAGCAGCGACCTTGGGCTCTGCTTCGCCACCGCCCTCTCCATCTTTGAACAACTCCTGACCTAGTTCCTCGAGAAATTTCTCTGCCTGTCCTTTGCTTCTCTTCTCCTGTATAGCCCTTTTCTTGTCTTTGACCATGGCCTTCCTCTTTTCGACAGCCTCTTTGCGTTCCCGCCTCACGCGCTCCGTATCTTCTCTTTCCTTCTCAATCCGACTCATCTGCTCTTTTCGTTCCTCTTCATCATTGGAGAAGTTGAAGAAGCCCATTCCGCGTTGCCTCACCTCGGCTCTGCCGTCAAAGTGTACCTCAGGTGGCGGCGTGAGTTCTTTGTCGCGCTTGGCGGCTAGGTCGGCCATTTGCTGGGCGATTGTCTCATCAGGGTTGAAGGCTTGCGTCTGCACGGTGTCGCCGAAGATTATATTAGTCGGCATACTAGGCCGCGCGGTAAAACGGTCGGGTTCGTCGGCGGCAAGGGTTCGCTTTCGACGCTCTTCGCGGGCAGCTTCTGCACGCGTGCCCTTTCGTGTGCGACCGAACTCATCCGTGTATTCTACGAGTTCCTCTTCTTCGTCGTCTTCTGATTCTGACGTTGTGGTGTGTTCTGCCTCGCCCTTTTCTTGCTGCTCAGCCCATTTGCGATCGAAATCGACGCCGTATCTGTCGTCAATGTCTTCTACGTCGCCGCGCTTCAGGGCGTCGTACAGACGCGCTTTCTCTTCCATGCGCCGCTTTGTGCGCTTCCATGCGACTTCATCCTCGCCTTTCTCCTCAGTTGTCCGTCCGCGATGCTTCTGTGTGAAATCCGTGTCTTCCAAATCTTTCAACGCGCGCTTTCTGACGTTCTTGTTGTGGGTCTTGAAGATGTCTTCCTTCTGCGGGCGTGCGCGGCCTGCGGTGGGCTTGTTCGATTCGGTAGAAGAGTTCTTGATGAGGTTGGAGAGGGTGGATGAGAAAGCGAGGCTGCTGGAGCTGGAGATTTCCTTGGCCTTTGTGCGTCCCTTTGGTCGGGCACCGTATAGATGTGCGTCTTTGGAGGACATGGTGGGGGCTGAAGGTTGGAGTCGATTGGGCTGATGCTCGTCGCGTGGTGGAGCGCGTAGGGCTGAGACGCGGCGAGGCGAGGCGATGTCGGCGTCGGAGCTCTGAGCTTGTTGCGTCACTGAGCTACCCCACCGATTGTTTTACTTACCCCACGTCGAAGCCGTGTAAATTGGCGGTTCCGCAGAAGTCAACGCTCCCTTCTCTTTTCCAGTCCCACTATCCTCCCTCTCGTTCTTGAAGAGTCTAGAAATACTTCACCTTCTGCGTACGAGTCTGATACATCCAATTGACCACGCCAAACCAACCATGCCTCTGCCTCGTCAAGTATTCATCGCCGTTATCGGTACGCGCAACAAACCTCTATTTCACATGTGTACGGCTAAGAATTACAGGTGCCGGTGGTGTAGGCAAAGCCTTCCTCTCCCAGCTGTCAGCCCTCTCCAAACGCCTCTCCCAATCACCCTCGTCACCGTACTATCTCTCCCTCATCTGGCTCAGCACTTCCAAGAAAGCTGTCTACCACGCCGACTACAAGTCCCTCTCCAACTGGGAATCCGAGCTTCAGAACACGTCCAAGCCTACATTGCCTCTCCCTCAGCTCTGCGAATACCTACAGAAAGCGCCTGGTAAGGTGGTACTGGTGGACAACACCAGCAATCAGGACGTTGCCGACAGCTACCCCAATTTCTTAAAGAAGGGCATTAGCATTGTAACACCAAACAAGAAGGCTTTCTCTGGAAGCTATGAGCTATGGACGCAGATATTTGACGCTGCGAGCAACGGGAACGGTGCTGGTGGCTACGTCTTCCACGAGTCGTCAGTCGGCGCAGGACTGCCTGTCATCTCTACACTGAAGGACTTGGTTGAGACTGGAGACCAAGTCACAAAGATTGAGGGCGTCTTCAGCGGAACCATGAGTTTCCTCTTCAACTCCTTCCAGCCTCTCGGTGGCGGAGGTGGAAAGTTCTCAGCTGAAGTCACATCAGCCAAAGAAAAGGGTTACACAGAACCAGATGCTCGCGATGATTTAAACGGCCTAGACGTCGCTCGCAAACTAACCATCCTAGCTCGCCTCGCTGGCCTGAAGGTCGAATCGCCGACATCCTTCCCCGTACAATCTCTCATCCCCAAAGAGCTCGAGTCCTGCTCATCTGGCGACGAGTTCCTTGAGAAGCTCCCACAGTACGACGACCAGATGGAGAAGCTCAAGGCCGAGGCAGAGAAGGAAGGCAAAGTCATCCGGTTTGTAGGAAGTGTGGACGTGCCAAACAACAAGGTCAAGGTCGGGTTGGAGAAGTTCGACACAAGCCATCCGATTGCAGCACTCAAAGGAAGTGACAACATCATCGCATTCTACACAAAGCGGTACGGCGACAACCCACTCATCATCCAGGGAGCCGGTGCTGGCGGCGAAGTCACTGCGATGGGTGTTACTGCGGACCTAGTCAAGGTGCTCCGGTTATTGCACTAAGGAGTTGATTGTGGGGAAAATTCATGTAAACTAAGATTTCAGTGTAGCCGTTGCCACCAGGAGGCTTACCTACCCGTAGCAACTACCTACCAACCACTATACCGATCATCTCACTATCGAAAACCACACCAGATTGCATTAGCACCCCATGTTCATAGCGATGTGTCGCGACCGCTGCGTCTGATCACCTGTGCTTCTCCGTTGCACCGAGTGACATGATCGTCATGTCTCCGTTGTCGCCGAACCTTGTTTCTTTGTCGATCAGGGCGCAACTGATACCATCCCTTGCTGCAAACCACACACTCGGCAAGAATGATGTGCATCAATGGAACTTTCCAGTCAGGTCGATCTCTCGGCGTCAATTGCTTGATCTGTGAGATTGCTTGTTTCGAGACACTGGTGCGAAGCTTATGTTGATATGGAAGGCTTGTTAATGTGTGACGTTGACGTATGGGCGATCATATTGACCCTGCGTGTTTGTGCTCGTGTTTGTGAAGTGGACATTTATCTGCCACTTGTTTTGTAGTCTGTGCTGCCGTTGAAATTTAGTTGTTGTAGGACAAGTATTAGCGTCTTCGCTTCGTCTCTGCTCACTATCACAGCCCAGTTCCATATCTAGGCATACGCGATTCGGGTGTTCGGCGAGAGGGGAAGGAAGTCACATGATTACCAAGCGTACCAGAGTATCGAAACGGCACACTCCAGAAGAAAGTGCCGATGTGAAAACAGATCTTCGAAGCAGGATGATGCAGTTCAAAGTGCAAACCATGGATCGCTCTGCAGGATGAGAAAGTCAAGCATGTTGATCGTAAGCTTGGTATGCTTAATGTTCCTCTTGGGTAGATCGGTCTCCCTCATATTCTGTAGAGTTTATGGACTTCTCCGGCATGTAGGGATCTGCAGACATTGTTCATGGCGCAAACCAGATTTTAACCCACAACAAGCTTTGGGAAATTATCCATGCACGTTTGACTAAAGCTTCTAAAATGTCCAGCGTCGTATTCGGCGAGAAACGCATTCTTCACCGACGCGGAGAAGGTTGGCCACAAGATCAGACCTCTTTTTTCTCTTCATAATGCTTGCTCGGGAGGAAACGGGTATCCGGGCGGAGCGGAATATGCGGTGTATTAGTATACACTTGTGAGGCTTGGCGTCGAACAAAGGGTGTCGTGATGTACCTAGCGTACATGCCTGCATGCGCGGGTGGATATCGATTAGCATAGCTTCGAAGAGCGGTGACGCGTGTTTACCAAAAGACAAGGTCTAGACTAATGCGCCGAGCAGTGTTTCTTTTCCAGCACCTGCATATGAGCGGAAGTGTGGCACGGAAGTGTGGCACAGATTCGTAACATCATGCACAAATGTGGCGCGTGGTCTCTTCGCAATGGACAGTAGAGTGCTTGGAATACTTTGACAGGATGCACGGCGCACACGTAATTGTTTGCAAACATGTAAATTTTGTAACGAACTAGCTTCTAGAACACGTTCCCCTTGAGTCATTCGTAAGTCATAGCAACAAGCGAGGGGGAAAAAGAGGAAACGCCTGTGCTTGTGACGCACAAACGTTTTGCGCTGTCGCTGCGTGGCAGCCCAACGCCAAGAAATCCTAATAAATCCAAACAGAAGCGGAAGTAAACGCAGGTTGCCCTTGCCCTCTTCGTGTTCGCCTGAAGTACTCCCTGTCCTTTTTTACGTGAGAACGCCGCGGCCGAAATGAGTGCGCAAATGTACCCGTCGCTAGGGCATGTTTTCGCGCACAGAAAGTAAGAGCAGTGTGGGTATCCGAAGTAGAAGTGAGATGAGATGAGCTGGCCAAAGCGCGCTAGGCGATATCGAGAAAAAGCAGATACAAGAAGTAAAGAGTGGGGTGTTGGTAGTCGTGAAGAGAGTTGAGAGTGTGTTCACTCAAAACCAGACTGGTGTGGCTAGTGACCTGCTGTCGGCGGAGTGCATGTGCATGTGATTATAGCGTGGTGATGCTGTCCGGGCCGAGGAACGTGGCTAAGTGGATCCGATGGGGAAGCGACTCCTCATTTCAGCCACAGTCTAGACTCCAACGACGCTATGCGAACCACCAAGAGCTGAGAGGTGGGCTGTGCAGTTGACGTGGCCAAGGAGAGTAAAGCATCTACCGTCTGATCATCTGAAGATGGTGGAGATGCGCTTGGTGCGCTGCCGGACACGCGAGAGCATGTTGGCTTTGTATGGCTCAGCCGGCATGGAGATTGATGGATGTCGCATGCTTGTGCGGTCGTTGCTCGATGTGTCGCTCGGGCTTGTAGCGCTGCTGCTCTCGGCATCGTCTTCTCGTACGGCAGGGTACGGCTGCTCAGCCGAGGGGAAGAAGTAGGCGTCAAGTCGAGAGTTCATTGCGCGGTTCTTCTCAGAAGCTGCTGTGACCAAGCTGCTCTTGCTACCTACGCTGGTAGCGCTGTCGGTTCGGGTGATGTTGTCGAGACGGATGTCACGACGGGCTGCGTTCAAAGAGGTCGAGTGTGCACGCGCAAGTCCTGAGAGAGAGCCGACTGGCGGTGCCGGTCCATCGCCTATGAGCTTGTACTCAAACTCGGAGACGTGACCATGGCAGTAGGGGCAGTGATCGCACTTGACCTCCCATCCTGAAATCCCCAGCTTCTTCCCGCATGTGGAGAGGTTGCTGGATGGGCTGCATGGGCGAACGAGGTGGTACCAGCGGTGCTGGCACGGAAGAACCGTGACGCAGAGTTCGGCGACGCACATTGTAGCGTCGTGTTCAAGTAATGTCGAGATAAATTCGTTTGTGGGCACAGGTATCTGAAGACGTTTTGGCTGATGGCGACGTCGTGATGGAAGACGTGATGTTGGTCCTGGAGATGATGCTCGGGATGCGGTCACAAGATCAAGACGGGTGGCAATCTGGGGTAGACGCTAGTGGCCAATATTGGAAAGGCGGTGGTAATGGTAGAGTATCGGCGTAGGTGCAAGATGCGGCTGCGGTTGCTGTTACTCGCAAACAAGCGGCGGGTCAGATGTTTTAAGTGCAGGAGGGCCGTGAAGTGGAGATTGACAGTGTAGGATGCCGTGTGCCAAGGCGTAGGAGCTGATTGGGACGCGCGTGGTCGATCACCCCTTACCTCCTTCCTTAGTGTGTCGTAGGCGGGGAACGATAAATGCGGCGGAATTTAGAGCGGACAAGTGCGATACGGGAGGCAGGAACGGCGAAAAGGACGGTGTTAGACAAGCCCAAGCTTCGGAACTTGGTGGAATGACGCTGCGTCTTCGGTGTCGGTGGCTTGGTAAGGTTGGCTTACTATAGCAGGCAACAGAGCGGACGAACGATGCAATCGGACGATGAGTCAGGAAAGTCGCTGCAGGATGATGATGATCAAGTCGGTCTTGCCCAGCTGGCGTTTATGAATAAACGGTACTGGGAGGGCGACTATTATGGTATTTAACACGACGGACCACTGTGTTGGGCGGACAGGGGTGCGGGGTTCTAGCGCTGAATTGATTGTCCAGGACTCCAGGTGTGCCCAAGCCTAGCAACGCCCGTGATTCAAACAAGGCGACTCCTTCATGCCCGCCGCGGCGCCGGGACAGAAACGCGGGCTCTTGCACTAACGGCGTTATAAGCAGATCCGTGCCGGAACGCTGGATTCGTGTGGCATGCCTTCACACCGCTCTCAGATAACGACGTGCTCCGTTCGCCGTGTCAGGGACCCTTTGAAAGCCTCTGGCAGCCAGCATGTGGGAATGTGCAAGTCTTATTGGCACTAGCCCCCCTGTCTCACGCGTGCGACAATCATAGAAAACTGCCCTGACACGACAACGCTCAGACTCTCTGGTAATCAACGTCGTAACAAGGGGGCTGCTCTTTTGCCAAAAATCATCCCCTGCCTTCCACACCCAAAGCTTGCTGAACACACATCGGCCCGGTAGCGAGCGGAACATATTGAAACCCAGGTCAGCGCCTACGGGTGAGCATGCTGAGATCGCCCACTTAGGCATGGCCAGATTGCATTTCAGATGAAGTCATGCCTCGTGGCCTTTGACGTGCTCCACTTTCCGATGCTACTTTTCACCCGCCATCGCCAGATCACAAATCAAGAGTCAAGTCCATCACCGTGCCACAGAATCATTTTCTCTCGCTTCGCCTTAGCTAAATGCAGCTCCCTCTCGCCTTGCTGCCCCAAATCAGATGTTTATGGAAAGAAGCAACCACCCAAATGTACGCGGCACTTATCTTGAATTCTGCCCACGATGTGGAACACAGACGTCAACAACGGCCCCATGCTAGGATGCCGCTCGCGTGCATCATGATTGACTAGAAACACGGCTACACATGCAACATTCCGGTAAGACATGCTTTATCACAGGCTACACAACAATATCCATGTCCAAGGTGCATAGTAGCAAACCTGCCGATCGTGCGATCAGTCAGACAACTCCCATATGCAGCAGGATAGCCGTTGCAGCCCTAGTCGTTGATCCTCACCCTTTCATGTATTCCCGTCCTCACGGACCTACGCAAAGTTCAACCACCCGCATCATTCAGGCATCCATATTACTCTGAATGAGCATGCCGCCCAAGGGGTCGGGAAACCACAGAAACGCCAGATCAAAGCTAAATTGTCAGTGTGTCAGGACCCATGACAGGAGCGCCCTAATCGTAATCGGCCCACCCGCACAGCCTCAACGCCTTCATGCATCAGCTCGTCTCGCAACGCCTGCTCATTCGCTCCGCTCACCTCACGCGTCTCTCACGCTCCTTGGCATAGACTAAACACCTTGGCCCCGCCTTGGCTTGGATCCGATCTTCGTTCACATTTCGACCCCGCTTCGCGACCAACTCCAACACTCGCCTAGCATCACGCGGCATGCTACTCCAAGTCGCAAGGCCATGTACAGGCTGCTAAAGATGCGCTATATATGATGCCTAGCCAAGTGTCTACTCAGCCACGAGGCATTTCTTGACCTATCGAGAATGTTTGACAAAGTGTGTATGCCCAGATTGTCGTGTAACTTGCGTAGACCCGGCAAGACAATGACGGTTCCAAACCTGTGGCTATCATACCACCCCAAGCTCCAAGTCTTATTCTGCGGTGCTGGCGGCCTTGCTAGCTGTTCCGGCATACATGCCACTGGTGCCAGCACAGATACACAAGCCACGCGACACAGATAGCATGACTTTCGAGTCATACCGTAATCGAGTTTGAAGTCGATGCTCTCCTTGTTGCAGTCTTAATGCTGGTTTCGGACAATGATACTCGTTGCTGCGAAGGATTTCATGCGTCTCAAATATGACGAAGAAGACATGATCCTTGTTGCGTCCCGACCCGCTCTCTGTGAGGAGTGGGAGACGTACAGGTAAGTAACGATGCTCTAAGCTTCAGGAAAACTGCCATCGACGAGCTTACTCTGGTCCGTACGACCTCATTCCAAATTTGGCGGAACGTTCAGGACCTGTCCTAATATCTGAGAATCCCTAATACCTGCAAATAGAGATGCATTTCCATTACCTAGAGCTTCTCTTAGCTCCACGTCACATGTATACTAAAAGGCTATCAGGTGCAGCAACCACTAATCTGCGTGCTAGTGATCCTCTATGGCTTGATTACAGCGAAGAGTTGCGATCGGTTTCTAGCTGCATCGAGCCCAACGTGATTCTACTACTGGACACTACTAGTGCTACATGGATGATACTTTTTGTACAAACGGCAATCTACGGGTTGTAGTCAAATGGTTACTTCTTCCACTGTGGACAACGGCAATTGACAGCAAAATGATTTTCAAGTCACCTTAGATACTTGTTCCAACCCGCAAAAAGTAAGCTTACTACTTGGCTACGCTTCGGTATCGTGCCCTCACTGTATCCTGTGATATGCATGTGGGTGAAGATTCAGGAGAGCAGTTTAATCATGGAAGCTTGCCTGTGCGAGGCGCTGCAGTTTGGAACTGACGCCGATTCCGATTCTTCCGTTGCCGTCCAGAGTTCTGGGTATGGATAAGAACTTCTCGATGGATACGTACATATCGGCACTTGTCGAGCTCTTTGTATGATTGAGTTGTGTACGTATACTTCATTGACTAGAAAGTGATGCTTCATAGTTGGAGCCAAAGTCCCACTCCTATACTAGAAGCCAATGCTAGCACAGCCTCACCACCTCGTCCAAGGACCCTCTCGGCACTGGACTCGTCGTCATGTGGGCCATAGTGCTCATCAAGTACCTCTTTCACACTCCTCGGAGCCCGACTTCCCTCCTGTATATTTTCAGGCCTTAAACAAACCGCCTTCGCATGAGTTTCCCGGCTGCTGCCTCCTCTAGTACTGGAGACTGTAGGATAGAAAGTCATGATGTCCACGATGGGAAAGTTAAGCGCTACGTCGTAGTCAGTCGTTTGGTAGATCCTATTACCCCAGCTGCTGCTGAGATTTCGGTCGCCGCACGTGGGTACGATGACGTCATCAGAGAATGAAGTTATATTAATGCCTTGGTCCCACTTCCATATGCGGTCTTCAGCGGAAGTGTTGAGGCGGACAACATCTGTAACAGCAATTAGCTTAACTTAGGCTTCTTCGTTGCCACAGACCTAGAACTTACCCATTGTCACAGCCTCAGATATCATGCCTTCACATTCAGAAGGTATAGTATTCTGGATAGCAGAGCAGGGCGGGTACTGGTCATCGTTCCATGCAGCTTGTCCTTGTCTTCGATACCATGACTCGAGCGCCTCTACACACTCTGTTCCCAACATGGTCTTACAATCCCCATCATCTTCCCCAGCCCTCTCCAATACCTCTCTACTCCACGCCAACTCTCCAGTGGTGCGGTTCTGTAAAGGAACAAAGCTGTGACATAGGCCCATTATATCGCCTAGACGCTCCATGTCCGAGTCTCCAGTGTCAAGCCATAGAACAGCTTGGGTTTCGTTCTCGTTGTACTTCGCCATGCCGCCATTATACCCAGGCCCAATGTAGGACGAGATTTTCCAAGTAGTTTGGTCGTCTTCTGTGATGGCCACCCTCTCCTCGTCTCCAAGCCATACGAGGTTTAGGGCCGTTGTATTCTGGATGATGGAAGCGTTGTGTGCTAGGCTTTCAGAGAGATCGTCGCATGTCAAAGATTGAGATTGTGATTCAGAAGTGTTTTGAGCAAAGGATGTGGTAGCTAGCACTGAAGGTAAGAGCAAGTGCTTGATAAGGGTAGACATAGTGGTGGGTGTTTGGGAGGAAAGCGAGCTATCTCAACAGTAGAGGCATAGCGGTTGCAGTGGCTTCCTCCTTCTTTATACACCCCACCTAGGCAGTGTTAGAACATTACACCACACTCGCCTTGCTTTCGAGTGTTAGGCGTACCTCGCAGCACATCATTGCCATATAGTAGTGCTCTTGGCAAACAATGCTCTACATCGAAGTCTTCCACACGGGACCAGGAACACAGCCTCGCTTGTGGACAAAAAATACGAACCGGCCAAACAGAATCGAAGATAGCTCTTCTTTCGAAGCTACTACAGACGGGATTTACATGATACTGCTATTTCGGGTAAACTACGTAAGAACGCCTTAGCCGATAACCGGAAAATATGGAGCACTGGAGCGTCTTGGCGAGACACGCAACAAAGGGTATGGAAAGACAATAAGGTGCTATGACGTAGGTTCAGCGTTCAGCTTCTCTGCCAGTATCATGGTACCATATCTATAAGCTACATGCTGTACCACTGTCTTTATTAGAATAACCCACAATCAGCTACACCTTAGCGATACTGCTCCATTGTTATCCTTGGGTTGCTTTCCATGCTCAAATAATTGTGTGTTATAGCAGTGAACGCCGGCTGATATGCTCAGATAACCCGATGATGAGTATGTGAGAATAATGTACACAAAACCTTTCAGACATGTTGCGAACGATGTCTACTTCTTTGATGCTTTGCCCTGGTATTCAATATCGTACTGGAAGAAGCTGTCCCATATACTTCCTTTCCTCGCGAGCGGCGACTTGCGAGAGTCAGCAAGAGAACCCCTCAGATCGCTTAAACTTCCTAGTCTGTTCTTGGTCGGAGATGTCTCTGATCGTGAATTGGCTGGGCCTGACACAGAGGTCTTGCGCAGAGTTTGAAGCTGGGCGATAGAAGACTGTCGTAGTGTCAGCGATGTTGATAAATGGTTGTTATTAGGGGAGCTTAGATTTACAGGAAGCGAAAACCTAAGGTCCCCAAAGTAGGTCGCGCACATTGCCTCCATTTCCATCATCTATTGACTTGTCCCCACCATTCGTCGACGTCTCCCTTAGATGGCTGGGACCGTGTGCGCCAGCTGGACTTGCGCCCCGTGTTGCCGTGGCGGAGTTAGGATTCGAGTCGGGACGTTCAGCTGGGGAGAGCGCTTCTGCTGAGTTGTGACGACCAACCAATGGTGCGCTCTTTCTGCTAGTTCCGCTACTGCGCCGGCTATCGAGTGATTTTCCAAGTTGAGTTGCTGGGTCCATGGAGGACTTCTTCTTTGCCTTTTGCATTTCGCCTTGTCCAGTTTCTAGACTGCTCTTCACAGTAACCGCACCTTTGATACCTGGGGTACCAGGTGCCATTGCTTTCTCTTCTGTCGCCTCCAGTAGGTACCATCGTAGTCCATCAGACAGCTCGAAAGGATTGTCGTCCTCGAATGAAACGGCGTTGCTGGAAGCGACAGAACGACCGTCTAACGATGCTCGAGGTGCACCGTCGAGTGTCTTGGAGAGGTCAACGACGCGCTCTTCCACTTTTGATATGCGCGCCACAAGCCACTCTTTTCCACCCAATCGATGCGTGTCTTGTTCGCGAAGGAAGAAGTGCGGCGCTCCAACATTGAAGGCAGCCCAAGGACGATGAGCATTGTTACGAGTCGGCAAGAACAGTGCAAGATCACCTTCTTTAAATGACCGATAGGCGATCTTGTCGTGTGAGTCAGCTTGGAAGCGATGGGCTTTATCCCGATAGGCTCGTGCTTCCTTCTGCCACTTCCGTGCCGTGTGCTCCATGTCGCGCATCCGCTTCGCAACGGCGTCACTAAAGGTTTCGGTGTTGAAAAGCTCGAGCTTCTCAATAAGCTCCTGGTATCGTTGGTCTTCTTCCTCTGGACTCGTAGCTTCAGTCCACTGAAGGAAGTGGAGGTCTCCGACGTCTTCTAAGAAGCGTTTCAGAGGAGTGGGCGAGGGCGTAGTAGTACTTCGACTAAGTCCCGCATTGGTGTCCGTCATGATGGTGCTGCCACCGAGCCTAGACGCTCGTTGAAGAACCATCTCGCCGTTCTCATGGGTGATGACAAATCCAAGTGCTTCAACTAGACGAATAAGGCGCTCATGCTGTGTGTATAGACGTTGACTGAGGTCTTTCGCACGATGCATACGTTGGTGGGTGCGGGACGAATCAGCCTCTTCAAGCTTGCGCAGTTTCTTCTCTACCCGCATAAGCTCGACATCCAGACTGTTGGCGTGCGAGCTTTTCTCCGCCAACTCCGTTTGAAGACGGCCAACCTTGGCTTCTTCTTCCTCAACACGCTTTCGCAGAGCTTCAGAGCCGGTCTCGCCTTCAGCGAACTTCTCGCGGAGGCTGTGCAGATGGCTCCGTTCCTCCTCGAGTTCTGTAGTGATAGAAGCAACGCGAGCTCTCTCTACGTCAAGCTCTTCACGAACAGCTGTAACCTCTTTCTCATGTTCGGCTAGCTTAGCGTTGAGATTGTGTTCTTGCTCCTCGATCCTAGCATGGGCATTCTCGTTGTCTGACTTTGCCATCGCCAGGGCCTGCTGGAGTTCTTTCTGATGATCAAGTGATCGAATCGCTAGGTCTTCAAGCTGCGCGACGAGTGTGGAATGATCATCGGGTACACTCGTATCAGGAGAGAGATGGTTGAAGGTTGCAGTCAGCGAGTCCAGCTGCCGCGTCTTGACGGCGTTTCGTTCATCGAGTTCAGCTTGTAGGGCTTCAACGCGCTTTTCGGCTTGTCTGCTCTGCTCGGCAGCGTCTTTACGCGCCTTCTCGACCTGGAACACCAGCTCCTGTACTCTGGCATCCACACCCGTTCGCTCGTTGTCCCGACTACCCAAGACACGATCCAGTTCATCTTCGGTTTCTTCGATTTTGGCTTTGTACGCTCGAATCTCGTCCTCAAGCGATTTACGCTCGTCGGCAAACTCTCTTTGTTGCGCTCTCATATTCTCCATGATGTTATTCTTCGTAGACATGGCCTCCTCGAATCGGCGTTGTTGATCTGCATCGTCGTCTCTCCGAGCTTGAGCATCATTCTCGAGTTTCGTACGAGCTTCCTTCTCTGCTGCTAGCTGCTGTTCAAGGCGAAGAATACGGCGCTTGTCTTCTTGTCCTGTGTTCGCTGAATACCGTCTAGAGGAAATCGAAGAGCGTCGGGATAGCTCTTCTTGAGGTCTAGGTGAAGCGACTTCGGCTGTTGGCGTCGAAGGGTCGCCCGGATCGGGAATGCCAAAAGACGGCGGAGCGCCACCTATTGAAAGTCTGCTAACGGTACTCTGACGATGTACGAGATCCTCCAGCCGACGGACCCGACTCCTGTAACCTTTTAGCTCATCCTCGAGCTTCGCGTTACCTTCCTTCAGCACACGTAGCTCATCGTCACCTCGCATCATGAGTTGTGAGGTCCTGCCAAAGGCCGGCTCATGGACACTACCCATCTTGAAATTCTTTGCACGCTTGATCTGCTGCTTCGTAGGACGGTCCAGATCCTTGATAGCCTGGGCAAATGCTTCGGCTTCGGATTCTTGTCCATCCAACCTCTGCAAGTCCTTGAGGTATTCTAGAAGCTCTTCCCGGGTAACCATCGGCCAAACGGTCTTCTCAGGTTGTATGTTCAACTCGAATCCCAGCGAGCCCCCTTGCAAGGCGTCCAGGTTGACAACATCCGATATTGGCTTCAGCCACTTTTTACGCCGACGCTCTTCTTCTTCCTGGAAAGTTGCCATCTCTTCAGCGAGCGAGGATGTATCCTTTTCCATCCTTTCTGTCCACTCGCGTCTTCGGACGGCTTCGATTAGTAGTGTGCCGTATACGTACGGCAGACGACCAACGAGAGATATGAGCTCGAAAGCAGCGACACCATCTTGTGGTATACTAATCTGCTCGAGCTGCGCACCTATGGTTGCAATAACTGACTCAATATTCGCGATGGCCTGCATACTTTCCACCGAGTTTCTGATGGCAGTATTCTTTTGCTCGACAGCCCGTCGTACGAGATCGCTCATCTCCACGCTGTATTCTTGTATGGCTGGTAGAAAGTTTCGCGTATGGAGCAATGCCATTTTAGATACCTGCGCTACGGATTTCGAGCTTGCTTCTAGTCCCATGACATGTTCAAAGTCAGACTCGACCTTCTTCACGACGGCATCGATTTCGTTGTATAGGCGTGTAGGCTCTTCGGAATCGTCAGCGATGGATCGACTCTGACTCTGTCCCACGGCACCCAAGAGCTCGTTGTAATCGGCCTCGATTTTCTCTAGCTGCATGCGCATTTTGTCCATGTGCTTCCCAAAAGACTCTCGGACACGCTTGCTTGTCGATGTAGCCTTCTTGACAGCTTCGACGTCGAGGAATTCCTGAAGGGTCTTGCGAACAAGGGCGTTGTTGGGCACACTCTGTGGAGACCGCATCTCTTTGGCCAGGAAGCGCGTGAAGTTCAGGATGGCGGGAACCGTGCCCAGCTGTTCAAAGTCGGCATCAAGTCTCCGTATATTATCCCCAGCTTCCTTCTCGACTCCATCATACCACTCCCTGGCTGCCTGGTACTTCTGCTCTAGACCCTTGATGTGTGCATCGTGGTTTCCAACGGCGACCTGAGTCCCTCTCTCGATGGTGGCTTGTTCGGCGAAATGCTTCGAGGCGATATGGGACATGGAGTGTGACTTCTCGAGAAGCCCAAACGCCCAATCGCGGCGGGCTTGGAAGAGAGCCTGCCATGCTCCGAGATCGGTGTTCTTCGCAAGATGGTTTGGCGCATCGTCGGGCTGGAAGGCATCGGGCAGTGGCGTCGAGGATATGGCAGCCTGGGGATTATTGGAGAGTTCGCGACTGAAGACGAATATCTCTTTCTGAAGAAGAGGGATTAGCATGTTTCATGCGTCGCCTGTGAGAGATTCGTACCTCGGTCAAGAGCGCTTGCAGCTTGACATGTTTGCCTTGTGTTGTGAGTAGGACTTGTTGCTCGGGCGCTATGTCTGTCGCCCTCGAGATCCAGTGCTTGAGCGCATCAACAGACGCAAAGGCAACGGGATCAGCGTCAAGGCGCTGGCCCGTATGAGCTACAGCAATCTGTAGCGACATTCGGCCTTGCCCTCCCGCTTGGTGGAGTCTTGTCGAGACTGTGCAAGAGGAGTTTGTGGCTTGGAGAGTTGAGGCGTGAGCACATGGTTACCAGATACCGCCAAGGATGGTTCATGCAGGGATCGGCGCATTAGCGAGGCTGCATCATAGGGAACTAGATAGACGATCGCGTTCGGTCAGATGAACATGGTCTCGGTCGCAAACTTGGAATCACTTGAATCAAAGCGATAGCAACATGGCGGCAAGAGGCCATGTTGACATGATGGACGTGGTGTCTAGAACACAAGACACAAGCGACTACGCGGACCTGCTACAAACAAATCACAGCGACGCGTTCGCGTTTTCCGAGGCGGAGAAGCTAGCCCTACAGCTCTACGATCAGCTCAAGGAACTTGAGTTGCAGCACAGTCTTATTGAAGCACAACAATCAGGCACGTCTCACAACTGGTATGGTCTGGGAGTAGAGAATGTTAACTGCGTTTTATAGCCGACGCACATGACGCTTCAGCAACCCCAGATGACCTGCTGGAGGGGCGCCTGACTGTAGCGCAGCGCGAAGCTATGGACGCGAGGGCAGAGTATGAGATAAGGAACAAAATCACACACAACGTGCTAGTAATGGATCCTGTCCTGAAAGCCGTTTATGAGGGCGAGCAGACTGGGTTTGCAGAGAAGTGAGTTATCGCAAAGACACTTCTGGATCATGGTCTGATGCTGTGTAGACGCATACTGCCGCTGGTCACCGAGAATGATACTGTTTTTATGATGCATGGTGCTCTGACGTCGAGGCTTGCTCACACAACTCGGTCGCAGAGCACAGCCGAACACAGCAACATGACGGAAAACCAAAGACATGAAGAACTCGCAAAAACGATGCTTGCTCTAGCTGAAGAGATGAAGACGCAGTCGGCGCATGACATTGAAGACGCACAATTACGCCAACGGGTCGATGCAGTCGACAAGGAGCTCAAGGACTCAAGGCGAAGGGCGAAGACGCTGAAGGGTATATTGTCGGCCATGATAGTAGGTAGCGGGATCAATTGGGCTGCAGACGAGGGCCTGACCGAGCTCGTCATGGAGGATGAAGACGATTGAGTGACAATGACAGGGTCGTTCGTGGCTACAGCTCTTGATAACATTGGGAAGTGTGGGAAAAGCTACTGTGGTAGGTAGCGATGTTTGTTGATGATGAACGTCATGGCTGTTGCTAGGGCGATGGATCTTTATGGAAGCACACGGAACTTTCAGAACAAGCTGAGTGCCTAGCACTTCTAGGTGAATGAAATCGACTTTTTGATCGTCGGACGTGAGCAGTGGTCGAATTGCGTCTTGGGTGAACCTAGTGACGGCTTCCGAGCTCGGTCCGGGCGCTGTGAATAGCCAGACCGCTGTGGCCGGAAGCGGGTGCAGAGGCCGCCGCCCATGACCATGGCGTGCCTAGGCATCGAGGGAGACGACTGCCACGGGCTGTGGTGCAGAGCGTGGCATGCGAGGCAGGCTGACATGTTGCTTCATGGTCTTTGGCAGCTGCTAGGAACATCAAACGGGCTGCAGGACGGACATAGTCTGAGGGGGCAGGCAGGATGCGCGACTGGGACTGGATGCTGGGTGCTTTGGTGCTCGGGGAAGAACATCAGCCAGCCGCGCTATGAATGATAACGTCAAGGGCCGCCTCTGATGGATGCGTCCAACGAATGGTAGAGCGTGTGCTTCTGCGTGCAATCTAACCAAACTTGAAACTCGCCAGGAAAGAACGAAGGGCAGCGCCTCCGCGCCCAGGGATGCGCCGTGTAGCCCGCCGCCGTGCAAAGGAGACGACGGCGACGAGCAGCGCAGTCTTCTGGCGACTGATGCGGACGCGAACGTGTGCCATGTCAAAGAGACACAGCGAAGCCGTCCAAGACTGCCGTTGTCCGCACTGTCGCATGCGGTGAGGGAGCGCAGCAGCGGTTGGATGAAGGAGGGGTTGTGGTCCGGGTGCGTGTGCTATGGCAGTAGCAAAACAAGCGTGCCTGCCTCGTTCGTACCTTAGGTAAGCAGCTCTGTTGTTCGGGGAGGCGCGCCTGCCCTCTCACAAAATGTGCTGCTGAGCCCTCACCCAATTCCTCCCCTAACAAATCCGCCGCCCATACAACTTTCGCCCGCAAAGACATTTGGTGAGTCCGCCTGTATTTTGCCCAAGTCGCAACCTCACCAGAACCACTTTTCGCAACCACACCCTTTTTCCACGCGCTCCCCCGCCCCAATTCCCCCAACTAGCTCTCTCCCAGCCTTCTTTCTTCCATCTTCCGAACGTCATCGCGTTCGATTGATTCTTCGTCGCCGTCGCCAGCACTCAATACCACGCCCATACTGACTGCAAAACAGACATCAGTCAACCCTTCCAATTCCCCCGTATCTAGCAGCCTCTGTAAGTACCCACATCTTCTCTCACTGTAAAATCGCGCATCACCGCCTTGTGTTGTGGTGTTTTGCAACCGCGTCACCTCACGCGCATAGCACCACTGCAACCCAACCAGCAGCTAACAACAAACAACAGCCGCATATACCACCCAACCAACATCATGCCCAAGGAGAAGACCACCCGCAAGGCCGCGCCCAAGTCCAAGGCTGATGGCGGCAAGAAGAAGAAGGGTACGCATCTCACGTGCATTCGCACGCTTTCGTGCTAACATCCACAGACCCCAACGCGCCCAAGCGTGGTCTTTCCGCATACATGTTCTTCGCCAATGAGCAGCGTGAAAAGGTCCGCGAGGACAACCCTGGTATCAAGTTCGGTATGTCTGCCCTTCATGCTCATCTCCAAGCCATCTCTAACATTGAACAGGCGAGGTCGGCAAGGTTCTTGGCGAGAAGTGGAAAGCCCTGAACGAGAAGCAGCGCACTCCCTACGAGGCCAAGGCTGCTGCTGACAAGAAGCGCTACGAAGAGGAGAAGGCCGCTTACCAGGTATGTTTCTGTACTCACGTGGAGATTGTGACAGCATGACTAACAGCTATCAGGCCGGCGAGGAAGAGGAAGAGGAGTCCGAGTAGAGGCCAGCACCTCATTCGTGCTTCCACCAACGATGCTGAAGACGTCTTGTCATAGGAGGCCTAGGCTACCAAGCCTCTCTCATTTCATTTGTGATCTTCCTACTTCTTAATGGGTTCGTTATCTCTTGCGGAGGAAGGTCTTCGGCTAGCCGATCTGTGGTTCATTTCGATAAGGACGGCCGCAGTCAGTATCATTTGCGCTGATGGCGGGCGGTCATGATGTTTGGGCGTCTTACTCTTGACGTTGTGAAGGAACATCACGAAGCTCATGACCAAGTCTATGTACACTAGCAACTGCGGTATAGAAAATATTTGCTGCTCCTATGGTAACTTCTCTGCTATGCGACAGTGATACTTGTGTGATTAGGCTTGAGCGTAGCACGGTGCATGCTCGTGATAGATCAAACCCCAACTTGGTTCCTGACGTTGACACTACTGTCTTGCCTGATGTTAGGATCAGGGCATGACAACGTGATGGACCCGTCCTATCCACAGCAACCCTTGGTTCCTTCATTCCAAGCGACGTGTAGCCGTCATCCTGCCCTACACCGCCCAACCGGGTACCCGCATCCATGGTAGTTGTTCCTTCCCAGGCTTCTCGTATGTACTCCCATTGTCTCTCACCTTCTCAGTGCGCCCACCCAACTACACATTGTTTATACCATATTTTCAGTCCAACGTTCCTTCATCAATTTATCGTAGCGCCAAAGCGCCGTTGGGCTAGTGGTATGCTATCGCCTTCCCATCAAACGAAGGAGGCGGGGATCACGGGTGTAAGTTCATGAACGACGCCCATTCGAATCATACAGCTAACAGCGAGACAGTCAAACCCCGTACGGCGCAGTGCTTTCTTTTTGCTGTAATTGTGAGGTATGTGGGGTTATTTTTGCCATGGATGTCGCGTGGGAGTAACGGTCTGAGGATGCTGAGGAAATGGTGGTCGACGTCATTGTGGCAGAGGTAAGAAAGGTGCGAACAGCGATGTGGCTCTGTTGGGAATCATTGGACGTGTTCGTTGAAACAAAACGGAAGGATGTTAAGAACCTGATGTATAGTTTGGAGACTTTGCATCAAAGCATACGATGGGCTGTAGCTGCGCAGTAGTGGGTATATCTATTTTTTTTTCGAGTCTGGAACCGCCAGAACATCGTTGGGTATGGTCTGCACGCCTTGCCATCTTACGGCAGCAGATGAGCATGGAATAGATGTTGGGTACAAAGCACGTCAACTGCACTCGTCCCACGCATCCTGTCCACATGCCCGTCAGAGACAAATATCTCGAAACAGAGGAAGATCCTCTACCATTACGCAATTACTACTCTCTCTGTAGAACGACCATCACACCCATCATACCTAACATGACCTGCTTCAGCCATGGATGCTCGCTCAGCAAAATGGTAACATATCCGACAAAAGGTATGAAGCCGACAACGCTTCCGATGACGTCTTCTTTGCGATTCAAAAAGGACTGGCCGGCGGCGTAGAGTTCGGTGTCGTCTGCAAGGTTATTGTCGCCCTTGGTCAGGAGGCGGAGGGGTGTTTTGCTAGGAGTCAAGTCAGCCTGAGCATATGCAAGCTGAGTCAAGCTTCTTCGGCCCTCCCCAACATACACAGCCAGCGCAAAGACAAGAAAACGCAACTCACCCTCCTCCGTATCTTCTCACGACGCGATGCACGATTGGTATATCTTTGCCCTTGACGTTATACACCACAATCTCGCCCACTTGCGTATCTGCCCCCCGGTTCCACAGGAATAGTAGGTCTCCTCGTTGGAACGCAGGCTCCATGGATCCTGACAAGACGACCACGATAGGTGAGGGCGAGTCGGAGACTACGGAGAGCCCTTTCCACATCATGAAAGCGGTAGAGAGGACCAGCGCAAAGTTTAAAACTTGTGCGGCGAGTTGCCGCGGTTGCATGTTGGCAAGGCCCAGCATTGCTGCGGCTCGGGTGTGTTGATGTGGAAGTCGAAGGCAGAGGTACGTTGGTCGATCTTGGTTTGGGAGGTGGAGCGCGCAAGAGCGTCGTGAAGTCGCGTTCTTGGGAGTGTTTATCTGCAGCGATTGTTTTTGTTTTCGGAGAGAGACAAAGGCAGACGTCACAGTAGTTCGCGCGTCGTGGAACCGTGGTCAAGAATGTTGAAGCCAGATTGTCCTTGGATTCGCTGTTGCGGGCAGCTTAGTCAACCTCCGAGATCTGAGCTATGAACTCCGCATCCCCTTCTATCACTTGAACGCGGCACCAAGCTATATACTTCGAGACAACAGCACCTATCTCATAAGCTACCGCATCGCTATGCGTCATATTTTAGACGCTCTTTGGGTTTCTGTAGTGTGTGAAAGTTTTTCAGATCTGTTCTCGTCTCTCACCTGGCATGGTGGCTCTTGCTCGAAGCCGCCTTTACACCGAGGATGTGTCAACGCTATGTCTACTTATATCAAGTTTCGATTTGATCAATCGAACAATCCTCCTGATTCAGACTTCCTCACTTACTCAGAAGATACGGATCTGAGCTACAAGTATCACTGCCTCTACATATCACCAGCGCTACTCCTACTCCGCTGACTCACGAAACACAATCGGGATACTGGTTCAGAAGAATAATGTTTATACATCCTTCACCAGGTAGCCTTGTACAATACCGAGCGTCGGGGTTGTTCCTTCCACTATGGCCGGCAGTGATTTGTACAGATGACATGGCACCAAAGGAGGTTGTGCGCGCCCGCCCGGCTGGGTACGTAACACTGCTGTTGAAGTTGGGCGACAATTTAGAGTTGTAAGCACCTAGAAATTGAGAAATATGTTAGCGAAGCTAACATAAGTAGTCGCTGGGCGCTTACCACGGAAATGAGCGACTACGATCCATTCGTACCCTTCAGGCACAAAGAGATTGTGGGTAACACACCCGGCTTGGGTAACGCCTACGAAATGGCGAACAATGCGCTTGAAGCATCCCTGGGTCTCGACTACTGGCGAGAACAAGTAACGAATACGACCAGCGATGCTGAATATTCGGAAAGCGGAGCAACTGGTTCAGATGGAGACACGTGCTCAGAACCAGAAATGAGAAAGGCCCTCCGCTTAAGTCGAGAAAAATTTTATGATAAGCAATCCAAAGAAGAAACTGTGAGAAATGCGAAGCTGCCGACGCCATCTATATCACCACATACTCCAGCAAGAGGTCTTGGTTATCAGCGCACTTTCTTCGACAAGACTCTCAGTGGCTTAGATCGTGGCCGTAGAGAACCCATCAGTGATGCTGTTGAAGGCGAAATGTATGTTTATCAACGAGACCTGTAGATTCCTCAGCTAACGAAGCCCAGTCTTCAAAGCAAAGATTTTGTCCAAGTTCTTGTTGGACCGAACTCCCAAGTCAGCACACTACAGAAAGAAAGCATATGGAATCGCCCATACTTTCGCGATCCTAGGTTTGGCATCAACCTATTTGACCACAACGACGATGGGATATGGAATCTCCAACACCCTGCTCTTGTCGAGATTGACCCAGAAGATTTCGTTTTCGCTGCAGAATACCTTGAAAGCGGTGGTTTTGGTTATCGGTACCCGCAAGATGGCGGCGAAATGGAAGAAGCATTTGCACAATGCGTGTCGGCATGGTTTACTGCGGAGAAGTTGGGCATGTCAGACATGATGGATCATGTCGTCGAGAAGCTGGAAGGATGCATAGAACCAGAAATGCAGGACGTCTTGGTTTTCGCATATCAAGTCTATGTCTCGCAAAACACTGCACTTCCCTCGCAAGTGAGGCTAAAGGATTATCTGGCAATGTGTATCGCGGAGAATTGGTGGATCTATTTGGACGACGATAACTTGAGCTCGGACTTCATCGAGAAGGTTAAGAGATTACCAGAGCTGGAGCGAGACATCTACCAGAGAAGGCTTCCAGCGCTGCTTGAGCGTCTCAGTGGAGACCAAGAAGACAGTGAAACCGAAACGGATTAAGTACACAAGATCCTCACAGCTTATTCCTACGATATACCACGTTTGCTTTCATGAGGTGGAACCATATGTGGATAGAGTAAGATCTTGCATTCCTTGCAACAAGGAAGGACTAGACCACTTTCATCATTGCTGATGATCAAGTCAGTTGAGAAAAGCCAATTCCTTCACCAATCATGGTGCAATAAGAAACTCATTTAGATGATTTTGTGTAAATGTGAAAATCGAACGACTATTCATCACTCTTCGTAGTGTCGCAAAGAGCTGAGAGACAACCTCAATCAGAGTCGCTTTCAAACTCAGGAACGTTCGGGTCTGCATTCAAATGGTTAGCAGAATACCTTGGTTGTCGCAAGTCCATCAAGCGAACACGTACCTCTAAGTGCCATGTACTCCAACGTACCACCAGCCTTCTCCACAAGGTTATCTCTTATTAGGGTCAGTTCATCTTCCGAAAGCAGCGTATCCGTGTCCGCCATATCTACTGAAAGACGGATGCCTTGATTGCCCGGTCCCAGCCTTGACACAAAATCTAGGAGACCATCCATGGTGAATTTCGATATACCGGAGATGGTGACGGTGCGAAGGTTTGGTAGACTCGCCAAATGAGGTAGTACGATGTCATTTAGCTCCAAACCGCTGACGTATAGATCCTCTAGCAGAGTGAGATCAGCGATGATAGTGATAAGATGTTCGTCCCGCAGGACTTCGGGGAGGATGAGGTGCAGATCCCGCAACTCTGTCAGTTGTTTTAAGGAGTCCACGAGGATGTCCAAGTCGTCTCGAAACATGCCATCAGTATCGCCGCTCAGGAACAGCACCCTCAAGGATGATTGTTGGTGTACCAGAGCTTGGTGAAACGTCTTGTGATCTTTCAGTGTGTACGAATCTATCTCCAAGCTGCTGAGTTGTATCTTCTCTTCCAATAGCACCGGCGTGATGAGTGCAGCTCCGGATTGCAATTTCGAGAAGCTAAGTCGCTGAAGGCCGGCGCACTTGCGTAACCAGGCGGTTGTTTCAAGAAAGATATCGTGCTCTGTTGCTTCCAAGTCTACAGTACCATGGATATCCTCGATGCGAAGTGTCTTCAGAGCTGTGCATCCTTGCAGTAGAGACAAATGCGGTATGGAATCGTTAGACACGCATAGTCTTAGATCTTCGAGTGAGTTTCCATGGTGATTGAGAGCCAAGAGTGTTTCAGCGCCTGCCTTGACGTCGCTGATCGTTTGGAGTGTCTGGAGTGTGTTTGGCCGCATCGAGGAAAGGAACTTGGCGAACTTGCGATCATTGTCTTCGGAGACCCAGGTATAGATCATAAGAGATCTGAATTGTGGACAATGGTTGTTGATAGACGCGTGGACCAATTCATCCTCTAGAGGCTTTCCGTCCCATAGCTCGAGGCTTGAAAGGCGAGGAAGGCGGGGCGTCCATCGCACAAGAGCGCCAGGGTGTACTAAATTTTGTCAGATTATTCGCTATATCAGAGAAATCTAGGTCCACTTGCGTTCACCACTGATCATCTCGAGGGTTGGAGTGTGCTGCGTAACCACTGTTCTATGTTACTAGTACATCACGACGGCATTGCACATTAGTCATACCTTCGCCAATTGCATCGATTATATCCGCCGTCTTTATTCGTGTGTATTTTCTGCCTTTGATGTTTGTCCCTGTTTCAATCTTTTCGAATTGCTTCAACGGCCCCGAGAAGAATTGCCTGAATCGAGATCAGAATTGGCGATGCCTATTATTGGAGCTTTGCTTACTTGGAGACCTTCGCACGGAACTGGTCATCGTCAAGGAGATATCCCAGATCGCGAAAGTCTAATGACTTGATGTAACGACAGTATGGGAAAAGTGTAACGTTCAGACTGGATGCGACAATTGAACGCCAGAGAATTGACCATTTCTGTATCGTAAGAAGCTTGGTAGCAGCTGGCAAACCATAGAGATCTTCTCCCCCGCCTCGGACAGGAGCCAGATGATGGGATCTTAGGCTTGTGTTAGTAAAGCGGCGATCAATTAGCGAGCCCAGTGCAACATACTTGTACAGATAAGTCAATGCAGGTACGGCGAGAGCACGGCTGGCACAAGCACAGTTAAAGAGCGTGTCGAATTGTTCTTGATTGGCAAGTTCTTCGCACAGGAGATGCAAAACATCGTCTGGGAGTGCTGACTGAGTCATATTGATTAAATCGACAATGGCTGGAGTCGCTCTCAAGAAAGTGACTGGGTGTGCTGCTGTCCCCGTACAAGTAGGCGCGATGATGTCAATGCGCTAGCGCGATTTTGACGCGCTCTTTCCGTTTTCGGTGGCTCTTCGCGATCCGGCACCAATATCTCACCAGGATGCGAGCATTTCCGGATAGACAAAATGGTTACCCTCAATTTCACCCTAACACCGGAGGCCGCGTCTAAGATTCATAACCTGCTCGTGTGCCTAGGCAAGTTCAGCGAGACCGTGGCAATCGAAGCGCGTCGCGAAAAGGTTGGTTAGCCGCTCTTGTTCTGTTCAGTTTGGCATCTCATACGTTCTGCTTCAGTTCACGTTTACCGCTCTCAACTCTTCGAAATCCGCCTACGGCGCCATTACGCTAGATGGCCGGCAATTTTTCGCCAACTATAAGTGCGTGCCAACCCATGGCGGACCTGACGGCCGCTTTACCTGCAGCATGTACACAAAAGCACTCTTGTCCGTCTTCAAAAGCCGTTTGTATGACCCACTGGGACGCGACGGCGCAATCGATCGCTGCGAAGTTAGCGTGCAAGAGCGGGAGAACGAGACACAATGTCGATTCATCGTCAAGATGGTGTGCAACCAGGGCGTCATCAAGACCTACAAACTCACGTACGAAGCTGTCGACATTATGCACGCGCTGTTTGATCGCAGTATAGCGAGAAATAGGTGGAACATGAATTCCGGCGCTATGAAGGAATATGTTGAGTACTTTGGTACCAAAACTGAAATGCTCGATATTTTTACTAGTGGAGACGGCCGCTGCATCTTTAAGAGCTACACAGAAAAGATTTCGAATGGGAAGGAGATCTTAAAGCATCCACTTGTCACTGCTGTCGCAGTTCACACATCCGATTTTGAACGATTCACTGTGCAACCGGGCATGCATATCATTATCAGCGTCAAAGACTTCAAAGCGATCGTTGTTCATGCAGACACACTGAAGACAAGCTTGAGGGCTTTTTACTCTCAACCAACGCGACCGCTACAGTTCAGCTATGGGTGCGATGGGTTGCTTTGTGAGTTCACGCTAATGACTTCGGGCGACTACAACGGAGCTCCGCCAACACCTGCGCCGCAAGCGATGAGCAGCAGAAAAACATCTCGCACTGCATCAACGAACACGTCAGAACGCGGACAGGGCCATGGCTTCCGATCTGACATGCCTCCGCCTATGCAACCAGCATCACGACGCGATGGGTCCGGCCGACTACGGAATCCAGGATCCCGCCAAGCCTCCACAGCGCAAGCACAGCCTGCCCGTCAGGATTCTGACAGCCTGTTCGTTCCAGAGGACGAAGATGCAGCGTGGGCACCTCTTGACTATGATAAAGAAGAGACATTAGGCTGGGATGCAAGTGCCAACCACGACGCATCGGCTTTCCCAACATTTACAGACAGCGGTGGTGTGCCAAGGACAAATACAACGGATAACAGCGAGGTCTTTGAGCCTACCCAACGTGTATCCCAAATCAAGGGACTGTGGTAGTGCTATGGTGTCGATGAAGGCAACTCGCTAGTTGACGTAAACAAAGAAGAATAAGCTACCGTTGCAGAAGAACGTCTCATGCTTCAACAAAACCTGTTCAAGTAGTAAACTACCAGTTCAACTAATGTTCCTCTGTTCAACTTGTATGGCGGTGTAATTTGTCGACTACACTCAGCTCGCCGCAAAGTCATTAGGATTAGCTTCCGGAAACGTGCTCTTTCAAGCAGAGTAGATGCGAGAACACCTTCAAGTATGTCTCAAGCCATTATGGCCGCATTGTGGATGGATGCTGAGTCGGTTGCAAAAGGGGCAAAGAAGAACAGTCTGGTATGGTTGTCGTCATTTGCGTGCCCAATAAGCTGGACAATACTCTTACGAAACCGTAACGACGATGATGGCGACATGTGTGCCGGTCGGCTTACGCAACCCTCGCGACATTTTTTTTCGTTTATGTATTCGTCTATTGTATTTCAGAGTTCATGTTACATACGATACTTTTCCGGACAATGTGGTTCTGCCCATTATAGATTGAGAGGGACTATACGCACATGTTTATAAGTTCGTGTAAGTAAGCCGATACAGCGTCGGGCAGGCAGCTTTCGTGCCTTGCGGCAGCAACAAGATGTGAGTCAATGACGTCGAGCTCGCGTACGCGTATCCGCGGATGGTGGGGCTGCCTGGAGAAAATGATACGGGCAGTCCTGCTTCTACGTCCAGACCAGTGGAAAGCAACACCTTCATACTCTTTTCGATCGACAATGACACTGAAACGCATTCTGGTAATCGCTGGCTCGGACAGTTCGGGTGGGGCGTACGTACGCGTGCATGCATCCGCCCTCTATCAGCCACACACCACTAACGATCCTGCCACACCAACAGCGGACTAGAAGCAGATCAGAAGGTCATCGCAGCCCATGGCTGCTATGCTATGACGGCTACGACTGCACTGACAGCGCAGAACACGCTCGGCGTACAGGATATACACCACACGCCGCCGGACTTCGTGCGTAAGCAAATTGACGCTGTTTGTGAAGATGTTGGTGTGGATGTGGTCAAGACTGGTAAGGCTATGATTAGAAAGGACTATCTGATTGATGAATGCGCTGATGAAACACAGGCATGCTTGCCTCCTCCGAGACAATCTTGATTGCTGCAGACGCTTTCAGGAGACATAAGATCAACACCACTGTTGTTGACCCTGTATGTAGTGGGTTGCATTTCGATGCTCTCAGATGCAGTTCCTGTAGCTTTCATTGTGAGCTGACCATAGTGAAAGGTAATGGTGTCGACATCGGGCTCACAGCTCCTTCCTGAGACCGCTATCTCAACACTAATTCAAGACCTCCTGCCTTGCACTACACTTCTCACTCCGAACCTTCCCGAGGCACAGCTGCTGCTTAAAACCACTGGTTTGAATCTCTCTGATCCTCAAAACGTCCAAGACATCGTCTCTATAGCGCACCACATCAAGTCACTCGGACCAAAATGGGTATTGCTAAAGGGTGGCCATCTACCATTGACACATGGCCGCGTAGTAAGCACACAGGACAGTGATAAAGAAGTTGTTTTGAACATACTTGTAGGCGATAGCGGAGTCACGATACTGGAAAGCCCCTATCTACAGTCAAAAAACACGCATGGAACCGGATGTTCGTTAGCATCCGCTATTGCATGTAACTTGGCTAAGGGAATGTCGATGGTCAAGGCGGTGAAGAAGGCAAATCTGTATGTTGAAGCAGGAATCAAGACAGCCGTCGACTTGGGACAGGGAAGTGGCCCAATCAACCACTTCCATTCAGTATACATGCTGCCTTTCACACCAGGGAATTTCATCAGTTACCTGCTGGATCGGGATGATGTGCAAAAGCCGTGGAAAGAGTATACGCAGCACGATTTTGTGCAGAGTATGGGTTCTGGAACATTGCCAGTGGAGAAATTTATGTACTACCTGGTACAAGACTACCTTTTCTTGGTAAGTACACATGGTGTCATGTTTCACTTCATACGGACAGCGGAGTAGCTGACAGATGCGGAGGTCCAATTTGCAAGAGCGAACGCACTATCTGCATACAAGTCAAGCAACCTGAAAGATATCGGCCGCTCCGTGCAACAGGTCGTCACCCTCCAAGAAGAGATACAGCTGCATATCGACTTCTGTAAAGCGTACGGACTGTCAGAAGCTGATATCATCAACGAAGAAGAGGACCAAGCCACTACAGCATACACACGCTATGTCCTCGACATCGGCATGTCGCAAGACTATCTCGCCTTACAGATCGCCCTTCTCCCATGCCTCATCGGTTACGGTATCATTGCTAAACGTCTCTATGAAGATCCCAGCACTGTGAGGGTGGGAAGCAAGTACTGGAAGTGGATTGAGCAATACGTAGCAGAGGAATACAGGGAGGCGATGATGAGGGGGAGTGAGCTGGTAGAGAGGCATGCCGAAGGATTAAGTCCGAGTAGGGTCGAGGAGTTGGCTGGCATCTTCATACACGCCACAAATGTGAGTATCCTGATGGATATATAGATGATGATTTGCTAATGCTACAAAGATGGAGAGAGGCTTCTGGGACATGGGACTCAGGGCTGGCGAGGAAGGAAAGTGAGTATGGAAGGACCTGTGATGCAGCTGGAGGCTGCACGAGACGGATGCAATCATAAGCGTCGTCAGAGTATCATTCCTCAGCATACTCGACCCTGCGTCTGTAGTCTAGGTCAAACAAGATCAAAAGCGAAGACGTACGTGCTTTGATCCCAAGTCTGAAACTAGGCATCAGAGCTTGCAATATGCGGGTCATGATGGAGTTTTCTCCATAGCCATCCAGATGCAAGACCCACAGTGGCGAGATGTTTGTCGGTGTTCCTTGGTGCGCTTCCCCGGGCTGATAACGGCAAGCTCCGCGCTTACCCAACTGGGCGAGACCCTGGCCCTAGCGGCACTAGCGTCTCAAAAAATGTGCAAGCGCAACAGAGGCAAGGCAACTTTTCCTGTCGCGCTCTGCCCTCTGACTTCCTCTCACTCCAACTCACATCCTCTACTATTTGTGCTTCTTTTACCGCACAACACGCGACATCTGTACAGTCGCTCTACTACATTTAATACTCCATCGTAGTCTCCAGATTACGATACACACTCCCTCAGACTTGACCGGTTCCCCTTTCACACCAGTCCCTACAAAACACTCGCACATCATGTCTTACGGCGGCGGCGGTTACGGTGGTGGTGGAGGATACGGCGGCGGCGGTCGCGGCGGTGACCGCGGCTACTCGAACGGGTACGAAAACAGCAATGCTGGATATGGGTCTTACAACAACTCGACAAGCCATTATGCATCGTACGGGTAGGACGATACACCCCCTTCACACGGGAAAGGCATCACAGTCGCGGTGTTTGGACAGCCCCTCCATCTGCTACATTTCTTCTTACAATTCTGCGCGTAGCCTGAGTCCCATCGCCCTGCCTGGTCGGCTGTCTCTTACAGCTAAGGCGGACGGTAGCGTACTCTTTGCGACGACGTAGAATTCCCCATCTGTCACTCATTCCATCTCATCAACCTTTGCTAACATCTATCTAGTGGCGGCTACGGCGGCGGTTCCAACGGCTACTCCGGTGGTGGAGGCGGCTACGGCGGAGGAGGTGGTTATGGTGGAGGCGGCTTTGGCGGTGGTCGCGACGGCGGTGACCGCATGTCGCAACTCGGCCAGGGCCTGAAGCAGCAATCATGGGGCACGTTCTACATCCGCCTTTGCAAACTCAGCGCAATACTAACGTTTTCTAGACCTCGACACCATGCCCAAATTCGAAAAGTCTTTCTACAAGGAGGACCCCGCTGTTACTGCGCGTTCAGCCGCTGAGGTTGCCGAATACCGCAAGGAGCACCAGATGACCGTCAAGGGTGAGAACATCCCCAAGCCCGTCACGACTTTCGACGAGGCTGGCTTCCCGTCCTACGTGATGAACGAAGTCAAGGCTCAGGGTTTCGCAAAGCCCACTGCTATTCAGGCTCAGGGTTGGCCCATGGCTCTCTCTGGTCGCGACGTTGTCGGTGTTGCCGAGACTGGTTCCGGAAAGACGCTTACCTACTGTCTTCCTGCTATCGTCCACATCAACGCTCAGCCTCTGCTCGCCCCTGGTGACGGCCCGATCGTTCTGATCCTCGCCCCCACTCGTGAGCTTGCTGTCCAAATTCAACAAGAGATCAGCAAGTTCGGAAAGTCCTCGCGCATCCGAAACACCTGCGTCTACGGAGGTGTCCCCAAGGGCCCCCAGATCCGTGACCTTGCACGCGGTGTTGAGGTGTGCATCGCCACACCCGGACGTCTCATCGACATGCTTGAGGCGGGCAAGACCAACCTCCGCCGTGTTACCTACCTGGTTCTCGACGAGGCTGACCGCATGCTTGACATGGGTTTCGAGCCTCAAATCCGCAAGATTATTGGTCAAATTCGTCCTGACCGTCAAACCTGCATGTGGTCCGCTACATGGCCCAAGGAAGTCCGCCAGCTTGCTGCCGACTACCAAAAGGACTGGATCCAAGTCAACATCGGCTCCATGGATCTGTCTGCTAACCACCGCATTCAACAAATCGTTGAGGTCTGCACCGAATTCGAGAAGCGTGACCGCATGGCCAAGCACCTCGAGACTATCATGAGCGATAAGGACAACAAGATTTTGATCTTCACAGGCACCAAGCGCGTTGCTGACGAGATCACCCGATTCCTTCGTCAGGACGGCTGGCCGGCGCTTTGTAAGTTTGACTGCAACATCCGTTACGAGCATTGCTAACCCATCTCTAGCCATTCACGGTGACAAGCAGCAGAACGAGCGCGACTGGGTCTTGAACGAATTCAAGACGGGCAAGAGCCCCATCATGGTTGCCACCGACGTGGCTTCCCGTGGTATCGGTATGATTGCAAACCCCCAACACTCCCCCCTCCTCGCCTCCCCAACTATTATTATGCGTGAACTGCCATTGTGCTCTGCTTAGGTCGTCTTGTGCGCTTGTTACACTCGCTTCCATGACATCGTCCAGGGCTTGCATCTCTCTCGAATCTGATCCCCAGGGATCCTTGGTCACGCTGGCGAAGGTTTTAGTCTTCGCTATCATCTGTTTCTGGTATTACCAAGGTATTACTGAAGCAAGCTGCTTGAGATACTTGACTTCTACAAGTCGCACTCTCTTCCAAGGGTTTCTGGACCAGGAGACATCCACAGCCTTTCCACTGGACTTGATGCCGTGATCTTCGTCGTAGCGCACAGAGACGGTTGCATGCAACATACAGCAGCTTCACGCGATCCAATCATGATCGTCGTTTGCTTGTTCCTTTTATCAGTCACTAACCTTTGCTCTTCAAGATGTCCGCAACATTACTCACGTGTTCAACTATGACTACCCGAACAACTCGGAGGACTATGTCCACCGTATTGGTCGTACTGGTCGTGCTGGCGCTAACGGTACTGCCATCACCCTCTTCACTACAGACAGTATGTATCCCCGCACTCCGACCATACACGCAAATCACTAACAGCTTCACTAGACTCCAAGCAAGCTCGTGATCTCGTCCAGATTCTCTCAGAGTCCAAGCAACAGATCGATCCTCGCTTGCACGAGATGGCCCGCTACGGTGGTGGCGGTGGTGGTGGTCGCTGGGGAGGTGGCCGCGGCCGTGGCGGAGGCCGTGGCGGACGTGGTGGTAGGTGGTAGAAGTCCTTTCGACAACAAGCGAGACCTAACGCCAATCTCAGGCTGGACCGGAGGTAACAGCGATCCCATCCGCAACAGCCGCTGGTGATCACTTTATCCATCGCACTTGCTTATCGCCTCTTCAGAACGATGAGCTTTCATTCCACCAACCTGATTTCGGCGTTGGCGGTAATCGTTTCGGATTTACCTCATGTTTCATCCAATTTCCAAGCACGACGGAAGACTCTGGTTCTGTCGTACGCTGATACCCCATGGACAGAATTTTGATCTTATGCAAGGATACGATGTCAGTATGGCAGCATGGTTCTTTCACATATTAGACTGGCATAGTTTTGTTTTCCTCTATCGAGGTTGCGCGTATTTAGCAACCCTTCGTGACCACTCGGTCGCTTTGCATCATGGTGCTGGTGGCGTTCATACTTAGAAAAAGTTTCTGTCAAAGTAATAGCGATATAGAATGCACGTACTTCGTATTTTGTTCATGGTGCTTTACTTGACTTGAGTGCCTTCTATTGATTGCTGATGCTGGATGGGTAATGCACCCTTCGCGTCTGATCATTTACTATACTGATTGATTCTTATCTTTGTTATCTCTTACCGTTGGTCAATGGCGATCAGATTCATGTTGGCCCATTTCTCTATGTTCTTCGAATCTGCGACTGTTTCTCCCACCTGTGGGTCAATTTGGTAAATATGCCACGACATCATGCACAGTACTTGGGACAGATGAGTGCATTCACCCTATCCGGGTCTTGCAAGGAGCATCACGTACGATAGCAAGACAAGTTCAGCGAGAGTAACCATCATACAAGCCATTTGATAATCTTGATTGTTGTAAGAGAGACCACCACCTTCGAGAAGGTGGTCGCATTTCGTGGAGAATTGTACACATCTCAGTCTTTTGCCAGACAACTGTGTGCGAAGAACATACTAGTTTAATGTTGAGAAACAAGATCGACAGATAATGGGGAGGACATGTAACCATACCAATGCGATACGGTGAGCAAATCATCATTGTTGGAGCATTGATATACGTAGTGGACTATGATCTCCTAACGTTTTACACAAAGACATCCTGACAAGATATAATGTATGTCACGCCGTTATGCAACATTCTATTCATCGACTGTAAACCACCATTAATTGGAATCGAACATGTGGTGTCTTTGAGAGATCATAGAAAATCCCATTTCCCTCTTTGAGACAGTATTCCCACTAGTTGTACCTGCCGGCATTCATACCTTTGTCCATCTTCATGACGCAGCAAGTGCTGCGGGGGAGACAAAGTCCATGGTGAGAATCATGCGCAATCCCATTGTTACCTTGGGACGCCCATGGTTGCCTTCGGGTAAGGGGAGGCAATCGGGTAGGAGGTCGTAAACAACGATGGAAGGTGCCTGAGCTGCACCGGCCCCGCTATAGTTACCTTGGGATATCCAGTCATAGAGTTCTCGACGTCTAGTAATGATCACTTTTCCATGAATCGTCGTGGAGTTCCTCATACGGAGACATATAGATGCAGAAAGTACATTGTGGAGTGCGATACAATCAAGTGGTAGCGAGGAAAACACAACAGACATGTACAGGATCGTCACAGAAAACTTCACCGTGTGCTTATAAGGGGGGACAACCAAGTGAAATCATGTAGGTGACGCAAGGTGGCGGTCGCAATGAACAGCTAGAGTGGAAATGATACTTGAACTCGAATAGGGCAGGGAACTGGAGAGGTTTGGCTATTGTTTATGTTGAGACTGTTGTAATGGTACGCAGGGTCCATACCATAGTCACTTGATCACACGTATGACCTTACAGAACCTAATAGAAAGCGCAAGACTGTCGACATCGATCGAAGACCGCTTCTCTGATTCGTTTATAGGACTGGATACATAACACGGGTGCTGGTACTTGACACAAAGAATGCGATGTTTGTTGAGGAGCGTGCGCAATATCCAGACGAAATTGTCCGGTGCATAGCAAACATGGTCATCGGCCTCGCAAACCGAGTCCCTGAGACAGAAATCACAAAGGACGCGTATAGGACCATAAATCGTGGCAGCCGGATCAAGAGACACGACGGGTATCTTTACCAGACCCATTGCTCGGTAAAGGAGACCATGGTAACAGCATTACAGGAGTCGATAGAGTCAATGTAGAATTACCGATGTGAAGAGGAGGAAGACGTAACCCACGGCGCTTCTTCGCTATCAAACGGGACCATCGATGGGGAGGCCCGAATGACGACCACCATAGGGCTGAATTCGCAAAATCCTTCCATGTGTAGAAGCCCGAGAAGGGGGAACAGTGGCAGAACAGCCAAGAGACTTCTACCGTTCATGTTATGCTATGTCTGAGATGACTTGTAACTTGCTCAATGATACGACAAGCAATAGATGTCGACAGTACGATCGGAGTGGAGATAGAGTGAGATGTAGGATTAACCCGAAAAAGACCGGACATTGCGACGGTGGCTGGGAGCGGCCGCAGGCCAGTTGACGATCGCTGTCATGGCGCAAGACGCGATCGTGTTGTTGCAGCGGATGATTCGCTTGTGCGGGAAGGATGATGGCACGAATGTACTTCAAGCGTACTGTAGTCTTTCTAGGCTGATCGATGTGATCCACGGAAGCGAAAGCAAGTCTCCTTACCTGACGAGGAATCGTGGTCTAGTGCCAGTGTCGTGCAGTAGCGGGATCGATCTCAACATCAGTCTGGAGGAGATTACTCGCTTTCTGATTGTGGAGCGACACCACGCAACCATGATCATGAGGTACCCCCTCCAGCTCGCACAAAGCCAAGAGGACTGGCCGACTATCATGTACCCACCGATACTGACGTTCGCTGGTGTAGCCGGTAATAGACATCACCACTGTGGTTGTTGGCACACTTTCAAGTTTTTCATGGAGTCAACTTCCAGCGGAGGATGGTCCGATCGAAGACCTTCTACAAGCGAGCACGGCGATGTGAATAGAGGTTTCGTTGATGTGCTCAAGAACCATGTGGATGTGCCCTGTAATGACACCAGGCAGGGCTATCCCGAGGTTGGCCTGGTCTAGAATGGTACTTGTAAACTATCGTTTTGTTTGAACTTCATGAAATCGAGGCCCATGGGGATTAGCCAAGTCATGCCGACTCAAGATCGGTGCATCCCTGTCGCCGGAAGATGAAGCTTGTACGAAACAATCGCTGCTGGAATTGCATCGCCATGAGCAGGGAAGACGTAGCTCAGCACGGTCAAAGCCCCATGACGCAGCTCGTTTTCGCATTCTTTGCTGGGAACTAAATCTGCACGAACTCCAGTTCGGGCAGTGGGTGGCATGTCGCCGGACACTAATGGATACAGGAATGCATGCTCAACCAGAAAACCGCATCCTGGGGCTAGATCGCGCTATGTTCCGGCGAATTGGCGTCCCAGTTTTGGGCTCCGTTTCATCTCCGGAATGTGTAAACTAGCGAACAACAAGCTTTATCGATTCTCGATAGGGGCACGACGTGTTCCAAGTATGGGAAACTGGAGAGGGTTGTCGAAAGCTTGAAGCGGATAGATGCCGAAAGGCATGGGTCTTATGACTGCATATTCATGGTCACAAAAGGACCGATCCTGTGGCCAGGCCATCGGGGACAATACACACAAAGAATTGTGTCAAGCGCTTCGCTTGACTCCGAGTCGGGAAGATATGAGAAGAACGGAATGTGGAGCAAGTCGAGACAGACGAAGATGTCCGTTCGAGGCAGCGCTCAGATCCGCTAACGCGGCGAAGCAATAGGCGGAGAATGTAAGGAAAGAACAGACGAGAGAGAATCCATGAAATGCAGGTGACGACTGGGATTAGGCAAGGTGTGCAGGCCAAGCTCACGCCATGTCGTATCGAGGCAAGCAGACAGAAACGATCTGCGGGCTCCAACGTCGGCCATTCTTCGGCCGCTCTGGGCGCAGCTCCCGCGGGCAACTAGGTAGGGTTCCTGGAAAAAGCATTATTTGTCAAGGAAGATCGTGATTTGGGTGCGCCTACGTTACCGGATGGAGTGGGCCATGATTCTGCAAAATCTGGAGTTATGGCATGCGCATGGCCGTTGTCGATGCCGTAGAGGGTGTATCGGGTGTCACGGCCAATGGTACAGTATGTATGGGACCTTCCAAATAAAAGTGGGTGGGTGCATGCAAAACTATGTCATTATCAAGGTTTGACGCTGCCAGAGAAGGAGCATGACGGGAAGGACTCGACTTGGGCGAGGTGACAATGTTCAGATAGGCCAAGGAAGATCGGAGAGATTAGGGGACATGTTTACAGCAGTGATGCTGATGCGAGGATGTTGCGAAGGAGCGGGTTACTGAACAAGGAAGGCGCTACAGGACGTTGAGTGACTCGGAAGCAGCGTGATCCGGAGTTCGCACCGACGTCGCACACAGCATCATACACACGACTCAATGTTGACGTGCATGTGTGCATTCTACCATCACCACCACTACCAAGCTTCTGCTCTGCCGTCTTCGTGTACCAGTTCGTAATGGAGCGTGATCAGGTGACGATCAGCTTATACCTGCATGTTCATGGATGTCGACCCCAATACACTGTGTCCTCCTGGTGGGTTTCAGTGGGGGAGGAAGACTGTGCAAAGTGGCAGAGATCCAAGGTTTCTGTAACAAGGGTATCATGCACCCAGGCCCATGACTACAGCACTGCAGGTAGCATGTGGAAGTCGCCTCCGCTTCCTCAATCTAGGGACGGAAGGTATCCCGCTGGCTGCGCGCAATGCCGTGTCAGTTTACGAGAGTTGCGAAGAATTTCGGACATGGGCAGCTGATGCGTATGTGCATTGAGTTGCAGCAGTGGCATTAGTTTGACAGTTACCAAGATTTCAAAGTTAGCCCTGCAACCGGCTAGTATAACATCGGCATACTGACACCTGTAGTGTGAGCGAATTTTGTGCTGTCGTCAGCCTTCCTCGTCACCACCGAAGAAGGTCTCACTCACCTTCATAGGACATCTCCGTACGGTTTTCTCCACGTGAGCGACGCACGGCGGATCTATTCCACCGAAGACATGGAACCGCCAGAGACCCACATTGAATTGTGAGCAGGGGATGCCCTTGTTGTGTGACTCGCTCGCCCAACCTCCACCAGACATTAGCCGTGGCTAAGAATACGTTGTCTTTGGCACTTAGCAGCAGTGGCTGGGTACTGCGCGACATGCAGTATCCTCACCATTGTCTCCTTGATATTGCAAATCTCAATGTAGCTGCGATGACACAGGCGGTCGGAGTAACAACCGCTGGACTGGTCTTGAGCTGAGTAAATATGTGCAGCAGATCTAGTTGCAGAACGGGACCCAGGTCGTTCTCGGGAAGATTTCGAACTGCGTTTCGGTCGTACAGTACATACGCTAGAACATTGTGAAAGGGATTAGAAGCATCAGAAGTCTGGAGTTGCTATAGTTTCTTCGCGGCGTGGTGTTCACGCTGTGATCGAGATTACTTCCCGCTCCCGTTCGACGGCGCATGTGCGTGCGATAGCTAGCGGCATCTGTTCGTATGATCCTGGGTCCGATCAGTCTTGGTCTTGCATGCCCAATCATGTAAAAAGTCAGCAAGCTGTTGCTTGAGTTCTGGTGCAGACATTCTACCAGGGAAACAAGCAGAATTCTAGTCGCCAGGGACATGTCAGACAGGATAGGAACATCTATGACGAGCACATTGATCGGATGTTTGCAGACACGACCGTGGCATATGAGTGGCTGGGACTGGGGCTCATCGGATGCGGACAACCGGATCAGGCATAGACTGTAGGGAGGTGTGTACCTGAGCATGTCTTTGAGGCTGTCATTGTTGTCGAAAGGGTACATGACTCTTCCGGGTCAGTAGCAGAGAGACAACAGGCCGCTTTCTTGATGCAATGCGACGTGATGGACATGACGAGGAAGGCGGCGGCCCATGGTGCTGCACGACGGATGAGACTGGCACACTGCAGAAGCAAAGATACACGAGATGTCAGGGACCCACTTTTCGCAGGCTGACAGCAGCGCGACACAATGCTAGCCGACCGACCTTGAACGTTTTGGTGCACTGGAAGCCAAGCGGTTGCAAGGCCCACTAACTTGGAGAGACGCATATATCTTGGGTCTGCTGACAAGAGGGCAAGGGTTGACTGTCATCAGCATAAGAAAAAGTCACGATGCTGTGTGCACTGATGTGCTGAGATGTGAGGGTGCAAAGGCGGAAATAAGAGCGAGAGTGAAAGCACGCACGCGATGAAAGACGGAGAGGATGTGATTTGGTGCGTCTCGAAAGGCTGAAAAGCGTGCCTATCATGGCAACCGCGGCGAGGGGATAAACTCTTGGGCTCTTACCGCTGGTGTGGGCAATTGTGTCAGTTGATGGAGATTAACCGCCATGGACGGTCAAGTCAGCTCTCCGCCAGCTCAAGGGCTTGGATAAGATTACGAAGGGGCATCACAAAAGACGACGCGAGCGACAGTCACGACGGCCACGGACAAAGAGGCCGTCGGCGCGTCTCCGTCGCATGTTGCTTTTCGCTTTCACACACCGCAATGGAGAGGTCGGTTGGAGGTTCGCTCTTGTTGACGCATTGGGCATTATTGCCGCTCGTCGAGGTCTGTGCCGTGTCCAATATTTGCATGCAGACGTTTTGCAGGCCGCTCTTGCCGAGGCCCGCAAAAGCCCGGCCGTGTCGTGAGGGTGTCGTGGCCGGTGTGGTGAGCAGCTTGGGAGATGTTGTCGAGAGGCATTCGCAGTGTTCTCTGCGACGTCTATATCTTGGGGTTTATCTAACGTGGTTTGGGTACTAGGCCTTGCGCGACTGTACCATGCCGCGTCTAGCGCCAGGAGCTAGCTTTCAGCCTCACGGCATCGCCTGTTTCTTCTTTGCACGTCTTGCGACAGCACCAGCACCAGCACCAGCACCACGAGGGCGACGCCCGGCGGCCACGACATGGGCAGAAGCCGAGGCTGGCTGCCGGGGTCGCTGGAGCCTGCACATTGCAAACGGGTGCAAAGGGCGGTCAGTACGTCACGGTTAGTCAGCCCAGAGCACCGTGCTCACTCGGACTATTTTTCTCACTAGCGCCTGCCTCAGCTGTCTAACCAGCTTTTGTGCTAGCCCTCACTCTAGCCTACATCGCGAATCTGACCCAGCTCAACCACCATCATCAAGCCCGAACGGTACCTGGCTCTAACGCTGCCGTCACCGGCGATAGCTTGCAACCCCAGGCACACCAAGTCGCGCGCCTCCAAAGCTGCTACACGTGCAACTGCCACCAGCAACGCGATCGCCGCCCTCCCGGCGCGTTCGTCACTAAGGCACCCCACAGCACTTATACGCATCCTGTGCGCAGCCTCTGTCCTGCCACGACGCGAGTCACTCGCGCCCGTAACAAGACGCACCAGATCGCCCACCCTTGACGGTCCACCTCCGTGGAGCAGTTGCGCGAGCTTCCGAGCAGCATCTCGCTCTCGTGCCCGGAGCGCGCTGCCTCGAGACTCTGAACTTGCACGGAAAGCCCGGCGGCCGGACAAGAGGCTGATCGCTCGGCACGCTCGGCCTAGTTGAGCTTTCTGGGAACGACGAGGGCTGGGAGAACCAGAGTGTGAGCGAAACTTTCAATCATCGACTCAACAACGGGCCGACTGTGTTTTGCCCCATCATCAGTATCTGCGGAGCCAGTCAGCGACGCGCATCCACAGCGACCACCTCTGTGGCCGCCTGCGCACCCATTCACCCTCGGCGAACAAGCCCACTCAAACCCGGTTTCTTCGTCACTAGCGCCACTTCTATACGGACCCGCACGCCCCTCTCACACTAAAACGCCCACCCTCGAGCTGTCCTGCGTCCCACACTTTGCTGCTTGCGCCATCCCAACCTCGTCCTAGGCCCGTAACCCAGAACAGTACCCATTCCCACTGTCACGGCTCGGCTTTACCGACTAAGCTGGCATCCTTGTTTTCGCCGCTACGGTCGTCTGTTACCTCATCAGGTGTGCTAAGGCCTGCTGGGTAAGCCGTCAGTCTCTCCAGGCCGATCCATTGGTGGCCAATCCGCATCGCGCGCCACTCAGTCTAAAAGGCCTTTAGGTCGCGCTGTCACTAGCTGTGTTCCAAATTCACTCTCGCCCCAGCAGACCCGCAGTGCAAGCTCGTCAACCTAGCACCGATTGTGTAACCTTTGCGTTGCACTTCACTCTGCATCGCGCCAACTGCTCCGCGATTCGAGAGATCTCTTCCCGCTAACCTTCTCCCCTGCCCCGGTGCCCTCGAGCTTGCGCCTTCCGTGCGTTATCTTTTCGACGGTGCATATTTGCCGAACTGCTTGTCCTCCACCTGGGCGTCCTGGAAAACACACCGTCTGCAAATCATCCGCGTTTAACTTCCACGCTACTCACGGCCTGACCACATTGCTTCTCCGGTTTTCTGGCTGTGCGTTTCTTGGCTCGACTGAGGCTACGTCTTTATACGCTCTAGCTGCCTGTCTTCCACAGACCGCGGCAAATCATCCGAAGACGGTTTGCGACGGACATATCTCTGCAGCCATCCCTCCTCGTGGGCGCACGCATCCAACCATCCAACCTCAGCTTAGAGCCTAGCTACCCTCGACACCTCGCCAATCTACACAGTCTATGGACGCACGGCAAGCAGACTACCCGCAGTCAGGTTTGAGCTCGCCCTACCCAACCTTTCCTGAACCAGCTTCTGAGGGAACCTCTGCAGATCAAGCATCTGCTGCGCAATACCCTCCACCAGGACCAGATCCTCGCTCCTCCAACCTTACCCCGAATTCAGACTACAGTCTGAATCCTTCATCGGCTCGATCAGGGTCGTTTCCGGAGTACATTCAACGTTCGTATCAACCCGGCGCTCAAGGGCAAGCTCCCGGTGGTATGGCGCAACAACAGAGTCCGTCAATGCCTATCCCAGGTGGTCAAACAAATGGCCATCAATCACCACAACAACTCAAGTCTGACTCGGATGTTCCTATAGATCCATCAATTGCCGCGCAGACGAGCCCGACGTACGCAAGCCATCAGCAGCAATACTCGCCTTACACACCTCACCACGACATGCAGCACTACCCAGGGCAACCCCAAACACCAATGGGATATGCCTCGCGACCTGAGTGGGCAGGCCATTACCCCCAGCCGGGTATGCACTATGGGCACCCTGCGACTTCAGGCCCGCCCGCGCCTGCAATGGTCTCTCCAGTCCAGCGACCACCTACAGTAAGTTAACTAGTTTCGCACGTCAGACAGGTAACAGGGACGCGTTGAATGCGCATGATGCTAGGCTATTTGCTTGTCGCACCCATGGTTGAATCTTATGAACTGACAGGTCTCGTTAGGGAGGACACCCTCTATCCACAGTTTATTCGTTTGTACCCATTCCTGGCGCACAACAACACAAGCGACCACGTCGGCGATATGAAGAAATTGAACGCATGTACAAGTGTGGGTGGAACGGTTGCGAGAAGGCTTACGGTACTCTGAACCATCTGAATGCGCACGTTACGATGCAATCGCACGGCCAAAAGCGCACTCCTGAAGGTATGTTCTTTCTATTCACGGTTTAACAACTGCTGTTGTGGTTGTGGCCCTTGCAAAACTAGTGCACTAGGTTAGCCCTTGGGATCGTGCTGGTGCAGCGCCATAATGGTCGTGTCCCCGCCGCACTGGGTAGCTTCTGACGACCGAAGCTAACAGCTGTCGACCCTTGCCCAATTATCTTGGCATCTTAACACCTCTATTATAGTATGCTAACTTATCCTTCCAGAATTCAAGGAAATCCGCAAGGAGTGGAAAGCGAAGAAGAAGGAGGAGGAGGCTGCGCGCAAAGCCGACGAAGAGCGACACCGGGCCGACGTGCAGCAGCGCGCCCACGAGGGAGGCGCTCCTGAGGCACCTGTCTATGGACAGATGCGACAGGCAGTTGGTGTCCCTGGACAACCTCCTCAACACCCCCAACTCCCACCCATCGGGTACCAACCTGCGGCCTCTGGTAACAGCACTGCCCCTCAGTACGGCACGCAGAGTCCAGGTCTTCCTGAGGGCATGGCTCAGTATGCCACCCCCAACAGCAATGCGTACAACAGTCCAAATAGTAACAACAGCAGTTATCCTCAATCGCCGTACGGACAAAACCCACAGATGTATCAGCAGAGTCATTAGGAACTCTCTGCCAATTCAGAAGCCGACCCCCTCCATCACCTGTTCGAGGACGATGAGGGATGAGGTATACCAAAAGCGCACTCGCTTGTATCGTTGTCCAGAGCAAGCGAGTCTTGACGAGTCTCCTTATGGTGGTTCTTTGCGTCTGTGTCGCGAGCTTATGCGACGGATACATCATCTTTCCTCTCGGGTGGTGCTTGCATTTTCACTTGGCGGCGGCGGCGGTTGTATGTTTCTAGCTGATGGTATCTACGATGGAGATTACTTGAGTCATCATGCTCAGCATGGATACGGCTCCATGATGGATACCGCGAAAGAGTCAGTACAATGTTCTGAGGATACCACTGGAGATGTCGTAAAGACAAATGCTTGGGCATACGTTATGCATTCCGCGTCACATGTATTCCTCTTTACGTCTTTTATTGTCATGGATCAGAGGCATTCCAAAATTCCTTGGTTCAAACAGTTTTCATTTGGGGTTAGAACGATTGCATGTGAATCGGCGTTCGAAACAAGAAACAATTATTCAATTTCTCCTTCAATTAGTTCGCCACTGGTTACGGCCCTTTTCTTTGCTATTGTGCTTACTCTCAGATTGTTCACTCTCCGTATCATTCTTTGCACATGATGCTGGATGTCATTGGAGCCTGTGTTCCCGCCTCTGTGTTCTCGTACAAGCAACGTGGAACGAACCATCGCAAAGTGGTCTGTGAATCACTGTCTTGCTGACCTCCAGCTTTTGCCTAACTCTGCATCGTGTGCTTTGCATGTTGTACTGTCGCATGATCGGATGGTGTCGCTAGAGACAAATCAGAGCGTGCAACAAGATGACGCTGTGACCGCACTTTACCACTATCCGGCCAACATGTCGCCGTGTACGTCTATGACCGGTCGTGCCTTGTATCCCAACATGGCCGTGGTTGCCCGACCTGCCTACCAGTTTAATTCAGTTGCTGGTTTATACGTGGTGTTCTTGTTTCACGAACGGAATATGCTCATCTGGGTACGCCCTATGATACGAATTGTCTGTGCGCGTTTCAAGGCTCGCTACGGATAGCATGGATTTACAAGGTAAGCCTCGCTTCTCTGAATCTCCGGGCTCTGGCACAACATGCTTGTCCATGTCTTCGCAGCGATGATCACCTCTTCACACCATCACTCGCATGCCTGCCGCCACGTACGCAAAGTGCAAGTCAACTGCCCGAGCATTCCCCCGTCTCGGATTTAATTTTGCATCAAGACATCAGACCACAACGCCTCTGAGACCAACAGCAAATCCTCCCAGTGTCACCTTGCTCAAGGGCACAACTCACTCTGCAGTCCTCGGCTTGTGCACTGATTCGTCCAAAGCAGGGGTGTCATGTAGAATATTTTGAACACGAACAGCCAATCGATTGCACATGGACATGTCGCAAAATAGTTTTAGACAGACTGTATTACGCTGATAATGACGCACATTACCGATAATACTAGAAGGAGGGGAATCCTGTGTCCGGGGTTGGTGGAAAGTACCGTTTGGGTTCGACTGAGTTTTGAGGCGCACTCTTCATGTCGAATGAGGAAGGCGCGGAATGTCGACAGGAAGGGCGTATGAAATTGTGGCTGCATAATAGTTGTGTCGTCAAAATATATTAATCACATGCCGAAATGGCAGTCAAGACGTGCAGACGAAGATCGCGGCATAGGCGGATGCTCCTCGGTGTGCCAATGGGATGGGCATGCGTGTGGTTCTCTCGCGTGCAGCAGACTGTGCCTGCAGGTAACTTTGTGTAACGATAAGTGGCTGTCTCAAATGCTAATAGGATGACGAGAGTACGTATGAGCTGCTCAGTGTTATTGAGAATGGGATGCGAGAGGCGTGTGGCCTGTAACACCATGTCATCGATTACAATCACACGAAGCAATTCCAAGACCAGTTTTGCGTGGTCATGCGAGCGCCGACGCCATGACAGATACTGCACCAAGAAAAAACATGCGATTAACATATGGCTGGCAAAATCTTTCATGGCTCTCATCTCCACACAGTAAAGGCAGTTTACAAGACTGGAGAATTGTGGCTTATCGCCTGTTCTTTCCGCGGCACGCTGGAACAACGACTCCGACGGTGATCGCGTTGGGCAATGTCATCCGAAAGCGCATGAGTGATGACGCCTCTTCCTGGGTCACCGGAAAAGCGCCGCGCCAAAGGGAAAGAAAACTCTGCAGCAAAATGCCAGGATGGGCAACTCAACAAAGAAGCTGAACATCGGCGATGTTCATGATCCTCGCAACAACTTCCCCAAAATACCCGTATTCAGATGTGCCCATGTCATGCGAAGTCGACTACAAAACCTCAGGATACGCTAGCATCTCGCAAGACCGCATCTGCAAGATCGCCTTCTAGCGGCACATCAGACCGTTGTCCGATGAGACTACTTTGATGCCCCGAGCGCTGGCCCTGGTTTCTTTTCTGGGCGCGCCGTTACAAAGGGCACTGGGGCAGCTGGCTTGAAAGCTAGCCAGGGGAGCAAAAGGCGCTGGCTGGCGTGATAGACATCAACGGCGCCGCCAGCCCATGATCTGACGGCGGAAACTAGCAGGATGGTGTGCATACGCTCGCTGTCCTACTACTGCTGGTTTGCGGCGTGGTCGTGTCAAGGACTGGGTTACACACATTACACAGCAGTAGCTGGGGCTGAATGATTTGGTCCCGATGCCACGAGGAGACGAGGGTCCTAAATGTGGGCGTGCGCCTGCTGACGCTGTACTACTGTCGGACCTTTGTTGGCAAGGCAAAGCAGCGAGATACGTGAACATGACAAAGTTGACAGATGTGGATGCACATGACGATTGTTTCATCTGAAGGGTTTGGATGGTGACCACCAGGATAGATGTCTCTTCTGCACCACTTCCGAGCACCCATAACGACAACAACCACCTCTCATACAACCCAGCACAATAGCCTCCCATCCTACGAAGCACAACAACAGCGGCCTAGAATTCCGTCCATAGGAGCGCCAACGTTGCCTTGCACAAAGCTAATCACGCAATCCTCCCTGCCACATAATGCCACACGTACGGAGCTCGTCGCACCAAAACAGCCGACTACCAGGCTTACTTACATGACCCCTTTGAACCCTGGTCCTCCCGCCACGTTGGCTCTGCTATGAGAAGAGTAATGCTCCGGTGCTTGATGTGCATACTTGTCTCACCGATCAGAAGAGCAAGAGCGTCAGTCGGATCCGTTCTGGTGTCCGGTATTAACTGGTGTAGGTTGTCGCTATATCACGGCAGTCTTGGTAAACAAAGGAAAAAGACAGGACGAGCAGCGAGGCTACGCAACATGTCACGTTGCGCTAGCATGACACTCTGCCACAAGCCAGGCATTCTGCGGCAGTTTTAGTTTGCTTGCTTGTTGGTCGCGGGACTTGGAGCGAAGGATCGAAGTAAGCCCTATGACAGTGGTGCGCCTGGCGGGCTCGGACTCCCGCGTTATAGTGCTGGTTCGGCTCCGTAGACTCGGAGGCGCGTAGTGTAGGTTCAGCCTTGTAGGCGGTAGGCATGGTTTTGCTGCTAGAGTGAGGCGTGGGCGCGGGAAGTCTGATCTAGGCTGGATTGCTTCTTCGCGTGGACGATTTGGAGGCGGCGCGTCGCATAGCGGCAGACTGGGCCTGCTAATGCTCTCTTGGGTAGCACGCGAGCAGATGAGGCTCCTTTTCGGTTCAGACGGTGCGGTGCTCGGGTCATCACGTGTGCCATGGTTCGGCCCGGTGGTTTTGCGCTACGGAATTGGGGAACTTTTCCTGACTAGAATGTCCCATGCCCTTTGTACATAACGAAACGCTCCCTCGACCTGATGCTGAACTGCCGCGCGTGCCTTTGGCGATGCATACAAGCGCTCGACGTCCCGACTGCTAATGCGCAACGCCTCCGCCATGATGTAAATCCGCTTCTGCGACGGAGCCAGCAACGACTGCTATCCACCCGCAATGCCACCAGAGCAGAATACAAGAGGTCTGCAGAGCCGAGCGAGGCCCAAGGGACATCACGAGATGAAGAAGATCATTTCAAGAACTCAGCTTTCGCAGCAAACCGGAAGAGGAGAGAGACGGCGGCGCTGCGGCAACTGCCTGCACGGCATCCGGTCGACGAGACACCCAATCTAGCGAGACTTGGCCGGCGAGACCCGTCCATGTCAGATAGCGAATGGAACAGGAGGAAGAGGGAGTTGCGATATTTGCAGGACCCGCTGGAGCTTGCGACGTTTGTGAGGAACGAGTTGAAAAAGGACAAGGCAGAGGAGATGCTGCAATTGGTGCGCATGGCGAGCCACTCCATGCAGTGCATTGTCAGTTGGAACCATATTATCGACCACTACCTGGCCAAAGAGAGAGTCAACGATGCGATCAAGGTCTACAACGATGTGCGCACAGCCTACACCAAGTTATGAGGGGCAATGCTGACCCGCCGCAGATGAAGAAACGCGCGCAATTCCCCGACTCCTACACATATACTATACTCCTCAGAGGCCTCTCGTGGAACGCGCATACATCTGGTGTTCTTAGCAAAGCACTTTCTATCTACCACTCGCTCTCCGCACCCAACTCGCGGGTCGAACCGTCGATCATGCACACGAACGCTGCGCTGAAAGTGTGCGCAAGAGCGGGCGATATGGATGCTTTATGGGGGGTGGCTGGAAAGATACCAGAAACCGGGCCAGCAGCAGCCAATGCCATCACATACATCACCATACTCAACGCTATACGGCAAAGTCTGTTGGTAGACACGCCCAAAGGAGAGAGCGAGGACGAGACGGCTGCGAGGAGAGAGCGTGGAATTATGGAAGGGCGCCGCATGTGGGAAGACATTATCGGGAGATGGAGACGTGCAGATCTCGCCATTGACGAAGAGCTTGTCTGTGCAATGGGAAGATTGTTGCTGATCGGCAGTCGGCCGCGAGACTGGGACGACGTACTCTCGCTGGTGGAGCAGACGATGGACATACCGCGGCTCGTTCCCCGGCTAGGCTCGGTGGAGCGACAAGGCGCCGGCCTTCCACACGTGCGAGCTCCCAACGTACCCGAACAATATCGTATCGATGATGACCATCTTTCCCCTGATAATGTCCCCGCGCGTGGCGACGAGTTCTTAGCTCTGACGCCTCAGGGCGTAGGTAGTGCAGTATCGAGCCCCCTCATTTACGTTCGACCAGGCAACAACACACTCTCCTTAGTCCAGGAAGCATGCCAAAAAGTTGTAGCGAACAAGGCAGCTCAGGAATACTGGGATCTCTTGACCGACCCTACAACGTATAAAATCACTCCCGACTTAAATAACCTCAACATGCGTTTGCGTAATCTCCGTCAGAACCGCGCCTCTAGTGCTGCAGTCCAAGTCCTGCAGCAGGATATGATGAATCGTGCCATCAGGCCTCCACCTGGTACATTTAGGATCGCAATGAGTACCTGCGTCCGCGACAAAAACAATCACAACTCGCTAAAGAATGGAGGCCAGATCTTGGATATGATGTCCAAGACACTGGAAGACGCAGATCCCAAGACTGTTACTATGTATGCTGGGCTTGTTATCTCTTTCCCTTTAGCCAAAGGTTCGGATTTTATCGATGCCCTCACTCTACTTAATCCCCTCGTGAAGAATATTCGTCTTCAAGTGGGGGTTGGTGCAGGGCAAACCAAGTATGCAGGGCGTCGTGGACCTCAGTATCTGAAGGGCGAAGCAAGACAAGATGCTATCGATGCTCTGAAGAAAGTCCATGGCGTATACGACAAGTTGCTGTTCTCGAATCTAATCGCCGAGGAGCTAAAGAGCCCGTTCGAAAAAGAGAGAGCGAGACTCTCTGCATTTATCCAGAGGGTGATGTTCAAGGGCGGACAAACGAATGCTGAGGATCAAGAGGCAGATTTGCATGGATATCTGCGGAAAGAGGACAGCCAAGCAGACGACAGAATGGAACCGGGCAAAGTAAGACAATGGGATCAAGGCGAGGCCAGACCGTCATGGAAGAAGGAATGGAAAAGGCCGCTGAAGGGACCGTCGCGACCAGCAAGACCCGCGAAATCATTCGGACGAAGGAAGGGATACACGTCTCCGGCGGTTGACAAGTCTGGAGATTTGAGGGACATGTAGATACGACACTTATGAGGCGTTGCGACATGAGGAGTGCAATAGATACCTTTCTTGTATAACATCAGTATAACCTTCAAAGGTAGAGACATAACATCCAGCACAGTGCGCAGATCAAATCACTATCGAGCTATCCTCTCATGATATGCAATCTGTTTCCATCAGGGTCCTAGCTAGGTAGTCCCCCATATCCTTGGATGGGAATGGCACGTGCACGTCCCAAAACTACTCAAACCTCCGCGCTTCGCCGCATACCCTCGGCCTCTCACCAACGCTCTCACATCAATCCGCGCGCAACCACATCCAGTCTTAGCGAAGCCCTACGCGATGGGCAACGACGGTGGATCGATTCCGAAACGTAGCGAACTCGTAAAGGAAGCCGCTAAAGCTCTCACAACCGCCCAGATCAAAGAGGCGCAAACCGAACAACAAGAATACGCCTGGTCCACTGATCCTTTGACGCGCAAGCCTCTTGCCCGCCCCGTAGTTTCCGATGCTGCTGGTATTCTGTACAACAAGGACTCCATCATCGAGTTCTTGCTAAAAGAAGAAGATGACGCAGAGAAGACGGAGATGAAGAAGATCGCAGGCGTCAAAGATTCAGAATTAGGCACATTCGGGGATAGGGTCAAGGGTCTGAAAGACGTGGTCGAAGTCAAGCTTGAAATTGAGGAGAAAGACGGTGGTGAGGTACAGAAGAGTCTAGGTGAGAAATGGAAATGTCCCATTACTGGAGAGAGGCTAGGGTTTGGGAGTAAGGCTGTGTATGTTGTCCCTTGTGGGCATGCCTTTGCGGGAAGTGTCGTTAAGGAAGTCGGCGAGAGCACGTGTTTGACAGTATGTATTTGCTGCGTCGACCATTTCAAGACACAACGACTGATTTGCTACCAGTGCAACGAACCGTACGCTGAGAACGATATCATACCCATCTTACCCACCACACCAACCGACATCGCGCGATTGAATCTACGTATGAAAGCATTGAAGGACAAGGGCCTCACACACGCGCTCAAGAAAGCGCCCGGGAGTAAGAAGAAACGTAAGCACGGCGATACGTCCACTGAAAACAGCGCCACGAAAACCCCACTACCAGGCGGAGACGGAAAGGCAAAGAAAGAGGGTGCAGCAAACGCGACAACATCAGCCAACGACGGAATCAAGAATTCTGCCACGGCCTCCTTGACACGAAAGGTGCTTGAGGAGCAAGAAGAACGCAACAAGAGGAGGAAGATGGCGCAAAATGACAACGTGAATAGTTTGTTTAACAAGACGGAGCATAAGGCATCGACGGGCAACAGTGCGGATTACATGACGAGGGGATTCAGCATTGGAAAGAAATAAGTACAAGGCGAAGAGGATAAAACTACAGAGTCAGGCTGCGGCATGATGCATGGTAGGCATCTTGTATGTATGAAGCGACAGTCTACTGGCAATACTCACAGTAGGCATATGTTAGTGCACAAGCAGAACAGGAGTATGATACCCTGCGATGAATAATCGCGTTCCTGTTTAAGATCTACGCGCATCCCCAAGTCAACAAAAGGGGTGAATGGTGAGCTATTACCGCCAATATTTAGACTTTTGCATTCTGGTATACACCCATGTCCATCTCTTCGACCTCTTGTATAACCTGTATCACCTACGCATACCTCTCTTGGGTTTCTGCCACAGTACAATGTTTACTCACTATGTCTTCTATCATTCTTCCAGGAATGCTGCATATCCGCGCATGACAGACCGTCGCTATACACGCCGCGAGATCAGTGGACACGATAGGAAGCAGTGGCACTTGCAAAACAGTACTTGCCAGGCGATTCGTGTTGTAGCAGGATCCAAAATCCAAGAAGATGCTCTGTTTGACACTAATGCATGATTTTTAGGGTTTAGATAAGGGTGATTATTGTTGGTTTCCATCAGCTTCCATCTCATGTACGACCAGGTTGATTGTCTTCACATTCCTTTGTATGCAGTAAACAGACTGCCGTACATAGGCAGTCATCTCATCTCTTGTAGGCGGTATCAACTCATCTAATCTTTCCTCTGCCTTATCCAAGAACTTTACGGCTTTCATACTACTTTTGAATCCATTATTACTCTTTTGACGACTCTATGGTGCTCGCTGGCTTCAGAAAGAACGCCTCGCGATAGTATCTCGCTTCTTCGATACTCTCTAGAATATCCGCACGTGCCTCATGTAACATCTTCTTCCTTGGAATCTTCTTGAGTGTGTCTTTGGGTGCCCATCTACGAGCAGCTTCTTTGATGCTGCTGACGTCCATGATCCGGTAGTGGAGGTAGTCGGTGACAACCTTGTAAGGCTGCTTGACGAGGAAAGACTTGTCGGCATGCACAGAGCTACCGGAAAGCAGAGCGGTGCGGCGCTCGGGCACAAATCTTTTGATGTAGGCAAGTAGGCCCTCTGCTGCTTCTTCGGCGGTAGTGGCAGAGTCGATGCAGGCTTGCGTTAGACCAGACTGCCCATGATGATTTGTACACCACTCGCCCATACGGTCGAGTTGCTCTTTTTCATGATGAATGATGGCCTCATAGCCTGCTTCGTCGAGGATGTTGAGGTCTGCGTCAGTGACAAATGCGGCAAGAGACATGATAGTGTCATTATCAGTGTTCAGGCCGGTCATCTAACAGGGTCAACGAAATACTGCGTAAGAGCACAAGTAAGCCTACCTCACAGTCTATCCAGACCAGAGGGGCTTTTGAGACTGACGCCATGATGATGTTGTGGTGTTGGAGATGTAGCCCGTTGTGGGCAAGTAATAGAATATACAAATCGGGGTAGCGTCTTGGCGTGATTAATGGGATGTCGCGTCGCGTGCACGGTGCCGATTAGCGCGTCGCTCCTGCACTTTAACCTGTCGTCCCGCCAGCCCTCCAAACACGCCTTCGACGGCACCAGATACCCCAATTTCTTCACTTCGCTTTTTGCTTCCACAACCTATACACTGTAATACATCATGTCGCGTGTAGGGAAGAAGACCGGCGCTGCCCTACTCGCGGAACTGCGAGCCAATCGTGCGGCAGGCAAGACGCGTTTGTCCACATACGAAGTCGCAGAAGAAGAGCAATTGTACGATACGGTCGACGAAGAGGGCTACAAGAAGATTGTGCGAGGAAGACTGGATCAAGATGATTTCGTTGTTGGCGACGAGGGCGAGGGTTATGTCGATGACGGCCGGGAGGAGTGGGATGAAGGCCACGGTCAATACCATTATGCTGCGACAGACAGCGAGGGAGAAGACGAGCGGCCTGCCAAAGGCAAAGCTGGTATGAGATGATGTAATCACGGCCAATCAACAGCAGTACTAACGCGTTATAGCCAAACGGAAACGCGAAGAAGACGAGGAGAAGCGAAAAAAGATTGACAATGGCATTAGCAAGTACTTCAGTGCGAAGAATGCTGCAAAGGCACCAAAGGCAAAGGTGAGCTCTTCGAGTACATGACTTCGTGCGGGGTCGACGCTAACACATCCAGCCTGTTGTCACTGCAGCCGACAAAGACTTCATGGAGGACCTACTTGGCGAAATCGACACAAACCCCGTTCCCTCCTCGAAGAACCGAACGCATCCCGTAAAGACAGAGGCGCGAAGGAAAACACGCGTGCTGTCACCTCCTATATCAGAGAACAGATCGACTGTGGTAACAAAGCGGACCAATGATTCAGACGCACACATGCCAGACACACCACCTGCAGCGAATGCATACGTCGATGACGATGACCTTCCCATACTGGACGACGACCATCCTATGAGCGACCTTCCACTACAATCATCACCCGTTGCTAAAGCCGTAGAACGAAGAGCACATCCTGCGATCAAACAAGAAGAGGAAGAAGATGACCTCATGGAGGTGGCTCAACCCACGACACATCTTGGTGTGCCAATAGCCAGCGTCAACATGGCTGGCAGACGACCGATAGCGAAGATCAAGAAAGAAGACTACCCCGCACCTGCCAGCTCACCTGTTGGACCTTCCGCAGCACCTGTCGATGCTTCTTCGTGGAATGATGTCACGAGCAAACTCAACGTCATGAGTAGTCCTGCCCCTGCAACTACTGGCATGGGCAAGATACAACCACAGGATGCGCTGGAAGAGGACGGCAGCTTACGCATGTTCTGGATTGACTACACTGAAATTAACGGCAGCTTGTGCCTGTTCGGTAAAGTTAAGGACAAGAAGTCAGGCAACTATGTCAGTTGCTTTGTGAAGGTCGATCACATCCTCCGAAAGTTGTACTTTCTGCCCCGAGAGTACCGTCACATTCGAGGAGTAACCACAGACGAGGAGGTTGGTCTGAGTGATGTATCAGACGAGGTTGACTCCATAATGAGCAAGCACCGCGTAAACTTACACAAGATCAAGCCATGTACCAGGAAGTACGCTTTCGAACTGGCCGACATACCCAAAGAAGCCGATTACCTCAAGCTCCTTTATGGATATGACAAGATGCCTTTAGCCTCTGATTTAAAGGGAGAAACATTCTCGCATGTTTTTGGAACCAACACCTCGCTTTTCGAACAATTTGTTCTTTGGAAGAACGTCATGGGACCATGCTGGCTCAAGATCGACGCCCCCGACTTCGCTGCTGTCGCCAATGCTTCTTGGTGTAAGCTCGAAGTCTTGGTGAGCAAACCCAACAATATCACAGTCACGAGCGCGTCGGACAATCTGGACGCGCCCCCAATGACCCTCATGAGTCTCTCCCTGCGAACCACTTTCAATGCCAAGGATAATAAGCAGGAGATCCTAGTGGCCAGTGCTATGATATACGATAGCTTCTCTCTGACTGACACTACACCTGTCGATCAAATGCAGTGCAAGAGCTTCACTATCATGCGGCCGAATGGCACTGCTTTCCCAACAGGCTTCGATAAAGAAGTCGAGAAAGTGAAGGGTAACATGTACATGAAGAAGACAGAGCAAGAACTTCTCAGTCTGTTGATGGCGATGTTCCAGCGCCATGATCCGGATGTTCTTGTCGGCCATCGCTTAGACGACGTCGATTACAGCGTCTTGCTAAGCCGTCTTCGAGAGAAGAAGACCCCAGGATGGCACCGCATTGGACGACTTAAGAGAAGTGATTGGCCTAAGAGTATGGGCAAGGGCGGTGGCAGTTTCTTTGCTGAGAAGCAACTAGCTTCTGGTCGCTTGTTGTGCGATTTGGCGAATGACCTTGGAAAATCCCTTATGCCAAAGTGTCAGTCGTGGAGTCTTGAAGAGATGGTTCAGCTTGGACTCAACAAGCGACGTGAAGAGCTTGATAACGAAGCTGCACTGAAGACCTGGGCGACAACGAAGGAGGGTCTTCTCAACTACATCAAGCACTGCCAAGCTGATGCCTACTTCATCGCTGCCATTGCGATAAAGGTGCAGATGCTTCCACTTACCAAGGTTCTCACCAACTTGGCAGGTAACTCATGGGCCCGAACGCTGAGCGGAACCCGCGCAGAGCGTAACGAGTACATTTTGCTGCACGAGTTCCACAAGAACAAGTACATTTGCCCGGACAAACAGTGGGGCAAGAGCAAGGTCAAAGCTGAGGAAGAAGCAGCGGAAGGTGAAGAAGGTGCGGACGCGAAGAAGAAGGACAAGTTCAAAGGTGGTCTCGTCTTCGAACCCGAGAAAGGTCTCTACGACAAGTTCATTCTGGTCATGGACTTCAACTCTCTTTATCCCAGTATTATCCAGGAGTTCAACATTTGCTTCACGACCGTGGAGCGATCGGATCTCTCAGAGGATGACGACAAGGTGCCAGAGGTCCCCACGAACCAAGATCAGGGTATTTTGCCGCGTCTTATTGCTACACTTGTCTCGCGTCGTCGCGAAGTGAAGAAGCTTATGAAGGCAAAGGATGCTACACCGGATGAGTTGGCGACTTGGGATATCAAGCAAATGGCTCTAAAGCTCACTGCCAACTCTATGTACGGATGTTTGGGATATACCAAATCTCGGTTCTACGCTCGACCACTCGCTATGCTCACGACATACAAGGGTCGTGAAATTCTTCGGAAGACTAAGGACATGGCCGAGGAGAAGGCGCTGCGCGTTATTTATGGTGATACAGATTCAGTCATGATCAACACAAATGTCGACAACATTCAAGATGCGCTAAAATTGGGCAATGAGTTCAAAAGGGAGATCAACGACAGCTACAGACTTTTGGAGATCGATATCGACAACATTTTCCGTCGCATCTTACTGCATGCCAAGAAGAAGTACGCCGCCATCAACATGGTCTCTGTTGACGGTAAATACATCGAGAAACTTGAAGTCAAGGGTCTCGACATGAGACGCAGAGAATACTGCGCCCTGTCGAAGGAGACGTCAACGTAAGCTTTGCCGCATCTAACGTCTAGTACAATTCGCTAACAAAGATGTAGGGAACTACTTAACTTCCTCCTTAGCGGTGAAGACCCTGAGGTAGTCGTCGAGAAGATCCACAATCATCTCCGTGAGCTGAGCAAGCAGATGCGCGAGTACACCGTACCAGCTCGGAAATACACCATCTATACCCAGCTCGGAAAGAACCCCAAGGAGTATCCCAATGGTAACTCGATGCCCTCTGTCCAGGTCGCACTTCGCCTTCAGGCAAAGGGCAAACACGTCAAGGCCAAGGACGTTATGAGCTTCATCATTACTGGTGAATCATCTGGTTCAGCCGAAAACGCAGCAAAGAACGCCTATCCGGTTGATGAAGTCTTGAAAGCCGACAGTGGACTAAAACCAGATATCGATTACTACCTCCACAAGCAGATTCTACCACCAGTAGAACGTCTCTGTGCCCCCATCAGCGGAACCAACGTCACTCTCTTGGCAGCTTGTCTCGGTCTCGACACTTCCAAATATCGCGTGAGCACCGTCTCTGGAGGTGCGCAACAAGACACAGAAATCCATCCTCTGGAGTCGCAAATTCCGGACTCCGTACGCTTCCAATCTTGCTCGCCACTGTGGCTGCGCTGCCGGGAATGTACAACTGTATTCCCATTCCAGGGTCTTTCTTCGACATCACCAACTACGGCATCGTTACAGACCATCTCCCACAGTGGAATACAATGTCCTGCTGAAGGCTGCGGCAAGTTGCTACAAAACATCAGCGTGGTGGCCCAGCTAGAATCTTCTATCCGTCAAGTCCTCGCGTCATACTACGCCGGTCATGTTCTTTGTGATGACCCCCAATGTTCAAATCGAACGCGTAGTATATCTGTCTACGGACACCGTTGCCTTGGCCCGAAGGGTCTCGCCCGTGACTGCTTGGGCAAGATGAGCTACGAGATCAAGGAACGCGATGTTTGGAACCAGCTGTTGTACTATCAATCGTTATTTGACGTTGACCGCATAGGCAAGATGGATGCTGGTATGAAATCAGAGGATATGGAGAGGAAAGAGAAGATGAAAGTGCTGGCGGAAGTCAACAGAGAGAGATTTGGTACGCTTAAGGGCGTGGTGGAACGATGGCTAGAGAGGAATGGAAGGCAATGGGTGCAGATGGATAGTTTGTTCTCTTTTGCGCTTAAGGCTTAAGGCTTAGGATGCTTGGATACATGATCGCATACGATGACCTAAACGGGTGACGGCTTTCATCTGCTCCCGATCGTGATCTTGTCTACTACATAGTGTTCCCTTTCTTGAATCAACCTTTTGGATACGACATGATGAAAGTTGCTATTGCTGGGGTATAATGTGTTACTAGTATTAGAAATTACATCGCTCTCGAAAACGAGTAAGTACCTCCTGAGATGGCGCACAGGACAATCACACATTCGCGATTCCTTCAGGGATTTTGTCATTGTGCGCGCCCTTCTGCCCAACACCCTTCACGGCTATACGACAAGCTTCGTGGAAGACAGTGATAAAGCGATGGATGTCGTGGAAGGAGTTGTACAGTGGTGCAGGCGCCACGCGAAGCACATCAGGCTTTCTTTCATCGACGACCACGCCACGTTCTTCGATATAGTGTTGAACTTGGTCCAGCAGTCCTGGATTGAGAAGCACACTGAGCTGCGCACCACGCTCCGCTGGATTCGCAGGTGTGATGATCTTGTAAGGTGGCTCTCCTCCGTCATACTTTAGTAGCCGCGCTTCGAGGTACGCAGTCAACCTGAGACTCCGCTGCCGTAAATCATCCATGTTCGTCAGAGCAAAGACGTCTAAGCTAGCCATGACAGATGTCATGTCCAATGCACTAGGGTTGCTGAGCTGAAAGCCGCCCGCCCCAGTGATTGGCACGAACTTGTTTTCCATGCGAAAGCGACTGTCTTTATCGCTTCCCCACCAGCCGCTTAGTCGCGGTCGGTAGGCAAGCTCTGTGCTGTTACCCACTGCGCCGTTTGTGCCATCTTTCTGAACTGCAGGCACCTGCTCCACTCTTCCATGCCTCTCGTGTACAAATAGTCCACCGATGACACCAGGGCCACCATTCATATATTTATAGTTGCACCATGCTGCGAAGTCAACATTCCAGTCATGTAGCTTCAGTGGTACGTTTCCAGCTGCATGGGCAAGGTCCCAGCCTACGGTTATACCCAGCGATCGGCAGTGGCGCGTTATGAGTTCTATATCGAAGAACTGGCCCGAGTAGAATTGGATACCAGGTAACAAGACCAGTGCAGTCGTTGGCGCATGTTGGGATATGACTGAGAGTATGTGCTCGTTGGAGAGGTAAGGCGAGGACGCTGAGGGCGGATCGATGGTTATGAGCGCAGATGGGTCGAGGTTGTGGTGGGCAATCTGAGAGAGAGCGGCATACTGCGAAGAAGTCAATATCTAAGCGCTGAGAGCATGTTCGCATCAACTCACATGATCACTAGGAAATGCCTTCGCCTCAATGATGATCTTGTACCGGTCCTTGGTCGGTCGGTCTAATGTGGGTGTACGAAGTCAGTGTATGCTCACATGCAGTTCTCACTGGGACACTTACAGAAACTTGCCATGAGCAAATGCAAATTTGCAGTCAAAGTCTCCATTATGACGACTTCTGTAGGTAGTGCGCCGACCACCTTGGCTGTCTGGCCTTTGATCGCATCGTCGATGTGTAGCCATGGCGGTAATCCTCCCTCGTAATTCGTGAAATGACCAAACACACCCTTGGATGCCCAAGTATCCAGATAACGGTTAACATATTCCTTTGTTCTCCGAGGTTGAAGTCCTAGAGAATTGCCGCAGAAGTATATGGAATCTTCGCTGTCGTCTTCGCGCGTAGCGGCGGCCTCTCCCGCGTAGTTTTGCTGAAATCCGAATTTCTTGTTCCTCAAGTCGCCTTTGCTTGGTATCACAAATTCGTTCCTCAACTTGCTCAATCTATCCTTTCTGTCTTCATTCCTTGCGAACTCCTCTGTGCAAAGTTCCGAGTGTGGAAGTTCGAGATATGCATTGTAGTGTTTGGGCATCGTCGCTAGTGGTGTACGAAAGACTACCAGGAATTAGATAAAAAGAAGCTTATGCAGAGATGATTTGGCGCTATCATGGAGCTCTCAGGCACGATAAGTAAATAGCTCTGGCGGGCAAGACTGGAACGGCCTGGCGGCTCGTACGACTAATAGTGGCGGTACAAGGTGGGGTCATAGTATGACTAAGCGATCTAGAACTCCCAATCGGTGGGCGCGTGTGATTGGGTCTCGTCGGCCGTGACATTCTTAGCTATGACCTCAGATTCATGGACCTTCATCTCACCACAACCTCGATATCACAACAATGGCGTCCTCTTCAACCATGTGCACATCTTGCCTGCGAATAGCGAGGAGGACCATGGCAAAAGGATCCGCCCATCCTGCAACTGCCGCGATACAGTCCACGCGAGCGTACAGCAGAGTGTCCTCAGGCGCCACTTCGCAGTCGCCTTTCCTCGACTTTCTTGCGCCTTCATCTCCACGCAGGGTGCTCAGAAATATTCCAGCACAGATCTCCATATTCCCAAAACGACAACACATACCACGACGGACTCTTGCCACATCATCCGACGCCTCCACCGCAAAGCCCGCGCAACCAATCCAAAACCCCCGTACCGATGATTCCGGTAACCCAATGTTGATCTCTATAGCACCCCGTGCATCGAATCGCCTCCAGAAGATCTCTACAGGTGACAACAACCCAAACCTCGCGTTGCGCGTGAGCATCGAGAGCGGCGGATGTCACGGTTTCCAGTATCTTATGGACTTGACGGACTTATCGAAAGACCCAGCGGCTGAGGAAGACACCATATTTGAGGGGGAAAGGGGCGAGAAGATCGTCATTGACGAGTCTAGCCTAGAGTTGCTGAATGGAAGCACGGTGGATTATACAATGGAGTTGATAGGTAGCCAGTTCAAGATTACGGGCATACCGGGGGCGACGAGCAGTTGTGGGTGCGGGACAAGTTTTGACATCAAGTTGTAAGTTATGCAGTGCGTGTGTACTTTCTGGCAATAAACATGTACCACTATCGAAGTAACAGTGCGCGTGCGTGGCTAGCCTCTATGGATTACTTCCTGCACCTTCTTGATATCTTGGAGGCACCGTGGAGACAAAAGATAAAGACTAAACGAAGGCCAGGAGAAACTTAATAACGCCGCATCTTAGCTAAAAGCTGGAGGCTATTGAGGTAGGACGATGCGTGGGGCGGGTGCGCAAGGGTGAACTAAAGTAGGGTGCCTGCTCAGGCTTAGGTGTTGAACAATTCCGCCAAAACTCGTAACTTCTATGTCTATGTGATCGAAACTATTCGGCGCTTTGGTCAAGAAAACTCAGATTGATTTGATAAGATTTGTAAGTTGCGATCATATTCTGACCATGGTAACATATCCAGGAACAGTAAGGAGGGTACAGTCATTGTACGAGAGAAAGCAGCAAATCATAAGTACGTCAGCTCCCAGCATTACTTCAGGCTTACAACGACCTTTCTAGCCGAGACCCCCTTCTTGTGTATATCTATCGCTCTTTGGATAGTTTCTAGTCCTTCTCCAACGATCATAGGCTCCGGTGCAGGTCTGAACTTGCCCCTTGCAAGGGCCTCTGGCAGGAAATCGGCATATACGGCTTCACCAACAGGGCTGTGTGCTACTGATCCGGATATGAAGCTCGTTTTGATATCCCTTAGCCTTGATTTGATAGCGATGGAGATCATCGAAGTCGCGAAGCTCCAGACAATCTGTAGCGCGACTAAGCGTTTCGGTTGAGCCGGGATTGGATATGTTGCCATCGCGATATGTTTGCCGCTTTTGCAGCTGCTCAGTGCATCCAGGCAGCGGAAAACTGCATCCTCTCCGATTGATAGGGCCCCCGCGCATTCTCTTCCTTCCATGAACTTAACGATTCTATTGACTGAACAGGGGTCATTATAATCGAAAACTTCGGTCGCTCCGAGCGATCTCAGGAGATCAAAGTTCTTTGGAGAAGACGTTGATACGACTTCGTATCCAGCGGCTACAGCGAGTTGGATAGCGTTGCAGCCCACACTAGTCGAGCCTCCCCACACAAGGACAGTCTTTCCGGTCGATTTCGGATCAAGTTGAGGATATTGCAAGCCTAGTTGGTCTTTCTCAAACAATCCTGCAGCAGCAGTGGTGAAGGCCAATGGTATCACTGAAGCAGACTCGAATGATGTGCTATCCGGAATGGGCGATGAGTTCCTTTCGAGGAGAACGGTATACAGCTGGAACGCTCCATACGCCGCGCTGTTGATTGTCTTGTCCGTGCTCTGTGCCTGACCTAGAACGCGGTCCCCTACTTTAAACCGCACGATCTTATTCCCGACCTGGACCACCTCACCGGCGACATCGTATCCAAAGACGAAAGGATATTTGATCCAACCAAATGCCATACTAGTGCCCTGATCTTGCAAAACCCAATCGACAGGGTTGACTGCTACTGCATGGTTCTTGATGATGATTTCGTCTGGCCCAGGTGTAGGAAATGGTGCTTCTGCGACTTGCATTCGTTGCTTAGGTGCTGGTATCCATGCTGCAAGATTGGTAGGCATTGTATAGGATATGGTCTTTGAAGTGGTAGTTACGTGTCTTCAAGATATCGAAAAGTAAGAGAATGAATATGTGAAACCTTGGAGCTTGTCCAAATACTACTTCCTTGGTTATTATATACAAATATCAACGTCGGTTTTCATGCTTGCCTGCTATGTGCTTTCAAGGATGAGATACAGTGTACCAATCAGCGTCAAGCGGACGTCCGTTTGGACCCACTTTCCAGCCACAGAAGATTACTGGCTCATACCAGGTGCGCTGACGCTTACATACCCCAACGGGAAGAATGAGCGATATAGTGTACATTATGCGATGGAGATATGATCCGTGCAAATTATGAGTGGCCGATGTACCCGCGGGCGCTGTCAAGGGGCATGCTCACAATTCCAATAAGACTCATTCCAGTCCTCATCTCCTGACCAAAGGAGAAGCAACTCGAGGACATGACGAGTTCCCCCGTTTCCTCCGCACGGCTACTGGAGAAGATGAGAGGCCGAGAGAAGGTTCAGCTGTCTTGCGACTTTTGCCGGAAGCGAAAGTGAGTAAACCGTTCATCTCTCTATACTGAACAATTGCTGCTAACTCGCACTCAGACTCCGTTGTGACCGCAACAAGCCATGTGGGAGTTGCATCCGGTTAGGACAGGCAACGATATGCACGTTTCCTCTGTCTCAAGTTTCTCGAGCTTCACAAAGAGACCCACCAATGGAGACTGCCACCCGAAAGGTTTTTCAGGAACGAATCGACCAACTCGAATCAATGGTTCGGTCTTTGCTTGATAAGCAACAAAGCAAACTCAATGCTCCATTGCCTGACAGCGTGGCGTTCCCCATGGCTACTGATGTCGTAGGTGATGCAGATCCTCTCACGTACGGGGTTGGGAGTATGAATCTGGAGAACCATGAGTCCTCTTACGTAGAGAGTGATCACTGGAAAGCTATCCTCGATGAAATCGGTGATCTGAAGGGCATGGTGCAGCAACATCCCGAAGATTTAGGGGATTCCTATGCTGACCCGGTACTTCCTGGTAACGATCTGTTCCTTCTTCAGACATATCCAACCACGAAGATAGAGGCAAGTTATGACTGTACGAAATGCATGTAAGACATACACTGACTTCGCATTTCCACATCTGTAGATCATTGCTACGATTCCACCTCGTATCATTGTCGATAGCATGATATCGAAGTACTTCAAGTGGGCCGATATGCCCGTTTCCCTCGTTATTCACCGCGGGGTCTTCTTCAAACAATATGAGGCTTTCTGGGAGGACCCACTTTCGACATCGACCATGTGGCTGACCATACTATATGGCATGATGTACATTGTGGCATATTGTACCCTCTTCATCAATGGAGATGCAGGCTCACTTGATGAGACGACGGCAGCTGAATATCGTAGCATAATCATAATCTCACGAGAGAAGATGATACAGTGCCTGAGGCTAGGCAACTACATGAAGGGAGTGCCGCATACTATTGAAGCTCTTTTGGCCTTTCTGCAGACCGAATACCTTCAAGGCGAAGACACACAACACGGATGCTGGCAGTTGACAGGTATCATTATACGTGTAGCGCTCAAGATGGGCTATCATCGTGACGGCTCGCATTTCCCAAACATCAGCGTTTACGGGGCAGAAATGCGCCGGCGTACTTGGTACAGTAAGTTTCTCTGTACAAACTGCATGTAAGAATTATACTGACTTCGTACGACTACATTTAGTACTCACGCAATTCGACACTGCATCTGCTTCCCAGGTCGGCCTTCCGCGCATCATCAAAGAGACTCAATGCGATACCGCTGAACCTCGTAACCTTCTTGACAACGACTTCGACGACACTTCAACCGTATTGCCGCACGCTAGACCACAGAACGAACACACGCTTGCTCAATTCCTGGTCTACAAGAGTAGAGTTGTCTCCGTCTACGGAATGATCTGCGATTTCACTACGTCATCCAAGCAGCGAGACTACGAGGAAGCAATGCGTTTGGATGTATTGCTCAATACTGCATACGCACAGAAGCCTCCTATACTCGAGCTGAAATCCATGCAACGGTCTGTCTTAGATGGTGCTGAGCTCATCACCCGCCGTATTTATATGGCGATGTCTTATCATCATGCACAAATCACCCTTCACCGCAAGTTCATGATTCTTGCGAAGGCAAATAGCAAGTACAGCATTTCACATACGACATGCGTGAATGCGGCTACGGAGATGTTACAACTACACGCTGAGCTATTTGAGCAGTGCCATCCGGGGCGTATGTTATATACTGATCGATGGAAGATTCTTTCTCTGGTCCAATCCGAGTTCTTGCTTGCCACGACTGTGTTGTGCTTCAACTTGGATGATGATATCAAGAAGGGGCTGATCGGTGGAAAGGTCGCTATGAAGAGTGTAGAGGCGCTCGAGAGATCGAGAAGTGTCTGGGAGCCGCAGAAAGTGTTCTCGAAAGAAGCTCAGACAGCTTTGAATACTATAGATGTTGTTCTTGGTAGACTGCATAGTAGGTCGGAAAATAACGGCGCAGATAACGCACAACCATCTGAAGCAAGCGTTGGCTTCACCTCGTCAGTCTTGGCAGACATGAGTTATGGAGATGGCCAGAGCTTCGATCCACCGGCAGATCAAGACCGTTCACAGACAGAAGCTTCTCACAGTATGCAGGGGAGCTCCGCCAGCACAGCCTCTGACGCATTCTTTGAGATGGAGCAGGAGTGGGAGGGGTGGCTCCAACTCTGACAAGGAGGCTGTCCAAATCGCGAATTTGATCGTGATTATTTCTACATCTATGGTAATACAGTGAAGCAGGTGTAGACTTCTGAGAGCAAACTCAAAGTGCCTAGCGTATCCATCTCGTGAAGTCGTTATTCCATGCATCTTCGTCATCATCAGTGCCCGTGCACCACATCCAGTTGAACACCTTTCGATAATACACATACGTGTTGCAACTAATACAATAGTCTAACATCTGCCCAGTACCGTAGGGTTCAAGTCTGACCGAGCCAGGAAGAGAAACAGACCTCTTACACTCCAATCGTTTGATGGACTCCTTCAACTTTCGTCTCACCATCAACACCAAGATTCTCGATATTGCCCTTTTGAACCTCTTCAGGTTTCGGAATAGGCAGTTGCTCCTCGACCTCGTCGAAGATTCCGCCTTCAGGCTCTGTGTCCTGTCCGATGGCCTTGAGTATCCTCCATGCTCTTCTGAACTCGTCTCTAATAGCAACGATACCACGGTGAGTGACTGTCCTTGCAACATTGTGGTCGGTCTCGAAAGGATCTTCAATGGCGAAAAGGTACCGGTTGGTAACCTTTTTCTCAGCTGTAATCTTGGTTGTTGCGCTCACCCAACCCTTGCTCTGTTTCGACAAGATACCGCCAAGCGTCCGAAGGGAGATGACTTCGTTAGTCCAGTAGAACTGGGGAGGTTTAGGTCCATAGCCGTACCCTGAAAGGGAAGCATAGTACTGGAAGAATCCACGTAGTAATGAACCGATGGACTGTGTATTTTGCGAAAGGCGACCAGCTTCTGCGGCTTGCATAATTTCCGTTTCATTGCGCCAGAAACGTACCTCATAGCCTGCAATAATTGTATGCTTAAAGAAATGCTCCAGGGCTTCTGCGTCGCTTGGGAGCGGGACGGAGAGCTGAAGGTTCGGACATACTGGTGGTTGCGCGATATTGACCAGGTAATGCAGTACCATGAGCACCCATCCGTACGAGTTGAGAGTACCGGAGTATGCGCTGTTGACTTTACGTCGCTTGGCCCAAGACTTGACAAAGAGAACTATGGGTCGGACACGCGGGTCAGTTAACGAGTAGCATCGAAGCATATGGGTGTTATGGATGCCGAGCGGGTTCTCGAAGTTAATGTCACACTGAATTCCGCAACCTGTCTTTGGGAAGTCGAGAGGACCCACAACCTTCTCTCGTGTCCACTGCTTCTCGTGACGATGATGCTGATCTCTTTTGGTCTTATCTTCAGTCCCGTCGCTGATCTTATCCTCTGACTTGGTGGCTAGGACAAAAGAGTTTTCCTGGGGTACCTCAGCGTTTGTGGGAGCTTTTTGTCGTTTCTTTGTTGTCGCCGCAGCCCCCAAGGTAGGGAAGTCGTCACCAAAGTTGGTGCTGTCTACTTGCGCCGCCAGGTTTGTAGGCTTCGGTCCATCGGCATCCACCAGCGGCTTTGGTGGCTGAGTAGGTTCTTGTGGTAAGTCTGAAGGATACTTCTCCTCTTCTGGGAGTTCGTCCCACTTCTGACGTTCCTCAGCGAGAGCTCTGTATAGGGTCTCGGTCGGTGTCTGACATATCTTCAGAATGGGCACTCTTGTCCTCGTCAGCAGACGGCCACCGAGCTTGGCGTCGAGGACCGCTCGTTCCAATAGACGAGGAATACCGCGATCGATCGTGATATCACTAGCTCTGGCTGGATCTTTCCACTCTGGTACTACAGCCAAATCCATGTCTGAGCCGGGCATACCAAAACCTGAAGCTAAACTTCCAAAGCCTACCAAGGAAATGGTCGCAATGTCACCAGTGTAGTCTCGAGCAAAGGCCTTTTGCATGATTGTCTCCAAGTATTTTCGAAAATCTTCCTTGGCCTCCGACTCGGACATGGACATCTCTACCTTCGGAATCTCTTCTGCCGCAACTGAGTCCAGATAATCAATCTGGACCATAGGATTTTCCCGTGGCTGATTCATGGATCGTGGTGCGTATGGACCTTGCGGACGAGGGCGCTGTGATGATGACGTTGGGCCTGCTGTGGCTTGACCTGGCAGTGCAACGTTGTCATGGGGTCGCTGGAGGATTCTAGGGGTCTGTGAATATGGCATACCAGTTGCATTCAGATTCTGCTGCTGGTAGGGAGGCCTGAAAGGCCGCGAAGAATACTGCCGATGATCTACTGGTGAGCCGTTCTGAGGCGAGTGTAGACCTTGCTGATTTGAGGCGTTTCCCGTAGATTGTTGATATCGCTGATTAGGGGCATAGCCTCCTCTTCCACCCCCTCGAGCTGGAGCCGTATTGGCGGTAACATTTGTACGCCATCCCTGAGCTTGTCCTGGCGTGGGGTGGTTCTGGCCATTGCTATTGACGTTGTTGGCGGTATCGTGGAAACCTCCACGCCCACGTCCACGTCCACGCCCTTGGCCACGTCCGCGTCCACGATATGCTGAGGGGACATCTTGGCTAGACTGTCCACCAGCTATGCTAACGTTGCCGAGAATCATATTGCGCAACTGGTTCTCCAGCCCAGTGGGTTGCGGTGGATTCTCGTGCTCCATGGTGTCGGGTCAGTGCAGACTCGCTTGCGATGCAATAAAGTCGTGGGTTGGGACTCTGATCTTGTAGAGTCGAGCAGTGAGAGATGGGTAGTATGGAAGATTGCCTCTCAAGGCCAAGTTCGCAATCACAGGACGTAACTTTGCAAACCCAGGTTCGAGATTGTTTCTTTGACAAGCGATGGAACAGCGCCAACGTGTGGATCTCTTAGCATTCGAGCCATGGTGTCATTGCCTGGAGGCGGAGATGGGGCGGCTTCACTGCGATGGGTCTTGGCACACTAAGGCGTTAGCGCAGAGCCGTGACGTTCCAAGTGCGCTTCGACCGTGGAGGAGGATTCCTTGGGACAAAGGCGACTGAGTCTCCGAACAGTCTTTATCGGCCACCCACCGTCCCTCATTCTTGTCTTCATCCTCACAACCACCTTCGCTATGAACGGCAACACCAACGGGAACCCGCCGCCCGCCAGCGCGCCCGCCGCGCCCGTCGCCGCCAATGGCCAGCAGCCGCCTGTTCGTCGCCGTCGCCCGCGTCCACAGGCCGATGTCCTGCGCAAGCCCCGTCGCCCGCTACAGAACATTACCCGGCCCATGGTGTCGTTGTCGCAGATGAACGAGGCCAAGAAGCCCGTCGCAGGGCCCGCCAACGATGGAACCCAGTCCAAAGACGCGTTGCGACAGCAGTTCCTCGACCAAGGCGCCAGCGTCTTCCCGCTCATCGTGAGCCGCAAGGATCTGAAAGAGCTGCGACACCATGTCATGCGTCTGCATAGCAAAACCCACGTCGACATCACCGACGAGCATCAGTTCAAGACGCCCATCAAGCTCCACCGCAGAGATCCGCGCGCGCCCCCAAGCGGCATGGGGTCGACCTACGAAGAGGAGGACACCAAGGAGGACATGGAAGAGATGAAGGAGCGCGAGCGCATCGAACTGCAGAAGGAAGAGCGTCGCAAGGTCCGCGAAGAGAACCAGGCCAAGATCGCGCCAACCGGCATGAAGAAGCCCCCTGCCTTCCACAAGAAGACGGAGCAAAAGTATCGCCCCGACGACACTCCAGAAGCGAAGAAGCGCCAGCTATTGCGCTACGAGGAGACGCTGCCGTGGCATCTTGAGGACTTCGAGAACAAACAGACATGGGTCGGCACTTACGAGTCGGAGCTGTCAGAGACGCACGTCATGCTATCAACTACTCGCCCCGGAGATCCAAGTACAGCCATTCAAATGGCTCCCATGGAACGCTGGTATCGCTTCAACGTCAAGGGCAAGGTCAAGACCGGCGGTGACGACTTGGATAAGATTCTGGCCAAGGTTGAGAGGGGCGGCGGACCAAAGTTCTTTGCCGACCTTGAAGAGCGCCAGAAGCAACGCGTCAACGCAGAAAACAATGCAAGGATGTGGAGTGGAGTCCGTACCCGTGTGGGTGGTGGCGCAGACGACGAAGGCCGGATCAAGCGGGAACGCAACGATGACGACACAATCGGCTTCGTCAAACGCGAAGCTGACGCAGACGATATTGACTTCAATCTTGAGGAAGACTTCGCCGACGACGAAGAGGGTCTGAATGGTCTCTTCGAAGGTGAAGAGCAGGACGTCAAAGAGGCAGCTGAAAAGCTGAAGCGAGACCAGCTGCAAGCCGCTCTATGGGATCGACCAGATGAGTTGGCCATTGCCATAAAAGAAGAACAAGAACGGAAGGAAGCAGAGGAGAAGAGGATCCAGGAAAAGGCGACTAGAAAAGCCCTGGTGAAGCGCGAGAAGCAGTACGACTACCTTGACAGTGACCCAGAGAACCCGTACATCACAGAAAGCGAATCCGACACCGACTCTGAAACAGAGCGACAACAGGCAAAGGAGGAGGCAGAGAAGAAGGCAGTCGAGCAAAATGGCAAGGCTCCAGAGGCTGGCAACATCCCCTCTGGTACGTCGACGAAAGGCTCCAACACTCCATCAGGAAACCACAAGTCTGGTGATAGCAAGAGCAAGAAGCGGCCAGGTTCACCCAACTTGTCAGAAGCCAGTGGTAACGAGTCTTCGCGCAAGAAGCATAAGAAGAAGCATGACAAACTAGCTGATGGATCTCGGAAATCGTCCCTTGCTAATCTCAAAGGCGCTGGTTCTGGTAGCGATAGCGAGATGACAGACGCCGGCAAGAAGCGAAAGAAGGACAAAAAGGACAAGAACCGCATGATGATGGGCGGATCTCCTACCGGTACTCCTGGTGCTAGCCGTGCAGGTAGTCCAGCAGCCAACGGCAGCCGCGCGGGTAGTCCCTCCGCAGCTCCAGCAAGACCTCCTTTGCCATCTGCCAAGGAGATTTACGAGTCGTTGCCGCCCCAGGGCATGAATATCCAGAACCTCATCGTCAAGTTCAAGGGTCGCGTTGACAAGACGAATACGCAGCTTTTCATCAAGCTTGTCAAGGCGGTCTCTAGCTTTGACAAGGCCAAGAGCTGGCTTACTCCTTTAGAAAAGATGCCATCTGATGAGCATATCAGTGCCTTCATGAATGCGGGGAATGCACCAAAGCCTGCGTAATTCGAGGACACGTACGGTCTAAAGGGAACCATTTTTAATATCCAGCGTGTACTTTAATAAATTGAATTGAAGTAGAGAGTGTGGGGTGAGGGGCCACAGATTGGCACAGGCTTACTTTGCGTTCCTCATCGAGGATAATACATGACATGCGAAGTACTGGTACGACAGTAACCCTGAACACTTTCTGTATTGTGGCTACCCAGTATAGAATAAAATATTACTTTTAATTCTAACTGAACTCTATCCACAATCATCATACTTTCTTGTCTTCAATCCGATCCTCTTTACTATTCTCTTCGCTACCATTTTCACTTCTCAACGGACTCTCATGCTCCTGTTCCGCAGCGACCTCCTGTAACACCTTCTCGTTAGCACCAACCCCAACTTCTTCATCTCTTGGTACATTTGGTCCATGCATCGCTTTGTCTGCTGTCTTCCCATCAGCAGAATCCTTGTCTTTCTTGATCATGCTCCAGCCGCCTCTCCACCCAACCCATTTCTCCTCCCAGGGACCCCTAGCAACTATAACAAGAATCGCCGCAGAGATGAATCCAACACTAGCGCTGCCACTTCCTACCCACCCAGCAGCAGCATAAATATGGTTCCCAGCCGCCGTGCCAATAAGCTGACCACAAAATGTAGCAACCATGAAAGCGGTATTCACCCCGTTCCGCCGCTTAGGTTCCACCGAGTAGATACTAGAACGGTTTGCGATCTGCGCAGTTTGGTTGCCGAAATCCATCAATAGGGCTTGCAGGACGGGGCCTGCGACGGTAAAGGTACCCGTGTAAGTGCCTAGACATATTCCCAGAAGCGAGCATGTAAGACCGAAAAGGACGGAGAAATGTGGGACGAAGCGGTCGGTGACTGTGCGCGCATATATGGGAGAGATAAGCATGCCTGCGATTCCTATAAGCCCAAACAGTCCGATTGTGAGGGAAGAATAGTTGTATGGGTCATCCGCGAGGAGAAATGTCAGCGTTGTCCAGAAAGACGTAAAAGGCGCTGAGCAGAAGAGACCAGCCAAACAAGCCTGAACAAGAACAGGATGACGGAAAAGCATCTTAACGATATCGAGCAGTATTCTGAAATAGTTCATGCCCGGGTTGGTAGCAGGATAGTCGGGCATGAATAGCCAGAGGAGGACGAAGATGATATATTGAATGGCAAACGCCATCCAATATACTGCGCGCCAGGTGACAAAATTCGAAATTGTTCCCGACAGGACGCGGGCGACGAGCACACCAAGCATGAGGCCAGAGACGACGATGGAGAGTGCTGCTGCGCGGCGTGATGGAGGAGCTAGGTCACCGACCAACGGGAGCATGAGCTGCGGTGTAACAGTTGTTACCGCTACGATGAAGGATATTGCCGTGAATGTTCCAAGGTCGGAGGTTAGACATAGTCCGAGCCTATTTATCGTCAGTAGTCTCTTTCCGGTACACGTCATAGTTCAAGAACAACATACCATAAGGTTGCAGTAAACCCTACTAAGCCGCATACAAATGGCCGTCTGGGCAATAAGTCTCCCAGAGGGCATAAAAACAACAGCCCAGCTGCATATCCAGCTTGCATTACAGTAGGAATCTGCGCAACCTGTTCGTATCGTACACCGAAATCTATGGCTAGTAGGTTGAGGATGGGGTGATTGTAATAAAGATTTGCTACTGTGAAGCCGGCGGCAAAGGCAAACAGGACGTTCACTGGAAGATGTGAGTGATTAGCTAGCTGATACACTCAAGGACGAGGCCGAAGGGGAGAACTAGGGAGACTAGAAGTATACTCTAGGACTTTCTCCTCGCTCGAGTTCACAAGCGCTCCAAAGGCCACGATCATCATGTGAATATGGACGTACTGCTCATAGAAAAGTGCGGCGGTTTATCCGGGTCCCAACGACAATTTGGTGGGGTCCATGTCAAGGTTGTGTAAGCTCTTTTCCATATCGACTGCTTCCCTTGCTCTTTCTCCTCGATACCTTCGCTTTGTTCTGCCTCGTCTCTTGATGGATGTTCTGCTGGCCTAGAGGTAGCCGTCCGTGCTGCACCTTCCCTATTGGCTAGTACTGTCCTACAGCCCCCGCCATCCTCAATGTCGTTCGTTAACATGATCTGCTTATATCGTACACATTGTACTCTGACAAGAACCCAGCCAATAAAGAGTGACAAGAGCGATGCAAAACGTGGTGCAAAGACTAAGAGGCAAAATTGCGGAAGAATTGAGGTACTGATAGTCGATGACGGGATCCTTCCTCTTTCGAACAAGTTCGGCAGAAGTGAGGAGCCGAGAACAGTGCTGAACGACGCTGTTATCCCCGGTATCACCGCCAATCAAATTTAGCGCGCTATCTGGGCACAGGATACGACTGCTGCCATGAAACATACTGGTATTGTGTTGGACGTTCCTTTGGTATCTAAACGACGTCAACGATTTTCTCATCTTCATCGTCTTCCGCGTTCTCCAGCCCCATTAGCTTTCCGCTACCACCTGCGCTAGCCATGTCTGGTATATCCTCCTCTTCGCCTTCTTCTTTACGCATGATGACTTGAACCACACGGTCGCATGCTTCTTGAACTCCTTCATCATCAACGTGCATGTGGCACTCTCTGACGATTGGGTAGACTTTGACGCGTCTCAGCACTTCCCTACTTTCTTTTGTCGTACTCAGCAGAAGTAGTGTCTCGAGATGTGTCTTGATGATTTCGTTATCCTTCTCGCGCTCCTTGTCTGGCTCGAGGAGTTGCAGCTCATCCAACATGCCCTCCGTGTCATCATCCGCGTATTCTTCTGGGCCCATGAGGGGTAGAAGAATGTAAGGAAGTAGGTTCGCCCCGATAGAGGGAGGTGGTAGATTTGGGTCGGAGGATAGGTTGGATAGCAATACTGGGTGTGCAGGGACATGAAATGCGACATTCTTAATCGTCGATGCTACACCAAGGCGTCGGATGTGCGAGACGTGATCGGTGAAGACCTGAATCTTGGTGATTGGAATTACATTATCGTCATGCTCCTGAGGTGTAGTGAGGTATTCGCGGCCTTTGGGAAACTTGGCCAGATCAGCGAAGAAGTACGAGAGGTAGTCAAAGTCTGCATGCTTGTTGTAGGCGCCCTCTGCGCCCTTGACAAAGCAGTCCATGAGCTGGTCCATGGCCCATGTCGACTTGGACAGCTCCTTTGGTATGTCGCGCTTCAACTCCAAGACGCGTTGTAGTGAATCCTCCTTGGCCATATTGGCGAGGAGCATTGCGATCTCGTTTGCATTTGGCTCTTTCGAGTTCTGCAGCAAGTCAACCTCTGCCTGTTCATTCTGTATGCCCGGGGAACTGACATACGGTTATCCGCGATAGTAGCGTCTCGAGAAATTCATCGTCCTTGGCCAGTGCCTTCTGGACCTCAGCGTCTGCCGAGACGTTGATGAGAATGGTAAGGGCGTTCTTCGCTATGGGCGCATAGTCCTTGACGAGTAGCTTGAGATCCCTAATGGGCTCTAGTTGGTTGCGCTTCCACAAGGACGGGTTTGCTTGTGAATACCCGACGAGGTGTTCGGCCGCTGCACAGTGTGAGATATGTTTCGTGGTGGGGTGGAGGGGTTCGTCTGACCAGTCTGTCTGATCTGCGTGTTGCCGTGATGTAGGAACTCTACGAGCTAGACATGGCGCATTAACTGGCAAGAACCATGAGTTTTCCAAGTCCTCTGTCTCACCTCTTCTAATTCTGACGGCATCGTGGCTGTGGCTGCTCGTTCTTGCCGTGTGCCATGACGAAGACCCAACTTTTTCTCGGTTGCAATTAAGGTTATCGATAAGCTTAGTGCATCCCGCACCTCCAGGCCTTCGCCACGAGTTGTCGCGAGACGCATCCATGGACGCTAGCATCTCTGCCGCAAGGTGATACCCGTTGATTGCTTCATCTAATGCATATTGCCCTGCCTATTCTTAACTTGCCATGACCTGATTCCATCATCAGCTGGCGACATCCAAGCACTTGGAAGCTCAGCGCGGTCATAGTTTGGACGACTCCAGCACACTGCCCAGCGACCAAGTCTTCTAATCAATCATGTTGCGCATCTTGCCATCTGCGTGATTTTACGACACATCCCGGCACCATTTCTTGGCCAAAAGTCCTCATGTTAGGGGCGGTTACGCGCGACTTGACTCTGCAGCTCGCGAGCTCGTCTTACCGCCGAAAGCTTGGTGGCTTCAAGCCGCAACCCCGCCGAACGCTGGTGTGCCAAAACCAATCTGCATCCGCCAGCACTGGCTAACAGTCTTGCGCGCCAGCTACAAAATTGGGTTGATAGATCCAAGTTTTGGTACAGCAACCGATGAACAACATGTCTACGAGTAGCGACGCTGCAAAACAGCAAGCAGGTTAACAAATATTCTCCTCCGCATTCCCGTAATGGACAGCGAAAGTGCCATGCTGGCATAGGTTTTGAGCGCTCGAAATAGATCGCCGACTTGCAGCGGGCCGCCGGACTGGCCACTTGTCACACGCATATGCTGCCCAGTACGCAGGGCAGGCACACATCATCAACCAATGAGCGTGGTATGCTGGTATCGTAACATCTCGAGCTAGTGTGCCAGGGTCTGTAGCGAGTGAACAGCGTTGGCGCTTACAACACCACCAGCCAACCACCCAAGATATAACCGCCGCTCATCAACCATGAGTAGCGCCGAGCCTTACAAACGTCTTGATTGGGCCCATCTGACCACCACCTGGTTGCAAAGAGTCCTTTCCTGCATGGGAAGCCGTCTTTCTACCGCTATTGCCCTTGATGCATCCCTACAGCTCTTCCGCTGACTCGGACTACCTCGCAGAATGCTCGTCTTATAGTCGTTATCCCCAGATTACCCGAGACGTCTGCTCGTACTCTCGGTGTTGCTGTTCCCAGTCTTTGTTTGCTTCCATCTACACAGCCGGTATCTGTTTCGTTCGGTCCCGCCAGTTATTTCGGGATACCATTTTATTGAGAGTAGGCTTGTAGACATTCATTATGGCAGGACCAGCACTTCAACTATTCCCTCCGCCTCGTGCTCCAAGACAGACGAGTCCTAACCGAAGACCATCTCCACACACAAAACCAACAAGTCCAGAGCCATTGCTGCCTGAGAGTGCAGTGAGCAACAAATCTCCAGTTGACCTCCACGGACTCCTTATACAGGTCAACTCTGTTCCAGTCTCTCCATCCAACCCAATGGCTCCCCCGCCAGCCATTGCAGCTCCGCCAAGAGCACATATGCCCAACTCGCAGGCTACAACAGCGGTGTCACCAACGGGCAGGCCACACTTCGAGCCAACCCCTCAGCAAGCAGCCTCTCCGCAAATTGAACGTCAAGAAAGCTTTTACCGCGCACAAGAACGTCCTGGGCATAACCAGACTAGCGATCAGCAACGTACCGCTAGCCCAGATCCAACTCGCGCCATCTCACCAGCATTCTCTGAAGCTCAGACTCTGGTCCGAGCAAATAGCTCTGCCACTCGATGCGTCTCACCTCAAGAAGAGATTCCGATGCGATCAATGTTCCCCATTTATGATCCTACCGTCCCCCTTGGACGTCAACCATATCAGCCAACGCAAACATCGCCAACACAGATACCCCGGACGCAAATCAGTCGATCGCCCTATTCTTCCGAGTCGTATGTTCCTCATAGTAACGTTCGTTCGAGCAATTCGTCAGCCCCTCCACCACCCAAGCCCTTCTTTACGCCGTCCAACCTACTCGACAACCTCTGGACGGCTACCAACGGACAAGAAGAGCCAAGTGTACAGATATATACATTGAGGATGCATCGAGCAACTGCCTCGAATCCAACAATCACGTTTGGTACGACGCCGTCCTTGCCATTCTATTCTGTAGCACAGTCGAATCTGGCAGGAAATCACGACATACCCAGCATTATGAACGAATTGCTTATCCAACGGCATCATCCAACTCAGCCGCGAGTGCTGCCTATTGCCCAACTCGACCTCATCGCGCCGCCTTCATTAGATAGTGGGGCTTTCAGCCAAAAGCAGCACGAGGACACCACCATGCTTACTAGCATATATCCCAAGCTTGCCGCTCTCCAGGCACTCGATGCGGCTGCCAATTCTCCCGCTGCCTCGCGCATAGCGCTTTCGGACCCTGGCGCGCAGTCTCCCGCTGCACAACGGCTGGCTGAAGACGTTTTGGCTGGTACTGCACAGCGCGAGTGCTGCGCCCTTGCCTGGACGAGGGATAACCCTCAACAACAAGCAAATCCTTGGGCGCAACATATGCCGTCAGAAGGATCGTATCAGTTGCACCATCCGACATTGGGCACGTTTCCTATCTCTTTAGAGGGCGACTGCTCTGTCATCAACGCACCTTCCACCAGACCTGTTACAGCGTTCTATGGACATAACATGCCCATGACACCGCAGAATATGGGACGGAAGCCCGCTTGCATCACGGTATTGAATCCTTACATTCTTTCTCCAACGACACCACGGACAAACGCTTTCTCCCCACTGCCACCACCTCCACGGTTGGATGGTATCAACCGACCAATATCCATGACTCCGTCCGAGATGTCGGTTGGCCAGCTTCCCACGACCACAGACGCCACTGCGGATGATGCTATGCTCGCACGTCTCGATTTCGCCAACGATGCTCTGATCCTCAATCTTGGTGCTTTGACACGTTTCGGCAATCCTTTCCTAGTTGATGTTGTAACTTGCACGCTCCTGGCTGTTGCAGTGGCGGAAGCTACGCGCGGTCGCAAGACACGTAATCGAAGTCAAGAGAACTTTGAGCCCCCACCACCGAGCTTCACCCTGACACATCAGAAGGAAGACACAGCGAAAGCGTTCAAAGACTCCTTTGTCGAGGGCTTTCAAGGCATCGGAGGAAAGTCACGACCACCGCTCTCTGGTAAAGGGCTGAAGAAGTTTGCTTCCAGCCTAAGAAGTACGACGACGACACGTAGTGAGAGCGCACATGGAAGTTTCGACAAGGACATTGAGCTGGGAGAGTGGTACGGACAGGACAAGTACACCAAAGCAAAAGAGACAAAGTCTGAGAAGAAGGCAAAAAAGTCGAGTGCTGATGACGAAAGTAAATTGCCGTTTGTCGCCCGCACCGTCATAACAGTATTGACGTTCGCATTCAAGACTGTGGTGTTTGTCTTGAAAATTGCGTTCAAGATTGTTGCGGGTGTCATCGTTATGATTACGAGAAACTTCAGCAAATTATAATGTGAGGGACTGTAGATGGATGGGCAAATTCTTAGGACTCGGGGAGTTTGGTTTTCTTTTCTGCATGATACCATTATTACTACGTTCGCTGGACACTATTGAGACCACGCTACATGCATGGCAGACGGGAACCTAATTTCAATACGATTACATTGATTGTAGTTTGCTCTTGTTATCGAAGTTTTCAACACGAGATGCTGACAATGAACAGACGGTAGATAAATTATTGTACCGAGAGATGTACAAACAGCTAGCGAGAAGTAGTTACGCGGCGTCTACCACCATGTATTCCTCACTCTCATTCTCACCCATCAGAGCCTCCAATATGTCATCGGCGTTCTGAAATATATAACTCATCGGACCTTCACCATCCTTCAAGCGTAGCGAGGTGCCTGGCAACAGGTCCTTGGCCTTCTGGGCCATTGCAGCAGGGCAATTCTGGTCCTCCCGACCATGCCACAGCGTAAGAGGGATCCCATTGTCACCAACGTACAGCTGTCCAAGCTCGAAGCCCCAGTCGCTGCCGTTCAATTTTGCCTCCCAGCTTACGCCTTCACTCCCTCGATAAAACGATTCCCTGGTCATGGCTACGTAGATGGGCCAGTTAGTTTTGTCTTTGATGGCTTCTTGGTCGCCGGGATGTCGACATTGGATCTCTTTGGCAATCATTTCCTCTAGGACTTTCGGATCGTCGTTGCGACTCGCCTTGCCCATGGTACTATCGAACAAGGTGGTGACCAGACCAGTCATCCATGGCGCTGCCCATAGGACAATGCGCGAAGGAAACGTCATGCCTGCTGTCCCCAACTTGACTGGATACAAGCCGCTGACTATGCTAGCGCTCATCAAGCGGTCCTTCGATATCTCCTTCACGCAGGCCAGTACGTAAGGTGCGCCTCCAGATACACCAAGTACGTAGAAGTTGTGGATCTTGAGGTGGTCGGCCAGGGCAAGCACATCGGCAGGCCAGTCGAGGATACGACGGTTGGCTTGGAAGGTCGATAGGCCGCTGCCAGGACGGTCGGGAGCGATGATTCGGACGTTGTGTAGGGCGCAAGCCGAGTGCCAGAGCTTGCCTTCGTAGCGCGACGATTGGCAGCCATGCATAAAGACTATTGTTTTTTGGGGTACCGGGCTGCCGTAAACAGCGTAGGATAGGGTACGGCCATCTTTCAGCTTCATACGCTCATTTTCCTGCTGCATTGTAGCCTCTGTGGGTGGTATTTGTTAGTAAATGGCGTGGTTGCGTTCTTGCAGCTTCTACGGAAGAAGGCGGGCACGAGGCCACATCACCTTCGCCGCCTGCGGTAAGCGTGACAGGCAACGCATATTGAAGGTTGTCTGCCTTTGAGGCATATACAAGCGGATCGACGATACGCTGAGTTGCGCAGAGCGGGGTGGACGGGCTCGACACCACGGGGTGAGCTTTGTTTCGGCCTCGCCAAGTTGCACTACGGCTATGACGGGCAAGGCCACCGGGCATCTCGCCCACTAGTTCTGACTTCACATGCATCGACAGAGACATCACACCAACCTTGCTCAGATCAGCGACTTTGCTAGAGGATACCATTAATAGCACTCCTCATTATTCCGTGCGCTTGTAAGTCCCATGAGGTTGGGGGTCGAAGCCGCTTCCAACCTCGGGTACCCGCGCTATTTACTGTATCACCATTTGGTGCTTGTAGACGAGACCGCATCGAGACAGTAAGAACCCGAACGCCGCCGCATACTCCAACTATAACCCCCCCAAACTCATTGTATCCAGAAACGCCGATGCACTAATATTCCTACTTCTTGTTCATGAAGAGTGGGCGAAGAAGAGCCTTGACAAACCCTTCCTCCTTCGCTTGATCCAAAGGGAAGATACGACCCTTAAGGGTGTATGCGCGGAAGAGCTTGTAGTTCTTGAAGGTAATGACCGGATAGCGCTCTGGATCGTTCCGGTGGTCAAGGATGTTGAAGATGTTGACATAGACGCGTGAGAGAGCCTGGTGAAACATGTTAAACAAATGGGCTAAACGGTAAAATCATTTACGCACTTTCTTGCACTGTGTGATAGACTGTGGAATCGGATCGATCTTGACGTCCCGACACAGTTCCTGCCACTTTGCCAGGCTCGACTTGTCGGGGCCGTAGTGTCGTAATACCTCAAACTCAACGACTTCGGCGCGACGTCGCTTCTCCTCGCTCTTAGACCAACCTTGATGAATAGAGAGCTTACTCAGTTTGGCTATCAGATCGTCTTCAGGGCTCGGGAAAAATCCGTGAAATTCTTCCTGCGCGAAATAGTCATGGCCTTGATCGGAAGAACCGTTGTCGCTTGGGGGAGGAGTGCTGCAATCGCTTGAGGAATCAGAAGCAATTGTCACGGCTTCAGGTACGATGGAAACGCCACCTTCTGTCTGATGTAAGTACGTCGCTTATGTGTTGCTCTTTCCAGATTGCTACTTACTAGCGCTAGCGCGGTTCCGACGAGCCATCTTTCAAGGTTGCAGGTGCGGTGTCGATAGTGGTGCACGGGAACGCGGGCCCTTTGGTTAAGAGCGTCACCCGACGTGTCGCGTTCCACTAGATCGCGATTTGTGGTGCTCCCAAGGAAAAAGAAAGGCCAGAAAGCGTAGAACGAATGTCGACGCGTCGCCAAGCGGCCGTACGCAGCTGAGTCATGCACATTAAGTAATCCGTCTCTCAGGGTCATTTTCACGCGTAGGACTTGTGGTGTTGCATTTCCTTGTCATTCCTTCCAACTCTAACATGTCGCTGACATGCACATGCTTTATCTATCATAGCTTCCTCAATAGCGCGCTTATGAAACCGTCCTGTTTCGCCCTCCCCCGAGGAAAAATGTTGTCCGGCGATGTATATTCCCGGAACTTGTAATAGTTCTTAAAGCGGATGACCTCAACACCGATGTTACGATGATCGATAAGATTAACCAAGTTGACTAAGACATTCCGGCTACCAAGCACCTACATGCAGTTAGCAACAAGTTCCCAATTGCTTGCGACTTATTTACCCTCTTGCACTGGGTGATACTGCCTGGTGGATCGCTAACGTGTACCTCGCGACAGAGATTCTGCCAGGTTTCTAGCTTCGTCGTATCTGTTCCATATGCATAGTCGAACTCTTCCGCCTGACACTCGGCCCAACGCTTTCTCACAGTCTTTCCGGCCCACTTACGCTGCGCCGCTAGGCGCTCGAAATTGCTCCTGATTCCAGCCGTCGGATTGTACACGAAAAGAGGGAACTTCTGGAACCATGCACCAGCCTGACTTGGGGTTTGGGTATGGACATCGTTATCCGTATCATCGTGATCTAGGGCTGCTGAAGCTGCCTGACAGTTTGTCCAATGCTTTCTTCGAAGCTTCTCGCCCCACTTGCGCTGTGACGATAGTCGGTCGAAGTTATCCCTGATGCTGGCGGTCGGGTCGTACACGAAGAGTGCAAAGCTCGAGAACCACGTTTCAGCTTGATTTGGCATGCGTGTATTCGCAGTGGATGGTGTGTTAGTACCGTTTGGGGTTGCAATAGAAGCTGCAAGTTCTAGGACAAAGCGTTATACTGTGAAAATGCCTGATGTTTGAGAAAAAAAAACACTTACGAGCGCGAGGGTTTGGTCGACGAACCATGTTGAAGCAGTTCATCAGCTCACCAAAGCCCTGGGGCATTGCAAGTAGTAGTGAACTTCTTGTTTCCAGACGTGGGGTGCATACGGAATTCTGCAGCAAACCGAGACAGATTGGCAATCAGACCATTGAGGGTTCGGGAAACTCGCGATCCCTGACGCCACGTCGACAACCGACTAGAACAGTCGAACGGCGGCAATACTTCTACTCCAATGGCTGCATCAAGTTACACTGCAGGGAACGGAGACTCTGAGCTGTCATTATCGAATGAATCCCGACCACATTGTGTGGCTGCTGCATGGTGGTGTTGCCGTGCCGCGTTCATGCATAGAGAAACGTACCAGTAATTAGAGCACATATTCTGAGATTCTGTCATCATTTACCTGGTAAAAAGATCTCCTGGAAGGAATTTGACATCATACAGCCTTGCAACGTGCATCAAGCGCGTAAGAAAGAATCACTTTGGATTGCTGAAGACCATTGCTTTAGTTGTCGGACTGATATGCCGTATGAACTTGACTGCTACTATGGTAGCTCTGTTGAATATGGCAAGCGGCTACACAGTAAAACCTCACAACAAAGAAACATAGGAGAGTAGGAAGGTTATAGGGATTACCTCCTGCGTATTTACAACAACATCTCAATTCAACAAATTTAACAATTTCCTTGTTCCTTCCTGTTGGTGTAAGAATGCAGTCTTCAAGGTTCTTACAGTGTTCTCATATTATGTTTTATCGGGATGCTTATCTAGAGGTGAGATTGCTGGCAGAACGAAGACTGCCACTCGATTTGTAACGCGCACTAGACGATACTACAAGCGGAGTTTGGATAGTAGCTACTTGCCTTGACTATACCAGGCTGAATGTACCCATTATACACGCCTTGACCAACCGTCGTGGATGAGGATTTCGGCGGAAAGCTGAAGCTCGATAATTGACCAGCAGGTTTCGCTGGAGCCGAACCTGCAAGACGAGGGCCATAACGCTGTGGCTGAGGTGATCGTTTCATTATAGGCTGCTGCGCAGTAGACTGGGCTAGTTGTTGAGGTTTGCAGTCACCAGCGAGTCCTTGTAAGGTATTGCACCTTTGGAGACATAGCCATATTTTAGTGTCTCCCTCCGTGTTACAGGACGCCACCGCTGGCGCACAGATCAAACTGGCTGGGCAGTTGATATTGCTGTCGCACTTCTGATATTTGTTGAGATTGGGCGGTGTTTTATTGTCCATCAGCCCTACACTTGTATTGAACGAGACTTCCAAGGGGTCTGCCAGTTGGATACCTGAGACTGTGTAGTGAACGGATGCTTGACTGCTGAGTTTCGGTGGGGGTTTGCGTTGTGTTCTTGTGCGTTTGGAATAGTTTGTGGAGTCAGGCACGCAAAGTGTCGTATCATCCCAAGTGGCAGTGGCGGCGTCTCTCCACAATTGGCTCATGTTGTAAACATTCTTGGGAGTGTAATACAACCGACAATCGGATGCTTCGTAGCGAAATTGTAGTGGCGTCAAATCCTCGGGGCGCATTTGATCGCGGAGGTTGAACAATGCGTAATTCGTGAATATGCCAGTGTCGTTACGGGACGGAATACTGTTGAAGGCGGCTTCATCACCGATCAGAGTCTTCAGGTTGTCGATGTCGTAATCGATGCGATTTGAAGTGTAGGCAGCAGCTCCGCGGTTGCCACTCGCTGTCTGCATCGGTCCGTGCTGGGGGCGACCTCCAAACGATATCGTTCGTACGCCTGCGAGCTCCGTCATGAGTTCCACAAACAATGCGCATGCAGAAGAGCATAGTCCGTCAGTAAGCTAGTCACACAGTCAGTTGAGTGACTATGTGTAGTCGGGCGCTACCTACCAAGACAATCTCATCGGGGTTCCAGCCAGGGTTTGCAACAACAAAACTCGAGTTCACCCAAGGTTGGTAAGTCCATCCGAACATGTCATAAACAAAAATTCTATCGCTGAGGTTGTAGAGTTGCTTTGGGAAATGTCAGCAATAGTAGTTGTGAACAAGCTAACATCCGTACCTTTTGAGAAAACGCATCATTGCGATCCAAAACAGGCCCAAAGTACTCTGACCACGACGCAAAGTTGCGCCCTGTAGCGGCATTGATGCGATTCACAGCAATCCATTCTGATGCTGCGGAATCTTGAGACTCGAAAGAATCAGGATCTAAGGATTGCCACCAATCTGTATATGCTGTACCAAGAATGTCTGCCCACCGATGGCTTCTGATGCGGCTTCCTGTATAGAGGGGCAGTTCAGGAAAAATTTGTTGAAAGGTTGTCATAGCAAGCAAGACCAGCCCACCAGTGTTCTGCTGGAGGTCTATAACCACGCGTTTGATCTCTTTAGCGGTCGCATTTCCAATGAATTCGTCGATAGCATCGAAGAAGTAAGACACACTAAGGCCGTCCTGATAGAAGCTTGGTATGCTGAGGACTCCGGTAGATATGTCATCAAAGATATATCCCGAGATGGCACCAGCCCCAGTGATCGACATGTTGTTCTGCACTACTACTGGATCATTGGGATATGCTCCAATGTTGCCATTGGTAACACTGCACCAATTTACCGCCGGACCTGCAGAGGTTGAGCAGTCAAAGCCTGGCTCAGGGTTTGATGGAGCTTCGTACTCTTCAAAAGGTATGTTGTAATCCGCAGGCCACCATGGAGGTGAAGAAGCGTCATTGGGATCGAAACCAGCAGGTATTAGCCCAAGCACAAAGTAGTTGTAGAAATCTCCAGGCGTAGTCAAAGGGCCAGTACGTGCGTTTTCTGCGTATAAGGCAAGCCAAATGGTATCTAGAGATGTATTGTTCTCAAAGGTAAAGTTCAGTTCATCTCCTGGGTATAGCGGCAGACGCTGGAAGATGCTGAGGTATCCTTGTATATCCTTGGCAGGACTACTCAAGAGAGAGTTCCAATCAGCGTGCGGCTCAACGTAACCCTCCGAATTAGGTGCTATTAGCGACGTCAAATATTCGATAACTTCGATGCCGTTGATCTTTGTGACTGGGGAGGCTTCGTAACCTTCTTTGGCAGCCGCGAGTAGATCCTCCTTCAGGTAAATCTTTGGCTCTTCTGAGCCGTTCTCCGAGAGGGACAAGAGTGTGTAAGGACTGGCGAATTTAAAAGCTGCTAGAATACCTGCATCTAATGTGACGTGATTATCGTGGATGCGGCTAATGAGTACCTGTACTTGCTCCTCGAAAGCATATTGGGTCTTGTATTTGCCTGAGACGATGTCTGCCCGGATGTTCTCGAGCTCTTGTTGTACGTCGACTGATGGTTGTTGATACCCGTCTGGAGGGTCGTTCAAGTATCGTAGCGTGCTTTGGAACTGCAACGTGTCGTTGTAGTAGTCGATAAAACGAGAGGCAACGTCTGCACGAAAAGGTACCCTGCTGATACAATCGTAGACATCAGATGCTGCAAAGATATAAACACCTACTAAACGTTAGCTGTCATCTACACTGAGTCCACAACAATTTCGTACCTTGCGCTGCTGCAGAGATGATACTCAAACATGGTAGTTCAGATGATGGCACATCCTGACGCTTGGGAAGATGGGTAGAGAATGATTGAGGTACGGCATGGCCAAATATTGGCAGCTGAACAAAGCAAAAGCTCAGTGCGAAAGACAGCATCATGATGCGCCTGGAATCACTAGAAGACTAAATGAACAATTTCGTGACGTTGAAAAGGAGGGTGCTGGTCTCGTTATGGTCTTTAGTCGCGCATGCTCGGACTTGATATATGTGAAAATAGCTGGGTTCATGTCTATGAGGCTTACAATGCGTATTGGTAGGAAATAATCTGGGGGCCTGAGAGAGGGTTCGGGAAAGAAGGTGACGAGATTGTCAACGCAAGTACACCTAGATACAAGGGTCGAAGTAATCAACATCGGAAAATCTGCGTATTCTAGGTCTTGAACGGCAGGTGCGGCTTGAGTTAAGTCGCCGATGTTGCTGGATGGCTGGAGATGGTGCGTCCACAAGGCTCGGCCATTGGGGGCTGAAAACAAAATGGCCAATCAAGACACCTTGCTCCTAGCCCCCACGTAGCATACCTGGGTATTGAGTCGATCAAAGACGGCCAAATATCGCCGTGCTTGTGCCTGTCAAGGTTTAATTTGGAGCAAACGCCTCTGTTTCAGCATGGTTGGTACTGAAGAGAGAAAATTGCGAGGGCATTATCGGAGCCTGAACCAACGGAGACACTGAAGGCTACAAGCGATTCTGTTTTCGCATCTACCACCATATTAATTTATTGCAATTATCGTAGAGAGGACATTTGGCACATTCGAACCTCAGACTTCGCTTCGCTCATCCTGATAAGCTGACGACGTAAGCACTCCGAAAAAGCGTTGGTTGGATGCATCATGGAATGGAAGAGACAAAATGAACCGTTCTCGATACCAGTCGATGTCCATGAAGCCTTGTTTCGAAATACTTTTCAAGATGCTCGCTACCAAGCCTGGACGCAGACGGATCGCTGCTGGCAGTTGCATATCAATGGAGGACCAGGAAGTGGCAAGGTCAGTACTCAGTTTGACTATCTACGGTAATGGAGGCATGTTAGCTCTTGGAAAATCACCACTGATCTTGACTGACATCATCTTCTTCTAGACTACTCTCGCAGCTCTAATCGCAAGACAACTATGGAGGGATGGCGCTGCTCCTGTCGCACTTATCCATGTTCACGATGATGAGCCGTCCGGTACGCAACTGCAGGATGACACACTGCCTCACAATCGTGCTTCTTGTCCGGACAAGTTTCTCGGCTATGATGGGTCCCTCAGAACAGGAGTCATAAACGTGTCGTCCTCAGGGACAGACCTCCAAGACTTGTGCACACTCTTGGCTGAGCAACTCCTAAAATCAGATGGGTTTTATCTCATTGTGGATGGCTATGATCGGATACCATACTCGAAGCAATGCGAGCTGCAGCACAACTTTCGTCAGCTCCAGTCCCAAGGGTTAAGGGTGCTGCTTTTCAGTGCGGTATCCAAGCTCGACGTCTTCCCGCCAGCCTGGCCTGTTGAGTGCGACAAGTGTGGACGTGGGAGGGAGGAGAAAGATGGCCTGTACATCTACTGGGCATGCGATCTATGTCCTTGCGATCTCTGTGACATGTGCAAAACTGCGGGTATCCACTGTGATGACCGCCAACATCAAATGTCTGAGCCTTACGATGTGGTCAACATGAGGCTTGTTGCAGTACCCTCAGAGCTGGAATCCTTTGTGAGGGCTGATTTGACCGCTGAATATGGTTCGGGATTAAACGACGACGTTGTCGAAGCTGTCTGCGAGTCCAGTGACGGCAACACGAATCTCGCCAAGCTTCGCCTCGACCAGATTCGTGATCTTGATTTTCCTTCTGACATTTTGTCGCCTACTGATCGCCTTCCTCGGGAAGTGGTCGCATTCTTCGATGCGGAGATCAAGCTCATCGACATTCTGGAACCATCTCAGAGGTACCAAACGTTGTTGGCCCTCATAGCCATAGCAGCAGCTGGAGATTGGATGTCAGTCATCAGACTCGAAGAGCTTTTGAGTCATATGAGCGGCTCTGATACGGTCTGCAGTGACGGATCTTATCCTCAAGTGCGTCGCGTGTTGAGTTCTGCCCGTGGACTGCTTTCTTCACTTATTTTCTTCGGCAACTTATCACCTGGGCATGAAGAGTCGGACAGACATAGGATTGGTCTCTATACTCGGGATCTAGGCTGGTATATCCGCGAAGACTACAATCAGGATCTAGTTTTAGCCAAGCGGTACCTGAGCGAAGCCAATATAGGAGAACGTAATCTGCATCGCAGCTACAGTTTCGAAAAAACCGTCGGTGAAAGAAAGCAGGACATTGGTGAGCCTAATGACACATTATATGGTGTCTGGAGGTCAAAGTCCAAGCTCCATGAAATCTCCGGTAACAGCGTCATTGACTCAATACTTCGAGAACCCGAAGGTATATGTACACCTTGCCAAGAAAGTATATTCCTGCCAAAGTCGAACTCAGGAGTACGAAAATGGTCCAATTACGATCATAACCGAGATAGGAAGACATACTGTCAATTTTGCTGTTACGCCTACAACGAAATGGATGATAAAGGAACAAGTATGCTGGCTTTTCATTGGACAAGGCGGACGATGGGCCGCACCTCCAACTCCAACGATCACATGGTTGTGGCTCTGAGACACACTGAATCCTCTGCACAAACATCGTTCAGGCGATTTGTCTTTATGTTGAAGTCGGAACTCAGATTTCTACCGGCTCATGATCGTCTGGGTGAGACGACTACCCTGAAGCACACTGGCAAACAAATTCAAAAGTGGTTAGAAACTTGCCGAACGGAGCATACTCACTGCAACTACAAAAAGGTGAAACCGTACGTGCCCAAACGCCTCGTGGATATCGGTACAGGTGCTTCCGACAGGCTGCGCATCATTGGGAAGGAAGAGAAGGAGGAGGGGCCGTATGTCACTCTGAGTCACAGCTGGGGGCGCAATCCTAACTTTCTGACGCTCACCACCAAAGACAAAGACAGGCTCATGAAGCAGGGCTTCTCGGTAACAGAGCTCAGGAACAAGAACTTCGAGCAGGCTATCGAAGTCGCGCGACATCTCAAAGTAAAGTACATCTGGATCGATTCCTTGTGCATATGCCAAGCTGGGAGAGACAAAGATTTCAGAGAGGAAGGGCAATATATGCACCTTGTCTATCAAAATTCGTTCTGCAACATTGTTGCCGCAGACTCAAAAGATGGCCAGGGTGGTCTTTTTAGGAATAGACCTATCGAAACGTTGCCGGGTACAGATACACAAGGATCCTGGTTGGTTTTAGACAAAGAGCTTTGGGCAAAGCAACTGTTACAGAGCCCTATATACACGCGTGGCTGGGTGTTTCAAGGTAAGCTGATAGATCAATTCAGTATACCAAACGCTAACCTTACAAAGAAAGGATGCTTTCTCCTCGAATCATTCACTTTACACGCTCTCAAGTGTTTTGGGATTGCAGTACAGTCAGCGCATGTGAGACTCTGCCAGATGGACTGCCGTTCGCCCTCTCCGCAATAGCTACAACGGACCGTCGCTGGCGTGGCCGCCTGCAGCGTAAGAATTCGGAACAAGACAGATCTAATCTTGCTGTTGAAGACTCTTTAGAGAAGTTTTGGAAAAGTGCCGTCCTCAACTACACTTCTTGCGACTTGACAAATCAAGCCGATAAGACATTAGCAATCTGGAGTGTTGCCAAGTTGGTTCGAGACAACCTACCCGATCAATATGGCTGCGGACTTTGGTCAGTCGCCTTGCACGAGCAACTAGCATGGCAAGTCAAAGTCGTCAAACACGGTGCCAGAATGGACGTCTTACAATCAGTATTCCCCAGCTGGTCGTGGGCTTCGGTAAATGCACCTATCCTGGTACAGGATCGTATCGTGGCAAAGAGGTGCTACACTGTCAAGAATCACAAGGGAGCTGCGCTTAGCTTCAGCGACTTCAAAGACAAAGCATTGATTAGGGATATGCAGCCTCAATTCGCGGCATCTGATTCGCTTGCAGTCAGAGGCCACCTCATCTGCGGGAGGTTGGAGAGAAGTGCACGCGATAGAACTCATACATTCCAGAGAGTAGAAGCTGGTTCTTCGCACAAGTACGAGGTAATCACTGACGAGGAACTTCCTGAAGCGCTACTCAGCTCGTGTTTTTATCTAATGCCGCTCGTCGCCCGCAAGACGAGCGACTCTGAGATAGCATACACCGGCAGCGCTCTTGTGCTAACTGTCACTGGTGATTACCGGCAACTAACCCACATGAGATTGATGAAACAACTACTCAATCTGGTTAGTTTCTCTCTGCCTCACCCAGATAAAGGTACACCACATGCAGATCGAAAGTCCAAACTGCAAATGCTACGCCGAAGTGTTGATGCTCTCAATGCATGTCTTCACAAAATAGTAAAGCAAGATCGGGAACTACCACTGAGGGAAGGAAATGCGTTCCGCAGGGTTGGTGTTGTCCAATTCCACGATCTCCCCGCAAAAGAGTGGGCTTGTATAAGGGCAAACGAGGAGAGGTTGATTTGGTTGGACTGAATTCTATGGGCTATCTAAATCGTTTCCAAGACCTAGTGGCGTGTGAAACTTTCGATTTCAGGAACTCACACGTATGTCCAATGGTCTGTGTAATCCTAAGGAATGCATAAGTGTTGCTACAGCTTAGACAGCAGAGCGGCCATATAACCTCCGCCTGCTTTGGCGCAATCTCTTGGGAACGTGCCTATCTTGCGAACGCTTAGACGAAGCTCGCGCATAGTCTTATATGTGATAATCCTGGTCTTTGGGTTGCGCATGTGGTCAATGACACTGTAGAGGTTGACCTTGAGGGGACGAAGCGTCTTTTATCGTCAGCAGCCTATATCGGTAGTAATTGCAAGTTGGGATGCTTACCTTCCTGGCTTGCGTAACAGTACATGGGATGTGCTCAATACCCATCTCTCGACATAAGTACTGATAACACTTTAATTTACCGACATCGTTTGAACTCCAGTAGAACTCGACTTCAGTGCGAAGCAACCTGATCAGATTCTGACGTTTGGTTCGTTGATCCCAACCTTTGATGCGAGCCAGACGTTCGAATTCCTCCTTGAAGGGAGCATTTGGGTGGTGCACGAAGTCGGTGAACTCATTCCATACCGGGTTTTCCCCACCTGAAGTGTTCGAACTGGCATCACCGTCGTCTGTAGCTGTATCCGTGGAGATACTCTGGTCGTAGTTGAGAATTTCAACGCCACCAGGAAGCTCATCTAGAGACTTGACTGTGTTGAGAGATAAAACGGTGCACTGTGAGTCCGCGATTGATTGAGACAATGAGCCAACGGAAATTCGAAGATATCCGCCGTCGCCGGACCGATCACTGCATAGCGACCTTACACTACCAAAAGAGTTTGCCCTCGAAGTGCGAGAAATGACTGAGAAAGATGACGCATCCGAATTGACAGAGAGCTTTCGCATGTGATTGGTGAGATTGGGGGTATCAGTCTGACTGGCCAGATCCGCATCTACAGTCGGACCCGTTGTTGTTGGTCTGTCTTGACATATGCATTAGTAAATTCTCTCGCTTGACACCCTTACTCTTCGATTTCACCTTGCATCACGAACATGGTGTCGAGCGAAGTGGGCTGCACTTACTGTGAACTCCCCACGAGTATGTCTCGCTGAAACACTTTTCCCAATGACAGCACCAATCCGGACCTCCACCTATCCATCCTTTCGCTTTTCCCAAGCGCGCGAACTCGGCTTTGGGTGAGTTGTTGAGATCCACGACATGACCAATATCGTTGGCCCATACTTGTAGAAGAGCTCTCTGTGTCTCGGAAGTCATCGTGACAGTAGCAGCAGTAACATAGACTGACTCAGGAAGATTGTTAGGTTCTGGTGTCGCGATATTTCCAAAGCGCTATTGTCAGTGTGGTGAAGACTTTTTGACGAAAGCGAGTGAGACACGCGGAAGGTTAGAGTTATGGGGAACGCGTAAAGTAGTTGAAAAGCCGTTGTGTGGGTAAGTGAGGGGCCGCGTTTGAACTCTACCTAGGTTCCAAACCAACAAAGCGCGCTCACACGTGGTTACGAATGCAGAGTGCCTATTATGGTTAGCGCTTAGAGCTGGAGTACGGTAAGTACCTAGATACACCAGGGTATTTACGCCAAGTGAGGGGGTCTGTACATCATCGAACGGTGAAAGAGACATGAGTAATTTAGCATAAAGAGGAAAGACTGGTGTACTCATCGCTCGAACTAAAGCATTATATCGCTTGAGTTTGATAACTTTCAAAGTGTCTAGCTCGCTCAAAAGATCAACAGATACTTCTATGCCGCGACACATCCGAGCCACCCTAGCCACTCTTATTGCATACATTTCCCCTAGGAGTGCAATCCAGACGATCTGATTCTGAAACAAACACTACTCGTAGCATTCGAGGTCGACCCTTAGACGGACTTCTTCGGCAGTGTCTTCCTCGGTTGTTTGGCCTTCTGCGTGTTTGTATGCTTGCGTTTCTTGTTGTCAACTGTTGTACTCCCGCTGCCTTGACGTGAGACTCCTAGCGATATAATAGAGTCAGAAACTTCCTGAGCCTTTCGTCGGCTTGTAGCTGCGCGGGTACGTCCAAGACTGTCAACAAGTGCAGTAGGCTTCTCAGGAATGACTCTGGAAGTTGGAAACTCAGCGGAAGCATCGCTGACGTCTGCGTTGCCGTAGGCGAAATCGTCTAGAGTATCCTCTGCGATGCTATCTTCTACCTCGCTCTCGGGTTCTACTTTGCCATCGTAGTCATCTTCCTCCTCAAGCTCGTCGTTTTCCTTCCAGTCTTCGTAGATCTCGAAAGCAGGGTCAGCATATCGTTTGGTCGCTGCCTCAAGTTCTGCCTCTTCGCGAGCGCGGTCGAGCGTGATCTTCAGTAGTTTGATGGGGAACCCCTTTGGCTGCCGCAGCTGTAGCTCGTTTTTACGGTAGCGAGCTTTCGGAGTACCGTAGTTCCAATTGGTATTTCTAAGGATGGGCATCGTGAGCTTGCTACTAGAATATGAGCTTGGTGTTAAGACAGTATGCTGAAATGTGCCTACTTGTTCGCTGATCCACCAGAAAGTGCAGCAGGATCTGAAAGCGCTGCGCCTGAATCCACACGGGGCTCCTCGCGCGTCTTCTCTGTCACTGCTTTACCTGGAACCATAGTATTATGTACAATCCCTGGTTGATTTTAACCACGCCGATGCGTTCGCAAGTGCCGTGAAAAGGTCGTGAAAAGGATATAAGCAGTAAGATGGTGAGTAAGGATCGAGAATAGAACTGCCAAGCGAGCCGATACACAAGGAGAGTCTCGACTGGTTATCGCGTACGATTTTGCAGCAAACAAGACAGGTCAATACGACGTGTCCCAAGCAGAGCGTCGTGATGAAGGTGAATGTGAATGCGAACGTGGGATCGACGCTCTCGTCCGGTATATTAGTCTGTCTTCGAGCTGAGTAAATGAGGGTGAAGTGAAAGGGAAGGCGTATGAAGTCTAGTCCTTCCTGTCAATACTGCCTGAGCCTGTCGTTGATATACGCATAACATGGTGATCAGGAAAGAACACTCAAGGGTTGCTGATAGGCGTTCCTTTCATACATCACCAGGATCCTAGCTTCCAACTATGAAGCTTGTGCTAGCTTTTAGTACATACCTAGGTGACTGTTTCGAGGCTCTGTCTACTCGTGGAAGCTTGGGTGTATTTCGATAGCTGAGCGCGACATACGAGGTACACGAATCACTTTCCAATTCGGCAGCGCCCTTCGGACTTCTAGCTTCGTGTTGAAAGGTTGTCAAAGGCCATGGCAAGAAATCGCATCATCCATGATCAGCAACGATACACACAAGCATGTTTTGTGGGCTTGAGTTCAGGTAGGGACGAAGACAGTAAAGCATCGCTGTTCAGGTTTGCCATTAAAGTTATCACTTTCCAATAAGGTCCGCGTATCTTTTTCCTTTGTGCTGTGGTTGAACCATCGTGTGTGAAGAAAAGGGAAGCCTGATGCAGCTCAAGCAAAGGCTCACTCATATTACACTTGTGAAGAAGACGCATCTATCGTCCAGCTGAATCGAACATTGACAAGCTTGTAGTGAGCTTGCCGCACTACGGGAGTTACACGCTGGGCTACGACACCATCAGCGTACGTACCGTAGGCTCCCGGCACTTGGCTGACCGCGGTCCAGCCGTGTACGAAGATACTCCACAGTCTATGCGGTCATTTTCTACTGTACAGTCATCCCCATGCGTTGTTCCATGCAATGTCGTCGGTATGTCGAGCTCGCGCGAGTTCCTTGGGACGGTAGCTACATAGTCCAGATTGCGTGAGGGAGCTGATGGCGAGAGAGTGACAGAACCTTCCTCTAGATCGTCTGTAGTAGTTCTGGTATGGTTGTTGTCCACGACAGGTGAGGCAGTACTGGAGAGCTCCGGCGTTGGTGGCGCGAACTGTAAGTGCACAGATGTAGCTGTTTGCCTAAGGGAACACGCCTCAGACTCCAACCCACCCGTCCTGCCATAAGCTTCCATTTGCGCAGTGATCTTTTTCAGCTTTCGAATATCGCTTTTATATCCTTTGATGTCAAGCTTGAAGAGAATGATCTCCCGGATATAGAAGTCGATTTCATTTCGCATACTTTCCACCTGCACGTCCGGAGTGTCAGTAAGAGTCTTTTCCTTCTTCTTAGACTGCTCTCTTCTCAGGCGCTCGTGGAGTCTGTCCATCCACCTATCGATATCTTCCCGTCTGGCAAGCGATGTGAGTTCAGGCAACGAGTCATCCTCCGTGGCCATGTGAAGCTTCATTGCCGCATGTCGCCTTATTTCTGCTTGCAACAAGAGTTTGTGATGCTCTAACTGCCTCTCCACAGCGCGAAGATCCCTATCCTTCTCTTCAATCAATGATTCGCGGTTCAAGACTGCATCTCGAAGTTGTTCCATGTAAGTATCTATTCGGCGTGCTTCTTGTGATTGATTCTGTATTCCCGAATGAATAGCGACTTTGTTGTGATCCCGTTCAAGCCGGATGTGTGTTTGCCGCAGTTGCTGTCGCTCTTTCTCCAATTCCGCAATGTAGAGATCCTTCTCTCTAACTTGATCTTGCAGGCGCTCCATGTGCGCCACAAATGCAGCTAACGCTGAATTTTCTTGAGAGTCGAGTTCCGAACTGACAATTGAAGTGCCGGGGAAGACTGTGTTTGTGTTCATAGAAGCACCAAATGTTGCTTGGTGTGCGCTTGATGGTAGGTGGGACTTGGGAGGAGAAAAGTCGAAAGGTGATTTATCGCTTCTCAAATTCGAAAGCTGTTCTTCCGTGTCTAGTCGCTTTGTATTCGCAATCTCAAGACGGTTCTCAAGGTGATCTATGGTATTCTGTAGAGCTTGCGTAGTTTTTGCAAGCTTGTCGGCATGCGTTGCCTTATCTTCAAACTCGGCACATTTCATCTCAGTCATCCCAAGTATGTTACGAAGTTCCCTTTCGCTTTTCTTTGATTCGTTCAACTTCGCCATCAGAGATTCGATTTGCTGTTGAAGAGCAACATTGTTCTGTTTGTATTGGTTGAGCTCGGGAAGTAGATTTCGGGTTGTCGTTTCGGGTCTGCGGGTGCTGCTTAGCTTCCGCTTTAGATTCTCCTAGTATCCTAAATCAGTCATACGTCTCACATGCAACATGCGTATATCCCTACCATCTCAAGGCTGGTTTCCAAGCGTTGGGGCGATTGCTCTTTATTCTCAGGTTCGATCGGACTGGCAGATACGGTGTCCACTATAACTTGTGCGGTATCTCGAGTTGGCGTGTGCGGTGTTCCTATGGTGTCCAGGCCAGTCAGGGCATTGTTACTTGACGCTGGGTACACTTAGCAAACTAAAGTGGTGGTTGATGCCACAAGCGCGCAGCACAAATAACCCCTGTTGATCGATCCAACGCAATTGGAAGTAGCGTCTTCAAAAGACGAGAGATCGCAATGGTAGACTTGACGGGAGTTGGTGCTTACCGTGATGCAGGCCGTGCTTGCTAACCTGCTCTTCGAGTATTCGAACGTAATTCTTCAAAGACGCAACTTCTGCCGAGTGTGATTCTACAAGGCTTGCAACGCGTGACTCGCACGACGATCTCAAACTGGTAGACTGGGATTGGAAGATCGAGATTGTTTGACCTTGTGTAGCAATGGTCGCCTTGAGTTCTTCGATATGCCTGCTGCGTGTTACTGAGGGGTTGGACGCAGAAAATGCCTATGTATAGTCAGCATTTGGGTATGATATACACTGGGCGCTTGAAAGGCCCGATATCGACTATTGCAAGGCAGAACAAACTGCATGGTGGACGTAATGATCAGAATTTGTGCAACTGCCGCCCGCGCGACATCGGGAATATGAAACATGTCACCGCCGCTATTCGTCTTACAGGCTTCCAATCCGGGGATACAACAAGACATTACCAGCGAAAGGTCTGATGCCATGACTGCATGGCAAAGCAGTACATCTAACTCAGGCATATGTCGTCGCATTAGGGTTGGAGATGGGATATAAAGAATTTCTGAAACTGTTTCGTTATGCGGTGTTGTTTGTCCAGTAAACACACGTCTATCGAGAAACAAACAGCACTCACTTCATTTTGACGGTATCGGCGGTTTCCAGCATCCCGGTCACCCACTCTCTTCCCCTGGCCAAGCCACATCTGACTGGGACTTTGCATGCCACCTTTGTTCATCGAGGCTTTTCCGTGCGTGGATGAAAGAGAAGTAATCAGATCCGGTCTCGAACGTCTCCGCTTTCTGGCTTTACTCGAGGATGTGCCGTCGGCCTCCGTTGATAGATCAACTTGGGTGGCTTTGGCGGACTGAAGTTCATCACCGCTGGGAATGGTCTTTATTATGCTGTATCGCGAGCTTAGTTCTGGAACGGACCGGGTATGGTTCAATTGCGCCGGAACCAAGTCCAACGCGTCCAAAGAGACACTCTCGTGACTCAAGTGCTTATCGGGCGGGTGACTCTCCCTCCTAAGGATCTGGGTTGTCGGTCGTGCAGATATGGGAGTTGAAGATGATGGAAATCCTTGGTTTTCTAACAAAAGAGAGCCAGGTAGCTCGGCAGGTAACTCTGCAATTGAAGGGACCGAGGCAGAACGCGGCCGACAGGGAAGGGGTTTTTGCAGTAAAGATGTGGACCTCGAGCATGGACTGGTGCTAGGTACTGGCGAGCGCAACATATCGTTGGAGGAAGAATGTAGGATGGTCGCAGCACCAACAACGGCTGCGTTATACTGGGATGTGACAGGACTGCAGACGTTTTGCTTGTCGTCCGATGGAAGGATGGCAAGGTTCGCTGGCCGCCGCTTTTCGACTCTCAGAGTGGTCTAAGAGAGATGGTCAGTGACTGGTCAAGCTCCATAAGACAGGCGCAGACGTCGGATTGTATGCAGCGGCAGATTGCGGTCTACATGTTGCCTTGTTTTGCATGAGACGTCGTCGTGTTTGCCAGTACACTGTCTTCTTTTCCTGGACATCATCCTACCTTGGTTTCATAGTCATTGGGCTCAGGCTCAACTGATTCAATCGCCAGCAGCCCTCCTGTGCGATAGTATGGCTCTGAACTAGACTGGCGTTTCGACCAGGACAGAATGCGCTTGGTCGGCATCGCGCGATGTTTACGCACCCCGCGCTCAGTAGTAGTAATTCAACGTAGACATGAAGATGAGATGAAAGCTCGACGCGCTCGGGCTGCGGTATGGTGCGAGAAGAGAGGTCAGACGAAGACGCGGTGGCTAGAAGGTTTGCAGCCACTTTAACGGTGGTTTGACTATGTTTGCAAGGCGTCCACGTTGGGTTCATATCGCCCGCTGTCATGTTTCGGGGCTGCAAACCACGCCGTACCTAGCTGGATCCAGGTGAAGACACTGCTGACAGGGGCCAAATGGCCCGACTGGTGCAAGAGACAAACGAGTGCTCCTTGCATGTCGTGTAGGCGCCTTGGAGTCGCATAGTGGCGCCGTCTTGTACGTGCAGCGAATAGACGAGATGAGGACGAGGCGCGATAGCGCGACGCCGTGACGAAAGTGCAGGAAGCTTGGGCCTCTCTCTTGTCTGGGGAAGTCGCGACCGAACGTCTCCAATCCTTAGCCGACTGTTGCGTACTAGTTGCAATCCTTTCTGCTCTTTTGTGCAAGCCCACTGCTAATTACGGTGTAATGGTCTAGCCGGCTACCACCGCAGTGCAGGCGACTTGGCACAGCCCCCAGGAAGCCCGTTCACTGAATCCGCTCTGCACTAAGGAAAAAGTTGGGATCGTCATTGCGCCCCCAACCACGACACTGCGCCCCCACGGTTCTCACCATTCGGCCCCAATATGGCGAGAGACCTGTCGCCGTACAGTGCGCGACGACTGCTTACGCAACAATTAGTCCAAGGAAAGACTGCCTCGCCCCCAGCAGTCTCAGGCGGGAACGCAAGTCCGAGCAGCTTCTCGAAACATGGGTCAGAACGCGTCGGGAAAGAGCCTTCGATAGCATCTGGTCGCCCATGGCGGAGTAGGTCGAGGGAGAGGAAGCCCAGGCACCTATCCAAAGACGACGAACCAAGGGAAGCGGCCACCGAGCCCAGCGCTGTTCGCAAGCGGGAACAATCCCCAGAACCATACAGGAAGCCGCGAGATTCGTCCAGAGAGAGGAGACGCGACGGTTCGAGAGAGCGGAGGAAGAATCGCTCCAAGGACAGGCGACGCGACAGGTCACGAGACAAAATACGAGACAGATCAGGCGACAGAAAGAAAGATCGTTCCAAGGACAGGCGGCGCGACCGCTCACACGACAAGGACAGGGATGGAGACAGGCACAGGAAGCGCGATCGCTCCAAGGACAGACACAGCCGGCGAGATCGCTCGCGCTCCAGAGACCGACGACGAAGAGACAGGTCCAAACAAGGCCGACGTTCACGCTCGCCTATACCATATCGTTCCCGCAAACCGCGTACTCGCTCGCCCTCCGCATCTACATCCCCTCCGCCCAAACGTCGCCGACGTACACGCTCCCCATCGCCTTCGCGCTCATCTTCTCCACGCAAGCCCGCCAAGAAAGCGCTACCGTCGCAAGAAATCTCCTTCCGCGGGCTGGACGACTCCGCCCAACCACCCTCGAAATATGGCGGCGCACCACCTGACAAGGAGAAACCAAACTTCAAGCCTACTGGCGCGCTAGCCAAAGCTGCCAACCGCGTAGAAGGCACCAAGATCTCCCTCAAGTACCACGAGCCACCCGAGGCGCGAAAACCACCCGCTTCGCAACCCTGGCGCATCTTCGTATTCAAGGGCGATGATGTGGTAGATACCATTGAAATCTGGCAGAAGAGTTGCTGGCTACTGGGACGATCACATGAAGTCGTCGACTACGTCCTTGAGCACCCCAGCTCGAGTGGACAACATGCAGCCATCCAGTTCCGGTACATACAGAAGACGATCGAAGACGAGTTTGGCGTGAAGAGCCAACGAGGAAAGGTCAAGCCCTACATTATCGATCTGGAAAGCAGTAATGGCACGGAGCTGAACGGCGAGGATCTCGAAGCGAGTCGCTACTTTGAGCTCAGAGACAAAGACATAATCAAATTTGGAGGGAGCGAGAGGGAGTATGTGGTCATGCTGCCACAAGCAGATGCTAAGTAGGAAAGGACAACGAAGATGGCGAATGCGGCGAACGCTAACATTACTGTGATGACACATGGTCATGTTCCATAGCAGTCTCTGACTGGAAGAGAGGTAAATACCAAAGATAAATTACGTAACAACCGTCACACTGATCCTATTGTTACTAATTTTACCATGGAGAGTGTATCCTGCAGACATGCTGGCATTGCTATATATGATTCCTTCGAATTGATAAGTAGAGGCCCAGCTACATCGAGTACCGAGTTGTGGGTGGCTATGATTGAGCTTCCACAGGGCTTACTTGGAGGAGTCTCCGTGCCCTGGTCTCACCATCTCGGGACCACTATATCAGAGTTTGCTACTCGACTTGTCTTGATGATGCAATAGTGAATGTTCAGACGTTGAATAGCAGCGTGCAATCAGGTTCAGGGTCCAGTGTACGACAAGGATGCCGCCCCTGCCGACTTGGCAGGAACAGCCGTCATCAGGCTCCCCACAGTTCGTGTAAGGCGGAGACACCATGTTGCGCGTCCAGCTGCTTCGTTTCTTTTAACCCCCTTTTGTACTTAATTTTTGTAATACACCATGGCGCTTTTGCGACGCTATGGGCTCTACACAGTCCTCGCCGTGGGCTTCATCTACATGCTCTGGTCGCTCAGCTTCCCATACGAGCAACCTGGCGACGCGCCCATAAACGGCAACCCACACCAGCAGAGCCAGCAACCACAGAGAAATCAAAAATACAAATCCTTTAATTGGGCAAAGGTGCCCTTTAAGAATCGCATCGAGAACCCCACATCGCTACCGACCGGCGAACCGAAAGCCCTACCGCCGATACAGTTCAGCTTTGGTCAGGAGGATGCTACGGCCAAGAACATCCGTGAGACAAGGAAGGAAGAAGTCAGGAAACAATTTCTGAAATGCTGGAAGAATTACAGAAGCTTTGCATGGATGCATGACGAGATACGACCCATAAGTGGGGAAGTAGCCGACCACTTTGGAGGATGGGCAGCCACGCTCATCGACGCGCTCGATACGCTGTACATAATGGGCTTTGAGGAGGAGTTCTCTTCCGCTATCAAGGACATCGAACGGATCGACTTCGGATACACCGACTTGGATAGAGTCAACGTGTTTGAGACCAATATCCGACATCTGGGTGGCTTGCTGTCAGCTTTTGAGCTAAGCGGGGACCAGAGGTTATTAAACAAGGCGAAGGAGGCGGGCGAAATGTTATACCATGCGTTTGACACACCCAACCACATGCCCATCACACGATGGCAGTTCCGTGCCGCGGGCGAAGGCAAACCACAGGTCGCGGATGAGCAGGTCCTACTCGCGGAAATCGGAAGTCTGACTATGGAGTTCACGCGTCTTTCGCAGTTGACCGCCGACCCGAAATGGTATGATGCGGTCAACAGGGTGACGAGGGTTCTTGAAGAACAGCAAGACAAGACAAAACTACCGGGCATGTGGCCGATCGTTATCAACGCTCGAAAAGCAGAGTTTACCGGCGATAGTGGGTTCACCCTAGGAAGTATGGCTGACTCAACGTATGAGTATTTTGGCAAGCAGTATGCCTTGCTCGGTGGCCAAGATCCCATCTACCGCAAGATGTATGAGAGAGCTATGGACACTGCATCTAAACACGTCTTATTCCGACCATCCACTCCTGAAAATTCCGATATGCTCATGTCAGGATTCGTCCGCGCCGAAGGTCCCCATCCATACCTGGACCCGGAAATGCAGCATCTGGCTTGCTACACAGGTGGTATGTTCGCTCTCGGTGGGAAGTTGTTCCAGAATAACGAACATGTCACGATTGGTCGTAAGTTGGCAGACACGTGCGTATGGGCGTATATAGCATCCCCATCAGGTATCATGCCCGAAGTATCGCATCTTCTCAAATGCGCAAACACGACGACCTGCGTATGGGATGAGAAAGAATGGTTGGAGGGCATCGCTTCCCGAACGTCTGAGAATGCAGAGGAGAAGGATCCGATAAAGAACATTGCAAACCTTCGCCTGCCAAGCGGCTTCACCAGTATCGATGACAGGAGGTACATTCTCAGACCAGAGGCTATTGAGAGTGTGTTTGTTATGTACCGTATCACAGGAGAGCAGCAATGGCAGGCCGCCGCATGGGATATGTGGACGGCTATTCAGCGCTCTACCGACACCGACATTGGTAACTCAGCGTTAGTAGACGTATCGGCCGACTCCCCACCGAGGGCGGATAGCATGGAGGTAAGTCATCTCGTCAAACAAAATCGTGCATACACCAACACACAAACAGAGCTTTTGGATGGCGGAAACGCTAAAATATTTCTACCTAACGTTCAGCGAGCCGAATGTCATCAGCCTGGACGACTGGGTGTTCAATACCGAAGCCCATCCATTCAAGATCCCGAAACCCAAGGCAGCGTAATACCCGGCTGAGAATACAGACGATGCACACTGTAACACGTTTCTTTCGGCATCTATTGGAGGATATAAATCCATAATCTGTCCGACCATCTTCATAAATCCATTAACAAGCTGAGCTCTTGCTCGCCTCTCGCTTCCTTCTTATATCATACACCATTATTCGTCGTTCAATCGATTTAGTGTGTACCGTAGTTTGGCCCACCGATGCCCTTCTCACCAGGCTTGTTGGCGCTGGGGTCAACGCCGACATTCGAGTTTCCGCTGTCTGAGGCTACAGGGGCCTCGCCAGGCGCGTTGCCCTCTTTCGCAGCGGGTGCGTTGGATGCACCGAGACCCTTGCCTGTCATAACTGTTAGTATACCATTTCATGGAGAAAGCAACATGATGTAATGAGCAATTGGGAACGCACTCTCAGCCTCTTGCTTGTTGAATTTGTCCGAAGCAGCGTTGCTCTGGCCGGGTGTCTTGGAGTGAGGCATATTGGCTATTCGGTTTTTGGTTGTGTGTATTTGGGAGTGGATGTGAGGTTTGTTCTGAGGTAAGGTGTAATAAGAGTGACTTTTATTTCAATCAGAGGACATGTGAATTTCCTTTCTTTTTGTTTTGAAGACTTCTCTTAGCTTAATTTCGTGGTTGTGATGTCACTTTGTTCATGATATCATCAATGTGGTGTTAGGATGGGAAAGGGTCCACCCTAGTGCTAGATGCAGGTACGAGATCGCGATTGCGCTACGGATCGATCCCGTGTCAGAATCTACTCATGAGATATGTCAAGTATATACCTTGTAATTCGGTGGGTAAAGTGGATATATCAGACTTTCGACAATAAATGCTCATCGCTATCTCTCACATGCTACCAAAACCCAGCCATAGCCAAAAAGACCTTCCAAACATCCAAAATCTCATGCAAGCCTCAGAAAACGTCAAAGAGGAAACGCTAAACGCCAGTCCATGCACATCAAGACAACTCCTTGCCTCCCTCCTCTTCACTTTCAGTACGTCAACATCTTCTGCCCACCTTTACCATCGTGGCCCTCGCCAGGCTTCGCAAAGCTACACCACCTATCCTTGATGGACACAACTTCATATGTACCCTCCTCCTGAACAGGAATGCTCATAGTCATCTCATGACTGATTTCGGTCTTGATCTCCAACACCTTGCTCTTGCGACCCTTGTTTGCGTTCGTGCTTCGGGTGTAGGTAAACTCAAAAGGCGGTGTACCCCAGAACTGGAACTCTAGATCCGTACCACCACCCTCGTGGATGTCAATCTCGTGGACTTGGCCTCCGGAGAGACGAACGGAGGGGATTGGATGTATGGTTTTGGTTAAGTCGAGCGCTGCGAGACACTCGGAAGCGGAGTCGCGTAGACCGGTTATGGTAAACGTTCCTGGAAGTTCGGCGAGACGGCGGAACGTGGTGCCTGGGTTGGAGGCCTTGCGCTCCTGCTTCTCAAAAGTGTAGTACACTGTGAAAGGACTCTGGCCGCTGAGAGCGAAAGATAGACGCTCGCCAACACAGAAGTCCTGTCGGTCTTCGAGAGGTGTGGCAGTGGGCGCGTCATGAACGCTGATCTGGACACGAGGACCACCGGGCGGGGGCCGGAGGGTACATCCACGCGAGTCGCGAACTTTGCGGATGGATATGGACGAATGACCGAGGTGCATCTTGCGGTGCTCGATCTTGAGATCATACTTGTTCGTAGGTATGTTCTTGTGCACGCTGATCTCCGGCTTAGGGGTACCTTGATGCTTGATCTCCACTTCCAGATAGAATGGCGCAACGCCTTCTAGAGTGATGGGAATGACTTCTTCACCCTCTGATTCTCGAGAACAGTAGCTGTATGTCTTTCCAGGTTTGTCGAAGCGAGCACCAGGGCGCGAGTAAACTTGCTGCTGGATCGTAACAGGCGAGAAGTGCTTCTTCGAGTGATCATACCTGGCATCTGCGAGTTTGAGGAAGGTGTACTCGTAGGTACCAGCCTTTGAGGTTTCCGATCGAATCGATGCAAGACCACCAACGGTGTGTAGATCCTTCTCGCTGACGGAAGCTGTTTTTCCTTTCTTGTCCTTGTACTCCTGTCGGTAGGAAATGTCAAAAGGAGCGTTTCCTACGAGATGATTAGTATTAACAACATGTGGAAGAGCTAGGATAAATTACCAGTCAGGGAAACATCAAACGAATCTTCATCGCCCTCGCATACGGCGTCTTTAATGTACTTGCTGCCTTCCAACATTGCAGTACTCTCAGGAACACTGAGCGAAGGACGTGCCACCCAGGATACATCAAATTGGTCGGCCTTCTCATCGACCAAACCAGGACAAACAGAATCCTTGACGGAGAGCAGCTGATATGTACCGTCTGTCTTGACGTCGAGCCACGAGTTGGGATTCTGGAAACTGTCCTTCTTGATCTCCTTGGTCTTTAAGTTTTCGTACTCTAGCAGCCAAGGACCGCTTCCAGTAAAGCGGAGGGGTAACCCGACTTGTCGGCTCTCCAGAGCCAGTACAGATTGCTTGCCTTCAATGTGCCCGAAGTACGCTTTGGGTCGTTCGTGACGTACGTTGACTCTAGCTTCCTCCTTGAGGACTTCTTTGCATTTGGACTTGTCGGTAACGCCCGTCAAAGCTACGACGTACTCGCCGCCGCTGCTGAGCTTGTCTGTTCGTATAACGTAATGCGCGTTCTCAGTTTCGATGGCACGCTTCGTACGCTTGCCGTTGTGAACAATCTCGTATTCTAGCTTCCAAGGTGCCTCACCAACGAAGCCAACGTCGAACTCTACCACGTCATCTATGCAGGCTTGCTTGGGTCTGCTACTCTCAATAAAGTGTGCTTGTGCGGAAGGCTTGACGTCTTGTTGAAGTTTGATGTTGTTCAGGGACCGCTCTTTGTAAACAGAGTCGCTAATCGTCTTGAAGGTATATTCGTAATGACCGGCATCTTGTGGGGTGAGATCAATTGTACTGCGGAGACTTGCAATCTGAATCGGTGGCTTCCTGATTTCTCGGCCATTGTCTTTCTTCTCAGAGTAGGTGACCAGGAACGGCGGGCTACCGACAAAATCGAGGCCGACGCGAAGACCAATAGGGTTACCAGCGCATTTGTCAATAATGTCCTCGCTGTCTAAGGTCAGATCCGGCTCGGGTGGGTTCTGCAGCAGGCACGAAGTAGGTTCAAAAACTTCGCCGTCGCAGAAGTCGGTCGACACAGACTTGATGGTGTAAAGACCTGCAACTTTGATGGTAGGCTGCTCGCCCTTTCGCATAACCTGCTTCTGCAGCACGGCATCTGGGCTATGGTATCCATCCGCGACGATGTTCTCTTGGGGTGTGAACAAGTACTCAACGGTGTGCGCACCGTCGATTGCGTTTTTGCCGGTGGAACCGTACTGGACTGGCAGGCGAGCGGCTTCACCTTTGGGTACTCGAAGAGGGTTTTGTGGACTGCAACCCCTGAGAAAAGCTGTAGGGCGCTCATGAACCTCGAACAGTTGACGGATGCCCGCAGCCTTGGGCCTTGGACGCTCGTCATCGTCGACGTTTACATAGCTTACGAAGTTTCCAAGTCCATCCTGCACCTCTTCAATCTCATACTCCCATGAGCCACTAGTCGTGAGCGATTCGTTCAGAGGCACTAGGACTTTGTGCGAGCGTGCCCATGATATGTCTTCACGCCCGTTCTTGACCAGTGCTTGCGATGTGTGTTTGGACAATGGTGAAATGGCATCGTCCGGCTGCAGGTTTTGGAATTGGGATCCGCCGCGAGGCTTTCCGTTCACTATAAGGCGGTATTTGACATTCATAGGCGGTGTGCCCTCGACTTCCAGCGCCACGTTGGATAGATCGCTACGGCAACGATCGTTGCCAGTTGGCTTCACGCGAGCTTGTGGGCAGGTAGCCACTACAACGTTGGTTGATCGCGGTCGCACCAGAAGCTTTGATTGATCTGTAACCTTCTTCAGCAGATATACACCTGGCTTCTTAATGGTATAGGCTAAAGTCAACGGATCATCAGGGTCTGTTGACTTCTGCGTCTTTCTAGCTCTCTTCAGCATGGTCTTTAGTTCGCTTTTCTTGACGATGATGGTTTCGTTGACGTTCGTATCGATATCGATGCGTAAAATCTCCATTTCGTGGGGTTCGGTCTGGTTGATCATGATGGGGATCTCCAGTTGGGTGACGGACGAGTTCAGACAGAACGACTGCCTGTCAGGGTTCAATACTGCGGATCCCTCGGGCAAGATGTTGACAATCTGCTTTCCCAGGATGAGAGAGGCGTTGTGGAGGATGGCGCCAGGCTTAACGCTGCGTTCGCTGATGGCCAGTTCACTATCCCACAAGAAGCCCACCAAGCCCATGAGCCATGCCTGTACCGGTATGCCGATTCGGAACATGAGCATGACATCTAAGCCCGCGTGTAGCACAAACAGGAGGAAGGCAGCGCCATTGCCCCATTCCAGCCAGGGAATCTCCAGAAGCGGCACGCCGAACATGAACAGCACGTCGAAGAAGCACCATTTCAGACACAGCCATAGCGACTCATCCTCCTCGACGGCCAAGGTGTAGAAGTCGTAGGTCCGGTATGCCCATAGGGCGACGTAGAGGGCGAAGACATAGAAGCGCTGTTGGGCAGGATCGAGGATGTCTGAGGGTATCAGGGGCCCTGAGCTTGATTGTGCGGGGGCCTTGGGCAGATCTGGTAGCGGCGATTTGATGTTGGGTCGCGGGGTGGTGCCATTTGGGCTCTGTAGGCCGGGAGAGCGGTTCGTGTTCTGCGGTGTTGATGGGAAGCCTCCCACGCCTCTCCGAACCTGCGGTGTGCCGTTCATCGCACCCAGAAGTCAAGACTTGGCTATATCGTGATCATGGGTTGAAGGATGTGACGGGAGTGACGACGTTCTCGGCCGGCGTCGATCGCGTGTGTTGCGCTGGAGGGTTTGTCGGTGGACGTGAAACCATCAAACAAACATTTACCTAGAGCCTACGCGACGAGCGCGACAAGGATGCGGGCTGCGGCATCGTCGGCCAATCAGAGCTCGATGACGCCGAGTTCATCACGTGCTAGCACCCCGACCTCGACCACCACACTGCCCTTTGCTTTCACCTCTGACTTACATTATTCCCAGCTCGCTTCCTACTACCTCTTCGAGCCACGCAATTGATCAAAGTACCGGTGCTTCGTCTGCAGGTCCTCCATTACAATGCCAGTCTGCTTTCCTTTCCTCCAACCGCCCAACGTCCACATACACACCTGAATTACCTTAACTCTGATTTACAACCCACGATAAATCCCCTCAACCCGAATCGCTCAGTATGACGAATGATGCCCCCTCCGATCTCAAGGCACGCTCTGAGATTAAAGATGGAACAGAACAACAACAAGCAATGCCAGGCAAAGACTCAGTAGACCAAGCTGCTGAAGTAGCCTCTTCAATCACAAAAAAGAGCAAAGACGGCCCTATCGCTGAGCCATATGATGGCTCAGAGTCCCCAAGCAAGAATTCCAAGGCATCCCCTTCCAACACCAAGAAGCGAGGCCTGTCCGAACCTGATACAGCTTCCGAGCCCATCAGTAAAAAGTCAAAAGACTCACCAACGCCACTGTCAGCCCAGAACGGCGCCGTAACAGCACCTGTATTTCCCAGTCCACCCGATATGCCTGCAACTGCTTTTGACAAAGCGACCTGGCAGGGATTCTGCGACATCGAAAGTGAACCCGCCTGTTTCTCTGTCATCCTGCGTGAGATGGGTGTTCGCGATGTTACTGTACGTGAAGTATTCAGTATGGATCCAGAATTCCTTCTTGACAACATTCCCCAACCCATCTACGGCTTCATCCTCCTTTTCCACTACCGTGAATTTGGCAACGACGGCCAGGCCACGGAGTGTCCCAAAGATGTCTGGTTTGCCAACCAATTGCCTGCTCAAAACAGCTGTGCGACACTTGCCATGATCAACATCCTAATGAACCAGAGCCGCGAGGTCGATATACGTATTGGAGAGCATCTGACGCAGTTCAAGGACTTCACACAGGACTTGTCACCATATCAGCGCGGCGAGGCCTTTGCGAGCTTCGATTTTGTAAAGAAGATTCACAATTCTTTTGCGAAGAAGATGGATATTCTCGAGGGGGACAAACATCTCAGCTATAAAGTCAAGCGCGCTCAGCGCATCAAGGCCCGATTGCTTTCTGAGAAGGCCAAACCTACCAAGAAAGGAAGCAAGTCGCGTCGCGCTGCTTCTGCCGATACTGTCGTCAGCAATGATAGTGCAGAGAGCGTTGAAGACAACGCACATCACTATATTGCTTTCGTACCTGTCGGAAACGAAGTCTGGAAACTGGATGGCCTGGATAAGCAGCCAACGTGTATGGGCTCTTTTGATCCCCAGCAGGGAGAGACGTGGTTGGAGTCAGTTTCTAACACAATTTCTGTCCTCATGGCAGCTGGAGATGACGACTACGGTGTTATTGCGCTGACACAGTCTCCTCTGCTTTCACTACGCAAGAACGCTAGTCTGACGATTAACACTCTGTCGCATGTCGACGCACGCCTCGACAACGTCTCTGCTGCTGCATCGCAAGACTGGAGAAACCTTGTTGACACAAATGAACAGCCGCCTGACCCTCACATGCTAGGCTTCGAGGAACATCTAGCCGATAGCCCTATTTCTCCTACTGTCAAAGCGACCATCGACAGCGAAGACTTGACTCAACTCCTCGCTCGCCGTACTTTATTACTAGCGAAAGCTAATCAACTAGCCGCGAACATCATGATGGAGATGCAAAACGAAGCAGAAGAAGATTTGAAGGCTACGCAACGGCGGTACGATTCTGGTCCAGTCATCAAGAAGTGGCTCGAAATGTTGGCAGAGAATGGTTTTCTGGAGGAAAATCTAGACCGCTTCATGCAAGGGAAAGGAAAGAAGTGAGAGAGTGAAGATGCGGCGATTACTTCGTGGCAATTATATTGGAGTTTTAGAAATGTTACATACTTGTCTTTCGCTTTTCAATTTAAGCTTGACAGGATTAGGCTGAGGATAAGGGTGTAGTGTACAATACGACGACACACGATCATCAACGTAATGAATTAATAATACAATGTATCTGAAAGTTTCAACTTTTCGACTCGTTCCCAGCAACATGTCTAATCCTCTGGGTATTCGTCTCGCACATTACTCACAAAACAATGGTCTGCATCATCCCAGCGTTTGAAGTGACGACCAGCAAGTTTCAACAATGCTTCTGAAGGGTACGTGTCCGCACCAACAGGCTGGATGTTCTCAGCAGCAACGTAACGAACAGATTTGTCGCAGACACTACAGGGGTCAGCACAATATAATAGAAGCAAGACAAGATGAACTTACAGTACGTGATAGAAAGCCTGGTTCCGGCCATTTGACAGAGAATCCACACGCATATTCTGAATCCAATCCTCATTGGCGTCACAGACAACATCCCAGCCTGTGATTACACCCTCATACCCGTAACGCTTATGTTGAAACAATTGGCCTACTTTGAACGCAACGTCCTGCGTGCGCTCAGAACGATGGATGACAGGCTTACGCATTGCATCGACCTGGTGCATGCTCTGCACGAATTGAAGTAATCTGTGGCCCTCTGGCTGATTGTAAAACATAGGGACGACGTAGCGTGATAGCAACGTCACATCCCATGGGTAGTGCATCTGAAAATGCTCGAGCAGGTACGGCAGATATTGACGGCGCCGGATTGCCGTATGGCTTGCATTAAGATTATCGTCATTAGGACCCAATAGCAGCATGGCCCAGATTGTTGCGTAGAAAGCGTTATCCATGTCTGGTTGTGAGTTCATCCACGAGGCCTCAATTCTGCGTGATCCAGCTTCAGTCTCGCGGATTGTCTGGACAGAATTCATGATATTGCGTGCGGTACGCATCACCATTTCTCGAGTGTTGGTATCGCTAAGGAAGCCTCGGTGTTCGCTGCTGGGAACACCCATGTCGCGTAGAACCCGCTGAAGATCGCCTTGTCTCACTTCGGAAGAAGAGCGAAATGGATCCAAGTACATATAGTCGAGTTCTGTCGAACTGGTCGGTTTGTACTCGCCATTAAGATTATAGTTTTTAGGCGCGTAGACAAGTGTGTAGACATGGAAGAGGAACCCGCAAGGTCGTGCATCAAGGCCGAGCCGTTGTGCCACTGCGCAGTAGATGGCAACTGAGATGAGGGGGAGAGATTGGTGATTGGCTGAGCGTATGACAAGTCCGATGAAGGAATTTCTTAGGGCGCGGTAGGATGTGTCGGTGACACCTTGGAAGCCTTGGTCGCGGAGATAGGATGCCAATGTTGAAGCCTGTCTCCGAGGACTCCAACTGCGGAAATCAGGGTATGTTTCTAGCAGTCGATTGGCCAATGCAGTGATATCCTCGGCCACGACGTCAACGTCAACATCCTCTCCAACTCTTGCGAATACGTCGTATGCGCCCAGGGCTCTCTCGATGGATATGTCTTTGCCGTTGTGCAAATCCGTCCAGACTTTGATGGCGACCTCGCGGTGTATGCGCTCGAGTACGGCATTGGCGTAGTAACGTCTCGCTAAAACATCCTCTGTGTCGTCGGGGCATGCGCATTCCTTCAACAGCGTCTCCTTTGCATCGTATCCGAACTCTGCGATTTCGTTGATGCACCGTATGCGCTCTTGCTGACTAGCCACAATGTGATTCAACAGCTTTCTTGTGTGGCGCTCAATCGTGTGCTTGGTCATGTACAGCGCGCGCCAGTCGACATCAGATAATGGGGCTGCAAACTTGGCGATGATGTTGTGGCGAGAGTCCCATGTCTTGAATTGCGACTTGCATAGATGTCGCCAGATGATGGGCGCATCGGTAGTGAGCTCCTTGATGAGCTTGTTGGTCTGCGAAACGGACGCGAGGGATCGTGGGTCGAGATTTAGAAATATGGCTTCGAGGATCTCGGTCGGCAGGCCAGTGAAGGAGGGGCGTTCCATGCTGATGGTGGGCTAGCAGCCGTTGCAAGTCTGCGGGCTAAGGCAAGTCGACGGCGTTCGAGCAAGAGTCGAGTCGCCGAGGGAGGCGTCAAGATATGCGAGAGCGCAATGATGAATAGCCTTCAGGCGTGGCGAGGGCGCGTAGTATGATGTCCCGCGGCGTCAACATTGGAACATGGCGGCTGATGCGCGCATTGCTCGCTAACATGGACTAGCCTCGGCAGCTAAATCGCGATAACGCACCTCCAACGCCTGTTCTCTATATCGTTTCGCCGCTCAACATATACAGTCGCGGCTGGACGAGCATGGACTGAACCAAACCAACGTCTCATTCCCCAAGCAAGTCAAACACGTCTCAGTCATATACAGAAAACGAATGTAGTTAAACTCAAAATTCCATCATCTCAGTTAACCATAGAACTTACGGTACTCTTGATAGTACCAAAGTTTTAGCAGGAAGAATGAGACTTAATAACCCCGCCAAAAAAAACATACGTCCGTATCGCACGTAGTTGAGACTTGTCCATGCTGACAGCTGCATAGCAAGTCACCGGCACGTAAAGTCATCATTGTCAGCAGAAGTTTCTTGGCGAACCTCCGGCGGCTCCCAGCGGAAATGAATCGCGACACGCTCAAAACAACTATGGACTCATTGTGATCAGTGCGAAAGACACGATTCAAGCACGGCAGTCAGACAAGCAAAAGTCTCACATGTTTTTTTCCACATTTGGTCCGGATGGCGCGTAACCGTTGCCGAAACTCGCTCTCCGCGAGCCCCGATCTGCAGCCACAGTTGATGTCACTGCCGCACCGCCGCATTCATTACCATAAACATGACGCCCTAGAACCGAACGGTCTGGCTCACTACTTTTCCTCCCTTTCTTTTGGCCTGGTTGACCTGCATCCTTACTTTTCCTATCATATACCACCATGGCCGACCTCAGTAGAGTAGAGTCGATGCAGTACCCTGCGGGGCATCTTTCTCATCTTACCGAGAACCAGCAGGCCCAGCTGCTGGAGTTCAAAAACATCTGCCAACAGGCAGGCTATTACACACCTGCAGCCGGGGGGAAGCAAGCCAGCCATGACGATGAGACCATGCTGTATGCGCAAAACGCGAAGTTGGTAAATTTAGCGGGGCACTGACTGCTTACAGGCGCTACTTGCGCGCGCGTCGTTTTGTTCCCCAGGAAGCCTTCAAGCAATTCAAGGACACGGAGGACTGGCGGAAAGAGAACAAGCTAAGCGAAATCTTCAACACTATCGAGATCGAAGAGTATGAGCAAACGCGCCGCCTGGTAGACAGTCCCGCAAACATGCGCTGTTGTCCCGTCTGACAGCCTCACGTAGTACCCGCAATGGCTCGGCCGACGCGACAAACGCGGCATCCCTCTCTTCCTTTTCGAGGTTGCACCGTTGAACTCGAAGAACATTTCCGCTTACGAGAAACAACTCGCCAAATCAAAGACGACCATACCTAATGTCGCAACCAAGAACCTGCGCCTCTTCGCCCTGTACGAGTCGCTCACAAGATTCTACACGCCACTATGCTCTATGGTCCCTCGCAACCACCCGGAGACGCCCATCTCGCAGAGCAACAACATTGTGGATATCAGTGGCGTCGGGTTGAAGCAGTTCTGGAATCTGAAAGGCCACATGCAAGATGCTTCCGTGCTAGCCACGGCACACTATCCCGAGACATTGGATAGGATATTCGTATGTCTATGAGGTGCTCTGGGAATGGCTCAAGCTGGACTAACACTGTCACAGATCGTCGGAGCGCCTGGCTTCTTTCCCACAGTCTGGGGTTGGGTCAAGCGTTGGTTTGATCCCATCACCGTCTCCAAGATCTTTATCCTCTCCCCGCAGAACGTCTACTCCACACTCTCCCAATATATCGATCACGACAACATTCCGAAGAAATACGGTGGCGGTCTCGATTTCGAATGGGGACAACTGCCAAACCTCGAGCCAGCCATTGAGGCGCAAATGAAGTGGGAGAATCCAAATACCCAGGACGGGCGCAAGACGTTCCCTATCGGGCCAATAAAGTGGGAGGAAGGGCAGGATGGTGAGATGCAAGCCTGGGGTGTTGGCAGTGAAAACGGAGCACCACGAAGAAAGCTCATCTTCTCCATTCCGAAGCCTGTAGGATACAAACAGGGGGATTTAATGCCACCTACACCCGCAACACAGATCGGTGACCCTCTCACAACCGTGGGAACGGCTACGCATCCTCCCGATACCAACGAGCCAGGTATTGATACACCTCCCTCAGACACCGAGTCGCGCCCTTCCATGAGCTCACCACCAAATACCACAACCCTACCGATCCGCGAAGGCACATCCGAGGCACGATACGAGCAACAGAACCATACACACGCATCGGGTCAGCTCGCAGATGGAACACCCGACGCAGCAGTTGTCGACCATGGACATGGAGACAAGACAGTTACGATGGAGCCCAACACTGTGGGTCAAGCACCGAAAGAGGTACCACTCCCTGATCGTGAAGAACCCGCTGCTCCGGGCTACTTAGACCAAGCTAAACAAGCTGCTATATCAGCCTCCGCTGTAGTCACTTCCACTGCTACTTCTGCTGCAGAAGCCGTAACTGGTGCCGTTGGCGGGCATAAGGAGGAGAAGGTTGAGGAACCTGAGAGGACGAAGAGTCCACAGGAGCTGGAGATGGACCGTCAGATCGACGCGACAAGTGCCAAGGACGTCGAGGCGTTTCTAAGGGCTAAGACTGCTAGTGGGGGTCACATAGTCAGTTGAGCTCTTTCCATCGTTGAAACATCTTGTACGTCGAGTAGAGGTTGGACAGATGACGAAATATTGATACCACGCTTCAAACAGTGCATTGCTCTCCATGAACACTTGGTCCACGCAGAAAGTTAGTTGACTGCTATCAGGCAGACCCAACAATAAGATTTCGATTGTCTACACAAGCGTAAGAAACGCTTCAGCTATCTCCGCCATGATAACAACCATTCCACAACTCAACTATGGAGGCACCGTGTACGAGGGAAAAACCGAACAGGTATGGAGATAATAAGCTTTACCTCACAGCCTACATCATCTTCTAAGAAGAAAACTTAGAAAGATTAATAGTATTATAGTCTTCTAAGTTCTTAATCTATATCTATATAGCTCTTAATATACTCTTCTGTAGTAAGAGGGAGTACTGTTAAAGGGGAAGTTTTCTCCAGCGTGACTGACAAAAGCATGCCCAAGGAAAAGAAAGGCCTCATACGACCGTTCCATCTCTCAATGGCTGCGCGAATATGCTAATTCCGCTGATAGTTACCATCAGCCCACTAGTTTAGCACCAAATTAGCATAAGACACTGCCACGCTAACAGTCCTACAAACCTCAGCTCCGAATCCCCGTGCAGCCCACGCTCCCGATACAGCAGATTACTCATCAGGCTTTATACCACCTTGTCAAACGATGCCACAAACACCGCGTCGGCTGCCTGAACACAAGATCCGTGCATTCACGCAGTCAGCTTGTTAGCCTCGTGTTACATATGGAACAGATCCAGTAATAGTTAGCGCCAGCGCGGACACGGTGAGGTACTGAAGTTCATGTCATTGCGCAAAACGACGCGTGGTATGTTACAATATGGGCACGACGTGTGGTTTGGGTGAAGATTTCCGGGTGGCTGGGAGCATGTACGGGGGCGGAACGAAAGGGTAAGAGTGGAGGAAAGAGTGGGCAAGCGAACCTTTCTGTTTTCCCACTGGAGAGGGACAGGATGATGTAGTATAGTGATTACTTCATACTGAAGCTGACAGGACGTATTTCACACGATTGTCATAGACCCGGTTGCCGACCAGTAATAATTGGCTGCGGGTATAACATTCTACTAACGCTTTAAAACATTGGATGCCATGTAGTAGTTCCATCCATTACAACAACATTCACCAACGTCATGGTACCACATAAGATGTGTCTCTCTCTCTCTCATCTACCTTTAGACCACATGCTTCAGACAGCAGAGGTTTCGTGCTTCACAGAGATGTTCTCAAGAGGAATCTCGATGTGCTTCTCTGCGAGATGCATTTCGCCAGCGAAGGTGCTGTGTGGCTTCCACTTGCGAGAGTTGCGAGGAGTGCTCTCCTCCAACATCTTGTCGACTTGCTCAAGGGTGAGACCCTTAGTTTCGGGAACAAAGAAGAAAGCGAAGAGGACTATTTATTCATCAGTGACTTGCCCACGTGGCTTTGACGATTAGGAACAACTCACAAGAAATACAGCAGAGTGAGCCCCACAGGAAGAAGACATTGGATCCGAGACGGGCAGAGTCCTCACGGTCGGCAACGAGGTATGGAGTAATGATACCGATGATACAATTCCAGAACCAATTGCTGGCCGTAGAGAGACCGACACCGCGAGATCGGATAGTCAGAGGGAAGATTTCACCGATGACAATCCAGGCGCAAGGTCCCCAAGTAGTCGCGAAGACGGCGATATTCAAGCAAATGAATGCGATCATAGCACGGGTGGCGTTTGGGTTAGCTGGGTGGTCGGCAGTGTTCTTGCCAGCGGTAGCCCCGATAGCCCCAACGATGAATTGCATGATGACCATGCCAGCCGCTCCAAAGACGAGCAGACGACGTCTTCCAATCTTCTCAACCATGATGAATGAGGCAGGTGTAGACAGCACGTTGACAAGGGTCGTGACGAGCGAGATGAGGAAGGGATTGGAAATCGAGCCAAGCTGCTGGAAAAAGACAGGGCCGAAGTAGAAGATAAAGTTGATACCAGTCAACTGTTGCATAGCTTGCATAAAGATGCCAAGTGTAGTACGGCGGGCGTTGGATGAGGGCGAGGAGAGCTTGCCCTTGAAACAGGCCAACCACGAACCGAGATAGCTGTGCTGTGGTACAACGGACATTTCATATTCGTGGTTTGCAATGATCTCAGCGAGTTCATCCTGGATGTATTCGGAGTCAAGAGGTTGGCCGCGGACACGGCCAAGGGCGGAGGCGGCC